GGGACGATGTCAGAGATTTTGCTGTCTTAGATTGGGCTGCAGAGTCAGGGTGTGGGGCTGGGGGAGGTAGTGGGTGGGTCTTTGGGTCTTGGGCGGGCAAAATAGTCCTGGGTAGTTTTCGGGAGCATTTGGATGGTCCGGATTCTGTAGCAGGTGTTTGTGGACATGTGTTTTGAAGGTGACCGGTTTCGTGGCAGGTAAAACATTTGCAGGAGTCTTGGGGGCGGATAGGACAGGCTTCAATGTCATGGCCCATGGCACAGCAATACGTGCAGTGAGAACCCATGCATGTCCACATAGTCAGGAAATGGGTGGAGTCGGAGGTGGGGATCTTGTACGATAAGGGGAGAAGTGATGTTGTGGGTGTTGGGGGTTGTTTGATGTAGACGTATCCAGTGCTATCAAAGCAACTGCGACGAAGATGGATGCCAATTTCGCGGACAATACCATACTTGGCAAGGTTGTCCTTAATGAGCTGTTCAAGGTCTTGACAAGGGAGGAAGGGGAGTTTTGTGAGGTAGAGGCGAAGAATTTTGGTACCAGTGGGTATTCCTTGGGAAGGGAAAAACTGTTCATTGTTGACCAGGAAGCCTTTGGAGCAAATGTCCAGACATGTAGTAGAGTCGGTAAGATGTATCTTATGCATTGTAGATTGTTTGGATGGGAAAGACACACCGATAATCTTGTTGGCGGGGACAGAGCTGAGAAGTGAGTTCCAGAAAGCATCTTCTTGGGGAGTGCCGACTGGGGGGTTGAAGAAAATAGAGTGGGGTGTGGTGCTTTTGCGCCAAACACAAGAGGGCGAGGCAGGGAGGGTGGAAAACAGGATGGATGCGACCTGAGTGGGTTTGGTGGATGCGGTTTGAGCATATGATGGTAGTAGTGGATTGGTAGCTATGGGATTAGTGTTGGGTCGACCTATTGTGGAGTTGGACCCCTGAGGGGGGTCCGAGTCTTTAGCGGGAAGAGCCATGAAATAAATCATGGATTTAAAAATGCGTTTTCCAAAATATCAAAAATGGTTCAAAATAAATTATGTTTCAAATAATGCGATTTTTATTTTTGTTTTCAAAGTTGAAAAAAAATTCCAAGCTATTTCATATAATTTATAGACAGAAATATATAATATGATTAATTTAATTATTCTAAGCTAAAGGATGGGTCATTGAGTTCATATCACTCATTATTCTTGAAGACAAAAGCACCAAAGAGCTACCTTGATAGTGGAATAAAAGAGCAATCTAATAAAATATAAATATGAATGAGTATTTCAAGCTTAAAAAATAAGTTAAATAAAAGCTTACCTTTGACTTTACCAAGATGCATCTCATAAAAGTTTGAATATCTACAATTGAAAATTAATAAAAGATGGTTAGTATTCAATTACTTTGTAAACTAGGTGTGCAGTTATTACCTCTTAACTCATTATGACCACATGATGAAAAGGCTAATGTTATTTAATGAGACCTAAGGCAAATAACTGCATCACAAAGTACAATATTGCTTTTCTATTATGCATACCTCAAAAACAAGAATATATAGATACGTTTCCTACAAAAATAATATATTAGATGTAAACACACGTAATGAACAAACTTTTGTTGGTAAAGTAGAGTAAGAAACAACGCGAAGGACGTAATCCCACACTTATTCAAAATCGATTTAAAAAATTCTCATTGGTCTTTTGGCTTTTAATACCAATGGTGAAACTCGCAGAAATGTCTTTAAAAAAAATGCTAAGTCATTCTCTCTCGGTTTGACTTATTTTTATAAGTTAAAGTGATATGTTCTAATAGCAAATAATTGAAATTACAGTTGTAGCTTATTAAAAAAATATGTGTATATATTAATATCTTCATTGGGTTGAGTCGTGCCTTAGAAGGCTGCCTTTGCTAGACATTCTTTACTAATATTATATAAGAAACAAAAAAAAATTGTATATTTTTTCTTATTTGAAATTTTGACAAAGTCGTTTTATATGCTGAAAAGCATTGCCTTTGCCAAATTTTAATAGAATTATTTTTTTATTGCTCAATACAATCTCTGAACTTCCTTATTCAACGTTTTGTTTTACTTGAACAGCTTTTTATTATGATAAGAAAGGTTTGAAGTAGAACCAAACCTTCTTTTCTCCTTTATTTGGAAAAGAAAAGATTCAATTCACAAAATTACACAAAGAAAAAATATCTAGGCTAATAATATTGCTTGGGTACTATACACTACCATATTTGGTTTCTAATTTCTGTGGTGGTGTAACTAATACCAACTTTCTTTTTTTTTCTCTCAATAAAACTACTACACAAAGTCTCACTTTGTTTCTTTATTTCTTCTCTAAAATTAAACCTAAATATAACAACAAGAATTGATCCCCTAAAATAGTAATACTATATATTACTTGGTATTTAAAAGATCTTTTGTTATGAATTGTCATAAGCATGTCGTTCCTAGAATCTGAATCCTAATCTGGCCAATCCAATTCAATCCTTCTCAGAAATACTACACTTTGCTGGAAGTTTCCAATACCTGGCAACTTCTAGCAAAATCCCTTTAAGATAGTATAAATACAAATTGCTTCATCAAAATAAAACATTATCTTTATTCTTCTGAAAAACTACTCTTGTGATATCTTCCAGCCACTTCAAAGGCAACTTCCAATCCCGACATATCACACTTATTTTATGGTGGAGAAGCTTTGCTTAAAAACCCCCTGAAAGATCCCAAAACCACTACTTCCTGCAATTCCTGTGCAACTAATTCCTGCAATTCCTGTGCTACTACTTCCTGCGATCTCTTACTTCTGTTAATCATTTTGTTAATAATTGCCTGCCATGTCCAAGTCTTCTGAAATCAATGTTAAGATAATTGAAGCCTTGAACGATATCGTCGTTCAAAACTGCTACTCTGCCCTACAGTCAATGCGCCTGATATATAATTATGATCCGTCCCAAAATATTGAACTCTGGCTGCGGTTATTTGAAGCCAAAGCCGATCGACTTAGTTTGGATACCCAAATGAAGATAGATCAGCTACCTTCATACTTACCCGTAAATATGGCACAGTGGGTCCTGTCGAATTCAGATCTCGACACCTGGGATAAGACGAAACGTGCACTGATTGACACTTTTGGCATCCCTCTCACTCAACAGAAACTGACCTGTCGTAAACGACTCGAATCGCTTCACCAAGGGAACCTACCGTCGAGACAGTTCAAGGCTGTCTTCCAGTCGATCGTTCAGGATCTCCCTGAAGGGACTACAATTCCGGCGGAGGTTTTATGTTCGATATACCTCGGTGTCATGAACCCTCGTCTCATGGATAAAATCATTGCCCAAATTACTACTTCCTCTACCTGGAGGGACGTGGCGGACAAGGCTATCACCATGGACGAAGTTCTGAATGCTGACCTTTGCCTCGCAGAAGCTTATTTATATTCCAACGTTCCGGCCGACGCCTTCTCTCATCAGGGCGCCTTCACAGCTAGTGGCTCCAGTCCTGCCCCTATGGAAATCGACGCTTTCCAGTATAAGCCTACTTCCTTCAATAGAAACACGTCCTGCAACAATTCCTCGAGAAGCAAGTTCAACCAATGGGTGCGACCTGGCGTTCCTCTCTGTGGCCATTGCAACGAAGAAGGCCACCTATCCAAGTGTTGCCGGAAGAGACCTAGTAGATCAAACCAGGTTAATACTATTCAAGATATCGCTCCTCGTGACGATTCAGTTACCCTGGCTCCTCCGTCCAATAACTGGTCCTCCTTCAGGTCCCCACTGCCTGCTGTCCCTACTGATTCGACAGCTGCACCTCGTCCGGAAGTCAACTACTGCGTGGTTCCCATGGTTCAAGACGCTCTATACAAATCCTTCAAGGCAAACATTAGTAACATGTCGGCCTCAGCCAGTCCAGCCCCCTCTCTCTTGAACAAGTCTTCCTTGTCAAGAATCTCGAGTCCTCAACTTAGCTGCACCATTAATGGCGTTACTACCGCTTGTCTAATCGACACAGGGGCAAACATCTCAGCTATTCGCACAGACCTAGCCAAGAAACTGGGACTCCAGGCTGATGATCTCAAGACCCTTGTGTTTTCCACTGCTGCCAATACATCAGTCTCAACCTGGGGATCCGTTATGATTAACATTTGTTTTGGTAGTCTTGTCCTGGCTGTGCATTGTCATATTGTCAACTCTCTCTCTCATCCTGTTATCTTTGGTTACAATGCTCTTCAGGAAAACCGAGCTGTAATTGACGCCTGCACCAGCAAGGTTAAGTTCTCTCCTGGTACCCGATCTCCTGATAAAACGTCCAACACAAGTATGTCTTCTACAATCGCACCAGCTACCCCATGCCGACTCAAGAATACCCTGACACTTCCCAGTCATAGTCACTGTTATGCAGAAATAACTGGTCCAGCCAATTCGATCTGCATGGTCTCTACTCCCTCAAACGTGGTTGCCAAAACACTTGTCTCTGTTGCTGCTGGGGTGGTTTGCTTTGATGAATCGGGTCTCGCTTCAATTAAAATAGCTAACTTAGACATGAACTCACACAACTTCAACAAAAATGATGTCATTGCTTTTACACACTACTTACCTTCGTCTACGCCTATTATTCCTCTGACTAGTTTGGTTCAGTCATCATCCACTGCCCAAATCGCTTCTTTGGAAGCATCTACAGTCTCATCTGCTCCCTCTGCTTCTTTGGATTTCAGTACAGTGCTAGGTGCCTGCCTTGATGCTAAACAAGCTAGTTCCATCAGCAACCTGCTCTCTGAATTCTCCAATTGCTTCGACAACAAACCCAACTCCACTACGCACTTGGTGCAGCACCATATTGACACAAAGGATGAACACCCTGTTTCGTCTTCTCCCCATTGGGCTTCCTTGGTAGAAAATAATACGATTAATGGTCTCATTGATGAAATGCTATAGCAAGGTGTTATTCGTCCTAGTCGCTCTCCTTGGTCCTCTCCGGTGGTGCTAGTCCCTAAGCCTGATGGCTCCATTCGGTTCTGTGTCGATTACCGGCAACTCAATGGCATAACCACTAAAGACGTTTATCCACTCACACACATTGATGATGCCCTACATAGTCTTGGTTCAGCCCATTACTTTTCAACTATGGATTTTACATCTTCCTACTGGCAGATTGAACTTGATGACGAAAGTAAACCCAAATCTGCTTTTGTCTGTCAATGAGGATTGTTTGAATTCGTCCACATGCCCTTCGGTCTCTGTTCTGCCCCTGCTACTATGCAACGTCTCATGGACTCTGTATTGGCTGGCCTCAAGTGGCAAACTTGCCTGGTATATTTGGACAACATCATCTGTTTCAGCCCTTTGTTTGACTAACATCTTAAAGATCTTCGAGAAATCTTCGATTGCTTGCGTACTGCTTTCCTCAAAGTCAAACTTAAGAAATGCTCCTTTGGCAGTGATCGCATTTCTTTCCTTGGTTATGTTCTTTCACCCGATGGTTTACACACAGATCCTGAGAAAATCCTTGCCGTTTCCAAATTTCCAGTTCCCCTGTCCGCTGACAACGTTTGCTCATTCCTTGGCCTTGCTGGCTACTACCGTTGTTTTATCAGCAATTTCTCTGCAATAGCTGCTCCATTGAATGATTTGCTTAAAAAGGACGCTGACTGGTCCTGGACGTCAGCCCATCAGAGATCTTACGAAACCCTTAAAACTGCTTTGACGTCTGCTCCGGTCCTACGCTTCCCTGATTTCTCTCGGCCCTTTGAACTACATACGGATGTCGCTTGCACGGCTGGTATTGGCGTTATTCTAGGACAACGGGACCCTCGCAACAATCGTGTGTATGCTGTTGCATATGCGTCTCATTCTCTCTCCCCCGCAGAACGTAACTATGGTGTTTCCGAGGTTGAGGCGCTTGCTATTGTCTGGGGAATCAAGAAATTCGCACACTACTTAACCGGTACCAAGTTTACTGTCATCACTGATCATCATGCTCTTCAGTTCCTGCGTAACTCCAAGTCCTCTGATCTTCGCGGTCGTCTTGCTCAGTGGGCTCTCTCTTTACAACAGTTGGATTTCGACATCGTTTACCACCCGGGTTGTCAGAATGCCGGTCCCGATGCGCTTAGTCAACACCCCGTCACGTATGATTCCTCTAGATCTCTCATTTGCACGATTACTGCTCCTGATATCGCTTGTTCCCAAGCCACCGATCCATACTGTCAAGAACTTCATCGTGCTTCCTCACTTCCCGCAGGCTATACCGTCTCGTCCAGTGTCCTTTTCTTTGGCCCCCGACCAGTCCTACGACAGTCGATGTGGGAGGAAATGTTCCACCTCCTCCATGCTAATTCTACTTCAGGACTTCTTGGTGTTAGTCGCACTCTCCAAAGGTTCACTCGATTTTTCTACGCTCCCAGTCTACACAAGTGGGTGAAATACAAGGTTGCTCACTGCGATACGTGCCAGCAAATTAAAGGATCTAATACAACCCTCAGTCATACCAACCTCCAACACTCAAATCCAGCAGTACATCCCTTCGACTCAGTTGCAATTGATACGTATGGACCTCTTCCGACCTCACTATCAGGCAACAGGTATATCATCGTTATTCAAGACCTTTTCTCCCGATTTGTGATCCTCAATGCTGTACCTGAGAATTCTGGTAAATGGGTCACTGCCTGCCTCAACAAAGTTTTCGCCACCCATGGTATCGTGCGCTCTATTCTCAGTGATAATGGTCAACCATACTCTAGTACACTCATCAAAGACATGGCCGCCCAACTGGGAATTCAGCAGAAGTTTGCTCCAGCTTATCACCCCCAAGCAAATGGTCTGGCCAAACGATTCATGGCTACCCTCCGAAATATGATCATTGCTTTCATGGACCCACAGACAAACATCACTACATGGGATGAACACTTGAATGAATTCCAACTAGCCTACAACTCTAGTCCTCACGATCCAACGAAGCTCTCTCCTTTCTCAGCTGTCTTTGGTTGTGAAGCCCGTGTCCTAGCACAACCTGACCTTGGTGTCAAACCTGTCTCTCTTGTCGGCTATCACTCTTCTATCAAGGAAATGCTTTCTCGTGCGCACAGCCTCATTCAGCTAGAAAATCTTCGTTCAAAAGCAGGAAATGCCATCACCTATAATCAACATCATACAGCACCTAACTTCATCATTGGCGATCAAGTTCTTGTTAAGTTTCCCGTACTATCGAATGCTGCTGCCGGCCGCTCAGCAAAACTGTCTCCTTCGATGTGTGGCCCTTTTCTAGTGGTCAGATCTATTGGCGCTGATCGTTTTGATCTCTTAGATCCTGTCTCCAATAAGAAGCACACAAATATCCACTTGGAACGGTTGAAGAAATACTCATTTCGAAATGAGGACATTTCCTCTTCTTAACCCCCCGGATGTCATGAGCATGTCGTTCCTAGAATCTGAATCCTAATCTGGCCAATCCAATTCAATCCTTCTCAGAAATACTACACTTTGCTGGAAGTTTCCAATATCTGGTAACTTCTAGCAAAATCCCTTTAAGATAGTATAAATACAAATTGCTTTATCGAAATAAAACATTATCTTTATTCTTCTGAAAAACTACTCTTGTGATATCTTCCAGCCACTTCAAAGGCAACTTCCAATCCCGACATATGATACTTATTTTAGAATATATGAAGTTGTGGCTGCATAAAGTTTAATATTTAGGATTTTTTAAAAGACTGGCAGACATTAAATGAAATTTTCATATATTAGCATTTGAAATAAAAAATTGACACAAATCTTGAAATTTGCAATTATTGAGAAAATATACTATAGTAATTAGAAAAAAAAAAATTCTCTTTTTTTCTTTTTTTTTATAGCAAACCCATATTTCTAATTTTTTTAAAAGAATAAATAATACAGATTATACAATTCTCCAGATACTTCAGAGTATGCAAGAAACACTTTTTTCTTTGCAAAAAGGCCAGGAAGAACTTCAGATTAGACAAGATGCACTCCAGAAAAAACAAGCATTGCTTAGATAGGAGATCGTCAATGTTTGTAAAGATATAAATGGCCAAGAAAGTCTAAAGCCAACAATAGTACATACCATAAGATATAATAAAAAGAAGTAAAGTATACAGGCTAATAGAACATAATACAGGATCTTGATAGAGCAATTCCAAGAACAATACCAAATATCAAAGATATAACTTTGGTATATATCTACAGAATGATGAGCCACAATCTTGGAGTTGAGCTAGATAAAGAAAACAAGGCAATCCTTCACACTTGTACAGGCCTTGTCTGCAATGAACTGGTCACTCTTCCTTCTGTGCAAGCCCTAAGACAATATCCAAACTGGAGTGGAATTTCTTAAGAGAACAAGAACTGAGCATGTACCAGACATGTCTGTCTACTTAGAAACAATAGTATAGACTTTACCAGATGCCACAAAAACTAGACATCTGTTGCAAAAGTCAACCAATTATAAAAAAACCATAAAAAACAACAGTAGATTGTAAGTCTCACTGGAAAAAAGTAGGAAAATACTGATGTGTATATATGGGCAAATGGTACTGGAATAACGTGATATATCATAGTTGATATTTTTTTCCACTAGGTTTTAAGGTCATCTAGCACTGTATGTGTGAGACTTACAAACACTACAGTATATGTAGATGGGGGGGGGGGTTCCGCAAGTAAGGTTTGGTAGCACTTTTGATATACTTGTTATGCTTAATAAATAAATAAAAATATTTAAAACTACAGATTTATCTTGGTATTCTTGACACAGAACAGGAAAGGTCAAAGACGGATTACATCATGTATATTGCTCCAATGGTTTATCTGTACTACACCTTACCTTTACTGATCACCTTTACTGACTACCTATACTGACAGTTCTTTAAAATTATGAACCAGTAATATGTTCTTTATTTATTTGGTTTCCTGTTCTTATTAGGTTGGTAATGGTTTATGCTTTTATTTTCATTGGAAAGAATAGAATGTTTCTAGACTTCAAATCTAATAAAGTTATTCTACATTCTCAGCTACTTCTTGCTCGGCCAGCTTGTTATATTTGGGATAAAAAATTTTCTACAAAAAACAAATACCTGAAGAAAATGAGATGCTTGTTATCTTTTTTAGGGGTAAGAGCAGTACTCTTTGAGAATAGATAAAACATTAGTGATGGGAGTGCGTGCGTGTTTTATACTGCAAATTTTATACACTAATTAATACTTAGAGCATCTCCAGCAGTATCTAAACCCAAATACTAAATATTCAAATTAGGAAACTGGTGTTTAGATTTCTCAAAAAAACGTCTCCAGCAGTTTCTAAACAAAAATCTAAATATCTAAATCTGGAATTTAGATCTAAACTTTTTGAATCAAAATCTAAACTTCTGTAGGTTTTCTCAGAATTTGTTTAGATTCTATCATTTACTAAATTTCTATTTTTTATATTGTGACTTTGAATTTTCGATTTTAAATCTCAGCCTTTAGGAAAAACCTCACCAAAATCATCAGCTCTTTAGAATCTGTGTTAAGAAATTGCTGGAGTGACCTTGATATTCTTCATACTAAATTGCTTTATTTGTACTAGTGCGGGAAATCCTAATTTGGATATTTAGTATTTGGGTTTAGATACTGCTGGAGATGCTCTTACATTGGAAGTACCAAGTACAAATGGGCAAAGAAATAAAACATTTATAGTAAATCACGAGATTATGATTTCTTTGACTATAAAACGATGGGAAAGAATTAATTTTTGTGAATTGCATGATAGAATAATTGATTTACATACCAAAGGCAAAGGATGTCTTTGCAGACCAAGATATTATCTGTAAAGTGGTAGTATCGTCTATAGTAGAGAATATATATTAATATACAGTATAAATAATATTATTGTATGTATAGAAGTAAATAAAAGGCTTACCATGACAATGACGGTAGCATGGGATTGAAGTTTTTGAGGAATGGCACATTTGTAAGAGGGATGTTCATCTATAATAGAAATTATATTCAGTTAGATAAATACAGTCAAAGCTTGATATAGTGATATGGATGGTGGACAGAAATTTTATCACTATCACTATATCGAGTGTGTTTTTTTCTTACTCCGTGCATTATTTAGTGATATTTCTAATGCCGCTGTGAGTGGCTACTGTTTTCTAATAGGATTTATAGTATTTTGTCTAAGAAAGTGGGCTTGCTTTAAAATGCGAAATAAAATATATATTACATTTATTTTTTTATAGTACAAAAATAAACTCAGAGCTCGATATAGTGATACTGGTGGATTCAAATTTTATCACTATCACTATATCAAAAAATAGTGATAATAAGCAGGCACGGGCCCAAATTTTCCAAAAAATTATCACTATATTGCGATTATCACTATATTGAATATCAATATACCAAGCTTTGACTATATTAAAAAGAAATAGATTAAAATAAAATAAAATATTACTGTGTCAATATTTGTGTTTGATTGTAGAGAGTATTTTTGGCGATGTTACCTATATTAAAGAAAGAAAAAAGTCAGAATGATTGTATGGAATGATGGCATAAAGTATATTTACTAACCCTGGCTAATCCGGATCACTGTTGTGAAGATGGCGCATCAGAATGAGATGAAGAGTGAGTTTCTATGACATTAAAATATATTGTTATTTTTTAGTTATATATAAAGAAGTATATATTTCTTTTAAAACAAAGAAAGTGCCTTACCATAAAACCTTGCGAGTGTGAAGAGTGAAGAGAGAGAAACAGAGAGAATACCTATGACAGACAAAAAAGTTAATTCTTTTGTTCTTTGTAAAAAAGTATTTTGAACCAAAAACAATCTTACCAGAAAAATTTGCAAATATAACAAGAAATGAAAAGAGAGAGAAAAGAGGGAAATACCAAAAAACAAATAAAAAAGTAAAAAAATAATCTTAAAAAAAAAAAAAGGTGTGTTTAAAACAAAAGACTAAAATGATTTCATCAAGTCCCAAAGCAATATGAAAACCGATTTACATCCCAGGCATTACAAGAAGTATTAATAGAGATTTGTATATCAAATATATTTTGAATTATAAAATAAAAAAGGAAATAAGAGTGCTACAAATATTTCATTTGATACGGTTTTATAGTAAACCAAAACGTATTTTTTATTTTTTTATTTTATTTTTATTTAAGCCAATAGAATACATCAAAACTACACCCCCAACTTGATAAAAAAAACTGCTGAGATGAAAAAAAATCCTGACATATCCACTATGATCCAACTACCTAGACAATATGTTAATTCTCTTTATTTTTCCAGTATCTACGTCTGGTAGATATCATAGAATAAAAAATCAACTATCAATAAAGTCCATAGTGAATAAAATGATATTTAGCCAGTATAATCTATATATAATAACACTGTAGAAAAAAGTTGCCATAAATTCTAAAAAAAGGCAACATTTAATAAAAAACCTGCAACTTCGGTTAAACTCCTACAATCCTACCAAATATAGGGCATTTTAAACTCTTTTTTATTTTTTGAGATTTAATTCAAATATATTTTTTAGATTTTTAATTCAGAAAGCCATTTTAGGTGAGTATTGTACGCTAAACTGCTTACAGATTACAAGGTTGAGTAAAGAGACAAACATGGCCTACAAGATTACTTATATTTTTAATCTGAACTTTAAGAAGTCTTTGCCACTAAAAAGAAATGATCATGATTGCCTTTTAATGCAATATTTTTTTTTATTCTGTAAAGTTTTTTTCTTATTTCTCTTTATTTCTTTTTTTTCACAAGGTCTGAAATTATTAAAAGTCTCTAAAAGAAGCACACTTAATAACTATGAAGGCTAGTATTAGTAAAATACGAATTAGCAAAGTTGATAAAAGAAAGCAATCTGAGAAGAATTGACAGAAAAATATATGCATCAAGTACAGTTTGGTTGTCAAGATTGCTCGCATACTCATTAGAGATCTTGGTAGATTTAGAGAATCACAGGGAATCTGTCTTCTGGTTTCTCAAAAGTGAGAATCAGACATAACAATTTTAACTCAAAGCAGGTTTATACTCTGTTAAAAGGAATCAATTAAGTAATACATGTCTTCATCAATATTATAGTATGTAGAGAATAGTCATTTTTTTAAGATAAAAAATGTAAAAAATATAACATAGAAATAGATATATGTATATTATTTAGTAACTTTATAGCTTAAACTGCTACTAAATATCCATAAATTTAGTACTTCTTCTTTCCATACTTCTTTATATTCAACTTATATTATTTTGATCAATAACAACTATAAAATTTCAATATAAAACCATGTATTTGTTGAACCAATTATAAGAATAAAGATATCTAAAAAAAGGTATAGACTTGCTATATTTAGAATATTTGATTGGATTAGATGCAAAAATAATTGAAATTTCATAAATCATATTTGACATAATCTGAAATCTCATAAATAGTATCTGCCCAGAAGTAAGGCTTACTAGTTAATGTCTGGCATGTTATTAGCCTAGAAGAAAGTTGCAAGTTGTGGGTTTAGTCCTCTAGACTAAACACACACAGAGAAACCTGAGAATGCTGTGATCATCAATTCATAGCTTTTATTCGAATATTTTTAAGAATGTTTTGAGTATATATAGGATATATTATTGATTAAGTTTTAAGATCGATCATCACAAGAGCAAAGCCAGAAATAAAGAAATAAAAATTAAAGTAAAAGGAATAATAATAAGGGTAAAGAAGGGTGGGTGGGAAATTAGACAAATCTCTCTGTGTGAGTTTAGTCCTCCGGACTAAACCCACATTGTTATCAAATTAAATTCTTGGGACAATGCATTCTAGTCCCTCAGACCACACACACAGAGAGACCTGAGAATGCTGGTACAGATTAATAAGAGCAGCTCACAGCCAAAAGGTGTTTTCCCAATCAGCAAGACAGCATCCATCATAATCATTTCACTGAGATTGGAAGCATAAACAAAGAGATATTTGTCTGAGGAGCACGCATACAGTGGTAGTGCTGTTCAAACATTGCCAAAGAGGACCAGTTTCCCATGGTGACTACATCTTCAAGAGGAACATCACGGCAAAGAGTGAGATCTAAGACAATTGACCAGAGAGAAGGCGTGGGGCAAACAGAGGTGGACAAGTAAACAAAACAGAACAAGCAGCTGGAAATAGTGCTGGTTTGAATTGGGCGGCTTGGGTTTTTGGAATTTAGAAAAAGAGTGGAAGGAGATTGGAGAGCAGACAGAGGCTAATCATGGAAAGTGTGGAAGGCCAAAATGGGGCATAAGGAAGGACAGGATGAATGAGCATGAATGGTAAGGGACTTGACGATGTGGTGACCACTACAATTCTCCTTGGGGATCGGAATCACCAAGCACAGAATCTTATCAAAGGCGTAGGATTGAGTGAGATCAATTTGGGCTAAGTCAGAGGGTCTGAGGAAGGCGGTAAATGCCAGGAGAAAGGCCGTTTTCTCGTAACTTGCTGAGAGAAGTGGTGGGAGAGGAAGGGATGTGTGCAAGGATCACAAAGGTGGGAGAGAGATTGACGTGTGGATGAGATAGAGGGATCGGCGGAGTGGAACAGTGCAGAGAGGAGAAAAGTAGTGCAAGATCTCCAGTGTGCATGGAGGAGGGATTGACATGGAACCACATGATGGCTGATAGAAAGAGCTGGAAGGTATTCACACTGTAGTTAGACACGGTGGCTGAGGTAATGAAGTTTATCAGGTCTTGAGAGGAGAACTCAGTGAGGGACACATCATTTTGAGTCGCCCAAACCACAAACAATGATTGTTCTTTCTTGTACACCCGGTTGGTGGAAGAGTCCATCAGCAAAGGAGAGACTAATGCCAAAGAGGCCTCCTCAGTATACCCCCTGTCTTCACAACGTCGCCTGAGACCCGCCACATGGACAGCCTCCACTTGTGGTTGGTTAATGACCAAGGGGTGTGTGTGAACGGAATCACTGGTTGACCGTGGAGGAGGAGAGGAGGTTGGAGAGCCATGGAGAACAGGAGAGGAAACCAAAGGGTGGATGACCAATGAGGCACCACTATCATGACTTGAAGACGTTTGAGATGCAACTTGCAGAGACAAGAGAGGATGAGGTTCCATGGAGGATTGAGATACATGTTCTGTAGACCTGTTCAAGGGATGGACATGGCGTTCGTTGCCAGAGCCTGAGGGTCCAGAAGCCAAGAGATATATCTTGAGAGGAGGGCTGTGGTTCGGTCTGCAAACAGATTGATGGTATAAGGACCCCAATGACTCTGGATCTGTTGGAAGGCAGAGGGAGTCAGCCACCACATGTTCTTGGAGAAAACTTTCTGCGATGCCAAGTCGGCAAGAGTGTTGAGAACGCCTGGAATGTGGATCGCCTGGATAATTAAATTGCATTCCAAGCAAAGTTCCCAAACCGTGGTAGCCAGGCAAGAGAGAGGCCATGAACAGGTCTCACCCTGCTTGTTGGCATAAGACATGGAAGTGGTGTTGTGTGTTCGCACATGCACTGCCATATTGCTGAGGTGACCAAAAGTTTGGAGGGAGAGATGCAATGCCTTCAGTTCTTGCCAGTTGATGGATTAGGCAGATTCATCACCATGCCAATGACCCCATATCTTACGGCCGTTGAGAGCAGCACGCCAGCCAGTGTCACTGGCATTGACATACAAGGTCTGTTGAGGAGATGGGGGGAGCAGAGAATGACCATTCCATTTGGCAGGGTTGTGCAACCACCAAGTCAGCTCCTCACAACAAGGAAGTGGTAGAGCCACCGGGTTGTTCCAGTAGTGGGAGACCTTAATCTGCTTGTTCTTGTAGAACATTAACGCCTGAGTGTACAGATTGACAGGGAACATGGCAATGACAGCAGCACAGATACACATGGTGACACTGTGGATTATACGGGAAGTGTGGCTGGTGGCAAGCAGAATGGCATGGATAGACTTTTGCAGGTCGCGCAGCTTCTTGCCAAGAAGCTTTTCAGTTGTTGTGGGGAGAAAATAAAGCAAAATATAATATAGACGAAAGAATTCGTGAGAACTTGTGTAGGTTGTTTATTTCAAAAAAAAGTAAAGAATGATAAAATTCGATTGTCTTTCTACACGGAACTATCTACTGATATTTATATGTTTTTCTAATTTATAATTCAGTGTGTGCTTAATCTTTATCACGATGAGTCATCTTCCAGGAGTATTGTTCTTCTGGAAAGATCCGGAAAGACCAATTGATATGATACTTCTCCAGTCAGATCAGTCCAAGAGTTTTGGTAAAGAAGAGCATTTATGCTATTGGTAATATTTTAGTATTCCGACCCAGATACTCGGGTAATGTTTCATAATATTAGATAGTTGTAGTTGTAGTCTCTCAATTAAGTATTTGTATAATAAAAGAAATATGTAGATAAAATATGATGATGCCATATATATAATGTATATGTATTTGTATATCCCATGTCATGGTGATAATAATAAATAATCAATTATGTGTATGATGATCTGTGTATTAGATAATATCATAAAGGGAGATCCGTTTGACTGGAATAGCTGAGGATATTATTTTATCCTTCAGTCTTACTCTCAGATTCAGCAGTAATCAATACTCATTCACAACATCAGTCATGAAAACTGTGTCCAGCGCATACCCCAGGTGGTTGATCTGTTGAGTTGGAGTCAGATGGGACTTTTTCATATTGACAATTCATCCCAATGACGTCATGCACTGAAGAAGAAGACGAGTGTACTCCTGAGCTAGTTCTGCTGTGGGGGCCATTAGGATCCAATCGTTGAGGTAGGCAGAGACCCGAATCCTGTGAGAGCAAGCCCAGAGAAGAACAGGATGGGTAATCTTTGTGAACAGCCAAGGAACGATGGAGAGACCAAAGTGCATGGTGCGAAACTGGAATATATGGCCTTCCCAACTGAAGCAAAGATATGCACAAGAATGCTTGTGGATAAGAATGTGGAGAAAGGTATCAGACAAATTGATTAAAGTGAGGAAATTGTTGGGACGCATCATTTTTACAACCTCGTAAAGAGTCTCCATCTTAAACTTGGAAGCATCCAGGAATTGGTTCAGGCCTTTGAGATTGAAAACTGGACGGGCACCTCCGTCTTTCTTGGGAATGACAAATAGATTGCTGTAAAACCCAGGAGAGGGGGAGGTAACCGGTTCGATTGCTTGCTTGTACAAAATTTGGCTTATCTCATGGCGAAGCAAAAGAGTTTGGTCATGGCTCATGGGAATGTGAGGACAAGGGTGGCTCGACATTGGCAGTTGTTGAGCAAAGTGGATACAGAAACCTTCAGAGACTACGGAGTGCACCCACTAGTTGTCTGTAAGATGCCACTGAGCGTCTGAAAATTGCTGCAGACGGCCCCCTACTGTGGGGTCCCCGTTGGAAAGGACTGTTTGATGAGAGGGGCTTTTTGCTCTGGAATGTCTGTGCGTTGTGGAATCCCCCCATTTGTGAAATGCCCTGCGACCCCTTGAGGGATGTGACGACTGGAATGACCCATTGTGAGTGCGTCCATTGTTTGTGGAATGCCTGCCAGCTCTGTGTGGTGGGGCCTCTCAAAAAAACGACGAGCAAGGGCAAGCAGAAGCTTAAAGTAAAGCCTTGGTGGCTGCAGCTTGACTCGTAATAGAAGCCTAGAAGGTGTCTGGAGTCATAGTGTAGGCTTTGTTGGGGGTCTGTGCCAAAAATAAAGGGTTAACCGCCTTTAAAGCAAGATCGTTTTGGGCAGCATTCAATTTGCCGCATTTATGCATAGCAAGTGTGGTATACACACCACAATTGAGTGAAGAACAGACCTCACAACCAAACACTGGTTCCTTCTTGCTAATGAACCTGGCAAGTTAACAATCTCCGGAACTGTTACACACCAGGCACATGTACACTACACACTCATACAGTGTAAACCAACCATTACACAACAGGGATTTGAATTACAGGGATTTGAATAGTAGCAGATATAAACAATATTTTTTTTGTCTCTTTAATAAATAACACCCTCACAGTATCTACTTTTCCCATTATTGAGATACTAACCCATAAACAATCCCGAATACCTCAGCAAGAAATTGGAGGTCTTGTATCATTTCAAAAATCTGAGCACGCTTGGTGCCTGGAATTAGAGGGAGAAACTCATTGGCAAGGACAGAAAATGGCCATGGAAGAGTACTGAATTGCAGACAATGAGGCATCCATCAACTTTTGCAATGCAGAAAACTTCTGGAGTGCCATGGGGATTGTGAAGGATGGAGAGTACTGGACACTCACAATTGGAGAATAGCATTCAACCAAGGTTTTCTTTTTCTCCTCAGACAAAGTGTGGCTGAAGAGATTTAACGCCAAAGATGGAACACGAGTGAGAAGATCCGCAGAAGGCTGCCACTCATAAGATGGTCACACAGGGAGACTGTGCAGATCCAAGCCAGTAGTCATGGTAGTATCTGTTGATAAAGCTTTTAGACTGACAATCTCAAGTTGCTGCTCAGCCATCTGGCAAGTCAGTTAGTCAATATAGTCAAGTAATTTGTAAGACATAATAAGAAAAAGGGAAAAACGATTTTTGTATGCAGTTATGACTGGTGAAGCAAAAGAAAGATGATCAATCTTAAAACTTAACTAATAATCTATCCTATATATACGCAAAACATTCTTAAAAATATTCGAATAAAAGCTATGAATTGATGATCACAGCATTCTCAGGTCTCTCTGTGTAGGTTTAGTCCTCTGGACTAAACCCACAACCTGCAACTTTCTTCTAGGCCAATAAAATGCCAGACATTAATCAGTAAGCCTTACTTCTAGGCAAATACTATTTATGAGATTTCAGATTATATCAAATATGATTTATAAAATTTCAATTATTTTTGCATCTAATCCAATAAAATATTCTAAATATAACAAGTCTATACATTTTTTTAGATATCTCTATTCTTATAATTGGTTCAACAAATACATGGTTTTATATTGGAATTTTATAGTTTTTATTGATTAAAATAATACAAGCTGAATATAGAGAAGTATGGAAGGAAGAAGTACTACTTTTTATGATATATAGTAACAGTTTAAGCTATAAAGTTACTAAATAATATACATATATTTACTACGGGAAAAAAGGAACGTTTTTTGTATTTGTGACTTCATTTTTGGCTTATAATAATTAAAAAATAGCCAAAAATGCAGAATGAAATAAGAAAATCTCTGTTTTTTGAAATAGCTGATAAAAAGCAAATTGACTACCCAGAATTAGATTTCAGAGTAGACAAAAGTACATTTTAACTACAGACTTTACATTTTTATCATGTATAGATTGAAATCGAGGACTATTAAAAGTCAGAAGTAAAAGACAAGGAAAATATCTAAACTCTCTGCTGCAAAGATGAAATTTGTTAAGACAATTTGGAAAAAAAATGTATTACAATAAAAAAAAACAAATTATAGGTCTATATTGACCAAGATTTAATTTTGGGCCACGGTTAAGTTCTGGTCACACTATATATTTTGTTGTTGTTGTTGTTGTTGTTATTGTTATACTGCCCGTTGCATCTGACACCACAAGACCAACCAACTCCTTGACGTCTGCCAGGTGGACTACCTTTGGTTTGAGCTGACCATTTACTACCACCAGAATGTCATTGTATAATACAGTGCTATATATCAGCACCAAAACAAGGGGCCACCTTTTACCAGAATTCTCATGTTCGAAGAAAAGAATTACTTTTCCAAAGAAGTCTTTTGCCACAGGAGTGTATCGGCAACATACATTTGTGAACAGATCGACTTGCACCTGAAGACAAACGTGATGTGCCTCTCTTAATGTTTTTTGGGAAAATGAGGAGTCAATCACACAGCCATTAATAAAAGCTTTGCGGCTAGTTATTATAGCTGGTTCAATCGTCCCGCATTCCACCCCCTTTGATCTATAAAAGTCTCGAATAAGAATTGGAAGACAAGAAATGTCTTCGAAACTGTCAACAATTGTTTTATATTCTAAAGGTCCCCAGAACTTAATATCAGAATGTGCACTAGCACACTCGCCCTTGCTAGTAATCGGCCAACCAGCAGACATATCCTCATACTGTAATACAATACCTCTCTGTTTGCCTCCTTCAGAATCAGTCAACAATCGCCGTGTATGAGCCAGCCAGACCATTATGTTTCCAGCATTTATGCCAATTGCTGAATTGCTTTTGATGGCGCAAGAGTACTTGCCAATAGCACGCTCTACTGATCTTGTGCTGTATGAGCGTGGAGGACCAAAGGCACTGATCATATTGGGGTAATGTTGTAGAAGGTGCTGGTTGATGGTAAGGACCGTTATCTCTATTTTATCATTTTGATAAAGGTCTTCAAGATACATGTTCCATGATTGTAATTTTCTAGAAGAAAATTATAAGTGGCAAGAAAAAAAAACACTGAATCTTACTAAACATATCTTTTTATAGAGGTTTGTTCCTCTGCTGATAACTCCCAGCTCATGAGTAAGTTATAAGCTTGCACAAGTCCAAGCAATGCTTTTCTGGCAGTTGTATCTCTTACACACTCAGCCACCAGTGTAGGGACAATGAAGAGAAGGAAGTTGACCCAATTTACAGCCTTGAAGTATCCACTGTACTTGGATACGTTTCTCCAAGAGCCATGAAATGCTGTTAGAGCTGTTTTTCTTGTTGCTGCCATTTCCACCCCGATTTTGTTAAGTACATTGGCAGGAAGAAACAAAGAGTGTTTAATTCCATACTTTCCACCAATAAGTTCCCAGACCTGTTTGCCTATTCCATGGCAAAGGCCATGCATCTTGTCAAGGGTAAAAAAGAGCAGGCCCGTGAATGATGTCAGTGAAGAAAGAGGAGATTGTCCTACAAGACCCTTGCTAGACAAATTTGCTGGTTCAAAGTTTTGGAAGCTTTCCAAAGTGCGCATAGTGGTGTCTGGCAAAGATCTAAAATATTGGCCATAGCCAGGAGTTTGGCCCACAACATTACAGATTCAACAACCACTTTTGCTCATATGGCCAGTGTGACATGCCAGTTTCGCCACTGCTAGAATATCACCAGTTACCACAAGGACATGGACGTTTGCGCGGATGATAAGAGTTTGGGTTATGACAACCATTCCTTCTTCCTAAAGTATCTTGAGGTCTGCCAAGATTGGCTTCAAAAATGACCAAAAGTCAAGTGGTATGGAAGGATCTGAAATCATTGCAATTTGCAACATCCGGCTTTTCTCATAACGGACCATTGGAGGAAGATTAAGAACTATGGCGTGCAGAATAGTAATCGAACCGGGGACGTTATGGGGCACAAATCCATTGACAGACAAAGAAATTGCAACATTGTTTTCACTAGATAAAAGATGTTTGATTGACTGGTATGCGTGCCCGTCAAAAATGTCTGCCTTGCTACCATCTGCCTTTTGCTCATGATTGTGACGGTATAACATCTTGTGTCTGGTACCACTGTTGGCCAAAGAAAGGGCAATTTTCCTGGCCAAAGAAATCTGAACCATAGTTTTCCCAGCAATGGCCATACCATCCTTATCTGTTTTGTCGCTTTTGTAGCGAGCTTCACCACAATGTTTGCAAGCGACCTCCTCTGCCTCATTAAACATCATACATCTGCTTTGGCAGACGTTATACACTGTTTTCTCTACACCAGAGAAATGCTTCAAGAGCTCCTTGCTCAGGTATGGTATATACACTCTGTATGTTATCTCAGTTGACATCCCTAGAATGCTGTTGAGATCCGCAGCAAGCTTCTTGTGGGCTTGATGAGAAATGCCAAAGTCATTGATGATTCTAATAAACTCCAGGTTCTTTGCATCATTGTTGCTTGGAACAGGAGAAGGTTGGCTGAAATCAAAAACCAAAGGAGAGGTGACACTTTCGGTTCCATCCATGTCAGCTGATTCTCCCATGTTGCTCTCATATTCAATATTGTACTTTAGTTAAGAAAAGAGCAGTTAGTATTATGGACTTGTATATACATGTATATCTTACCATGGGCTCATCAAGGTCAGTGTTGTTGCTAATGTCACTGATTTCATTGCGAATTATGTTTGTGTTCTCTCTGTTTGTTTAAAACATCAATATTGTTAATACATAGTCCATCTTTTTTTATTTTCTATTTTCTTAAACTCACTCAAGCATCAAGCTAGGAATTGCTGGTAACATAAACTGGCTTGACTCAGAAGAGGAGTCATCTTCTGATACTTCGCTATTCATCATAGCTTTCAGCATCTTTCTCAGGCATAGCTTTCAACATGCCACAGCAATTGTTTTATTGCTGTAACATATATGGCACGATTGATATTCATAGGGAAGGGGGTTTGTAATAGAGAATATTTTTAGAAAAGTGGAATAGATAACTTTAGATAAGTAAGAATAGAGAGAATTGAGTTATGGATACAAACCTCTGTATTTAATTGTTTGAAGACAATGATGACATAGATAATGCAAATATCATCCAAAAGTCCAAAAGGGTGATAAAATATGATATATTGTTATTACAGCTACTTTACAAATAATAATTCTCATTAAACCAATATATTTGCACAAAGATTATAAATTTAATAAAAAAAACAAAAAAACATTCCTTTCTCTTTTCCCCCTTTTTCATATCAAACCCATATTCCTCACTTTTTTTTTATAATTATGAGCAATATAGATTATTCAATTTTCCAGCTATTTCAGAATATGCAAGAATTACTTCTTGCCTTGAAAAAAGGCCAACAAGAACTTCAGAAGGAGCAAGAAAAAATACGTCTAGAAATTTCCGATATGCACAAAAACATGAATAGCCAAACAAATCTAGAGCCAACTCCAGTCCATGATGTAAGAAATCATAAAATAATATAAAACATACAAACTAATATAAAATCATACAGAATATTGGTGGACCAGTTCTAAGACCAGTTCCAAATATAAAGGCCATAACTCTGAGACATATATGCAAAATGATGGGCCAAGATCTTGGGGTCTAACTAAGCAAGGAAAACAAGGCAACACTCAACACTTGCACCCATCTTGTCTGTGATGAATTGGCCCTAATGCATTCCATACAAGCTCTAGGACCAAATCCAAGCTGGAGCTTCATATCCCAAGAAGACAAGAGCTACATGTGCACCAGGCATGCACTTTTACTCAAAAGACACAGCATAGACTTTACCAGATGTCACAAGAACTGGGCATCCATCGCAAAAGTTAGTCAATTATGAAAAAATTGTAAAAAGTGACAGTAAATTATAAGTCTATGCCTAGTGGATACTATAAAATAGTATATTAATTATAAATAAAATATGTAGTAAATAAAAAAATATCTGGCCAGTAAAATTTGTATATAATTAACTATTTTTAGTATAATAACTAATAAAACATTCTTTATAAAACATATCTCTGTTACAACAACTAATAAAACACTTTTATAAAATCTACTTCTGTTACAACAGCCAATAAAACATGTTTATAAGATTTACTTCTGTTGCAGCACCCAATAAAACCATTTTATAAACGAAATTTCCATTAAAAATAAATTTACCATTCAATTAAAAAGATAAAGAATCTAAATTATATATAAATAAAACCAATTAAGTGAACACTACTTGTTAAGTGACCAATGATTCGAAATATAATCTTAAGCAAAAGTCTATGGCTCAATAAAAGTAAATCTTAAAATACAGCTCTCATATATAAGTGCCAATAAGAAAACACATATAAGCTACTGACACAGGTGTTGTGTGTTCTCTAGCTTTGCCCACCCTGATTTATTTCCTTCTTCTCTGATCGTTTCACTTCCTATTTTTCTTGTTCATCACTTCTACATATTATCACATTCTTCCATAATAACATTTTTACATATACTCTTACCTTTATTATCACTTCCATTTCATCTTCCACGCATATTCTCCTTTTGGCATCTTTACCCTTTTTACATAAATCTTCCCATTTTCTTTTCCAGCTCCCAGTTCGCTTTTTCTCACACTATTTATCTTCCACTATTACTGCTATTCATCTCTCATCTTATATCTCATTTTTATTACCTTTTTATTACTATTACTATTATATTCTAACACCTTACCCCTACATTCTACCAAAAAGCACAAACATTATCCCACTCTTTCTATTTTGATATTGACATCTACCCGCATTTACATATTATCTCTTCTCATGCTATAAATCACATCTACTATCTCTAAAAAAAACATTCCTTTTTAATATTTTATTTCATTTTATTTTCAATTCTCAAAGGTATATAAGAGACCTATTTTTACTACAATAAACATTATCAGTTATCTCTCTCTTAAAATCACTGTCTCTGAATTGCTTTCTGTCTGACCCATAGGAAAGCAATCATATATTGCATTAAAGTCTTATATCTCTGTTCAAAACCCTCTTCCTCTTTTTCCTCTTTCTGTCCCTTATACTGTGTGATTGTCCTGAGTGAGATCAACAGTGTTCTTTTAAATTCTTCTCTAAACTTATCTTCTCGTACCTTGCTGTTTATCTGTCTTGATTGTCCCAAGCGAAATCAGCAGTATTTTTATTTTCTTCTTCTATCTTACCTTCCTGTGCCTTGCTGTTTTACTTGTTTGGATTGTCCCGAGTGAAATCAACAGTGTTTCTATATCTCCTTTCATCTTTTACCTTAACACTTTTATTTCTTTTCCACCCTCAACTGTCCCAAGTGAAGTTGAACATTCAATCGCCTTTCTAAATACTCTGTATGTCTTCCATATTTACCTTTCTCTTTATTATTCTCTTTCCCACCTGAACTCATACTCCAGAATTACATTTGTAATCCTTTTTCAATACATTTTATTTTTATTTTCTCACTAAGTTGCACACACAACAAACTCAACACGCGTCACTACAAAAAGATGTATCAGTAAATGAATAAAATCTCATATCTGTTAGATAGCAAAGTTATGTAATAATCCATGACAGGCAGGAAGTGGGAAAGGAGACAAATGAAAAGCTCCCCCTAGGTGACTTCCTGGGCGGCCCCCCAGGGAACTCCCAGGGCCATCTCTTTTTTTCCCGTATAGTGCAATTTGGCATATGTGTTAATAAAATTAGATTTTTTTTTAAGCTGGTTGAAAAAAATCGGAAATCATTTCTATTAAACAGTTCAAATATAACAAGATTTGCAAGACTTTTCTCTATCAATGTAGATTGCTACCTTGTCATCTCTTAATAAAAAAATATTTTTTTATCTCTCTTCAAAATTAGGTGAAAAAATGAGTTTTAGTAGTATTTTAAAGAAAATTTACAATATTGAAATGGTACAAACCTTGTAAAAAGTGGGATTTTAAATTACCAATATCTATTTATGGTAATATATCACGTGAATATGTCTTTAAACATCTTTCTCCAATTCAGTTGTTATAGACAGCTTGAATACTTTGCTTTATAACTTTTACTATAATATATCTTTCTATAATTATATATAAGATATATCTTTAATAATATATCTCAACTGTCGTTATTATTTTGTACAAAGTATGTATTTTCAAAATCGTTGTAGTAAGGTTAAAAGTATATAAATTCTGAATGTAATGTGTACTTAAAGAGGTACAGAAAAATTATAAAAATCATTAAATAGGCTGAACATTTTGTGAAATAATATTTGTAAAAAACAAATTAGATGTAGTTATGGAGAATAGAATTGTCTATCAACTCATGTTAATAGTTTTTTTTCTTAATGTAAAATATTTATTTAGAGACCTTTAAAGTAAGGTAAAAAGTTTATTATTTGTTATTACTTTGAACAGTCATTAGTGTCAAAACCAAAAAAAAATTTATACATCGGACATTAAATATTATAAAATGACTGCTGAAACTAAGAGAAAAAAAAGACGACTGCTGGAACACAAGATGAGACTGATTATTAAATAATTTTTTCTGATGTAATGCAGGTAGAATAGATCTGCCTTTGTCTCATTGCCTAAAACATAGACCTTATACCCAATTGATTATCTTCTTTCAAAAACATTATCTGAGTTTTAGTACCAGAATACTAAATGCTACCAATAGCGTAAATATTGTTCTTTAACTGATAACTGATTCGTTGGGAAAAGTTTCATGCAGTAAGTTTTTTCAGGAGAACAACATATCTTTAGGATAAAACTATCAGAATAAACGTTTACTTTGTTGCATACTAAAAATATAATTTTGAAAACATATAAATACCAGTAGATTTTGCTAAGAGAAAAGTATATCGGATTTTTATTCTTTTCTTCCTTTGGAAATAAACATCATATACAAAAAATCTACCAAATATTTTCACATATTTAATCTAAGTCTTTATGCAACATGTCTTTCCTTAGTTGCTGCCAGCAGCATATTAAGCGCATGGTTCAAAATAGAATGGAAAACACTGCCAGAAAGAATAAAGAATTACTTGTCTGTAATTTAGATATCAAAGATTTGAATACTGAACTTGAAGAGACCAAAATAAATTAATCAAGCCCTATTCTTCAGTGAAGAGAGGGTGCTGGAAAAGAGATTCTTGGAGTATATAGAAAAGACTTGTCAACAACAATGTGGAAAAAGCACAAGGCTGAAGAAACATTAATTGAGAATGCTAACAGCAACCATAAACTTGAAGATTTAGGATTCTTTCGATTGACTCAATCAAATACAGCACTTGTAGAGAATACAATCAGTGAGACTTCTCAAGAAGAACTATTTGATGCTGAGACTGAGAGTGAGAATGAGAAAATTCAGCTTTCTTATGAGAACCTTTGTGAATATATTAAGCAACAAATCAGTCTTCCTTCTGACAAATGTATTAGTGTATATGAGATGATGAAGCACCAGGCTGTGAAAACATACTTTTTCAATAGAATTCAAGGCTTTAGAAAAATGGAAGCATCAATTCAAGCAATGGAGAATGTGTATAACCAAACCAACACATATCTCCCACTTGCCATCCGAAAGTGGGGAAAGGAGTATATTGCCACTGGATATATTTCTCAGTGTCAACAGAGAAGATTCATTCGACCACCTTTTGTACTTGCAGATGAAGCTATTGCAAACGCAATGTCAAACTGGATCTGTCAACAAAAAATTGAGAAAAGAACAGCTAGCAACGTTAAGAGATATATTGATCATATTTTGTATCCAGTAAAATTTGGAGTTGTTGGAGATATATCTTTATCTAGTATCAATAAATATATGAAAACTTGGGGATTCTCATTCAGAAAATTTACTAGCACAGTTTATGTTGATGGTCACAAAAGAGAAGACGTTGTCAAGTATAGAGAAGAATGGTCACAGCAAATGATGACATATAAAAAAAGAATGGAAGAATATTCGGGAGATAACATGGAAGTTGTTGAAGAGCCAAAAGTCTTGCATGGTGAAAAGAAACTTGTCTTGGTTACACATGACAAATCAACCTTTTATGCATATGACAGAAGAGAGAAAAACTGGCTGGACAACAAAGAAAACCCTTTGCCCAAAAAAGGTCAAGGGCAAAGTATAATGGTCAGTGAGTTTCAATGTGCTTGTCATGATACAATGCAAAGACAGAAGTGGAGTTCCCGAAAGCTGTTTTTTGCCGGTAAAGGAAGAGATGGATACTGGACGAGTGACGATATGATTGAGCAGCTTACAAAAGATGCAATCCCCCTCTTTGAGTTGCTGCACCCAGACAGTCAAGCTGTATTCATATTTGACCAAAGCAGCAATCACCAAGCATTTGCAAATAATGCCTTACTTGCCAAAAGGTTTATCTTGAATGACAAGCCAGTCAAAGAAGACGAAGAGTTTGATTTTAAGAACACAACATTTCTTTTGGATGGTGAGCCTTGTCCTCAGACTATGTATTACATGAAAATGGAAACCATAACGAAAAAGAAAAGATCTGTGAATATTTCTGTAAAATACGTAAAAGGAATCAGAAGTATTTTGGAGGAGCGTCTTCTTTGGTTGGATACAAATCCATACAAGTCTGGTAGCAAGTGGCTTGCTGATTGTCGCAAAGACAAAGAGCCAGATTCTAGATGCTGCGCCTGCCACTTTCTTGCTGCCCAACCCAATTTCGAGAAACAAAAGACCATCATCTGTGAGGTTGTGGAGGCAAATGGCCACATATTTGAGATGTATCCGAAGTTTCACTGCGAGTGCAACTGGATAGAGAGATACTGGAGAGCTGCCAAGGATTTGGCCAGAAAGGAGTCTGACTATACCTTTAAATCGCTAAAGGTTAATGTTGACTTTTATTTGGACAGAGCTGGTGAACTTGCAAAGGTTCACCACTTTTACAACAAGTCCTGGTGCTTCATTGAAGCCTACAGTCAAAACTGCACTGGTGATGATGCATATGAAAAAGTAAAACAATACTCTGTCAAAGTTTATGCTTCACATAGAAAAGTTCCAAAAAATAACTAAAATTTTAAATCTCTAAAAAAATAAATATTACTATATTTTATCTTTATCTCTCTATTAAATAATTATTATAATAAAAAAACTTCTCTCTATTCTTTTTTTTTATTAATTGATCGGTGTTTTAATACTAAAAGTTGCGGAGTTTTCGATTTTGAATATTGAAATGATTGGAAAAAATTGATACTAGAGATGTTTGTGGACTCAGATTTTCAACTTTTTGCATGAGCTCATTGCCTTAGAAAGGAAACCTGATGTTACATACACATCTATATAGAGATACTACTCTACCAACTTGATTAAAGTTTGGTAGAAAATCTTTCAAACCTTATTCAAATTGGTAGCCTCTCATATTCGTTTATTTTCTGCTCTAAACTAATGACAAGCTGATAATTGTAACACCCAAAAAAGTCACTTTTAATTTTAATTTTATAAACATTCTACTATCATAATACGCATTTTTACCACTTTTCCTTCACTTGGTTTTAAACATGAACGCACATATGAATACTTTCACTGCAGACGCTCCCATCAGATTTAATCACAAGATAAATCTGATTGCTGGAAGAGACAGACTCCTTGTGGAATTGTTGATCCACCAACACCTCTCATATGCTGATCATGGGCAATCGGGTGCTGCCTGGGATGAAATCCTCAAAAAGGTCAATGATGCAGGAGGTAAAGGCAACGAAATTGGTGTCTTAACACTCAAGCAGAGACACAAGAATCTGGTCAAGCAGTTCAAAGCAAGACAGGCCCAAGAAAAAAAATGACAGGGTCAAACAAAATCTACTCTGATCTCGATCAGCTTCTCTTTCAGCTTGTTGAATTAGTAATCTTCACGTTGTATTAGGTATATTTGTTGAATATCAATGTGTTTAATACTATAAGTTTTTAAAGGAGGCTGAAGGAGATCGGGGCAAGGCCATGAAAAAGCAATTGGCTTCTGAGGAAGAAGTTCAGAAGCAGGCAGCTGCAGATAAAGTTGTGGAGAGAGCAACTTTATTGAAGTCCAACAATCCGTTGAGAGTTGTTGAACAAAAGAAATGGACAGATAAAGTAGAGGGCAGTTCTTCTGGACATCTAGTTGGTCAATCGATGGCCGACTTTTCTGATGCCAGAGAAATGTTGAAGTCCTTTCGGGATGAATTGTCCAGTATGGTGGCTGGAATAAGTGATGGTGAGGTACTTACCTTAATGCGCAGGTTGGAGAAGAATGTCAAAAGAGGATTTCTGGCTATTGAGACAAGACAGAGAACACTGGAGCAGAAGCAGACTCTGCTAGAGGAGAGACAGGCTCGTTTCAAGTACAATATGCAGAGATACCTGCTTTAAGGTCTTAAAAAACAATAAAAATATATATATGTAAAACATGTCATAATAGTCATCAAATTTCTTCACATTACAGATAGTTTGGAGTAAAAAAATATTATTGGTTTAATAATTCATAAATGTACTGCTCTGGTGTAGGAGGAGCAACACTGTACTTTTTGCTTGTCTGGTTTCCTCCATTATAACAGACATGGAGGTTCTTCAAGAACGTTCCAACAATATAATATAGTCCCACTGGGGACTGACCACTTCTTTGGGTCTGTGAGTACTTTAAGAAAGCCCACAGACTTCTGACATGAGCAAACTTGTGCTCCACGGAAATTTGCACAGCAGACATACTTTTGTTGATAGCAAGTTCTTGCTCATCAGCCGTTTCTAAAACAGACAATATGCAAACCATAAGACTTTACCATCGAGATAGATAACTGTACAATACTTATTTCTTCTGAAAGGGATCATCATATGGTCTGATGCGGTATATGCCGGATTGCCATACAAGTAATAGCATGGACCATTTATGTTTGTAAAGTTAAATGCTATGCACATCATGGCATCCAATTGACTTTTGCGGTACATGTGCACGTCATGATTCCTACCACTGTCTGGCCCCATAATGGATGAAGTAATACCATCGGGTGTTACTACTGCTTGGTATTTCAAACCATGTCCTTGCTATAAAGAGTATATAAATTGAGTAAAGACATATGTCAGATCTATATATTCAATCTTTCACTCACGTAATGGCCATTGTATGCCCCCTCTTGATCAACAATGGGCCTTGCTATCTTGTTGAAGGTTCCATCAATAAACCCAACACAGTACATTGCCAGTGCTTTTATCTAAATAATATATAAAACGTAAGTACTATTAAACTAATATTATATTTTGTAAGTGTTATTTACATCTTTCTCTAATGGCTCGGCTGAAGCACATCAGGTTTGATTCCCGGAATTGACAGTAGTCAAATTTCAAGGCTGGATAGAACTTAATATAAATCTTCTCTATCATTTCATTGAAGATGACACTGAGAATAGACTTTCCCTTTCCAAAGAGCAGAGATAAATCTACTAAGTGAGCAAGGAAAACCATTCTGCGAAGCACAATCATCAGAGCCAGTGTCATTGGCAGAGAAAATTCACTTGGAGTGCCTTCTCAAAAGTAGACGATGTCTCCCATTTCAAGAAGAGTGGCCAAGAAGCATATCTGATTTTATAAATATATTAAATTAGTACTTTTTTTTCTTGAAAGCAATGATTTAATTATATCTCGGGCTGCGTGAATCTAAACAAAAGTTTAGAATCTTCATCAGACAAGGTGCCTGGGTCTAAGCAACCTTGACAATGCAAGGAGACAGCTATGCATTCCCCTTCCTGCTCACGGTCTCGGGCATATTGAGCAAGTGCTTCTTGAATTTCTTTATTGGTGGGCTCTTGATCTTTGTAAACATATGCATGTTCCTCTTGCTGTTCAGGAACAGATACCTATTCTCACTCTTGTTCTTCAGCAATATGCTGAGAGCTGTGATTTATGTAACGATCTGTTAGTTCAATAATAGGATCAAAACGAGACATTTTAAGATTTTGTTAAAGAAAAGGGAAAGGTGCTGCCCTTTCAAGTAACGGTAATGTTTTCGTTACTGAATATCAAGTCACAATTGGTAATAACAGCTTGTACGTTTAGTTAAAATGAATGTCCTACAATTTTATCACCACGGCAGATTTTTTCGTGTAACAATTTTGTAATTCAGCCCGTGAGTTTATGTTACCATTTTGGGAATAGCTTTTTCATTGAAGTTTCAGGTCCAAAAGAATTGCAAAATTGATAAATGCGATCGCAAAAAAAAATTGGCTGGTAAAATACGATTTTATTTATTTTTATGGGTTGAAAATATTGGGGGTAGATAATTTTAGGCTTCCCATACCTACCCTGCAGTAGCTGCTACTGTAGGGTAGGTATGCTTGCACTAGCAGCTAGAAATATTTAATAGCTATTCTGAAAATGTTTCCAGAAACAAAAGCAAGTAGAATTTTGAAAAACCCAATTGCATGTTTGAAAGCAAAAACCATATTAACGCTTTTAAAATGAAAGCAAAGAAGCTATTGGAAGAACAAGTTTCAAATCCAAGCAAAAATGTCAAACCTGCAAAAAAAACAAAGGTCATTAGTACATAGACTTTTGATGAAGATTACTATGTTTTAGATGACTTACCACATATTAATTGAATCTAAAACAAAAACAAAAACAAAAAAAAACAAAGTAAAAAAGAAGAAGACATATGTTTATGTTAGTATGGATAAAATCAGTATACGAGCAAGATTCTTTACATACCTTTTTATGTCAAGATTTCACATGCCCTATTATACTTCAATTAGATTTTATTAATCAGAACTCGTAATAGAATCACATCATTAGCAATACCTTTTAAGATCTTAATCATGTGAGAGAATCAGAGTTGATCTGTAGTATAACTAGCTAATGAGTAGCAAGATCATGTGCCATTTGTTGCCTGATCTTTAGAAAAATGAAAAGAATTGTATGAAACAAAAAAAGGCACTCAATGTTTATTTTTTGTGTCAAGCTAAACTGTAACAAATTAATGAATTTCATTGGTTTTTGAAGACCATTATACGCTTATTACTGGTTACATGAATAACACTTTTCATTGGTTCCTGAAAGAAATCGACTTGTTGTTTCAAGATGCAGAAATAAATAAATATATGGTGGTCGTCTATACTCCTTTATCACGTTAGACAATACGTTGCATCACAAAAGCTCTGTGATGCAGCGTATTATTAATTACCCAAAAAATTCTAGGGTGGTAGTTTCTGCTCCCAAAGGACCAGGTCAACACAATTTTGCCTTTGACGATATCAGAAAGACCTGCTCACTTTGTGGAAAAGATTTCGATTGCGTGTGGAATCTACGATGCCACCTTACCAAATATCATAAGTTAGCAACTCATATTGCTAACGATATTAGCCCTCAATATGCCGATAGAAATTTAGCGTCACAAAGACAGACCACGAACACTGCTGAGCCGACCACCCCTGATCACAATGACGATTCCATTAACGAAGACCTACACGTTGAATCCGATTTGGAGGATGACGACAGCAGCGATGTTGACGACATGAACAGCAATGGCGATGATAATGTTAGCGAGATTGAACTCGATGCCGGTGAAAGTATTATCGAGATGGATGAGGACACCAGCCCCTTTGAAAGTCCAAGTCCAGGCAACCACCTATACATGCATATAAGAAATAGTATGTTGTCTTCTGCATCCAATACCAGCTCATCGTTGGATGCAGATCTCGATTTACTGAGAGAAGCAACTGGATCGCATACGACATGGAACCAGTATACATCAGACACCCACCCATTCCCGGATCTCCAGTCTATGGTACTGCTTGCCTTTGTTGATGGCGATAATGACATAGTATCTCGCAGGATCTTGAAAAAGATCCTGTTTACCATAAGTCTTGTCCTTAAGCTTCACGAGGAAGCTATCCGAAAGAAGTCCCCGTTCAAGTTACCTCGTTTGGATGCCCTCTTGAACTATCAGACCAGGAAAAAGTCCAAGATTTCTGTATTTCCATCCACAAAAGTCGATATCCAGTTGCCGGAAAACAATACCACGTCTGCTTATATCAACTTGCCTTCAGACCACGTCCGGTTTCTTGCTGCCAACCCCAAGAAAGCAAGAAACATGTTTTCCCTCCCTGACCGCACTCCTAACCAGTCCATTTGTCTACAACAAGGCGAAAAGTGGAGAACACATTGGTACTATCAACAATCTATGTTCACCCACAATGGCGTAGATTTTTGGTCTGGTGATATTGTTAACTTTATGAATGGTTCTACTCCAGCCCGTTTCCTAGTAGAATCATTCCATACCATGGATAACTCAGCTGTTTTTGTTCAAGGCTACATGGTTTATATTCTGGAAGGCGGTCAGTTCATTGGCATCGAAGTTGAATCTATTAGCATAAAGCTTGAAACTCTTCTCGGTGTTGACTCGACCCCTGTTGATGTTGCCCTATGCTACAGCGTCTCACCTGGGAAAGTCTTTCATTTGATTCCCAGGCACAAGTCCTAGCTGGAAGAGCCACATTTCTTAAAACGGCACGTACTAGACGAAACCGGAAAGTTGATCGATCCAAAGTTGTTTTACAAGGTGAGGATATCGTCCATTATACTCTTCACCAACGACACCTCCGGAAACCGATCAAAGCAATATAACCCGTATGAAAGCTGGTCAATGAAGTTTGCTGCTCTCTCTTACGAAGAGAGGTCTTCAATTGAAAACATCCACTTTCTCTCTGCTATTCCCAAGAAAAAGGGGGCAAGTGGAATGTCCTTGTTGCCTAAAATCGTTGAAGATTTCAAAAGGCTTGAAAACGGACTGGTGATGTTCTCTGCCAAAGACAACGAAAACGTCTTAGTAGCATCACCACTCCTTTGGATCGAGGCAGACACTCCATGCCATTCTGAACTATGTGGTTTGCGCATGCTGACAAGTCTGTACCCATGCTGCAAATGTTATGTCCGTTTACAAAGATCCATGCCCAACCTCCAAAGCTCTTTGTATTATACTGGTAGACACACAGCAAGAACAAAGGTACACTATCTTGCTGCTGCGTCTACCTTGGGACGTGGATCGACTATTCCAGATGCTCCTTTGACTGGAAATGCTCTGACAGCAAGCGACCTATGCTTCGCAAATAGGGCAACAGATGCATTGTTGGAACTACAGTCATTTGATCCATCAACAGATACTCCAGTTGAAGTTCTGCATAACATACTTCTTGGAGTTGCTAAGTATCTAGTCAATGATTTGGTAAAGGTTGTACTAAAGAAAAATCCTAACCAAATGGCTAGATTGTCCAAAGCCCTCAAGGATTATGAAAACTCTCAAGGAATGTCAAGAAAGTTCACTCAAGAGTTACGACACTGTGGCTCATTCCTTGGGAGGGATTACAAAGTTCTTCTGCAAATTCTACCCGCTATCTTAGTTACAGAATTTGCAAATGATAGTATGCTCTCTCTCATAACTCCATCTTTTGTCGGTCTTGGCCGTCTTTGCTCCTTGGTGTTTGTTAGAGCAGTAAGGTATGATTATGATATGTATATCGACGAAGTTGAAAAGGCAGTTACAAGCCTTATCCAAGAACTGCATTATTATGTCATTACCTGTGAAATCGAAGGACATAATCCGTATTCCTTGAAGCCCAAGGTTCACCTGCTCACACATCTGCCCAACGATCTATGAAGATTTGGAACTGCTCTATACTACAACACCAAAAAAGGTGAGCAGTTTAACAAATACATCCGTGAACACCTAATGCATACCAATAGGTGAAACACCTCAAGAGATGTATGTCTCAAGTTTGCCAAGCAATCTGCAATGAGACACATCATTGATGGTAGTTCACAGGCGAGCAAAGACAAAATGAGAGAGAAGTATGATAATTCCACGGCAGAATTTCTTAAAGAAAACTTTAGCAACAATGTTAAGAATATCCTGTTTGGTGGATCAAGAGACTTTGCTGATAATAACGACACTGATGACATTACAGCAAAAGCACTCTGTGACAATACCTTTGCGGTGTTCATGCTCAAGGAGAGTAAAGACCAACATGCCCATCCATTTATTGGAAAGGTCTCCTCTTTGAGAGTAGAACACTATCGAGTTGAGAGTAGTCCCCACACTCAAGGTGACAACTACCTCCTCACGCAAAGGGTTTCCAATGATGCATCTACTCCACTCGATCAGTTGAAGATTGTATGTAAGCTTGATATGCACACAGAATTTACCAACAAGCTTGTCATCAATCTTAATAAATTTGGCTCCTACTGGTTCTTTGTTTCCTTGTTTTTGAATCGACAATATTGATTTTTTTTATCTTTATTAATAAAAAAATTATTCAATAAAAAAAATTGTGATTTTCACTAAGTCATTTTTTGGTTTTGCCAAAATATTGAGAGGGTTCATTTATGGATACTTGCCCTTTTAAAATTGCCTTATGTAATTGACAAGTCTCATAAAATGGGTCAAATTCGATATCCCAATTAATCTGGGTTATATAGACCAATCAAAATGTATGTGAATAAAATATTTCCAAATTTGATATCGAAAATCTCCCGTGGTGATGTAACAGAAATAAGCTAAATATGGCAATACAAGTTGAAAATTTGAGTTTCAAAAAAAGCTTTTTTTAGCTAATATTCTGTGCAACTCTACAAATCTGAGTCCACAAACGTCTCTACTTATTGAAACTTGCACTCTAGTGTATATCTATTTTTATGTAATACTTTTCACATTTTTTTATCTAAAAAAAAGGCTATTCTCTAGATACTATGATATTGATGAAGGTATGTATATTGCTTAACTGATTCTTTTTAACAAAGAGTATAAACCTGCTTTGTGTTAAAATTGTCATGTCTCATTCCTACTTTTGAAAAACAAGAAGATAGATTCCTTGCAATTCTGTAAATCTACCAAGATTTCTAATGAGCATGCAAGCAATCTTGACAACCAAATTGTACTTGATGCAGATATTTTTCTGTCAATTCTTCTCAGATTGCTTTCTTTTGTCAACTTTGCTAATTCGTATTTTATTAATACTAGCCTTCATAGTTATTAAGTGTGTTCCTTTTAGAGACTTTTAATAATGTTAGACCTTGTGAAAAAAAAGAAATAGAGAAATAAGAAAAAGACTTTACAGAATAAAAAAAATATTGCATTAAAAAGCAATCACAGTCATTTCTTTTTAGTGGCAAAGACTTCTTAAAGTTCAGATTAAAAATATAAGTAATTTTGTAGGCCACACTGTGATAAATGGCAGCATTTATAACTCTGTACTTGTAGATTTCTACGAGCTCATATCCATCTATAAGCTCGTAGAAATGTCGGGGAAGATTTTTGAACCAATAGAATTACTTAAAATAGAAGAAATTAGCACCACGGATGAAATTTGATATCAAATTAGAAAATTAAAAACGCATCTGTTATCTTATTGGCTTACTAAATATATTGCTTGTGTAATTTCCTTTTATACTTATAAATCAAAACTTGTGTTCTTTATAAGGGGATGCTTGCAGTACAGACATCTACAAATGTATTTCTAGTATAACAGAAGAGAACTAAAAAATGACTTAAAGAAATTGGAATGTTTTATTGAGATAAAAAAAAAGATATAAAAAATTAATAAAAGGAATAAAGGAAGGACCAGTATGAACCAAATTTGTTGAGGTTAACAACATATTTACAGCCAACTTTCAGATGCATGTCTAATAGACAAACAACCTTCAATTCATCTAGTGGTGTGTATATATCATCAGCATATTTGAGTGCTAGACAATAATTGTTGTTAACAGCATGTGCGGATGGATATTCGATATACAAATGGTATACTTTAGAAAAAAGCACCATTCCAATGATGATATGTCCATTGCTTTGTCTAAATAGAGCAAATGTATTGTCTTTTAATATCCTTCCAGGGGTCAAACCTGTACCGTTGTTGTCTACAAATTCTCTGGACCCACCGAGCAAAGTTTCATGGAATTTCCCATCAGAGTTTTGTTGCATGTATTCTGCAATAGCTTTTCCACAGGTTTCCCTTAAACCATTCTTGCCTATCCATGAACCACCATCAATAATATGTCTTGTCATATATTGTTTACCAAATTTGAGACATATATCTTTCGATATATTCATACGGTTTGTATGAAACAAGTGTTCACGAATGTGCTTGTTGAACTGCTCTCCCTTTTCGGTCTTGTAGTTAAGAGCAGGCCCAAATCTTCGTAAATCTTCAGGTAGATGGGTCAACAGATGGACTTTTGGCTTGGACGTATAGAATGCATGTTTTTTATGTTTACAGTTAGTGTCGTATTTGTGTAGGGCTTCAATTAGACTTCTAACGGCAGAGTCTACTTCACTGATATATGTCTCGTATTGACTGTCGATAGATCAAACAAATACTAGAGAGCATAGACGGCCGAGACGAACAAAGAGGGGAGTGATTTCCTGTAATACTTCTGTATCTGCAAACTTTATGGCCAGGATTACCAGAAGTATTTGGATTAGTACCTTGAAGTCTCTACCAAGAAATGAACCGGCATGGGTGAGAGACCTTGTAAATGCTCTTGATATGCCTCTGGAATTTTTGTAGTCTTTAACGTAATCAAACAGTTCTTCTAGTTCTTTTTTGTTTTTGTTCAAGACAACTTTAACCAGATCGGTGATAAGATACTTTGCAATGCCAAGGAGAATGTAGTGCAATATTTCATCAGGAGTGTCTTTTGACTGGTCATATGCTTTAAGTTCTAGCTGTTTGTCTGTTGACTTGTTTTTAAAACTTAACTCTTCTGCTGTGTTTTTATTGTCAAAGTAAGGAATATCAGGGATCACTGTATCTCTGTCTGGTGTAGAAGCGGCCTGGATATAATGATCCTTGGTTCTTGTTGGATGCCTGTTAGTATAGTATTCAACTTCGTTCAACTTGGGGATTCGACTTTGCAATTTAATGTAGCACTTTCTACAAGGGTAAGTTGAGTTGGGCGCACCTAAACCGCAAAGCTCTGAGTGACAAGGTGTATCTGCCTCAATCCAAAGTAAAGGAGATACCACAAGAACATATGCATTATCTTTTGCAGAGAACATTACCACACCGTTTTCTAGCTTCTTCAAATCATCAACAATTTCAGGTAACAACGAGGCAGCGTTTGCACCTTTCTTCTTTGGAATTGCTGATATAAATAAGATATTCTCTATGGAGCACCTTTCTTCAAAAGAGAGGGCCACATATTTCATTGACCAGCTCTTGTATGGATTAAATTGCTTAGAGGTGTTTCCAGAAGTATCATCTGAGAAAAGAATTACAGATGCAATCTTTACCTTGTAATATTTTTTTTGGTTGTTTTCTTGGTCAGTTCCGTCGCATATAAGCCTCTTCAGAAAATGTTCTTCAAGTAATTTATGATGAGTTGGAATGAGCGAGATAATTGTGTCAGGAGAGATGCTGCAACATAAGGAGGTGTTTAATGGGGTTGTGTTGACAGAGAGAAATGATTCAATATTTATGTCAGTATGATTGATTTCGATGCCAATGCTACAACCATCTTTTGGAGTTCGAACAATATATTCACAAGAGAAAACATTAGATGTATCCATTGTATAGAAAGATTCCACCAGAAAGTGAATGTTAGGCAAGCAATCTTTTAACAGAACAATGTCACCAGACCAGAAATCAATGTTGTTGTGGGTAAACATGGGCTGTTGGAAGTATGTATTTGTTCTCTATTTTTCTCCTTGTTGAAGACAGACAGATTGGTTTTGCGTGCGATCAGGTAAAGAAAAGATTGATTTTGACTTTATAGGATTGGCAGCAAGGAGTTTGATATGCTCAGAAGGCAAGTTAAGGAATGCGGTGACTTTTGTGCTGTCAGAGAGAGTAACATCTAAACTTTTCGATTTGAAAATTGGGATGTTCGATCCTTTTTGTGTCTGGTAATTCCAGAGTGCATCTAACCGGGGCAACTTGAAAGAAATATCTTTTCTAATAGCTTCTTCGTGGATCTTTAGAAGAAGATTGATGGTAAATAATATCTTCTTTAACATTCTACGAGAAATCATGTCGTTATCACTATCGACAAGTGCGAGCAAAATCATCATCTGGATATCTTTAAATGGATGAGTATTTGGTGTAAATCTGTTCCAGGTGGTAGAGTTAAACACTTCACTCTGGAATTCATCCTCTTCATCTATTGAAGATTCGTTGCTATCGGCGAAAGCAGACATGTTGTTCAAGATGTGATTAAACAGAGGAATGCCTGCGTTTGGCTCTGTGTTTTCCTCAACATCAAAATCACTATTGTCAACTCTACTTCCATCATCACTTTCTTCACACTCGTCATAATTTAAGATACTGTTGTAGTATTCATTATCAACGTCTGATTCCTCTTCCACACTTTCACTTGGTGTAAGCGGATTTTTTGGGCTGTTGCTCGTCTGTATATCTTGATATTCAGTCTCCTGGACTATGCTCATATCATCTGCAACCATTTCCATTATGTCATGGAATCTTTGCAAATGTCTTTTAAGATTCCAGTGATCTTTAAAGGTCTTCTCACGAAGTGAGCAAGACTTGCCAATGTCAACAAGACTGAAGTTGAGTTGGCCCGGAATTCTCGGAGTAGGTACTGATACTCTTCCTGGGGCAAGTTTTTTTGTTACTCTGTTCATTGTTGTTTGTAATGTAAAGGAAGTAACAACAAAAAGATAGATAGAATTAACGTGTACCCCTTAATTTTGTTCAAGTTACAACGTGTCTATTTTGTGAACAAACCAATTAAATTGCATTATTTTGCTGAGATTTTAAAAAACCAAGAAAAAATAAAAAAAAACCAAAACATTCTTTACTCTGTATTTTTTTAACACAATCAAGTTACTAATCAAACTTTTAATGCTAGTATACAATAACATGTTCTTCTCGCGAAAATCTATGGTATGATATATATGACGGCTTCTAAAAAAACAATATAAAAGATCATTTATTTTAATTGACATTTACTAATTACATTTAATCTCGAAATAGTATAAGATCCAACAATTTTTTAAGCTTATAAAGGTACGTGTGTTGACATTAAGAGTAGTCTATACAATATGAATATTAACAAAAACAAATTTATGTCTTACTCTAGGTTTATTCATTATCATCATTATCAAAGGTAAGTTATTGGAAACAACTCTTAAAGATTGCAGCCACTAATCATTCTTGTCGTCTATATAGGTTTGAAACACTTCAAGCTCAATGAAATGGAAAGGTCCTATCCATAGCTTTTTTATTTTGTAAATTGTATTGAAGTAGCTAGCTAGCTTTTTATTTATAATAATAGCTACCAGTACCAGCAGCTCCTGTCTACCCTGCAATAGCAGCCAGTACTAGGCTGGTACTGGTAGCCTAGTATTTTATGACCCCCATATTTTTAACCCACAAAATAAAAATAAAAATATTTTTTTCAAACCAAAGATTTTTTTTTGTCAGCATTCTATTTTTCAAATTTGGTCTATTTTTAAAATCGTGAAGCTTCAAAAATAGTAAATCCAAAAAAGGAAATCGAGCTACCGTCATACAAAACAGTCATTTGTAACACTAGAAAAATCTCCCGTGGTGATAACTTCAGACTTGTAGATTCTTTAGCAAATATGATTTGTGGGATTTCAGATTATTTTTGCATCTAATCCAATCAATTGCTCTAAATATGGTAAATCTATACCTTTTTAGGTACTTTAAATTTTCTTATAATTGGTCCAACAAACTTAATGTTTTATAGCAAAATATTTTTATTTTTTGACTTTATTAATAGTAAAAGTAATAAAATAAGGCTCTTCTTTAGCCTTCTCATATCTATAGCATTGCCTCTAACAAAGGGTACTAAAAAATAGTAGACGAATGATAGAATAAGTATGTAAAGAAGAAGACTATGATAATTTTAAATTAACTAATAAGTATAGTAAAAGTTTAATTTAAATTGTAAGATCAATGCCTTTATAAACTACTAGATATCGCTTTGGCCAGAAATAAAAAAGGGAATTTCGTTTAGCATTACAAGAGCTATAGCTATATCATTCTATCTATAAAATATGTGTATGTGTGCTTATCTTGTAAGGCTTTGATAAAATGTTTTGTGTTATAGGGTCTTGTTATAGATCTCTTGCTTGATATTGTTATCGCCTAAAGGCTATAGGTTATTGGTTAGTACTTTGTAAAGCCTGAAAGACTTGTCAACAATAGTAATAGTGAGAAGAAATAGAAAGAAAAGACTACAAAATAAAACACAAGTTTGCATTAAAAAAATATCAGTAGGTATGACTGTTTCTGGTATAAGCTCAGATCCAAGGTACAAAGTTCATAGGGCTTGTTTGACCCTCTAGTTGATTTTTCTTTAATCAAGCAAGTAGTTCTCTCTATTCGGAAATCAAGATGATTTCCTGGGTTGACGACAAGACTTTCATCTTCAAAATATTTCTCTAGAGCCAAAATAGGATAGAGATATTCTAAACTTGGTAAGTGCTAGATGGTGTTAAAAAATCTGCCATTTATTTCCAAAATAAGGCAGCTTGTTTCAAATACTTGTAGATTTTTTTCTACAGTGCCATATTTGTCTCTTTACTCAACCTCATAATCTGTAAGCAGTTTAGCATACGATATTCATCTAAAATGGCTTTCTGAATTTAAAATCTAAAAAATATATTTGAATTAATGCCATTCACCAGCGTATGAGGGAATTGAAAGAAAAATTACTTTTCATAGTAATTTATTTGATTCCGAATTGACAAAATTTCTAAAATAAGGGCTCTAGTTACAGAAATGAATATACTAAACGACCATACTTTAAAAAGCTCATTTTATACAACCAAAATGAAACAAATAATTAACAAAAAAATAAAAATTGGCAGGGTATTTTAGTAAATAATTAAAAGCCAGATGCTGAATAACAATCGGAATCGTATATGATGTAGCTCAATTCCCTCGATGCAATTCCCTTGACAATTCCCTTGTACACTGTTGAATGGCATAAATCTCAAAAAACAAAAAAGAGCTCAAAATGCCCTATATTTGGTATGGTTGTAGGAGTTTAAACAAAGTTGCAGGTTTTTTATTGAAAGTTGCCGTTTTTTGGAATTTACGGCAACTTTTTTTCTACAGTGTGTATATTGTAACTGAATAAAACCTCACGTCTGTCAATGAGCGGGGTTATACGATAATCCATTGTTGTAAATGAGTATTGACTACTGCTGTAATTGAGAATAAGTCTGAAGGAAATAATATAAGGCCTCAGCTATTCCAGTCAAAGGTGTCTACCGATTACTTTATTATTTAACACACAGGTTTAGCATGCATGATAGTGATTATATTTCATATGATGATATCACCATAATATGGGATACATCAGTGGATTATTATAAGCATAATTATAACTCATAAACACATTTACTTTTGATGTTAATACTTCATTGGGACTACACACATTTATATAATTAATCATACATTAATTATCCCAAGATCACGTTGCTCTGATTAAGGCTCAGATAGGATCGATTACCTGACCCCAGTCATATAATTTTCCCAATCCAAAACAATATAAATAGCAGTAGTAGTTCAGTGTAGGAACCTCGTCAAACTTTGATACAAAATCTTTCTCAATAAACAAAACCTACACAAGTTCTCACGAATCTTCGTTCCTAATTTCAAATCTTCAATTCTTCCTCTTAAAAACTTCTTCAACTTCAACCACCACAACATCCATAACAGGCAGGAGGTGAAAAAGTTGTAGGCGAAAAACACCCACCTGGGCAACCTCCTGAGTGGCCCCCCAGTGAACCCCCGGCAGACCCTCTTTTTTTCCCGTAGTATATCTGTAGCTAGCCCATCTAGTCTTTTCTTTGCTTTGGTTTTAGACAAGACAACAGTGTTTTTATTTGTATTGATTGAATGTGGAGCAGCACTTATAGCAATTGGCTGCTGGCCAAAAATAGTAGTTAATGGAGTAGAGATAGAGAAGGAAAAGGTTGACATTGATGAACCAGTAGAAAGAACAGGAAAGATAGGCAGTTTAGACAAGCTGATATTGGTATTTGTGCTTTGAGAAGCATTGTTGATAGGCATGAGTAATTGCGTTTGTGAATTTAAACACTATTATTATATCATAATAGAAATTATATTCTTAGATTGTTGCTGTGTCATATTCATCCGAAGGAAATGCTGCTGTTCACTTTGCTCAATAATAGTGTTGAAAGAGGTTTCGATTTTGCTTTAAATCGTTTGTATTATTGTTATTGTAAACACATAATTCAATGGTTTACTTCTGTCACTCAGTTAGTTATTTCTTTGTTTGTATTAGCAGTTTTAGGGACAGGGCTTTCATACTTCTCTAGTCCATCAGCTGAAGAACCAGTTATAACAGCTACAATATCATCCTTAAATATTTTAAAGTCTTTTCTTGAGAATGGAGTACTTCTAGTATTAAACATTTGTTTACCCTATTCAAATACAAATAGACTGCTTCATTTTGTAAAATAGCTCTTCTGAATCTGATCAAAAGTTATAAAAATCATTTCACTGTGGTATTAATATTGCTTTAAACTGCTCACGGTTTCCCCTTTTATTTCTTTACTTTCAGCTACATTCTTCTATTCTCTTTCACAAATTCTGCAGGACAGGCCTCTTTATTTATCTTCAAATTAACAAATTTCTTATCTTCATTTTCGTTTTCATCAGTTTTGTTCATCTCCTTCTCACAGACAGTTACCTGCTCTACATTTCCAGCACCAAAATAGTTTTCAATCCATAAAAAGGTCATTTTTTATGTAATTTCATTGGCTGTAGAATATTCTTTATTTCTAACAAAAAGAACTTTTCCCAAAATCCAGTCATATCTCTTACAAAAGGGTATGGAAGTTTATCCAAGTAATGGGTTTCCAAAAGGCCAAGACGATTCTTCCATTATCTTTCTTGTTTGATCAAATAAAAGAGTATCATTAAACCCTAAGCCTCCATTGATCCAGCATAACAACTACCATATGTTGCTTACGTAGTATAAAATGTTTTATCTGCAAGTGCCTTTTTTGCTATTTTCTATTGAAAAGCGCAGGTTAAACTCTTCTCGGAGCTGGTGTGTCCACACAATACCTTCCAGTTCTGCCATCCGTCTTTGTTCAATAAATTACTACTGGTATATTATCTCAATCAAGAAAGTTAGCATTCATTTAAAGATGTTGCCTTTTTTTGGTTGGTCAATATACTTGAAGCAAACTGAACATGACAATGACAAAGGCACCAAAAAGACATCTGAATATATTTTCATGGCGCAAGGCACATGCAAATTCGATATCGCCTTCATTCAGAGTCTTGCCCTTTTCTAGACTAAAGTCCAAAGCAAGAGCCTGTTGCACTCCTTTGTGCTGTTTCTTTGGAATGGCTGTACAAAAGCGATTCGCAAAGTTAAGATTTCTCAATTTTTGATCCCAGAACAACATATGGTGGCTGGAAGAGATAGAGTACGTATCGAGGAATTCTGACTCGCTGTCAGAAGTCCAAAGGCTCTTCAGAACTCTGATAATTTTTCCAGACTTGTAAGAATCCCGAATCATAAAATGGGCCACGCTATCCACGTTTGTTTGCACTTGGCCGTAAACAAGATAGCGCTCATATTTCTTGCTTAATTCAATCACTTTTTTATTCTTCTTGGGAGATAGCCATCCAACTTCTCGAGACTCAGGCAGAAATTCATGCAAGAACATCGACTTTCTTGTTTTGATTAACGGCTTTAATATCCCAAGGAACTTTGATGATTATCTTACTACCGTTCTTGTTAGAATAAGCATTCTTTGCAACTATAAAAAAATGAATTGACGATTAAGTATAATTGACGGATTTTTCTATGTATCTCATACAATTTTGTATTACTTTGGAGCAAGGTTTATTGTCTTTCCTCATTATCTTCGGCTCGTAAGCCAATCTGTGCTTTAATATCAGTTTCTGTTGAAACACTTTTTATGTTGGTTCGCTTGAACACAAACTCTTTGAAGAAGGCGATAACGAATTCAGTAGGTCCAACGGTGTATGAGTACTGAGGATCAACAGGCTATTTGCGTTTGGGGGTTTGGTTTTTTTTTTAAAAAAAAGTCCTTCATTATAATCAACATTAAAAAGGTGAGTACAATCAAGACAGTATAGGTTATTATTATTATTATGCTTTGAGACATATCTTCCGATACTCTAAGGGAATTATGTAAATTTCTGCAGTGCTAGCACGTACTTTCATTGGCAAAGCCTTGAGTGCAAGATGAAACTCGGGCTGATTGATTGACGAGCGACTCTGAGAAGCAACAAAGGCATTTGAGCCAACGAAAGTGGACTAATTTTTGTGGATCTGGACGATTCAGCTGTTGAATTTTCAACCAGCATAATTTTTTTTGCTGGTCGGTCCCTACGGGCTTTCTTGTGCATCTCTTCAGAGGTTGCAACCATACTAGTAGGCTCTAAAGATATATCGATAATATTGGTATGATTTTTTTCTGCATAAAATATATTGCCTATTTTATTTGCTCCTAAATTTAGCTGAAAATCTTGATTTAGTGCTGCTCGAGTAAACGCTCTGGTTCTTCTTCATCAAGCTCGCCAACGAATCATTTTCTTAAAAGCTCTGATATTAGTAGGCAAGGGCAACATAAGAAATGAGTTTTTGAAAGAAAAAGTTTTTTGTTTTGTTTTAAAAGTTAATCAAGCTGTCGGCAAACCAGTACTTTGTACTCGCAAGTTGATAATACTGCAAAGCTCCAGAAGAATCAACGATATTCTCAATCAATTCGCCACTACCATACTTGGAAATTTTTGAGCGAAAATAAAGATATTTCATTGGAGGATTTCATTTTTTATTTCCAAAAGTAAAATAAAATGAGCTACTATGCTGTGTTCTGCTTATCCCCTCCCCTCCCCCTGAAAAATAGGATAATTTTACAAAACACATACACACATATGTATATATTTACAATTAAGAGAATATGTGCATATATCCAATAGGCCTATGTGTACAAACAATAAAGAAAGAAAGAGTTTTGAATGTCCTGTAAGCTTACTGTTCTAAAAAGTGTTGCATTAAGGTTGATATTCATAAACCAAAAAAAAAGGCCATGAGAATGACAGATTTTACATGTAATATTATTGTACTCTACTGCACTCTACTGTACTGTATAATATAGATTTTTTTTTATAAATAACCATCACACTCTAAAAGAAAAGAAGATTGTACTTTTATATTTTACAGACCTTTGCTAGTGTTAAGATGATGATAAGGTTATGTATTTTAATCACAGTTGGTGTTTGTATTATTGTGTTTTATATATTGGGTTAGTTGATTAGCTTCCAAATGAAGGATCTCAAGATCAATTATGGTGAATGATTCCAAATGATCCTCAAACTATGCGTCATCAATAATCTACATGATGAGATTACCAAAGTAAAACAAAGTAAAACAAAGCAAAAGGATATTCTAGACTAGAAACAATAAGGAGTCAAGACATATTGTATGTGTGTGTGTGTGTGTGTATAGTGCATTAAATACACTAATTTTTTTTTATCTATAAAAGAATTAAATTAGATTGGTCTGGAATAATTGGTCTATTGGTAGTAGCTAATGAGGGGGAGGTCATTTGTAGATAAATGGTATGAAGCAAAAGAAGGAAGAAGGAAAGAGAGAAGGAAGGAAGGATGATAATACCAATGATAATAGATAAGCAAAGGATGTATGGTGATCTCATCATTAGAACAAAGACGACACAGTGCGGATTGTTTTGCTTATTTGTTTTTTTATACTTTATTTTTATTTTATCTTATTTTAATTGTGACATCAAATGAGTTCCTACCCCTCGTTTTATTTATTATCACAATCTTTACTATTGATATTAAGATTATGAAGATTTTCAATATAGCTTTTTGAGTGTAGCAAAGACCGATTTATTTTATATTGAATTTAAAAGTAAAAAGATCGGGTGAGTGAATGGAGATTGATCATTAAACTATATGGTTCCTGGCCAAGTAACGATCATGGTACAAGAAAGTATTTTTTCAATAACACACTTGTTCATTCATTCATATTTCAATTGTGTGCAGTGAGAGTAATGGAGAGAGGGAGTTTCAAGAGTATCTGATCTTTACAAATAAGAAAGATGTATCATGATCTTATTAAAGATCTACTAGTCCCAAAAAATAGATTGCAACATTAGATTTACCTTGTTGACAAAATTGTACACTTTATCTGTATTTCTTTTCACTTTATAATAAAGACATGCACTCTTATATACATAAATATATATGTCTCAATTAGCTGGAATGATAGTAGAAACAACAACAGCAAGAAGAAGAGTATTAATAAAAGGTGCCTTTAATATGTGTATATAAAAAATAATAATTTGTAGCTTAAAATGAACTTGGAACCGCGGTTAAACATAAGCTAGGCGCCTATTCCATAAGGAGGACTTTGTGACATTTTAGTTGCTAGGTGATGATGTGACATTTAAATAAGTGCTGCAAGATCTTTATTTATTTATTTATTTTATATTACTCTATTGCTTATATGTATATGTATATATATATAGAAGACTTAATAGGAAACTCAATAATCATATGAATCAGTGTCTAACGCAGAACAGAGGGATTGACGTCGTTAATAATATTAGAATAGAGGCTTTCAACCAAACCCTATATTTCTCTACTTTATTTTTATTTTCCTTCTTATAACCTTTTCCTGTACATCCCTTTTTTTTTAATTTTTTTTTATGATATACATCTTGTACTTTTTTGATGAGTTACGTAGAAAATAAACCCCTCTTTTCAGGTAAACCTTTTTTTTATTGTTATTAAATATAAATACAGATATTTGACATCTTTATTTTTCATCTCATTATCTTGTATACACACTTGTTGCTTTTGTTTATTTTATTCCTTAGATATACCTTCTGTCCTTTTATCAAATCTATCACTGCACCACTGTATCCCTGCTTTTGAGACAAACAAGATCAACATCTTTAGATTCCTAAATATGACAGACCCAGTCGAATTCTCTTCTATTGGAATAAACCCTCACGACTCGCACAAGCTATCTCTGTTTGTCAAAGCATTTCAGGACAGCCGAAGAGACGCCGGCTACACACCAAAATCAACCAGACGCTCCTTTTCATCTTCCACGTCTTCACAGTACTCAGCATCCGAGTCTGGGTCTCGATCCTCAACACAATCAACCTTTTTGCCACTCGAGAATGAATGGCTCAAAGACAACCTACACGAGACCAGCCCTTTTCTTGATGCATACGAAAGTCAGGAGGGGAAGCAGGATCTCCTGCGGGCCGTAACCGAGCTAGAGTACATGATCAAAGATCCTCAGACCAAATCTCCCACAGACACTACTACAAATACTGGTCCAACCCTTACTCTTACTCCCACAATGTTATCACTCAAGGACATTTGTAGCAGTAACAAGAGCTCGTCAACTCAATTGTCAGCCATATCTGCGTTTAGTGCGACAACCATGGTAGCACTTCCAGAAGAAGAGACAGACGAAGCTAATGAAACGCGCGAATGTATCGATGACCATAAACAAAACACGCGTGTGGTCCAGAACATGCAGTCACCCTCATTAAACACCAATCATTCCTTCCATCTTCTTCCTCTTCGTCTTCCTCTTCCTCTTACTCCTCCTCCTCTTTATGATACCAACTCAGCAGAACCAACATTCAACCCAGCCTTATTGTCCCCCTCGTCATGTCTGAGACTCGAAGGTCCAGCTGGAATAGCCGTACCCCGGCCACGGAAACAATTGTCACCAAGTGTGTCACCACGGCCGGTGTCAATGCCCGCCTATTTACATCCTAACTCTCGTATTCCATCAACTGCCAACAATGCCAGCGGTGGTGGCGGTAATCGGACACAATACAACACATTATCTTTACCCCCTCCACCCGACTATCTGGAATCAACATTGGGTGGCTGGGGTCGAAACAAAGGCCTGATACTTCCCAGAGAAGAAGAAGGTCGAGAGGAATTACCACCCTACATATGCACAGTCTACAAGATTGGCTATGTTAGTATCAAATTCGAAAAAGACAATCCTGACACAAAAAGTCGATGGAGACTCTGGAGGTAAAATATCAATATCAATATATCTTTTCCCCTTTTATAGATAAGTATATAGCATGTCACACACACACATAAAATACACAAAATACATAATACACTAGTCAATAGCTCTACGGAAACACTTTTACCCGTTCAAAGATATATATATATACAAAAAAAAATTTTTTTGCTGATAAAGCTTAATATTGATCTAGGAACCTCTATGTGGAACTTTGGGGAACAGCCCTACGTATTTATCGATCAGAGCCAAGTGACTCTGCTAGCGGACTCAGACTTTCGCGACTACCATCCTTAGTGCCCTGGAGCAGATACACATCCGTTCCACTCTTGACCCTATCATTAGCAGGCGCAGAGGCTACTCGCGCTTTGGATTATACCAAAAAACCCAATGTGTTACGTCTCACTGTTCCAAACGGACCTCAACTTTTATTTAAACAAGACACAACGATAGAAATGATATCATGGATTGAACATCTTCAAGCATGTAAGTTACACCTCTTTCTTTATATACATTTGATATTAAATATATGTATATTGTTTAGCAATCAATATTTCTCTGGATCTTGAACACAGACCAATGCCCAAGTTTGTAACTTTGTATGTTCGAGGATCAAATGAACCGACTTTGGCAGCTCGTACCATTGAGCTTGAAAGAGCACGCGAGATCAGGCGGAATGCTCAAGAGGAAGTTCTCATTTGAGTCTATTTTCTATATATACACTTACTTTCACTATCGCCTTCACCCTATCAAATCAAATCAAGTCAAATCACAGATCCAATTGTAAATTCGGCACTGTACATATATATATATATATATATATTACACACACACACACAGCCACACACAACACACAACAAACATATACATATAAATACATATATCTATATCTTTTCTATGTAAATATCCTTTTTTTTATATATATTTTATTATACATATACATATACATATTTAAATTTTGTAATAAAATAACAAACCTACATATATCTTATCTATATCTTTAAAGAGAGAATATATTTACTATTGTTCAAAAAGGTAATTAAAATGACACATCAGCCAAAAATGTATATATATAAAAAAAAGATCTAGAGATATTGTCAATAGACCAAAAAGAGATAAGAGTAAGAAAAAGTGGGCTATCAAACCAATGGTTGTTTCATATCTCCCAAGATGTTTCGCAGCTCATAATGGTAATGATTACCAAAATATACATACACTTTTTACATATAATACACGTGCTTGACAAAACACATAAATCCTCAAAAGAACATCATTCTAATCTAACACTCATTTATTCATTACAGCTCTTAACGTACCAATACGATCATATCTTATTTATATGTCTGTGTATTACATGCCTTTTGGCTTGGCACCAAGAACGAATCTAATAGGTGCTTTTGATACTTTTAGGTTTCATGTCTTTCTATCTTTCTATCTATCTATCGCTTTATTTTATTTTATTTTTTAACCAAAAACAGGTATTGTCCCTTTGGTACCTTGTACAACTACACACTTGTATAAAAGCTTAAACTGATGAGGATTAATGTATGTGTGTTTATAACTTTATTCAAGTGTAATTATGGACCCAAAGAATTGTAGCCAGTTCTTCTTATAAACACTCAAAAGAAAAAGAAAATAATAGCCAATACAACCCGAGTTATACATGGATTTTTTTAAGCACCAAAATAATGTACATATATATATATATATATAATAGAAAGCACAAAATAATAGTATGAATTCACAATAGACTTCTTACATGTGAATATTTAATACTGTAATTGAAATTACAATTTGTAACAAAGAATAGCCCTGCTCTTGCTCTTGGTTCTGTGGATAGTATGACTGTCTGAGCTTGACCAATTGTCTATTTTTCTCTTTTATACTTTATTGTTCAAATCTAACCATTAACAACCATTAACAACCATTACCCACTTATGAGCAAATGAATACACGTTTAATGAGCAACCAATTAGTATTACGCATTTATATGTATATTCATATTCATATTCATATTCATATATTTCACAGACACATACAAAGAGATACATATATATATATGTGAGTGAGTGAGTGAGTGAGTGAGTGTGTGGGTGTGTATTATAAGTGCATACAGCTTGTATAAAGTCTATTATTTAAATATATTATTGTTATTGTTATTGTTATTGTAATTATTGTAATTGCTATCAAAGACTGGCGTATGTATGTATGTATGTATGTGTTTTGTTTTTACTAGACTTATTTCTTAAGAGAGCTTCCGCTTTTAAAAATAAAAGCTTTGGCAGAACCACAACGTAAATTGACATATCCTAGAGGAAGGTCATGTTTCCACTTATCTCTGTTACTATGGTGTTTCCATATCGCACATCCTTTGCACATCGGGCTTTCCACAACATGGCTCTCACACAGAGGGTCGTGCACAAATGTCCTAAAATAGTTCTTTGTGTATTCAATCTCTTCTCCCACAAGTTTCTGCCAAGTATACAATGGTGAAAACTTGTTAGCAGCAAAACATTGATAGAACCAGTCTGCCTTCCCTTTGGGTGGATCATTCATCAGCCAATTCCTATTAACCTCAAGCCCGGTCGAATTCTGGTGTGGACTCTCTTGGGCAAACGACACAAGCCGGACCCGGTTTCGCTCGCTGCATGTCCTGTAGCTACTCGATCTGTAAAAGTGTATGTTCTCAAGCTTCAAGACCTCAAAATGACTATAAGGCATGTATATCCGAAAGTTCCCTGTCAGAGCAGATATCTGCTCAGACACCCGCAGACCACACAGATCCAACGTTTGTAAATCTCGACAGCGCCAGGACACATAATTGAACAGAGTCGCACTGGCCTTTGCACCCGAGATCCGCAGAAACCGGAGATCATGTGGCTGGAGTTGCTCTGAGCTATCTGGACTTATACTCAGCACATTCACAGCCACATCGAGCTTTTTTAAAACCGGACACAGATCGAGAATGATGTCCAATTCGAGTTCCAATGACAACAGCCTCAGCTTCAACTCTACCAGCCGAGGACATGGCAAAAATGACCTTGAGATCACCAGTTGGTCATTGAGGTTGGCGGTGATATCCAGAGTCAGGGTCTCGAGAGACATTCCAAAGCATCTCATCAGCTTCTTAATAAACTCGGCTGTATAGTACACCTTGCTGTATGTCGTGTCCATCGAATACGTAAAGTCTTTCAAGAGCGCATTCTGGCTCAAAAGGATCTTTAGGAACACTTGGTGGAGTCGGACTTGTTCACTGTCGCACTCAATCGTGACCTTTTCTAGTCGTTGGAATGCATTTCTCAAAACTGAAATCTTCTTTGATACCGTGTCCTCAAAGGTTGGTCTTTCGATATCCTGATCCCCGGCTGACCACTTCATCAGGCTTATGTTGGGGTACTTGTGGGCACAGTAGTAAAGCCATTCGGATGTCGCATAGGTGCTGTCGAATTCCAGAAAGGTCAGTGCTTTTGCTGGCACGACATTTTTGATCCAGTCCATGTCTTGTGTGGATATCTGTCGGAGCTCGGTGTTTATGGATAGTTTCTCGAGCCGCGGTAGGTAAGAGTGTGTGGTTTCCATGTCTTGGATACTAAAAGAAGAAGACGTGAATAGATACCGCTCCCCGAGACTTAGTTGTGTAAGGTTTGGCAGATAGGAAAGGATTTCGAGAACTTCTTTGGTGCTAAAGTCAGTCGATGGCACATGGAAATCTAGTTTCGTCAGACATTTCCACAGTCCCCAATGCATATTCTTAATGCTACAGGTCCTGATCAGGCTCTCGTCATCAACCCAAAGTCGGTCAATGAAGGTTAGGTGTTGCTGCAGTAAGTGAAGTTGTGCGTTGCTCGCGCCGATATAAGGACGTAGTGCGAGTTGTTTGACTAAACGGGCAGGACTTTTCTGGGCAGGTGTGATGGTGGAGAGAGAGCTGCAGAAGGCTTCTAGCTGTATTTCAGAATGTATCTTGACTTTTCTCCATAGTGATTCAGTAAAAGGGGTTCGCCACGCTCGACAGACAAGAGCGCATTGGTATTTGTCTTTGGTGTTCAATTGGCCTGATATGTTGGTGATGATTTCAAAGGGTAGCCGAAAGACAGGCATGTGGGGTAATGAAGAATCGTAGAAAACTAGATACTTAAATAAGTGAAAATGAAATGAAATCCAAAAATAAAAAGTATTGATAGAAAATTAATTTATTATTATTCCTATTATTATTTTTTTATCAGTCTCACAAATTGGACACAATATATGAAAAGGAAAGGGGATGGTAGTGCAGGTCTACTGGTTTGAATTTCTTTGGCTTCTCTGTTTCTTTCTTGATTATTTGAGTAACAGCCTATCGATTATAGAGAAAATCATTCAATTCACAGGCTTACTGGCCAGAATGTCTTTCTTGTTTTGTTTTCTGAAGAATGTTCACAGGTAAATAAAAAGGTATATGACCTCCTGTTCATTCAAAGGTACAAGAAATCAACTGTTTATCCGCCGAATTATATATTAAAGAAACACTTGGACTTTTGGATTACCGTCAACCATCATTGTACTGTACCGCATTCTATTCTGTTCTATTTTCTTCTATTTTCTTCTATTCAATTGCTTATTTCTTCACATCTTTATTGTTTATATATATATATATATATAAATTTTGCCTGTTTCAAAAAATAAAGAAACAGCAAGTAATTTTTTGAAACCAAATGCATATATTAAACATTTTAAATTAATTATCAAATTTTACATTAATTCTTTTTGTCAATTTCTTTGAGCCATTTGCTTTGCTTTCCTTTGCGTTTATACATTATATTGTATTGTACGTTAAGCATATGTCACCTATTTGACGTTAAATTACCAATTGTATACTTACCACGTTCTTTCCAACGGCTGAGAATATTAAGTTTTTGTTCTATTGCTTTTCTGCGGTATTCTAAAGAAAAGCACTACAAGAAATAAGGGGGGAGAGGGGGATAATTAACCAAAAAAAAATACCCCCAAAAAAAGACAATAAGAAAGAGAGATAGACAGAGAGGTAGGCAGATGATTTATTATTTGATTAGATCTTTTTAGATGATTCCCACACATATATACTTCATATATCGGGATAATAGGTCAACAGATCCAAAGGGCCCTTTACTTTCGATTGGTAATTCAATACACACATGGAGTTACTTATAAAGGTAGATTAAAGAGGTTAAAAGAGCATAGTCGACAAGAGTTATAGATATTGTTTTGGGATAAAAGGCAGGAGGGCGAATATTTCAACCGAAAGAAATAGCGTGAAGATCGTGCTGGTTGTGATATACCCGTCCTTCTTTGTTCTCGATAGATTGGTATTCTTCTCGCTCCCTGAATTACAAGGAGACTATAGGAAAGAAACAAATCGTATATCGCATATTATATAGAAGATATGTGATTTTATGTACTTCTCTTATTCTTTAAAAACTACTCTCGACCATGTTTGTACCTATTATCTTATCTCAACATCTTTCTTACCTTCAAGTACAGAATATGAATTCCCCCAAAAAAAACAGTAGACGTCGTTTATTTTATTTTATTTACTAATAGCCACCATTTGTTCTAACTTATTAAAGGAATAATATCAGGTTCTTTGTATTATTTCGTACTGCTATATATAATTAATGCCATATTTTTTCACAGTCAAATGTTAACGAGTAAATATTTAATATACACTCTTATTCTAAACGACAAAGAACATAAACGATAATAGAATTATTATTATTATTTTTTTAAAAAAAAAGTATCCGCCAAATAGAACACACGAGGATAACTACCATATTTCACATCAGATACCACTCTTGGGGTTTTGTGTGTTCCCATATGCTTGACTATATGGTCGTCACAAATTCCTCTAGTGCTCAGAGAGTATAGCTTAAGAAATTGAAACTTAATCTATTGCTTGAATAATGTTTAGCGCTTAAAAGTTCAATTTTTTGGGAAACACAAAACAAACAAAAAAAAATGGCCAGGAATTTTTATCTATTGTTTATTCAAAAGGAAGATAGCTCTTGCAAATATTTTCAAACTACTCAATAAATGAAGGTCCAGATTAACAGTGATTCATAGCATACACATAAATTAAAAACATTAGCAGGTTAGTATCAATCACAGCCCAAAATAACTCTAGTATATGTTTTAATAAAAACAGAAAACGAAGAAAACGAAGAACAAAAGGTGCAATGACTAATAATGATAGCCATCGATAGGTTCCAGACCAGAAAACATAGAGTCTTAAATATATCATACATACCTTTTGATAGTCTTCAAAGAAACAACAACAAATAAAGCTGCAGTATATGCACCGAATATTGGCACTAAAAAAATACTCTGTACAATAACAGAGTGTATATGTGAATATGCATATGCACATTTAGCAGTTGGAACTTGGTTTAAGGTATTACCTAATTCAGAAAATCTAGCGATGTTATACTAAATAGCAAACTAATGATAATAATAATAATAATGAATAATAGCCTTTAGTTTTTGAACAGTTTTACACACGCACACACAGATATATATATATATATATGTGCTGTATCTTGATAAGTTAATACCAGTGAACGGTAACAGCAAAGTGAGCTCAACCAGATAAATAATGTAAATATTTTTAAAGAGAAAACATGTAATTGTATCAAAGTCTTGCGATTGCATCCTTCCCAATCTTCCATTTGCTTTTCCCAGCATGCACCAACGGTAGGATAAACTCTTCGTAACCGTCAATAACCTCCGATCGATTGAGAGGTTCTTTTTCCGTCATTTCAGCCATTCTCTCATAAACCCGCCCCTCGTTCTCTCCTAAAGCAGAGTTTAGCAAGTAATCCGGAAGGGCAAACGCATCCACAAGAGCCACAGCCTCAGGGCGGATATCTTTTAATGTCTTGATAGTCTGCTGGCGAACCAAGAGCGACTGGGAAGGCGAAAGATATCCAGAAGTAAGAAAGTCTGCAACTTCTTGCTCCATCGTGGATAAACAGAACAAGAGTGCAACCTTCTGCATGACTGACTGATTGATAAGATCAGCCGTGTCGTCTGGAGGCCCTCCGAAAACAGCTCCGAGAAAATTAGACACCATGACAAGCTGACAATGTGCACGAGATATACGATAAATGTCCACAAGCATCTCGTTCCATGTACAATGCTCTTGATCGAGTGAGTATACCGCTCTTTCGACCAAGAAAGCCGATCGAAATTTGAAGGCCGAAAGAAGGGTTTCTGGGTTAAATGGGCCATCCAGAACCGGGCAGCGCGCACCAGGATTGGCAAGATATTCTTCAAGATAGCTAGTAGAGAAGTTGGTCTCGGTTTTTGAAACGTTATTAGCTATCAGTGACCGGAAGCTCTTGAGAAGATATCTTGTAGTTTGTTGAGTTAGCAAATAGTTGTCTCCCTCCCACTAGACCGGATCATAAGAAGAACAAAATGTAATAAAAGGTGTTATTATTTTCCATTTCGATTTAGTGGCTAGTACCCAAAATATCCAAAACTAAAACTTACAGTCGCTTTGGGTAAATAATCTTGATAAAATTGCCCAAGACCAGAGAATAACGAGTATCCATGACCACCACAAGCACGTCTACATTCTTCAATAGCAGCAACAGCCATTGTTGTCGTTAGACTCTTGAGGCCTGAAGACGATGCATGGAGATCGGCAAGATAAGAGAAATCGCCTTTAGCCATCTTGATTTGGTTTTCATTGTAAGCTCTGTGCATCTCTTTGCCAGTGAAATGACAGGCATATGCTTGTGCAATTATAGGAAATAAACGGTATTGTTGGATTGTGTAATCGAGCACAGGAGTTTCAACGGTCTTTGACCCAATAGACGTCTCGATTTGCTTAGGGTTGCTTGCATCCGAGCCCTGTGATCTGATGGCCGAGTAGCGAATGGCAACAGTGGCAGCTCTTGCTAATACGTAACGGGATTCTACAAGAATATGGTTTGAATAAATACTATTACCACTACCACCAGGAAGCAATATCTCAACTAACCCAGTACAATATTGGCACGGACATAGACCATGGTTCCATATGTAAGTTTACTGTTCGGGGGTTTTATGTAGTTTCCAGTGCGCTGCTCAATCCGAGCGTATCTAGCCAGCATAGCAATATGTGGCACTCTCACTTTATCAAACAGGATAAAGCCATTGTCAACTGTGTTGAAGCCGAATTTGGGACCAATGTCACCAACGATAATTCCAGGTAGAGGGCGATGGTCGGTAAGGTTGCGGATTTGGATGATAAAAGGATGTGGACCAAAATCTTTTCCCTGGGTGATGAGTCGAGCCATAACAATAGCATGGTTAGCTGCTACACCAAGTCCACCAATCCACCACTTTGATGCTGTTAACGTAGGCGAGCTCAGGACAAATGTTTGAGTTTCTATATCATATGTTGCTGTTGTCTCCAGTCCACGAACATTGGATCCATGACCAAGCTAAAGTAGATAGTAAGTATATATATATATTTTATTTAGTGATTATATATATTGTATACCTCTGTTTGCGCATAGCATCCAATTATCTCATACCGTCTGGCAGCATCAAGATAAAGTGACTTTTGCTCTTCTGTGCCCTGATTTTCAATAGTGGGCATAAACATACTTCTGTGTAAACGAAACTATAGGGATTGTTAATGCTTGAGTTTATTCACATATATATATATACCATAGAGCTGAGCAGGATTAACTTACAGGTCCAGATTCATCAAACAATACATCAGCAATTGCTAAATCTTCTGCACTCCAGCTATGAATCCTTTAAGAGCGCATTCATATAAAAAAAGAAACAGAAAAGAAACAAAAAACAAGACATTAGTGACACCGATAATATATAAAAATCCCAGTACCCGGAAATACTCACTTTACTAGCTCCGCAAGTCTTTTTGAAGCTGCTAATGACTTATTGAATCGCACATCACGACCAGTGTAATAGCGATGAGACTTGTCGCTCAGCACAGGATCCTTTAGAAGAATAGAGAGAACGCGGTCATGTCGTTCAAGATACTCTTTCCCGTAGATCGCTGTTGTGAGATTAGGAACATTCAATGTTGCATTCGCACGTTCTTCAGCTAATAGGCTTGGGCCCTGAGGCTCAAGTGGCTTCAAGTGGCGAGGAAACTGGACAGGAGGCATCAATTATGAAAATACAAAAGGTGTGTACGCAAGGACCTCCTTATGTCTAAAGAGGAAGTTTCCCCACATTTCCAGACTCACTCTATAAAAAGAAGAAACTCGTATTCTTGCTTACGCGACTCCAACTCACGGGGCAACTTTTACCCTGGATTTCTTACTTGTATGCTATTGTGTGTGTGTGTGTGAACATAGGAAAACGAATTTGGTTTACTTTATTGAATTTTATTTTATTTCCTAGAGGGTATTAAATCTATCATAATTATACTACAAATAGAATAATCCACAAGAAAACCCTTGCTTTGGGTACAGAGTTTTGTTAATTGTCCCACGCAATGCAAATACCCCACAAATCAAGCTTGGTTTTAAAATTTACTTATTTATAAGAAAAAGAATTAGTAATTCCTAAAGTATTTTTTTTGGACTTCATTCCTTTACAATGACAGAAGTATTAGTTCCTTTACCTACATTCGGTCGTCTTTCAGAACGTGTTTGGAGAGTGCTTGGGCTTAATCCCGGAAAGTTTACTTTGCAGGGTAACTAAATCTTGGCCATTACATTCCTGGAATCATTTTCAACGTTTTTCTTATCTTCTATCTTTTCATATATATATATATATTCTATAGGTACCAACACTTACCTTGTTGGTAAAGGTCCTCAAAAGATACTTGTTGACAGTGGCCAGGGAATACCAAAATACATTGATCTGCTCGAGGACTCTTTGAAGAGTATCTCTCCTGATGCTTACATATCCGATGTTCTTCTAACCCATGGTCACCACGACCACTGTGGAGGTGTAAATGACTTACTATCGTCTTCTATCAACAAAAAGCACCCAATCAGATTTCACAAATATCCTCTTCCATTGGGAGCTGACAAAACATCTACGTCAGATCTTTCCTCGTTTACCATATATCCATTGACCAATAACCAAATATTCAAAGCCGAGTCAGCAACTCTCAAGGTCATACATACCCCCGGCCATACCAAAGATCACTGCACACTTTGGCTAGAAGAAGAAAAAAGTTTATTTAGTGCGGATTGTGCACTTGGGCAAGGCACAGCTGTATTTGAAGACCTGAGTGAGTATATATGTGGCCTAAAATATCTTGCTACGCTGAAGCCTATCCAGCTTTATCCGGGCCATGGACCTGTGGTTAAAGATGGCGTGAAAAAAATCAATGAGTTAATACAACACCGGCAAGAACGTGAAAATCAAATTGTTAGCTTGCTCAAATCGGATCAAACGAAAAACTGGACGGCCTTTGACATAGTTGGTGTGCTTTATAAAGACTATCCAGAGTCATTACACCTTCCAGCAGTACGGGGCATTTTACTTCACCTAGAAAAGCTTAGGGACGAAAACAAAGTAAAGTTATCTAATGAGTCTACTTCTGAAACAGATATATCAAAATTAGCCCGCAATGAGTGGGTCCTTGTAAAGTGAGATTTATAAGCACATATACCATGTACTCCATAAAGAAACACACAAAATTGGGAAATGTAATATTTATATCAAGACTTATTCCAATGAATAAATAAAAAGCTGACAAAAAAACTCTACATTCTACTCTTCATCTTCGCCCTCCTCTTCATCTTCATCGTCATCCTCCTCATCTTCTGGAGAGCCCTCCAGCATAGAAACCATTGCAGCGAGCTCTTTGTTTTCTATAGACAGTTATCCGATAAGTTTCATTTTTTGTTTAATACAGTCGCTTATTCCTTACCAGGATTGAGCTCTAATGCCTTTTTATATGTATCTACTGCCTCGCCAAACTTTTCTAATACTTCGTCTTCATTTTCGGCCAAGTTCGATTGATTCATCTTGAGCATGGCATACTGCAACCAAAAATTAAAAAATTGAAAGCTTAGGATAAATAATTTAAACCCAGGCGAATATCTTACCAACTCCCATCCCCATGGATTTTCTTCATTATGCGCCTCTTTATAAACGTTGTTGGATTTTAATAATAATTTTTCTACTTCTTTGCAAAGCTCCTACAAGCACATAGATCAGAAACACAAAATTACTTTTAAAGTGCGGCTTACCTTTTGTTTCTCGATTTCCTCAAACTTGCACTTGTGTAATAAACAAGCAGCCCATTCGGTTAAAAGACTGCTGTCTGCTTCATTTTCAAGGCGTTGGATGTAGCTAACAAGTTTATTCATGAGAGTATCAACGTGAATACCATGAGATGGATCCTCGAGAAGCTGCCCATATGAGAGTAACTGGCGCATAGCCACACGAAGGGCTTTTGTTTGTTCTTCGTTCTTGGGGTCATACTCCACAAATCCCTACGCAATATTTAACTTGAATATCCACAAGCAAACAAACACATAAACCAAAAACCAAAAATCAAGAGGCACATTCAATTACCTTTTCAATAGCAGCAATAGCTTCCTTGTAGAGCTTTATCTCTTCTCTTGTGATCGCTTGTTTTTTATTCAGTTCATCCATTGCAGCTTCATCCTCTTCTCCGTCACTATCTACTAGTTCAGCTCTTGCTTCTTCAAACAATGCATTCTTTTTCTGGCGGATATCTGCAGCCAGAAGAGCAGCAGCACGAGCCAGAATAAACTGGGCCAATGGTCCAACATCAGGCTTCTTGATCTCACCTCGTAAGATATCCAAGCCCTCTCTTAAACTCTCTTCAACCTTAATAGCCTGACCAAGCTCAATCAAGCAGGTGGCATAACCAATACGGTTCTTGGGCTCTGCCTTTTCAAACTTCTCGATTGCCATGTCAAACAAACGCTGTACAACTTCGGGTTTTGCTTCCGTATTTCCGGCTTCTTCGATTGCCATTTCCAAAAGTTCTTGTGCAGTAGGATCGGCTGCTTTGTCTTCTCCATTGTCACCAACAAAGGTTATCTCGATGTTTCCTACATCGCATCCATTACAATCAGGATCATTGCAGCCAGTCGAATGGTTTTCTTCAGTTCGGCAAACACGTTTTGAGGAAGAAGTTTCCTCCTTGAGGTTGGGTGAAGCGGCGCGTTTAGACATGGTTACAGTAAGATCAATCTATCCTTTTTTTTTACGCGCTCGCATAAATCAGTAAAATTAGTGGCTTGGCCTATGGTTTTGGGCTACATTGTCTTGAACTTTTAGACTTTATTTTTTGTATTGCTTCTTCATCAAACAACATGCGACCTCTTCCCCGTACTGTCCCATGGACCAGCTTCAACGAATTTGAGCAAGTGTACAAGTGGCTCTATGAAGACACCGAAATGGCGCCTGAATTAGTTGAACTTGGCATTGAAAGAGTAAATTTTTGGAAATAATAGTTTTCTTCTTTTACCCTGCATAAACTCGGGATACAATATTTATGCTTTAGAATAGGTTAGAGCTTGGTCAACTCGAGGAAATATTCCTCGTGCAGTTGAAAGTACAGCAGCATTTGCACAAGTTAGATTAAGAGATCGTAAAGGATTAGGTGGTCACTGGCTGTCACAGCATGAATTGCGAATGATGTATGCCATGGCATTTGTAAGGTATTGCATCGTACAATAGCAAGTAAATAAGCTATTTGGGTGAATATTATTTTCAGATACTAAGCATCGAACAATTTAGATTTGTAAACGGCATTGTAGATCCTGCCCAGACTAGTACATTTGCTCTTTCTATTGCTGCTATTGCTGAACGTCTTGGGCTTCCTTTATGGTTTGTTGAGCTAAGACATGCAGGAACTCACGAGCACCTTCCAAGCTTATCAGTTTTGAGAGATGGATGCGATCAGGTAAGAAAAAACAGGGAAATTAAAGGAAGAAAGTCATACAAATAAAGATATGCATATATTATTGCATAAAACTAAACGATAACCCAATTTATCATTTTATGTAAAGGCTCTTGGTTGGATCCATGAATTTTACTGGGACATCACATTGAAGCCAGAGGCAACTGCTGAATTAAGCCTTGAAACTATGAATATTGTCAAGGCAATGTTGAATGATTACAAAGAAACCCGCAAAGCATTTCTTAAAGGTGTGGATCGTTGTGGAGTTGTGGAGTTGTGATATATTGGTGTTCTCAATAAGACTCATCGGGCTGCTCGTAGAATTGAAGTCAAATGCCCGCCCAGATAAAACACCCATGCTCAACTCACTTAACAAAATCTTACGCAAGATGTCACCTGACATGGCGAAACAAGGTGTGGTTTCTCTTCTGGTCGGGATTGGTGGTATGGTTCCTGCTGGAAAGAAGTAAGAATATAATGGTGGAGAATGACGAGAAGGTGAAATATACGATACAAATGAATGTATAATATAGGAAGCGTGCATCAATTGAAAACATGTCAATTTCTGAAGATCTGATCAAATTGTGGAAGCCATTAATTCAAGAGCTCTCTTCCCATTTTCCTGGGTTTGAAGCAGCATTATTGGCAACAATGATGGAAAGAATTGATGTAAATAGCGGTAAGGTTCAAATATTCAAGTCTAAATATCCAGAAGCTAATATTGTCTCTATATATCAGATTTCGTGCTTAATGAAAAGTTGATCTATCCATCGTATGGTTATGTAAGGAATATATCGGTCAATTTGATTTACATGATTTCTGATAAACTGAGCATGGAATAGGGCGAAGAAGAAACTGCTTCAGAAGACACATTAAAGACACCTAGCTATTTGCTGACATTGAGTATGTACACTACTATCTCGACAAATCTAATCTAGTTTATACAATAAAGAGATACTAACTCGTTTGATTAAGCTTGCTGGCTCAGATACTTCGTTGAAGACAGCGTTCAGAAATCGGACCGTCTATTCGAAGGAAATATACTCGATGATATTGTTGAAAGTTGTTTACGCAAACCAAACTACTAGTAATTATCTCTCACCCACAAAACGCTTGCGTAACAAAACTAAGCAGTGTATTATAGTACACGCTCCGTTCTTCAGGCTGCTACTACAGTTGATCCTGAACTTGCAACATCCCTCAAACCTTTCATTCAATACATTGATCGTATGCTAAGAGCCAACAACAAAAAGGTTATTGAAGAAAAAATAGCTGATATCAAAACAAGTTATATGAACTGATATTATTTTTATACAAAGTCTACTGAAACGACAGATTCTATTATGGAAGATGAAAGTATGAAGAATGAGTTGGATACTCTATCGAAACAACTTCAACTTGTCTATGGAAAGGTAAATAGTTGGACTTACTAATAGATTACTCATCATCCTTCTCTTTAGACCAAGAGTGCCGAAACAACTGTCGAGGCTAATGTTGAACAGGATAATGCTTCTCCGTGGGGGTTGTATGATGCTTCAGCCTGGAAAAGCTGTCCAATCGGATGTCTTCCAAACGGAACAGTACCGTGTCTTGATTTACCAATCGCCATGGAAGAAAACTAAAGGAGAACAAGACAAATGAAATATATATATATGTATATTGAGATATCAACACTATTGATTGTAAAATGAATGAAATGGAATCAAGTGAATCTAAAGTTTAAGCAAGCAATACCGAATAAAGTCTCTAAAGCGTATTTTTATTTATTTATTTATTTATATCAATTCAATGATATAACTAAATTTTTCTTGGAAAGTAGTAATTAGGATACCAAATTCAAAGGCCATACGTTTCATAATGTTTTTTATTCTTATTTTTGTTTTTTGTTTTTGATTCTTAAAAAGAATACTTTTATGTTGCTTTACTTGTCAACCTAGAAAACAAGAAACATATCATACTTCAATGTAGATTTCAATATAATTAGAGGTGCTCTCGGAATTGTTTTTCGATAAAGAATTTTTTATCAAAAAACAATAATATTCCTATTTTAGAAGTATCTTTTTTTCAAAAAAGGAACAATATTTTTAAAGACCGTACTTTTTATACCTGCTCTCTAGCAGGGATAAATTATTTTTTAATATCCAAATATAGAAATATATTTTTACTACTATCAGAACATCATTTGACAATCGCTTTTATCTTACTGTTATATATTATTTTCAGGGTCTTATTTGCTATACAAACCGGTAATTTCTACTCAAAATAATATATGGTATGCTATCTTGCACCAAGTGCTTTGCTTGAAGTCGAATATTACATGCTTCCTCATAGTGATAAAGCCACAAGAAAAAGTATTCCTTTAATATGCTTTCAAATAAGTTTATATCTTTGGAGTATAGTACTGACTATAACACCGACGTATTATTCATTACACAACATCTATATTTGGCACATATTAATCTTTTAAAAAAGGAACATTATTGTTTTTCGATAAAGAATTCTTTATCGAAAAACAATTCCGAGAGCACCTTAGTATTTTAGGTATACATGAGCACACATCGAGAGAGATGTATATAAACTAAGGTAGGTACGTTAGATATTAGCACTTTTATACTTATCACACTAGCAGGTGAGATGACCCCAAGTATCATTGTGGTTCTTGCTTTTGTCTTCGGTTAGGATAATCTCCGTCGTTCGGTAAAGTATATATTGTCTATGGAAGTTCGTACTAACACACCCACCGGGTATACCCGAATGCTGTGACCAGATTTACTTTTCGATTTGTTCAACTGGAACATCTTCTCCTGGTCGTTTCCGAGTTGTTGATAAGACCTGTTTAATAATTGACGTACCAATCCTATTTGTTTCTATGGTGCCCTCAAAATTCAAATCCTTTTTTTCGTATCTTGATCTTCCATTGAATTCTTCAAATACAAGACCTTCTCTATAATAGTATTGCTGCTCTCTTTCAGATTTGATTTCTTATATATGTCAATTTATTATTCTTTTGTCCAAAGTAGTATATCCAGGCACGAAAAAGTACCTCCCTAGTAAGCAATGAAATGTCTTTAAGTTGCTTAGTCGACACAATTGAGTGAGCTTTTAGAACTTTTTGAAATGGTTTTGGAGAATGGATTTGATATAATGATAAATATACGATTGTTTGAATTTGTATTATGCTGAATACACTGTAACCCATATGGAATTTCCCTACTAATTTAGGCAGGAGGAACAGCAAGTTAATAAGCAAACCATCTATTCTCATTTTAATATTACAAATCCTTTCAAGATTAAATTGAATAAACAGGATCATAAAGACTGACAGCCCCCCCACACACACACAAAATCATGAGATATTGTTTATTGTTCCTTTTCGCACAAGTATCAAAGGTTTTAGGGATTGTGCAGCTCATAATCTCGAAGCATGTATTTCAATTTTTTTAATGTTATACTTTTAGGATAAAAGATCCTGTTTCTCTTTGTAAAGTATATGTTCTGATGAAGGGACTGCGTCACCTGTCCATAGAAAGCATTTTTTCCCTATTGAATATATTATCATATACATATACTTTATTTTCTTTTCTACATTTTATTTATAAACTAACATCATCTTAAAATATAAGCCGGTTATTTCCTAATAGCGGCTAGGCTCGTCTATTGTGTTTACTTGTGCAAAAAAAAACCGAAATTTTTTCTAGTATCCATGAACAAAAAGTGCACAGACCACTTTAGAGTAACCTACAAATCGCCGCTATAGAAACCAGTACTCCACCTTTAGATATTTTGCTACACCGATCAAGATCAAACCTTTCATTACTTCATTACTTCTTTACTTTACTTTGCAAAGTCGCTTTTATAAGTACTTTGAGTAAATATTATTAGCTGTTCCTTCTTCCGTAGAACAGTTACACAAACTTAGTAAAAAAAGAAACATACAGCTATATCACGTTTGCTCTGACGTGAGTATCTAAGACTGACAAAAAGCGCAGTCCTAATCTTTGATCTCAGATGAAAACTTTTCGGTTACATATGGAACCCCTCCAACGCGCGTCGTTTGTTTTCTCCTTGAGCAACAACAGTCCCGGTTTCATAGTGAGGCGTCTCTTGCGACCGTTGCAGGGAGATTCTTCCATGCTACAAGCATCGGAAAGTGAAAGTTGTTACTCGCCAGCTCAGTTAATTCTGAGAAGTCGTGGGGCATGGTCTCTTTTCATTTTTGGAAGGACTACTGTGTACATCGCATCGCCAATGTGGAATCATGATGCTGGGGGGAGGGAGGTCTAACCTGTGGTGAGATGTGCTGGCTCTTCACTGCTAACCTGACTGAACTCTTTAACGGCTGACGGTGAAGCTACTGGTAGTCGAATGAGCTGGACCTTATCACCTAGTGGTAAGTTCTCTGGCGAGTTCGCACCCACATTACTCGGTGACGAGATGTGGGGCTGGATGAACGGGTGCTTTCCGTTGGTTTGCCACCATTCCAGCACCTCCTTCGCTACCAAGTCAGGTTTACGTCCTGAAGGAGATTGAGCCGTGTAATGCGGGGACAAAGAACTTGGTGTCATGCTTTTTATTCTTTTACTCATGTAAAAGAACATTAAGTGAAATTCAATCAAATATAATAAAATAGTTTCTTTATGTATATCTTTAAATAAGTAAATAAAGTACTTTTTAACTAGTATCGTCTCCAATAAAAAAAAACACGCTTTTAAACTTTTTTTTGCTTGATTGAAGAGCTCAATGTTGTAATTAGGAAGTTTCATTAATAAGAGAAATTAATCTAGTCAAACAAATCTGAACATTAATAAAATATAATATAGCATGACTTTTATTATCATTGTATTGATCACTGTGTTTAATTGTACATATTTTTGTCTATAAGGTCTATAAGGAAAACTCAGAATAATTTTTGAGAATGTCAATTTCGTGAAATGTACAAATGAATTTAGCTGACGCGGATGGATATTGTAAAGAGGATGTAATGGAATGAAAGAAAGAGAAGGAAACAAAGCGGAAAAAAAATAGAGAGGGAGATGAGAGGTAATAAAGAAATGTGTGTTTGAAAGAGACAAAAATATGTGATGCAAATTGAATGCAAAAGCAGTGCCCTCATTGTATTTACATAGTCTGCGAACAAGAAAGTTCAATTTGAATGTATTTATGAAACAAGCATCATTATCTATAAAAAAACATACTTTGAATATCAATTAATGCTTGTACCCTTCATTCGTTGTTGCATACACACATGCGTAATTATATTCCTATTGCAAAGTATGATTTGAATCCAAGTTAGAAGAGTAAACAAAGTATCGACACATTACAAAATGCATCCTTCAATACCGTCAATTTTGTTTATTACTACCATAATTAATTATTATTTTTCACATAAAATTTGAGGAGATTGAGAAAGATGTTTTTTTATTAAGAAAGGACAAACAGTTAAATCCGGAATGATAGAAGAATAAGAAGCTTCTTGTACATCTTGTCATATCTGAAATATTTAATTAAAATAATTTCTGAAAGTGTTTGCCCTATAAAAAGCATCTAATTTCGGCAATACTTACTGAAAACTACACTATATGCGCTTCTAATTTATTTCTTTTTGTAACTTTTCTCCTCTAAATCCTACTTTTCAATGTGCTGGAAGGAATTACAATGTCTAATATACATATACTCTGTTAAATAAGTTTGTTCTTTACTCACTTTTTTTTGCTTAGAAAGCAAAAAGGGTGGGATAATTCAGGAACTTGTGACGTAGTTGAAAAAAAATGGCCAATTTGATGCAGCGTCCCAAAAAAATAAGGAAAAAAAAAGCGAGTCCATAAGAGGTGAGGCTGGAGAGGGAGAAAGAGAATGAGTGCAAGAGAGAGACGTCAGGGAAGGAAATAACTCTGCTTAAATATTGCTTATTTCTTTTTCTTTTACTCATCCAAATAAATAAAGAAATACCTATATTTCATCATGTCGACCAAAGTACAGAAGATCATGGTCCAGCCGATCGTACGTTAATGTTACTCCAAGAAAGATTTGAAACACAACATACTAATGATGCTGCGATGTATACATGTATATATATAGAACCTAATCTTTAGGTATCTACAAAACGTAATGATCGCCGATATCTCTCCCGGTTTTTTATTGAAGAAACGAAATTGTTTTTCTTTTTCTTTCGGCTAAATCAATGTTTGTTTTTTGTAGAAATCTAGAGTGCAAATTTGGTTGTTTGACAAGTCTGACATGAGAATCGAAGGTCAAATTATTGTAAGTAAAGAGAAAAGGCATATCAACGCGAATAGAACATTTGTATAAATTAACATCATCTTATTGATGATTAGGGCTTCGATGAATTCATGAATCTGGTATTGGATGATGGTGAAGAAGTCATGACAAAGGAAAAGACCAGAAGAACAATAGGTAAAGATTAAAATTATTAACGCGCGTATACCCGAATCAAACTAAACTATGGCTTGTGTAGGTCGTATAATGTTGAAGGGAGACAATATTTCATTGATCCAATCTGTAAATAACTAAAGACTCTTTTGGCTATCATTATAACAATCGAATCGTTATAGAACTGATGTTTATTGTGGATTTTTCTTGGCTTAAAGGAGTGAAAATTGGAAAGAGCCAAAAGTCTGTTGTATTTTGATATACAAAGTTAAAAGAAGACATGCACAAAGACATTTATGATTATATATCCTCAATTTTTCCCTCAGAAAATTATAGTCGTGAAAGCATATTTTTTGTTTTGTTTTGAATAATAAGCTGTACATATATGTATTGATTAGCCTTTCTTGTGTATTAACGTAAATATAAGAGAGTGTCTTTTGAGATATATTGAGATAATCTGAAATGATTATTTGGTATATATAGAAAGTAGAAAAAATATTTTGAGAACTTATTTCTGAATACATTAATGGCTTATCTATAGTCAAAAGCAAAGACACCATCCAATGTACTAAAAGAAAGCACTTCTTCAAAAGAAACATTTAATAACCGCAGTTTCCGAGGAGAAAAACCTGTGTTCTTGAATGTCTTGTTTGGCATTGATTCTACGTCACATTGGACTGGTTTTGGGCTGCCATTTTTATTTGGCATTTTTGTTTTCCTTCCCGAGAGGATTTTTATCTTTAATACATACACAAAATGCCTCTTCCATCCGCAGACGAACTCGAGCAGCTCGAAGATATTGGTACGTATTTAAGTTTGGTTCAGGTTTTTAGCTCATTAGTTTTTGCTGCTCATTAGAAAAGCAATGGGCTGTCAAGGTATGCAAACTATATATACAACCACAGCAAGGTAAAAAAAAACTTTTTTCTTAAAGAAAAAATACGCGACGTAATGTTTCGTATACGAATACAAGTCATACTCACATATGTTTTCTTTTAGGCTATCGAATAAATATAAACAAATGGCATCCCAAAAAGACCAAGGCAATATGTTATCTAAATAACCATAATAATAATTAGGCTATGCATCACGCTGAGACCTATTTTAAGCTGATCTCTGCTATGGACTGCTCCAAGCTCCGTTTGACAAGGTAAATAAAAAAAATGCATGCTTTGGAGGAAACAAAACAACATGATGTCTCCTGATATACTCATATATATATGTGTGTGTGTGTGTATGTTTGTATATAGCATTGATGATGAAATCTACAAGGACTTCATTGAAAACTTTCCTCATATTGATGTTAAGCACTTGGACGAGAAAGACTTCAAGTCTCCCGAGAGCAAGGATAAGTGGCGCCACTGGATCAACAAGTATGAGAAGAGAGTTAATGAATTCAACTTTGGCTGTTTGATCCGTATTGATCCCTCCAAAGACTACACCGAGGAAAACACCATGTTTGGTAAGTGAAGTAAAAAGAAGACAAGAAGAATGAAATAAATCTTACAAGGGAAAATTTAATGTTTGTATAGGTGTCCGTATGCAGGTAAGAACTGAAAAATAGTCACGATGTCTAATAATATAAGCTAATCGTTTTTTTTTGTAGTTTTATGCTATTGAAATTGCCAGAAACAAGTTGGGATTGAATGCTGCTGTCCGCAAGCAATAAAATAGATACAAAGTTATAAAGAAAGAAAAAGTATGCCTATTTAAAAATGTGATATATACTAGTGGTTGAGAGTACATGCATAATTAGTGTGTGTGTTAGATATGTTAATAAATCTACTTTGCCATTCTAATTAAACTGGAAATAAAAGTTACGAATTACAAAACCAATTGAAATTCAAAATATGTAAAAGGGATTTAAGCTAATAAGATACATAATAGATAGTGCTTGAATAACTTGTAATTGTTTTTGCTTTGAGCCTGGTAGCTATAGATATATATGTATTAACTGTGTGTTATAATGTATATTTAACCAGCCGTGTGTGTGTGGGAGTGTATACACACTTATCTGTATATGAGTTGTTATACTTAGTCTGTGGTTTTATTATATTCTAATTATGATTTGCGTGTGTAATTGTATACCGCAATCGATCCGTCTTTTTCCCTTCCTCTCACTGAAAAGTAATGACTTATAAAACGCGATTTTGCAAGAGGAAGTAGACGATTATATACTATAACTGTACATAGGCGCAGTAATTTTTGGCTGGATTGAATAATTTGTTAAACGATGATTTATTACATACATATAGCTATATTTTAACAACAAACTGAATTAAATCCAAGGTGTCACAGGTGAAATAACGTTTAGCTGTAAAAACATAGAATACTTCACAGCTTGAATCTATAAATGTATCCTCATATGACAGAAATAAAAGAAAAATAGCGCTGCTTTATACACTTGTAGCTTAGAAGAAGAATAAGTTCCAAAAATTGTATTCCAGTTAGGGGTAAGTTTGGCACTTCGTTGCCAACTAAATTAGACACATTTCAATGATATATACTTAATTAGAAAACTTCCTATATCACACTATACAATTCCTATTTCTAAACTTATAACCGCAGTAACGTTATAATACACAAAGAATTAAATTAAATAAAACAAAAATATGTTAGCATATCAGGGCTTTTGTGAAGGTTTAACAGTAGGCTTAGCGACGTCAGCAGATCGATTTGTTACGTCAACTGCGCTACCTGCACCTTGACAATAGCGGTACCTTTTAAGCTTACGTATAACACATCTCTTTTAATAGTCCTCACAGTCTTCCTTGGTCATTCAATCTTGCTCCTTTAATCCATCATTATCCCATAAATTGACATTAAAAACCCACACAAATTACAAAAATGACGAGCATGGGTAATCTCCCTCCAGCCGATAGTTTCAAGGCAACCTGGGACTTTTTGGAACAAGGTCTTGATCAAATCATGAACAGACTTGAGGAAGGTCTCGATTTCACGCGCTATACTGTGCTTTACAGGTCAGAAGAAATTGCAATTATAATAATTGCTTTTTACTGTTTGTTTTGACAATCTTATCAACAATTTGCCATCTTTAATACCAAACAGTGCTGTACACAACTACTGCGCCCGTGGAAGTCCCACAAGCTCTCATGGTGTTCCAGATCCATTGAGTAATCCACATTCTCGACGAGGTATGCGTACATGCTTAAACATAGTCCCACGCATTCCTAACTCTAATATTCTAGCAGCTGCGCAACTTATCGGCGGTGATTTATATACTAGTTTGAGCCAGTACTTGGAAGTTCACTTGCAGAAGATTAAGACGGTACTATTACTACTATTACTACTATTACTACTACTTCTATATTTAAGAAATTTGAATCTTTGGGCCTATCAAGACTTTATATAATGTTTTATTAATTTATATATTTATATTTATTTATTTTAAAAAAGGAATCTGAAAGATATATGGACGAGGCGCTTTTACAGTACTACACCAAACAGTGGGAAAGATACACAACCGCAGCACGCGTTGTAAACAATATTTTTATGTACATCAACCGCTACTGGGTTAGACGTCAAATCGATGAAGATAGAAAAAGTGATGTCTACGATGTGTTTACGGTAAAGACAAGAAGAAACTCGAGCAACCAACACATCCCGCCACTGTCTCCTCTGTCCTTATATTATTTATTCTTCCTTTTTTATATTTTTGTCTGAATAGTTGGCACTTGTAAGCTGGAAAAAGAATATGTTTGAATATGTCCATCACAATGTCATCGGCGCAGTTCTTAAATTGATACAAAGACAAAGAAGCGGCGAAACCATTGAGAATGGGCTTATTAAGAGCATTGTGGATTCTTTTGGTAGTGCTCAGAGGAAATATTTGAGTTATGCACACAACTAAAACGCGGCCGATTTTTATTTTGATAGTGTCACTTGGATTGGATAGCAGCGACTCCACAAAATCAAACCTTGATGTGTATCGTGAATACTTTGAGACTCCGTTTGTTCAGGCCACCGAGGTCTATTATAAGACAGAGTCAGAAAAGTTCATCAGTGAAAACAGTGTTCCAGATTACATGAAGAAGGTGAAAAATTGGAACCCAAAAGCAAGGATTATTTCATTTGTGTTGACAAAATAATTACTTCAAAAAAAAGGCTGAGGCTAGATTATTGGAAGAAGAAACTCGCGTCAGTTTATACTTGCATGAGTCGACAAACAAGACAGTAAGGATAATCCATTAGTTCACGTGATTGGGATATGAGTGGAATCTGGCTAACCGTTATGAATTCATTAAGCTTGTGCCAACTTGTGAAAGAGTACTCGTCAAGAATAACTCTGAGGTCATGTGGGAAGGATTTAAGAGCTTGCTGGCCCTTGATAAGCAAGATGGTAAGATTGTGATGAACATAATGTACGACCTTTGTCTGACCTTCTTGGAATTAAATCAGACTTGCGCCGTATGTACAGCCTCTTGGCTCGTATACCAGACGGTCTGGATCCATTGCGAAAGAGCTTTGAAGCACACGTTAAGAAAGCTGGTCTTAGTGCAATTGAGCGAATTGCACAACAAGAAGGCGAGGTTGTGGTAAGGCACTTCTCAAAAAAAAACTACACGAAAGGGAATATGTCTAATATAAAGCACATTACAGGACCCTAAAACATACGTCGATGCATTACTTGATACCCATCGTAAATATAACGATCTTGTACAAAACGCCTTTAGTGGCGAAGCTGGATTTGTTGCTTCGTTAGATAAGGCGTGTGGTGAATTTGTCAACCGTAACCAGATCTGTAAGACGTCTTCTTCAAAATCACCTGAACTACTGGCCCGCTTCTGTGATTCTTTGTTGAAGAAGAGCGCAAAGAATCCCGAGGAAAACGAGCTTGAAGATGTTTTAAACAGTATTGTAAGTTCTTTAATAATTACTAAATCCGACTTTCCTTTGATATTTAAAAACATCTACCATACTTCAGATGACAGTATTTAAATATGTCGAAGACAAGGATGTATTCCAAAAGTTCTACACAAAGAGTTTAGCCAAGAGACTTGTCAACGGAACATCTGCTTCTGATGATGCAGAAGGAAGCATGATCACCAAACTCAAAGAAGCATGTGGTTTTGAATATACTTCAAAGTTGCAGCGTATGCTGACAGACATGTCTTTGAGTAAAGAGCTAAATGACCATTTCAAAGAACTCGTGCAACAGAGTAGCCAAACAACAAGCTCGAATGGTGAGTATAATGCTATACATATATACAAAAAAATTATTACTAAATATTCCATTTATAGTTGATTTCACAATTCTTGTATTGGGTGCGGGCTCATGGCCCCTGTCAGCGCCATCAACAGACTTTAACATTCCAGAAGATGTATGTATTTCTAAATGCTTCACCAAAAAGGTCCAAGTGCTAATAAGTATGTATCTTCAAAGTTAGTTAAGGTGTATGATCGATTCCAGAAATTCTATCAGAATAAGCATTCTGGCCGCAAATTGAACTGGCTTTTCCAGTTATCTAAGGCTGAGTTGAAAACAAGTTACCTTAAAGCCAGTAAGGCTGGATATGCCTTCCAGGTAAATATTTTATACAGTTTTACCACACTTTTGTAAATACTCATATATTTAATCTTATTAGGTGTCGGCATACCAAATGGGTATCCTCTTACAATACAACACTGCCACTAGCTACACCTATCAGGATCTTCAAAAAAGTACTGCTCTCACTCCAGAGGCCCTTCACCCAGCTTTGAGTATCCTTGTGAAAGCCAAAGTACTTTTGTTGAGTGATGGTGAGAAGGTTGGTGACGATGGATCTAGATACAGCCTGAACTTTGATTTCAAGAGGTAAAGTCATCTTGTTATGCTTAATAAAAGAGAATATTCTTGGTTACCTTATTAATTTAATACCATTTACTTTTTACAGCAAGAAGGTCAGAATCAATCTGAATATGCAAATGAGAACAGAACAAAAGGTTGAGGCAGATGAAACGCACAAAACTATCGAAGAGGACAGAAAGTATTTGATCCAGGTAAACTATTAAACAATTGGAATCAATGAAGAAAAAAAAAGAATATTAGCATCCAATGATTTCTAATACCTAATTAATTTGATTTAGGCTGCTATTGTCCGAATCATGAAGACTCGTAAAGTCATGAAACATTCAGCATTGATAGATGAAGTCTTGACTCAATTACAGTCAAGATTTAAACCCCGGATTCCGGATATCAAGAAGTGCATAGATATACTTTTGGTAGGCAATCTGTTTGATATATGTAAAGCTAAATATGACTAATACTATTAACTATGTAGGAAAAAGAGTTTATTGAACGCGTAGAAGGCCAAAAGGACATGTACAGCTATGTTGCATAATTGAGAAAGGTTATTTACAAAAAAAAAAAGACAAAAACAAATTAAGGTTCCTTTTTCCAACTCAAGAGTATCCGCATTTCTTGTTCTATATCGCCCATTTTTCTCATTACAAAGAAGTGAGAGACTTTAACCAAATCACATTAAAGGCTTTTTTTTTGCCACATTTTTCTTTATGTGATTCGATAGAAGAAGAAACATTTGTCTAAATTCGATATCTCAATTTTCTCTATCAATAACTGGGGTGTATTGATTCCCTGATTGACGATCCTATGAAATGCGTTATTTTTATTATATTCGAATAAGCTCCTAGTACCTTTTTCCATTGATCCACATAGGGTTTAATGAATGCAAATATGATCAATCCAAATATAATCACCAAGAATATTCTTACGATGATCTCATCCTTGAACGAGTCACGTGCTAGGAAACAAATCAGCTTTTTCTTTCAGGTACTTTATTTTTATTTTATTTTATTTTATTTTATTCATAATCTTACCAAAGCATGCTGTTCTAAAGTCATTACTCGGGCATGTCTCGTCAGCAATTCCATCACACATTCCATCCTTTACATTATCCAGACAAAATTGCTTTGTGCAATTTGAGCAGGGTTTTGGGTCAACCATGGGAAGCTCAAAGATAGTACTGTTTGAACCGCAGAAACATTTGCAAAACATTTGTAGCTCTACTGCTTGAACACCTTTGGTGAACAATGTCAAGAGAGACTTTTATGTGTAGTTGATAAGCAATGTGTTTTTTAACTTGGCTAATCATTACTTACAGGAATGAGTAAAAGCAAAACTAGCGCCATGAGCTATTTGTGCTATTGATTTGTATAGAATTGATTAAGTGATGCGTGCAGAGCTTTTATTGGACTTATATAGACGACCCAGCGTCAATTTGGATTCTCAGCCAAAGCGACGTAACACTTTAAGCATATCTATCCATCGGAGTCTGTAACATAGAGTATAAAAGCATCACTGATCTTCTTTTGATCTGTTATTGGAGAATATTGAGTATTCACTATAAGATATTCTGGACAAAGTACCTTATCTTCGAATATTATTGACAAACTCTAGAAATAAAATCTGGCTCAAATGTTTAATTAGACAATATAATTATGGAATCAAAGTAGTGGTCATCAACGGTATCGCTTTTAATTAAAGAGAGTTTGCTACCCTTATATTTTATGCGCTTATTTAGCTGTATTATTTTACGTGGTAGCCTAGCAGAGGTTTTCATTATACCACAAGTTGGAAGTCTTTTGTTTTCTGGATAATAAAAAAAAAAACATTTTATCTATGAATTTACAATTCTCGATGTGATAAATATCTGTGTTCATCTAATAATTGAAAAAATGAAATATCTAATCAGATTCTGAAAATACTGTTTCCCAATTGAATTTCTTCAGCTTTACCCCCTTCATTTTAGGAACCTACCAAGTCATTTATGTAGTTAATTTTACAGTCAATGGAAAATAGCGATGAAACATATTGAAGGATTTAAGCTTTTTTAAATAGACTTTTGTTGCAAGATATGAGCATGTCTTTTTTTATTGATTTGTGATTGCTTAAGCTAAAATTTGCTTTTTTTGAAGCAATTATATTTACTGTTTCTAAGAGATACATTATGGCTATCAATATATACAAGTATAATAAATACGTATGTTGCATATTTTATTGTGCGTATTATATGGTTTTGTTTCGTTTAGATCGTCTCCAGTATATCTAAAGCCTATATTGGCTGGTTATTTGCATGTTACTGTCATAAACTATTTGTCTACTAAAAGTCTGTTAACTGAATCACCCTGCTTTCCCAGACTTCTAGTTAATCGTTTGTATTTCTTAGAAATTACGTAGCGATATTTGTAAACATGTTATATATTATGCAATTAATCACTATAAAGAGCCATTAGTAGAATAGATGCTATAATATTATCAATGGATTCGGCTTTCATAGTAGAAGACTTCCTAAACCTAGTATAGTTTCTAGTTTCTAGCTTTCAGGATCCTGTATAATTCCTGGTATTGTCCTTTGTATTTTTGCACAATCAAGCAATCCCAAGCGCAGATGTTCCATTGAATATGTCAATAAAATAAATTATTGTCACACAAAGACAGGGAAGCTGTAGACTGAGATATATTATAGATCAGATTTATATATTTTTATTTGTAAAATAAGACAGAGTCAGTCAATTGTAATAAATATTGTGTATAATACAAGCATATAAAGTGATATTTGGAGGTAGTTAAAAGAAGCAAAGAAAAAGTTCATAATAAGTTCAGTTTATCTGGTGACTATTCGTCTATCTATATAGTTTTTGAGAAAGTTCCAAGTGGTTCAAAGTTCTGCCTACATCTACTGTATATTTTGTGGTTATTAAATAATAGAGTTGGCCAATAGAACCCTGCAGATCTTTATATTCAATTGCGAATTCATATTACATTGTCCCACATTCAAGAATACACAAAGCCAAAATATAGTCAATAAGATAGCCCACGCACACATATATACACAACAATCATGTCTTGGTTTTCTGGAAGTAATATGAAAAATCAAGACTTTTGTACGTCAAAACAGGCAATCGAATGGCTATTAAATATTTAGACATGTCTTGAGGGCGCGGAATTATAGGTTCTATTGATGAAAAGAATACTCATTCAGTAACCCATAATTCTTCAAGTGTAACAACGGAATGTGCTGTGTATGTAAATGTCCTATCTGATAAAATGATTCTTGGAGCTTGGGTATCAGATTGGTAGCTCTGTTATCCGTAATAATATTTTTTTTAGTAATTTCAATTATACGTATAACTGTTGCAAATACTCTCTCTCTCTTTTTCTCTCTTTGTATATAAATAATAAGGGCATTCACAAATTATGGCTTCTTTAATTTGTAAAACATATAGACATGGGGGTGTAATGCAATCTTTATAGAAACTTTTCAAAGTAATGAGGGGCATACCATTTTCTTTTATTAATACAATCTGTATTTGTGGCAATTGAAAAAAAATGAGATGTGTATTATCTATACTACATCTGGAAAACTGGTTAAAACATTTGATGTGGACCCCATGTACATAAAATAACGGCTTCTCTCAAGGCTGGCTAACAAAAAATATATATCTCAATATAAACAGATTGTAGAATATCTAATTGCTCACTCAAAATTGATAAGTAAACCTACTCTTTTGCCATCAGAGTATTATTTACAACCGATAAACCCTGCCCTATTGTAAAGCACTGTGTTTTAGAGTGAGATTTAATTTTGAAAAATATCGCCCCTTAAATAAAATTTAGACTGAGAAATCCGCAGCTCACCACAATTCAGGTGCGATATAATGATCGAAACAACAATTACTGGTATAAAAAACAGAAAAGCCATGTCGATACTTATCTACAATTAAATGGAACGAAGTTCATACTCAAAGATATGTACGAGGTGTTTGAAAAATAGAGCGAAGATTGTATACTACTTTTCCCCCTTGGATATCAGACTATACTATAGAGATATTGAATGTGAATGTGGGGCGTTTATTTAGATAAATCCTAGAGTCATGATGTCTTGGCCGTGTACTTGGATAACATGTTCTTGCAAGATAAATATAATTTGTACAAAAAATGCGATGTAAAATATCAAAGAGTAACAAACGTGCTGTACTTGTGACAAAGAATAATACAAAAGGTTCAAAGTTTCCATAGTTTCTTAAGAACTCTACCAATCATAACACAGCCAAAACTATAGAATTCTTGAGAAGAAAAAAGAAGTTTCCTTTATTTTTTAAGCAGCAAGAATGTACTTGATCCTCATCGTACATTTACTCAGCTTCGACTTCTTTATCATTAGACTTGATTTTCAAATAGCTATTACAAGTTAGAGAGAGAACGATCTTGGCAAAAAAAATGGCATTGATAAATATCCAATTTAATGTCATCTGATGGAATAGAAAAACTTATATCTTCTATGGAACACATGTAGCCTATTGTACTGATGTCCATTTCTTGTACCGCGCCGATTAGATAATGACTTCGTGCGATCCTAAGAATACCTTGTATGTAGAAATGCAACTTTCGGAATATTGGGTATATTGATATTAGTCATTAAAAATAAACACTGGATATGTTAATGCTATCTGGGCATCAATATTTGAAGAGGTTCAAGAGTAGTTTATTTTGTAAGATTATTTCTCAAACCCTTGGAATATCAAGATTTCCCTTTTCTGATAGTCTATTGAAAGGCCGGATTGGAGTTACAGAAGATATCCATAGAACAGTAAACCAAGAAAGATTTTTTTTCATTATTTCTTTTTGGAAAAAATAGCTTAAAGGGATTGTATTTTGATTAAAAGACTATGTACAACAAAACCTAGAATGTCTTTTTTTTTACAGATATTTTATACAAGATAACCTATTAAAAGTCTCCACCAAAGTCTCCACCACCAAAGTCTCCACCACCAAAGTCTCCACCACCGGAATCGCCATAATAGTTGTTGGTTACATCAGGCTGTCCCATGTCGGAAAGGGCCGAACCAAGCATCATACCACCGAGAAGACCAGCACCACCTGCCATAAGACCAGTTCCCATGCCCATTCCACCACCACTAGCACCGCCAAAGCGACCGCCTTGCTGCTGCTGAACATATTGTGGCTGTCCATACTGAGGGTGACCATAAGGCTGTTGACCATATCCTTGCTGACCATAAGCTTGTCCATACTGAGGTTGGCCATATCCTTGCTGACCATATTGCTGCTGACCATAGGCTTGTTGTCCTCTATTTTGTGCTCCATAGGCTTGTCCTTGATAAGGACTTGATTGTCCTCCGAGAGGTTTGTCGATAGGGTGCTCCCATTGTCGCTGAGCAGTTGGCTCATAGACGTAGAAGAACTTTCCAGATGAAGGATCGAATTGACTCACCCAACCTTGAGGCATTGGTCTTGAATCAGGATTTAAAGGTTGGCTTGACGGGGGTGGAGGAGGAGCATACTGTTGTTGCTTTTCACTTGTGTGGGATGCCGCTGGACTCTGTGAGTACGCAGGAGGAGTATCTTGTTTAGTTAGCTTTGAAAAGAATCCCATTTTTTTTTGAAAGTAGAAGAGGGGAATAAAGGACATATGAGCTAGTAAACATATTTTATAGTCAAAAAAATATTATCTAATGCTTTCCTGGTTAAGGTTGGTCTGGTTTCAAGCGGGGTTATCTGATGATTCTTGATCAATCCTGTCTCCTCAACTGGTTCCATCCTTTTTGTGAGACAGATTCACCACGTCAGACGACGTTAAAGATGCTTCCCCAATAGAATGTCACCTGTGGAGGTACACAGCTGAGTACATAGATATCAACCAAATACACTACCACCAGCGATATTAAGAAAGTATGCGGTAAATATCGCTTTGTCCAATCGCAAGTCTCGGGATTGCTTTTGCATCATTTTTGTCCACAAGAATGAATACCAGAAATAAGAAACACGTCACGGATTTGCTTTGTGGAGAGGTAAAAAAAAAGGTCACAGACGCGTTCAGGTTCACACTTTTGTAATAACCAAAGAAAGGACAATGGTCAAGAAGGGAAAGTCAAAAACAAAGAAGAAGTCACCTTCAAAGACAATCCCTCCCTCTAAAGACAACCCTGTCGGAACAATTGACAATTCCTTGGATACTTCGACCGATGATTACGAAAAGACGGACAACTCTAGAGAGGGTTCAGTCTCTCCTGTCGACCCACCAAAAGATTGGAATAAGATGCCCTTAGATACATCCGTTCCTGAGGATCAGGTTAGAAATTTTGTTCCATTGGCGCTAATCTAGAGCATGGATTTACACATTCTATTCAAGGATCAACCAGAGACGTCTCAACAGAAGAAATCTCTTGACACAGTATTCAATCCATCTCACGGAATGACAGATTCAGTACACATCCAGGAAACAGCTAGCACTAATAGCCAAGAAAATGACGTGGAATCACAACCAAAAGATACAGAAAAAGCAAAGGTCGATACACTTGCACAACCTGCAAACGTCAACAATGCAGATACAGTTGATACAACCGATACATCCGCCAAAGTCAGCAAAGACGATGTTGGAGTAGAAACTTTGGATAAAAAAGAATCATTGGATGCCCTAGAGAAAGACGCTGCTTTAAATGCCAAAGCAGATCAATCGACTGGACTAGAATCGACAAATGTCAAAACTGATACAATAAACAATGTGTCTCTGGAGAAGGATACCAAAGAAAAGGATAAAATCCTGAGACATTCTGACAGTCAGCAATTTGAGATTGTGGAACACAACTCGAATGACGACGATGAAGATGTTTCTATTGACAGTGCAAATAATCGAAATGAACTATACGCAAGTAGTCTGATTGAAAGTGGCAGCTATACGTTTATTGAACCTGAACTGGAAGCAGAACAAGACACAGAAGACACAAAGGCACAACCTCTTGATACTGGGGACTTGGAGAATAAGGAAGTGCCAAAGGATTTCACCAAAGCAGAGGCTAAAAAGATTAATTCTACGGAAAATATTGATTTGGATAAAAAACCCGACCAACTACCTAACGTATCAGAAAAGAAATCCCAAAAGACTGAAAACATCGACCATTCTACAAAGTCAGCGAATGTAATTGATTGTGATACTTCCAATTTATCTGATAAACTGCCTGAATCAAAGAAATCCAGCAGCTCTGACTCTGGCTCTGATAATATTACAGAGACGAAGCCACTATCGTTTGCCGAAGCAGTACAATCTTCTGATCCTGAATTAGATACAGCGGCAGACAGCAAACATTTAGAAGAGAGTTTGGAGACTACTAATTCTTTTGAGCCTAAAGAGCAAACAAACAAACCAGAGACATTTGCTAAGATTGTTGCTTCCTCGACCACAAGTACTGAAAATTTACAGGAAGATACTATTACAAAATCCCAACCAAAAGAAACGATTAAAAATGATACGCCTAAAGAGAATACCAAGCCGAAGACATTTTCTAAGGTCGCTGCTTCCTCAACTTTGGATACAGAAAACCCCCGTGAACGCGATGTCTCGAAAGTAGAACAAAAAGAAATCGTTACCAACGATAAATTTACAGGTGACTTCCAGCCAGATGCCTTTTCCCATACTGTTTCTTCTTCAATTGCGACTACAGAGAAACCACATGATGACAGTATCGGAAAATCAGAACCAAAGAAAATAACCAGCAATAATAAATCTACAAACGATCCCAAGCCAGAGACTTTTGCCGATGCTGTTGCTTCTTCGATTGTTAATAAAGAAAAACCATACGATGCTAGTTCTTCAAAAGCAGAACCAAAAGAAACTGTTCTCAACGATGACTCTAAATGTGACAAACCTTCAAACGATTCCAAACCAGAGACTTTTGCCCAAGCTGTTGCTTCTTCAATTGCAAATACAGAGATACCGCACAAAGAAGTGGCTCTTGAAGTGCGATCGAAAGAAAGTATCGAAAGCGACAAGCCCACAAAAGTCTTGGAGCCAGAAAACACAGGCGATAAATCTATCGAAGCTAGCGAATCTTCACCAAACTCTCCAGAAGCGGATGGATTTTCGATTGTCAATCCTAAAAATCATGCATCAGATAAAAGCACAGTCGATAATTTGCCTAAATCAAAAAATATTGCAGAAGATGATGATGATTCTTTTGTCCAAGTGAAGTCAGGAAGACATATATCTATTGATGATAGTATTACTTTTAATGCCATTTCTTCATCCACCTCTTGGTTAAGCAACCACCCAGCCGCTGAAGAAAGCGTAATAGCGGACAGCAATCCATTCTCTATTTTAAAATCCGAGTCTCCGGGTATATCTCAATCTCCTGATCACGCGAATGAAGAAAAAGACAACGACGATAGTCGTGATAAAGATATAAGCACTCATCAGTTTGTTGAAGAGGATTTACATCACAAGGGTGAACCTGAGGCTGTACATAACGACGATGACTCGGAATTTACCAAAGAAACTGGTATCACAGAAACCAAACCAGTTAAGGTGGCTAAACAGGAAGATGAAGAGAAAGGACAATCTTATGTCGAACAAAAAGATGAAAAACTATCTGCAGCCAGTACAGGTAAAGATGTATCGCAGACCAATGTTCCGAAGAATACCGAACTGGTACCAACTCCAGCAGATCCAATTCCAAAAGAATCAACTCCAGTAGAGCCAATTTCAGTAGAACCTACTCCAAAAGAACCTACTCCAGTAGAACGTACTCAAACAGAGTCAGCTCCCGTAGAACCAGCTCCAAAAGAATCAACTCATGTAGAGCCAACACCGGTAGAGCACACTCCAGAAGAGAAAACTCCAAAAGAAAAAGAACCCCTAACTTCTATGACAAAAACTCCCATTGTAAAGAAAGAAGTGGATGACTATACTGAAGAAGCGCCCGGTACTTCTAGAGGCCTACAATCTACTAAGGAAGTACAGACTTCGTCAGATGAAATTAAATCTGAAGATCCTGAATTCTCTTCTGCCACCACCGATGAAGCCTCTGAACAGGCTTATATGAGCGATGATGAACAAACCGAAAGTGCACTGGATGATAATGAGACTTCGTATATTACTCCACAGAGAGATTTCAGTATCGAAAAAGAGAGTGTTGACAATGACTCTTATGAAACTGAAGAAGAGGAAGATGAAGAAGATGAAGAAGATGAAGAAGATGAAGAAGATGAAGAAGATGATGAAGATGATGAAGATGATGAAGATGATGAAGAGGAAGAGGAAGATGATGAAGATGATGAAGAGGAAGAGGAAGATGATGAAGAGGAAGAGGAAGATGATGAAGAGGAAGAGGAAGAAGAAGGAGAAAAGGAAGAGTCTGATTACAATAAATTTGTAAAAATTGAAAAAGATGAGGCTGTCCAGGAAAAAGAAAAGATAGTACCAAAGGTGGTGGAGATTTTCCCAGAGAATGTCATTAGCCTTGATATTAGCGACACTGAAGATCTGTCAGATGGAGAGCTCATTAGTGGAGAAGAAAGTGATGATGTAGGTTATATGTTTATTTATTTTATATTTTATATTTTAGAAAAAAGAATTGGGTATCTTGGAAAGAATATACATATATATATTTGTGTGTGTGGATACTTGTCTACATTGCTAATATTTTCAAATGATTTAAATCCATAGTTTACTGACAATATGGATGAGGTAAGATAACTCCATTCACTCTTTAGATCCACGATTTAAATTAAACTAATGAATAAATTGGTTAGCAATTCGATATTTTTGAGCAACGAATCTATGAATATGAGCAAAATGCACCCAAGAACGAACAAGAAGTAAGAAAGCTAAAATATTAGAAACAAGAAACAAAAGCATATTTGTGAATGATTAACTAATCCTCTATGCCTATCTTTATCTGATTATTGCTATTAGTTTTTCAAATCCTCTCATGATATTTTCAAAAAAGTCCAAGGTTGCAGACAATCTGATGCCAACGGATATTATGCACCATTTTCTTTAAGTGACAGAGAGTATGTAAATGACAAGATATACACAAAAGTAAAAAGTACTGACTACATAAATTTGGTACAGAAAATCAAGGCTGAGTGAGTATGCAGGTGAATACAATTCGCTTTTAGAATCTTATATCCAGCATCTTTCCAAGGTAAGTTTTTTTTCTTGTCTGAGATATATAGCTCTTCTTCTTTTTTTTTTGAAAATCCAATTTTTTAAACTTATATGCTATATAGGGAAACAAGAAAGAACAAGAGAAATATGCTTACTTGAATGATGTCTCACGGGTATTAAGACTCTGCGAAACGTTGTATTTCTCTGGAAACGAGAGTAAGCCAGTTGTGTCTGACTTGTGTGATTGGTTAAACACTACGTGGCCTATAAGTAAGTTTGACGTACGAAGCATATTTAGAGAGGGAAACATAAGTGTGATGATCTAATGAAAAAAAATCTCAGGTGTAGACCGACCTCTTTACCCACAAGAAAGTATCCGGATACCTTTAAAAAAGCTTGGATTTTCGACCATAAAGAGTTCTCGGGCAGGGTCAATTCTTGTGAATGGTGATTTGATTTCAAGGTAACTATCCAACTTACAATAGTATCTTTCATGTACCAAAAAAAAAGACCCCCAAAAATGAAACATATTATTAAAACAAAACCAAAAAAAAAATGAAGACATATTTTGCGGGGTAATCTTGAAGAAGCCGTCAAAATTCTTGAATCAGAAATATCTTCTCTTTCATGTGAGCAACAGGCCCAAGTCAACCAACTTATTGCAATTCTCAAAGCCATGCCAGAACTTGCATTGGATACCAAACCTGAACTCATCGAGAAATGGAATGCCTGGCACAGAGAGTGTGTAAGGTCCTGCAACAAGTACCTCCACAACTCCACCAAAGACAAAACGCTATGCAATCTTTTTATGATCCTTGCTGGCGACGTCGACACAATTGAGACTGTCAGTTCTTTCCCGGAAACTATGGTGGCTACCCTTATATACTCAGAGCCTTTCCGACTTCGAGGTGAACTGGCAGCAGTCTTAAACCGACTGGAGCTGCAAGATGACGCAGATCAGATTACAGAAATTTGCTATTATGTTGTGGGAGGAGCCTGGAATGATGTGCTTGAAAGATGTGGTAACTCTTGGCTCGAGACACACCTTGGACATTTGCTGCTGGCCGCAGACTTTTTGCCAGATGGAAATTCCGGGTTAAGTAGTGATCGTGAGCAGGAAGCAATTACAGAACCAATATATTATGTGATTCATGATTATGCTGAAAACCTGGTGGCAAAATATCAAATGTGGCGTGAGGCGATTGATTATCTCAGTACATGTAGAGTTAACCGGGAAGTCTGGATCGAACAGGTAATTTTCTCTCTCTCTTTTTCTTTACAGCAAGATGATGTATTGAAATGTAGTATGCTTTGTACTGAGGATTAATATTGTTACTTTAGCTCTTTGGAAACCCACCTCTCGAATCCAAGGGCATAGACTTTGTGTATGAAATGTTGGACTTTAGTAAACAAAATAATATGAACAAGGTCCAAAGATGTCTGTACAAAGTAAGGCGATAACATCATATTGTCATTATTATTATTATTATTATTATTATTATTATTATTATTATTACTTGCTTTAAGTTAACATGTATCTATACAAAAAAAAAGACGATAGCAGGAAGATACGAGGCTGAAGGAAAGTCATATGAAGCTGCGGTAAACTATGCACGGGCAGGAGATAGGAAAACCCTTGACCTGTTGGCAAACCAAATCTTACAAGGATATCTGACAAAGGGTAACAAGATAAAATTTATATATTTTTTTAATTCTATTTATTTATGTCTTGTGTTTTCTAAATCCAAACATGTATATATATATATATATATAGGTACTTTGGATGGTATTTTATCCGCTGATGATCGCACAAATACTGTATTTGACAGCAAGGAGTATGCTTTCTTGGTCAGATACAGTCAATTCCGAGATTTTGTAGGAGTAAGTGAAACACGAAAACGAAAACGAAAACAAAAAAGTTGGCTATAGTATTATGAGAAAGCAAGCTTTATTTCTTGATTTTGCTTTTTGTTATGTTTGTTTATTTACGGTATTTCTTTAGTGTGCCAAATTCGATCAAGCTGCAAAGCTTCTCACAAAACTGAATGCATCGTTTGCTGCACCAGAGAATTTCCGGTCCGTGCTAATTGTGGACAGTTTACCCTTCCTAAAATGTAAGGCTTGATTGTTGGTTGTTACTTAATTTACAGTTGTGTAAAGAGTATATGGTTATTTATTATAAAACAATCCTTCCATAAAATTTAATCCCTTATCATTCTTTTTATATGTATAGCACGCACTCAATACTTTAACCAAGAGGATACCTACAACCTGATGCGTCAGTTTGCGATCGCTTTAAAAGAACAGGATCAGAGCGATTTCCTAGTTCATTACCACAACAGAGTTGATCCAGCTGCAGCTGTATCTGATCCAAGGATCCTCAAAGCAAATATCCGCTCAAGCCTTTGTCGTAACCTTGCACTTGCCATGATTTCATAAAACCAACAAACGAACGATATATATAGCCTAAAATATCTCCTCCAAAATCCTCAACCTTTTCTCTTTCTACACAAGGCTTTTAAAAAAAAAGTATAAGTGATTTTTCCTTTTATCTTTAAATTTTATTTTACAAAATAAACAAAGCAAACATATATACATGTACATCTCTCTATTTATCTATAATTGAGTGTGTGCACTGTGCCTATTGGTTTTAGCTCACAGGAAATATGACAAAATCATAGTGTAGTGCGTAAATGTCAACAACCTTAACCCAAATAAAGTCAATTGGGGGAGGGTAATTAACGTAAACCAGAGAAGCGGGATCAAAAGGAGACTAATATATCATTCAATCGAAAATGGATAGAGAAATAAATAGATAGATACATAATTGGTGATACTTTTTTCAGTGTATGCTGCAATTGAACCTCCCTAAATAAATTAAAGAAGAATACAAATACAAACCTTGATTTAAAGCAAGTAACAACTTTTTCCACATTCACATTCACGTACAAGTCTTTACATTTGATTTAGAAAGTCTTAATAAAATACAATTTAAGGTTATATTACATTACAAGTGATGAAAAAAAAAGAAAAAAAAAAGAAAAAGCTTCCCATTTTATATATGTAAATTATGCATATTATTATGTATTTATTTCAATATCCCTCGACCACAGGTACTTTTCTAGGTCTTTTATCTCGACGTGGCCGTGTGGATATACTATCGGTTGCCCGCCATTCAACAGGTAAATGGAATCTAAAGCCAGGCTGAAAGAGATATTCGGGTAGATCCCAAAACTTCCTTTGGATTCCAATGACTGTCTCCAAAGAATCAACTGCACCCTGGTTTGGTTTGATGGCATTTAATGAATGTTTGTATTCTAAAGGTCCATCAGGGTCAATGTGATCCGGAAGTAGCTGGGCAACGCTCGCTAATGCTGAATTTGCCAGAGGTTGAAGTTCATAACCACCTAATATAGATATGTAAGTGAAACGTGGTTATATGCATTTAGTGAAATTGTCTTACCTTCTAAAGTCATCACTAATCTTCCACTACATAATTCTTCTGCTAATTCCTTGACCATCTTTGTCATCAAGGCAAATCCACGAGGGGAGACCTTGTATCCTCCAAGCTATAAATTATATTATCTGTTAAACAAAAGAAAAAGAAAAAGAAAAAGAAAATATCAAGGTATTTAGACAAAATGTCTATAATTTGACTTGCATTATCTGGATGACCTTCTGCAGCATCAAAACCTGCAGATACGAAGATCTATAATAATAATGATAATAATAATAATAACAATAATATTATGATTTGTGAATTAAAGTCCAAAACATATATATACACATATATATATACATAAATACATACATATATATGTATATAAGATTGCTTAGAGTACTCACCATGTCTGGAAGGAATTGCCTTGCAATCGGAAGTATTATATGATAAAATGCGGCCATAAATTCAGTATCACCCATTGGTTCTAATAGGTTACCAAGACAACAACAACAAGATAAATATATTTATTTATATAAATTGCTAGGTTTGACTTACTGGGCTTATCCAAAGACTCGTTAAATGAGATATTGATATTCCGCCCTAATCCGGCGCCTTCTCCACATTCATCAGGCGCTCCACTAAAAGGGTAGAATTTGCCTTGTTCCCATCGATGCAGAGAGATATAGAGTACATTTGGATTATCATAAAAGATCTTTTGGGTTCCATTACCATGGCTATTTAAAATAAATATATATATATATATATATGAGTGAGTGTGTTTGGTGAGATATTTGTTAGTGTATCATTGTTTGAAGAAACTTACTGAACATCCCTATTGGAATACAATACAATGATAATAATATATAATATATAAAAGGGTAACGTTAGTAATTAATAAAAAAGAGAGAGAGTGTGTGTGTGTGTGTGAAATATTTTACCAGTCAATCACTAGAATCTTTTTGATTTTCGATGGATATTTTTCGAGTGTGTTTGATACAGCCACGGCAACATTGTTAAAAAAACAAAATCCCATTGCATTATCATCTTCAGCATGATGCCCTATATAAAAAAATATTTATATTTATTTATATGCATGTATGTATGTATGCCTGCCTGCCTGCCTGCATGTATGTATGTATATTTATATATTTATATAGAGGTCTCTATTTTCTATTTTATTTTATTTTATTTTATTTTTTTACTTACCTGGAGGACGAATAAGCGCAAACCCATTGTGAAGTTGGCCTTCAACAATAGGAGTAACTAGATTGATGAGCGCTCCGGCTGCCACACGAGCGGCTAGACTAGAGTGGAGCGGGTGAAATGTAGTATCGACAGCTACATTGTTGTATATACATAGTGTATAAAGTAAAATAGTAGTAATAAAGAAGAAGAGTATTATCAGCTTAAGGATCAACTTTTACTTAACATTATTTATGTGTATAAAGCATATATATATAAATACCAATGCCTAGTTCACCACATGTCATTTTGCAAACCAATCCTGGAGGTGAGACTGGTACAAGTACACCTTCTGATAGATCTGCAGTGTTGGAGTCGTATGATGATGATGATAATGATGATGATGAGGCTGCCGCCGCCGCTGCTGCTGCTGCTGCTGCTGCTGCGGTTGTTGCAGCTGTGGAAAATCTACGGTGTTGTTGCTGAATATCGTCCTGGTTAGCTTCGACTACTACTCCTCCGCCCACTCCTCTAGTGGGTCCCACAATTGAGCCGTGGCGATGACTTCGGGGACTAGGCGACGGCGGACTCTCTTCTGATTCGGTCGGACTGTTGAGTAGGGCGGCAATTGAGGTGATCTTGAGTGGTCGTGGGTTAGGATCTACCTCGTGTTGGTGGTCGGTTGTGGGCGGAAGTGAGTTGGTAGTTGAGGTGTAATTGCGAACGTGGGTTGGGGTGTGGACGTGCACAAGTTCATCTAGTGTAGCCTCGCGTGCGTGTATATGACGAAAATAACGTAACATTCTAAATATAAAGAAGAAGAGGAAAGTTATGATGAACATTATAATAATAATTACTATTGTTAATTAGTTTGCTGTTTGGTGTTTACTTTTGAGCGTGAAAAGCTTGTAGAATAGAACCAATTCGATCCGGTCGTTCAGGATGAATTGTTACGGCCGAGTGACAGGGACATGAGTGGAGAGCCATTCGTCTGTCTTGGACTAGACCTGTGTATTGCCGTAATGAAATGTTCTGGCTTGTGTAGTAAAATGTGGCATAGTCTTTCCAGGATCTGTCGCTTTCTCTCCCCAGAGGGCCGAATCTTAAAGGAGTACGGTTTGCGTGGGTGCGAACCAGACCAAGGCCTACCCAGTCAGCGTGATCTGGTGGCCAGCCTTCGTAGTGTACGAACACACATGGCTCGGTTTTGTCGTTTGAAACCTGGACTACCCGGGCACAGTACCACTCTTTACAATAGTCACTACATTTCAAGGCTTCGACTTGATCACCGGCACGGAAATGGTGAATGCCTTGAATGAGTTGAGATTTGTCTGGTTTGAGGATGATGAGTAGAATGAAATGAGATTAGTGTACAAATTTAAATATTTAAATATTTAAATGATTATATATATATATATATATATATATATATATATATATATATAATTTATTTGACTTACTGTTTGTTCCGGTTGAAGGTAGACGGAGGTCTTTTAGTTTTTCTTGAGCCATTGTTAGAGAATCTTCTTTCTTTTGTACCCGTGTTTCTCTTTCTTTGAGCTCTTTTTTTGAAGGTCTTCCTGGTCCTCGCCGACGTTTCAAGGACCCGTTTGAGGATGTCGAAAGATTTCCGTCGCTGTCAGGGTAAGGAGGTGATCCACAACTGGCTGGTGACAGGTGACGAGAATCGACAGAACAAGATACTCTTAGAGGTAGTGCCTCATGCTGCAAGTGTGTAGGAACCTATAGCATATTATATACATATAGATATAGATATAGATATAGATATAGATATAGATATAGATATAGATTTTTTTTTAAAAATAAAATAAATTAGATCCAAAATAATAATTGATTAATTTTTCTTTCAAAAATAATAATAATAATAATAATAATAATAATCAAGAATAATTCATTGACTGTAATGATTAAAGATAAATAATAATGTATGATTTTATACCGAAATATATAGCTACATAATTGTGTCTAGGCATATGATATCTGTATAGATACAGGCATAAATATATATATAAAGGAATAGATAAGATGTATACATTTATATACATATATGTACATTAAAGAATATCTATGAATTAAACATATATATATATATATTGGGATAATGATTATGATTATGATTGTGATTTTTAAAAAAAAAAGAAAAAGAAAATTGTAATATAATAGTGTATATAATAAGATTATTTACTAGAATGATTTACTTACCATTGGATAATATTATAAATGTGTAGTTGGTGGTCTATAAGGAGTAAACCAAGAAAGAGCAAGAAGAATTAAAGAAAGAGAGAGAGAGAGAGAGAGAGAGAGAGAGGAAATTTACAGAATATATATAAAAATATATAAAATAAGTAATTATATATATATATATATATTTTGTAAAGGGAAAAAAAAGTGAGATACAATTTGTGATCTATGCAAATAAAAAGGGAAATTTCAAGATGTAAAATAATACTATTATTATTATCGAAATGAAAAAAAAAAAATTAGAAAATAAAATACCTATATTTTGAAGATATTTTTTTTATCTATATATGTATATGTATATATATATATATGTGTGTGTGTATTAATGAATGAATGAATGAATGAGTGTATTAATGTATATATGAATTTATTAATGTATATATATATATATATAAATATATATTAAAGAGGAAGAAAGAAAGAGAGAGAGAGAGAGAAAGAAAAGAGATTACAAGAGAGCAACAAAAAGGAAAGACATGATTTTCCAATACAGTAAGAAAAGAGCTTTGCGGAGAGACGAATGGAAATGAACCTTCGGTAAAAAGTATCTTCAATTCAATTTCCGCACCTAGGTATTGAAGAAAGAAAGAAAGAAAGAAAAAAAACAGAAAAAAAAAAAAAAGATATACAAGAAATACAAAAAGTACATAATAAGGAAGTATCATTAGAAGAAGTATCATTAGAAGTATCAAAAGAAAAAGAAAAGTAGCACGAGTGACAGTAGTAGAAATCACAACGTATAGCTGTTGGAATTTTAAGAAGCATTATCATTGGTATACAATTGGGCACTAAGTACTGGTAATCACAAACATTAAATTGGTATTGTCCTGTCTTGCTTTGTCTTGCTTTATCTTGTCTTGTCTTGTCTAGTTTTTATTATGTCACAAAATGAATAAATATTATTTTTATATATATATATATATAGTAGTGACAGCCTTTTTTTTTTTTTTTTTTTGGTTTGTTTTTGGGATGCTGTTTATTTGACTATTCGACATACATATATACTCACTAAAAAGTCAGGTTAATCAACTTGTCTCTTATATACTGTACACTATTGTACACTGCACACTATACACTCCACTCTCTTGGACACAGTGTCGTTCTTGCATCCTGATGGGCGGATATCCAATCCAACCTGTCTTGCGTCACACGATTACGTGACTTTTTCACAACGATCAAACCTCAGAGCCAAAGCTGTCTGCATTTCAACTCTCTTTTTTGGCCTTCTAAGAAGAACCAAAAAAAAAAAAGAAAAAAGACATATATATATACATATATAAAATAAGGCCAACCAGAAAGTCAGAAACTCTTCTTCTTTACTACTAAAGAATAGCCATAAGCATATATACACTCTTTGTACAAATATACACCTTGACATGAGGAAAAGAATCCTTTGTCTGCTCGGTGGAACTGTCCTTCTGGCCAGTACAGTGAAAGCAGAACCTTCGACAAACCTATCTCTCTCCTACACCCCAGTATCCTACAACCCATCTTTTGGAATCAAAACAGACGACTGTCCACCGTGCTTCAACTGTCTTCTTCCTGGATTCGAGTGTCTTCACTTTGCAAACTGTAGTGACTACAACGGAAAATGCGACTGTCCCTCTGGCTTTGGTGGTGACGACTGTCATCAACCCTGTAAGCATTCTATACATACACAGGACAGTCTATCTAAATTCTCTGACATCTTTCTTTTCTTTTTCTCGCTCTCTGTATATCGTTCTTTATTCAAGTGTGTGGTGCATTATCTGACGGTCGTAATAGAAGTCCTAGATTTGGTGACGAGTGTGAATGTCCTGAAGGCTGGGAGGGTATAAACTGCAACGGTATGTTCTGAACAGCCTCTCTGTATTTCTTTTTTTTTTTTTCTTTTTCTTCTTACACCTGCGTTATTTTGTGTGCATCATTCATTTCTTGACGACATTTCTTTTTTCTCTTTATTCCTTTTTTTGGGAATCTGTTTAGTTTGTAAGACCGATAACGTGTGCAATGCCATGGTCCCAACAGGTCAGGGAACCTGCTATCGAGGAGGTCTGACGGTTGTGGAGAACCATCAGATGTGCAATGTGACCAGTAAGCGAGCGGGATTCGGAGATTATTATTGTTATCTTAAGAAAGACAGACAAGTCAGATAGATAGACAGACAGACAGATGGATATATAGACATAGAAAAGTCAAGTCAAAAAAATACGTACGAAGTGTACAATATGGGGGTAGTCAGAACGAGATCCTTTTGAAACTCACTTCCTGTTTTTTTTATATGTGTCATAATTATCTTACATAATTAAGATCGCAAAATCCTGGATCAGCTAAAGACCCAGATCCCACAAGTAACATTTTCCTGCAACAAACCAGACGAAACCTGTGACTTTCAATGCAAGTCTGCTAAAGAAAAGAAATAACGAATGCTATACTGTTATACGTAATTGATGCTAACCCTTTTATTTTTCCAGTCTGGGTTGACCAAGTCGAGTCATTTTATTGTCACTTGAATACATGTGCATTTGAACAAGGTACATTAGATTATATATATGTGTGTGTGGCGCAGAATGGAATGGGAAGGAGAGTGAGGATAATAAAGGAAAACGATTGACTAAAATACATTATCGTCTATTGCTACTATTGGAATTGTTTCAAACATAACAAAAAGAACATGGATATGATAAAAACACAACAAAATACACGTGTGAGACTATTGACTGCCGATGTATCAAGGACGAGATGCTGTGTGGAAAAGATGGCTCGATCGGTAAGAGTTTTTTACTTCTTCTTCTTTATATATATATACAAATTTGCACTACACCAAAGACGCCCAAACTTTCTTTTTTATTTTCTTTCTCTTTTTGGTATTAATGGCTGTATGATATCTTGACATCATTTTTTTTTCTTTATATGTAGATCTTACTGAACTACTTAGAGACGAAATTGTCGGTCCAGCAAGCTTCACCTGCACTGGATCAGACTGTGCATTCTCTGGTAAGCCATGTTACTTATATTAGTTCAATTTTTGTTCATACTCATTGCCATAAGAAATATATTTATATTTATATTTATATTTATCAATCTAAAATCATATCTTCATCAGAACCTGCCATGGACGACTTGATCTCGGCTGTATTTGGTGATGATTCGATCTTTTTGTCCTGTAGTTCTGGTGAATGTCTTCACTACACACAAGTGCCTGGATTTGAGGTATATTGCACTCAAATTTGTACTTTTTTTTTTAAAGAAAAAAAAAACATTTAACTTTACAATAACAATGTAGCGGCCACAACGCCCGATCAACTGGTTGATGATTGTGTCAGGTATTGCCGGTGTCACTGTGTTCTTGCTCATTGTGGGTGCTGTCGTCAGCTATTTTGCCAAGCGATCATCCAATTCAGGGGGATTCATTCTATTGCCGGATGATGAGGCTGGCAAACTGATGTCAGACCACACACCAACCAGTCTGATCTTCGAGAACTTGTCCTACACTGTCAACAAAAAGGAGATTCTCAAGGACGCCTCCGGAATTGCTCGGCCGGGTGAGGTCATGGCTATCATGGGCCCCTCAGGTGCCGGAAAGACAACCCTGTTGGATATCCTGGCCAACCGCACCAAGACCGGCACTGTATCTGGCGACATTTATCTCAACGGACATCGGATGTCCCGCTCAGAGTACAAAAAACACATTGGCTATGTCGATCAAGAAGACACCATGATCCCAACCCTCACAGTCTACGAGACCATTCTTTACTCGGCCCTCTTGAGATTACCGCGCTCGATGAGTGAGGCAGCAAAGAAGTTCAGAGTTGGCGAGGTGATGCAAGAGCTAGGAATAGATGGCATCAAGGATTCAAAGATCGGACAGACCGGCGATCGGTCCATCAGTGGAGGTGAGAGACGCAGAGTCGCAATTGCCTGTGAGCTGGTCACATCGCCGTCCATCCTGTTCCTCGACGAGCCCACCAGTGGTCTTGATGCCTACAATGCCTACAATGTGGTCGAGTCGCTTGTAACTCTGGCCAGAGACTACAACCGCACGATCATCTTTACCATCCACCAGCCTCGCTCGAATATCGTCACCTTGTTCGATCAATTGGTTCTGCTTGCCAAAGGTCGCATTCTCTATTCTGGTCCCCAGATGCACGCCCAGATGTACTTCAAGAGCATCGGATACGCATGTCCTCCTGGCTTCAACATTGCAGATTATCTTATTGATCTGACGATGCAGTCAATTGACCCGGCTCAATCTCCTGGGCAGCCACAGACAGATTCCAATAGACCGATTCAGTCCGACTCTCTCTTGAATCCCATCCCGACCCCTTACGCCCCCGGATCTCCTTCTCTGGCCGACGAGCTGGAGAACACGAGTGAGCAGTGGGCTTCTGAAATGAGTGCCAGACAGGAGCGCCAGAGACAGGAGCGGATCAGGAAGCAGAGACAACAGATCCCGGCCGGCTTGGATGTAGTGGTTGATGACGGAAGTCAGGTCGACCAGGACGGACTCACGCCTCACCTCAGACGCCTGGTGGATACCTACAAATCCAGTCAGATCGCAGCATCCACAAACGACGAAATCGAACGATCTCTTGCAGCAGCGTCCAGCAGCACACCCGAGAGCATTGAGCAAGGTGTTGTCTATGTGCCCAAACCAATCATTACCCACGAACGACCCGGCTGGTTGACCCAGTTCCGCATTCTGGCCGACCGAACCTTTAAGAATCTCTATCGTAATCCGATGTTGATGTTTGCTCACTATGCTATTTCTGTTGCACTTGCCTGTAAGTTTTTCAAATCTATAAAAGTGTTTGTGATACGAGGTACCAAAGGATAGTATATTTACTTTTATTTTTTTTATTTTTTTTAAAAAAAAAACAAAAGTGATTTGTGGTGGTTTGTTTTACAGAGTGTCCAATACAATTGCTGGTTTCCAAAACCGTATGGGGCTCTTCTTTTTCTACGAGGCTCTTTTGGGATTCATGTGCCTTACATCACTCCAGGTGTTTTCGAGCGAACGGATCCTGTTTGTGCGTGAGAGAGCGAATGGTTACTACTCGCCCGGGACATACTTTTTGTCAAAGGTCTTGTTTGACATCATTCCCCTCCGAGTTGTGCCTCCTCTTATGATGGGCTTGATCTCATACTACATGGTCGGACTTGTGGAAGGCACTGCTAATTTCTTCAAGTTCCTTCTTGTCCTGGTCCTGTTTAACCTCACGGCGGCTGCGGCCTGTCTTGTCATTGGCATTGTGTTTAAGAATGGGTCAATGGCAAATCTGTTGAGTTGCATGGTTATGTTGTTCTCTATGCTGTTTGCTGGTCTATTACTAAACAAAGGTAAGAATATATATATACATAAAAGTTTACTTGTTTCTGCGTGTATTTTGATTAATAACTAATATTAATTATTTTTTTCTTAAAAAAAAACAAAAAAAAAACATTAGATTCCATGTCACCTTATTTCGGGTGGTTAAAGCATTTGTCGTTCTTTAACTATGGACTAGAAGCTCTTTTGGTTAATGAGATGCTCTATCTTCAACTTATTGAAGAACGATATGGTCTTAATATTGATGTAAGTAAAATCATTATATATATATATATATAAAACAGTTGATTGTTGGTCATAAATATTATTATTATTTTTTACTGACAAGAGAATAATGTTTATATACAATATAGGTTCCTGGTGCAACAATCTTGTCTACATTTGGCTTCAACGCAAAGAATTACTGGCCCGATGTTATTAAGCTTGGTGTGATGTTCATGTCATTAATTGTATTTGCCTTTGTGTGGCTCGTGTTCTTTGTTAAAGAACGGAGGTAATTGGTGGAAAATGAAGTTATATTTTTTTCTCTACTCCTTTGCCAAGAATTACCACAGTCAACAAGTAACAAACAAACAAACAAACAAACAAACAAACAAGGAAGGAAGGAAGGAAATGAAATGAAATGAAAAGGAAAGAGAAAAAATATACTTCTTCTATTATATTACATTATTACTATTATTCTTCTTCTTTTTCTTTTACTTTTCTGCAACAAAACCTATCTCTATATCTGTATCCCTTATTCGTACCCATATCCATATCCCCATCTCTCTACTTAGCTCATTTGCTTCACTCTATTTCTTTTTGTGTGTTTGTTTTCCTATATATTTTTCTTTTAAAAAAATTTCTCTTGTTTTTTTTTTCTACCTTTAAAATATATATATATATCAATTTCAATTCTTATCTTGTGCATTTGTGGGGGTACTTTGAGTATGTAAAACATATAAAAGGGGGTGGGTGTAGGCATATAATTCATTAGTAACGGTAATTGTGCACTCTTCTATTTATTTATTTATTTATTTTGGTTTTCTTCCTTTGTTTCTTTGACTACAACGTTTTTTGTGCTTCAAGCTCTAGATGATAAGACAAGCATCAGATATAGGTGTGGTGTGTTGAAAATAGAAATCACACAAGACATGAGGTTTTAATGAAATGTAAAAATATTAATAATATACACACTAAAATAAATAAAAGGCAAGATTCTGTGGCGTGTTGAATTGTCAATCCAAAATGGTAATAATGCAAGCTGACACACAAAGATATACGGACAGCCATGCAGCCATGCAACCAACAAAAGAAGAATTGATCTTCGAATTGACAGCAGAAAAATAAATAGGATTTGATATATATAAACTGAGCATGCTCGAAAATGCTTTATTTAAAAAATGATATGCAAAATGGAGGGCCAAAGCCAGTGGGAAGTGAGGTTGGAATTGAGAAGATAATAATAATAAAGAAAGGGAGGATGGGAAAAAAAAAGAGCGAGAAATACTTTCTTTCTTTGTTGTTGCTATTGTTGCTATTGTTGCTATTGTGGCTATTGTTGTTTTGGTTAATCAATTAGACAAAGATCTCTCTTACGGTCCTTTGCATAGACGTCCTTGTACTTGTTGTAGATTTCCAACAGTTCATCAATATACTCTTTCTGGACTGCCTCCAATTGTTCCTGGGTAGGTTCAATCTGGCCTTCTTCAAGCTTAGGTACATCAATAGGCTTTCCAACTAAAATATATATATGAATTGTTATTATTGGTTCAACTATGAATACATTCCACATAATATCTTTGGATATGCCTTTGTTTCGCTCTATTTTATATCATCTTTAATAAACTTACCAACTGTAACTATAGGATGTCTGAATGGCATCAGACCAGTGTCATCTATTATAATTATAATTATTATAAAATAAACAAATAAATAAATATTTTATATAAAATATGTACATGTAGATTGAGAGTCAGATAACGTTGTGCAAACGCACGTTAGCCAATTTACTTTTTTTTTTGAAAAAAAAAAATTACACAAACTTACAATTAAAGACGCCACGAGCATGGAATAAGGGCAAGGTAAAGCCGAGCAGGGCCTGCATTTTCTTTTGGAATTTCCAGACGGGAGAACCCTTTGCGTTGTCTAGCTGGTCATAGAGGTCATTCTCACCAAACGAAAAGACAGGAACCAGACGAGCCTGCTGCTTAATGGCAATTCGGACAAACCCAAGACGGCGTTTCAAGACAAGGTCGTTGATTCCAGGCCGAGCTGCCAATGATTCAGCCGCACCACCAATCACAATCACAATTGAGCGGCCAGCACCCGAAGATAAGATGTATTCACACGATTTACGGGACACGGATGCAATACCAAGACCCATGATAATGTCACGGTAGATTGGGATACGGAAGTTGGAGCTCAGGGTAAGAAGACTAGGCACAATTCCAGGGAAGGTCTTGCTGAATCCTGTAGCCTCGGTGGCGAAGTTTGAAAGAGCACCCATGGAGATAATGCCGTGAGGATGGTAACCAAAAACGTAGTTCTTGCTTGGGTCCAATTCATGTTCCTACCAATGAAAAATGAAAAATGACATGAAATTTAAATAATAAGTATCCATGGAAACGAAACAAGTCTCTCTTTTTTTTATATATATAATTAGGCATATAAATCTGTGTATTACACGAGCTTCTCTTTCTTTTTTTTTTCCTTCTCATTGTCTCTCCGTTGTTTCTCCGTCTGTCTGTCTGTCTCACTCTAAAGATGCCAAGAGAAACTTACTTTGACCAGTTTGGCAGGGAAATAACCGGTGAAATAACGCCAGAAGCCAAGGTTTCTCATCCAGGCAAATCTTCTGCCGCCTCTCTCGGGAACTTTGTCAAGATAAATGAATGTCACATAGGCAATGAGGAGTGGCCAGAGAGTAGGAAAGCACGCGGCATAGATAAAGATTCCCAGACAGATTGGAATCATAAGATTCCAGATGATCATTGTGAGCATCTGTAGTCGTCGTTCGAGAGGTACACCAAGAGGTGCCCAGTGAATGTGCTGGTGGTTGGAGTTCTGGGTCGGTTTAGAGTCTTTGAGGTTTTGTTTGGCCAGTTCAACCTTTTCGTTAAAGGTTTCTTCTATTGTTGTTTTTGTTGTTGGTTTTGTTGTCACTGCTGGTTTATTTTCAAGAACAACCGGTGGTTTCTCGTCAAGAGTTGGGCTCACTGTAGAGCTAAGGAGTACTGGATTTTCCATTTCAGTTTGTGTATGTATAGTCTTTAAAAGGTGGTTTTCTTTTCTTTTCTTTGGAGCGGTTGGTTGTGAGTGACGTTCTTCTTGTAAGAGGCTGCTTTTTTATTTTATTTATGTATTTATTTACAAAAGGTAAATGAGTGAATAAGTAGAAAAAAAAGAAGAAGAATGAAAAGTAGCGCGGGTCAATATATATATATTATTATTATTTTGAAGTGAGTGAATTAAAGCAAAAAAAAAAAAAAAAGAATTACAATTTATTAAATATTATATAATACAATATAAAATATATATGTATTTTGAATTTATATTACAATTGTGTATAACTAAACACATGCCAATGCATGTTCATGTCTCACCTTCTTTTTATTACCTATTATATATATATATATAAGTCTATATATTTCTGCTATTTCGTGACGTAGTACTGAATATGTTTAACAACCTTTGTATTTAAATATTCTTTCAATGGCTCGTGCGAGTGTACCCCTCTTGGCAATTTACTGCGATTTCTTTCTTTACATCTTTGTCAGCTGCACTCGCCACAGAGAGCTGCCTATTCTGACACATATTTGCTTGTGATTATCAACTAAGATGAGTTTTTCCTTTCTGACCTTAGCTCCTTCCCTTTTATATAATAAATAAATAAATATAAAAATAAATATAATAGTGACACAGACCATATGTAAAAATTAAATATAATATAATATTGAATTGAATTGAATTGAATTGAATTGGTTAAAGTACTTTTAATTTAGCTTAATACCTTTACATTGTAGATATCTATAGCTGCTGGCTATGGCTTTATCTCAAGAATCCTGTTTTCTTGAGCAACAGCCAAGTAAAGCCAAAATGAGGGTTTAATAATGGTAAGGAGAGTCCAAGGTATAAAAGTATTGGGGAAAAAAAAGATTGGCTACAAATTGGACTTTCTTACTCACACGAGTTAAAACTTATGTTTTTTTTTTGTTTTATTTTATTTCTCTTGTCTGTTTTGACATTGATAATGGTAATTGACAATATTTAACCAATTGAATTAAAAAGCTAAAGCTTGTGAGCCATATTAATATACAGCAACAGAAAAAATAATAACAATAATGATACCAAATTGTGATTTTGGATCTTTTTTAATGCATTTTTGCCATGGAAAATTGTTTGTTTTTTTTTTCATCAAATAAATGTAACACAATAAACTGTAATTCCTACACTATTTTCCTTATGAAAACCAACCTAAATATTTACAAAAATAAACAATCAAACTATCAGACTAATGGGATTATCCCAACCAAAATAACCAAAATAATTTCTTACCCTAAATAAGTAGAACAAGTAAATAAATATATAAGCAGAAAGAAAAACAGTAAGCTTTAATCAATTGAAGCCATTGTTGCTTTTAAGATTCAAATTGATATCACAGTCTATCTATCTGCAGCACAAGCCATTAACTGACTAGAAAACATCGATATCGGCTAAATAATAGGTGCGTGTGTTTTTATATATATATATATATATTAATATCAATTATTATGATTATGATTATTTTAAATAAATTGAGATAAATGGTATCACACTGTTTTGAGAAAAAGTTGACCAAAAATTGATATTTGATCTTTTTTTTTAACAAAGCACATACATATAGATGATTAGATAATCAGTGCATAGATAAATAAATAAATAAAAAGATCAAATTGAAACGATAGGGGTATGTTTCAAACTAATCAATAGAAAAAGACATCATCAACAGTTTCAATATTTTTTATGGTTCATTATTATTATTACTATTACTATATACGTAAAGCTATTTGGACGGATTGGCTATATAAAGAGTGAAATTGACTATAGATTATCAAATATAGATCTGTATACCATTGACAATAAACTTTTCTAGTGGACGAGTGTTACTGATGTATTTCTATTGGAATTACTTTGAAACATACCCCTTTTTTATTTCCGTTTGTGTTCTATCTACACACTGACTATCTAATGATCATTCATAAAGAATTGTATACATCTCATTCAATTACTAAATGAGTTTAAGCCATTTCTGTCTTTCAACTCGAACAAACATGTCTCTTTATTATTATTGTTTCAATTCTGCCCTTCTTCTTCTTCTTCTTTGCATATAGATATATAGATATATAAAGAAACCAATTATTAAATTACTAGGTCAATTCCAAGAAAGGCATACAGTCCAAGTGAGTAAGAAAGTATTAAAAGGTAGACAAATAAGAGTAACCAATCTTTACATTTATTTTAGCTGCAGAAGATAAACATACAGACACAGATCTGTATAAACACATCTTTATCCTCTAAATAGACGATTAGAATTACTATGTATGGAGACGATCTTTTCTTCTGTCTATCTTCTAGACATTCATTTATTGACAGAGATAACACGGATTACATGTAGATCCAATGTATTTGCTTAGACAAGGAATATATCCTTTCTTTTTATTACTATTATTATTTATATATGTATATCTTGACAAAGAGATATCAATTAATTTTTGTAGTAAAAGTAAAAGTAAAAGTAAATCAAGCCAAACACACACCCGCCCGCATATTATGTATTTTCTATATATTTCTTGTATGTGCATAGTGTCAGGGGTGGCTCAGAAGCCTAAAATGTCAGTAGACATGTCGTATTGTTAATATCTTGACTGCATTTGATAATATTGCTGTTTGGTTATTGCTGTGCTCTACTATAATGTACTATACTGTCCTTCTGTTCTGTATTGTGTGGCTATTATTCACCAATATATCTTTTTTAGTACGTAACAAATATCTCACACATATATATATATATATATTGGCTACTTAAAAAAAAATTTAAAAAAAAGGGAATTGCTTTTCTCTTTCTCTCTCTTTTTTTTTCATACCCTTTATTCAATTGTCATGATTGGAGCCATATTTTTGGTTTCCGTCACATTTTCCTATGCTCTCTCTGTTGGATTATTGGCCATCTTCACCGGTCTAGCCATGAGCAAGCAATCATGCCAAGCACTGTTTGGGACCAATTCTCCTCTCATGAAATATGGCTTATCGGTCGAGATCATTAGTTCATTAATAACAGAGTATTCCTTACATCTGATGACACTCAAAACTGCAGTATTGCTCTCAATTCGATACCTTGGGTTTTGTAAGCTTCCTAAGAAAGAATAGATGGCTAATGGTAGCAGTAATGCCTATTGATGAATATATATTTTAATTTTTAATATTAATATTATACAAATTGACAGCTCTGAATATCCTTTGGTTAATCCAACTATTCGATTGTGGAACCATCCTTGGGCTCATGTTCTTGTTCTATGAAGGGTTTGTGGAGGAAGCTGTTGCGCATGGTGAGATCGGGAAATTAGTTGGTAAAAATATCAACCCTTACCTGGCCTTCACAAGGTAATAATCACATCCAAACAAAAACAGACAAGGAATACTGTTTGGCTTGACTTGGTTGTATTGGGTTTAAGCCCTGAAAAGAGAAGAAGAAAAAGGGGGTGTGTGCTTGAGATAGAATTAATCATTTACACGTGTGTGTGGGTGTGGGTGTCTAGTTTGATAACAATTGTAAAATAAGTAAATAAAGGAGAAGGAGAGAAGAAGAGAAAGAGAGAAAAGGGGGTGAAAGAGGGGTTAATGTTAGGGATAAAGTAAACACAAGCTGATGCCACATTAAATTATTTATTTCTTTTCTAGTGCCAACTACATGAACAAACTTATAAATCCCTTGTGGACATCATCAGACACTATGGTTTATCCTTCAAGTAAGTAGAATTGTATATCAAATAAGGCTCTATTTGAACCAATAAGATTAACCTTTTCTTGTGAACCCTTTTTTTTAAAAAAAAATTATTTCAGTTACCTATGCTACCAATGAAGAGTTGAGGGAAGCCTTTAACATATCTCAGGACTTTAAAGAGGCCAGCAAGATGGTGTTGGATATCTATACTCGCCGAGAAAAGAGAATTGAACTTTATCCTGTTCTGGTAAGATAAATTGAATTGAATATGGGCATATTTATTGGGGCGGAATCATTAACAAATCATCAATCTATCTATTCTTTAGATCAGCTTGCATGGTATTGGCTGGCAGCATGAAACAAAGGATCTCTTCCTTCCACATGAAAAGGATCTTGTTGTACACAACAACTGGGCAAGTGTTTTCTCTTTATTCTATTCTATCAATATATCCAAAACAATCAATTAATGAAACAAACACAATATATATATTTTCCTTGCTTTGGATTTTATGTATCTAGGTCGTTGTGAATGTTGGCTATCGAACTTCTTCAAAGGCAACCTATTCTCATCAGTTACAAGATGTCAAGCGTGCCATTCGATGGATAAAAGAATCAATTCATTTATTTGGTGGTGACCAAAACTCGATTATAATCCAAGGTAAAACCTTTGCTTTTCTAACTTCAATACATCTAATCATGCTGTATATGGCAATGGTCATTATTATTATATTTAATATATATATATATATATAGGCGACTCTACTGGTGTCCATCTAGCAGCCTTGGTTGCATTAACAGCAAATGATCCAAGATATCAACCAGGTAAACCCTTTCTTTTATATCCTTCTTTCTGTTCTCTGATTTTATTTATTATTAATATATAAAATTCTGAGCTTAATGTGTCTAACAATAAACTTTATTAATGTATTGCTTGTTTGTAAAATATATATATATATATATATAGGATTTGAGAGCCTTGATACTTCAGTCAAGGGTGTAATCTGCCTTAATGGTGTACTGGATCTTCAGAGCAATTCCAACCTTGCAAGCAGGTTCATGAACAACACTTTGGGTGTAAAAGTACCCAGCCCAGAGTTTGCCACGGAGCATAACCCAATTGAAGTCATCAAATCAGCCAAGGAAGCTAACAATCTAGCAAAATTTCTGATTGTGAACTGTGGGCGCGATACACTTGTTAACACCTCCGTTTGTCAAAACTTCAAACAAGAATACGATTCTGGTGAGTCTTCCCGCTCTTCTTCACTTTCTTCTTTTTATTTATTTATATATTAATGTTATATGTGTGTTTTGTAGTGTCCAGAACGGACATTGAGAAAGACGAATGCTCTATAATAACTCTGCCGGTAAGAAATATCAAAGTGTCCAAAGTGAACACAACCACAGCCTACAAACAAAGAGACTTATAATACTACTTGTGTACAGAACTCTCGTCATATATTTTACTCTGGTTGGTCTCCTCGCTCTATTAACCTTTCAAATGTGGTACAGACATGGTGCAAGCAATTTACATTAAACTCTTAACTACTTTACACTACAGTTATTTTTTTTTTGTTTTGTTTTGTTTCAAGTAGTTCCTTTAATCATTTTTTATGCACACACACATAAAAAAAACCCCCAAACTAAATCAATAAAGCTTATTAAACAATTACTTTTATACCTATTTGTGTCAATTAATATCAGTTTCTCTATATTTACAAAGTATGATCATTAACAATATTTTTTTTTCCTTTGCTTCTTTTTATATATGTATGTATGCATGTATCTAACTATCTAATATTAATTATATTTCATTTCGTTTCATCTTCTCTCATTTTATTTCATTTTAATCGTGACAGGGAATCTTGTAAATGGCTTAGTTAACCCTTTCCAAAGAGGAAGGATTGAAACGGAGTCCAAGGGCCAAAGAAAGGAGGATAAACAAGTTCTTTTGTAAAACAAAAAAAATACAAAAAAACAAAAGCTCCAACATGGTCGTCCGCATTCGTCTTGCTCGTCATGGTCGCCGCAACCTTCCTTACTACCACATCGTAGTTGCCAACTCGCGCTCGGCACGTAATGCCAAGCCCCTCGAGAAAATTGGCACCTACAACCCTTTGCCAGACGATACCGGCAACAAACTTATCAACCTTGACTTTGAACGTACAAAGTACTGGTTGACTGTCGGTGCCCAGCCCTCTGAAATTGTAGAAAAGTTGTTGGTCAAGGTACTAAAAAGCAAAAAAAAGAGATAATTATAATTATAATTACAATGAGAACTGTGAATTGCGTGTATATATATATGCACAATCCAAGTTGATATGAATAATGAAAAATGATAAAGAAATAACACGTCTTATTTTTTTTTATTTATTTATCCGTGCTGTTCTCACTTAGGCCAAACTTGTTCCTGAGGGACCTAAGCCTTGGGCAAAGGAAGCAGCAAAGGCATTCTCAGCTGAACCCACCGTGTAAATTAATTTCAACAAATAAGAAGAAAGAAGAAGAAGAAGAAGAGAAAAAAAAAGAGATAGACCACTACCATTACCATTACCATTGCCACCAAACCTACCAAACCATAACGACGATAACGACGACACTTACCATAAGAACAACATCCAGTAGCAGCAGTAGCAGCAACAGCAAATAATATCATTGGAAATAAGGAATTTTGGCATACACCTTTTTTTTTCTTTTTCTTTTTTGCTTAATTTCATTTTGTGTTATACTACGAGCTGTGGTTCGGTTAATGCATCCAAGCCTTGTGTGTGTATCGGTCTGTTACGCATTTGTTTTGTGAAAGGGGCTCAAAGGGAAGTAAGGGGTGCAAGGAGAGTATAGATGAAACAGGTTATTACAAAATTGCGCGTACGTGTGTTTGTATGTATGTATGTGAGCGTGGGAGAAGGAGGAGGAGGGGGGATGACATACAAGGTATATCCTTATGATATTATATTACACGCACTGAAGAATAATATCCAATAAATGGCAAACAACAACAATAATAATAATAATGGTGAATTTTATAATACAAGGGTTGGTATATATATATGTATATTATTAAGTAATAAACTGTAATGGTATAAAAACTAAACTGATCCTAATATGGACAGCCAATGAAAAAATTCTCTGATCTATAGGCCCAGGCAGTTGAAAAATTACTTAAAATAGCAGTTTTTCCTTTTTAGGAGAAAAATATGTCGATACTGAAATCTCATACTGGAAAAAAAAATCGGGTTTTTTACCCATGAAAGTCTTCTTAAAATGCGAATCTTGAGTGTCATATCAGACGCCAGAGGTAAAGTATGTTTACCTTATACTACTACATGGTTTATATGATACTTTATTCATCAACTCTATTTATTTTATATTGTCTTTCTTACTTCAACATCTTTTAAAATGACTCATACGAAATGCATAATTGTGTAAATATATACATTTAATTTTTTATTAAAATGTATTGTAGCTGATAAAGAATAAGGTGAATAGATAATATGATAAAGAATAGTAACAGATATATGGTAGTGTATATATCACGGCTTTTAAAAAAGAGTATTTTTAATTGCTAGGCTCGTAGCTAACCCATCTAGCCTTTTTCTTGGCTTTGGGCTTCGACAAAACAATGGGGTGTCTATTTGAATTGAGTGAAGGTGGGGCGGCACTTATAGCAATTGGTTGCTGAGTAGGTGGAGGAGTAAAAGGAGCAGAGGTAGAGAAAGGAAAAGGCGACGTTGAATGAGTAGTAGAAAGAACAGGAAAGATAGGCAGTTGAGACAAGCTGGCGTTGGTATTTACGCTTTGAGAAGCATTGTTGGTAGCCATGAGTAATTGCATTTGTGAATTTAAACACTGTTGCTGGATCATGAGGATTTTTATGTCCTTAGCCAGTTGCTGTGTCGTGTTCATCAGAAGCCAATTCTGCTGGTTACTTTGTTCAATGAAGTTGTTGAAAGAGTTTTCATTTTTCTCAAATCGGCTGTCTTGTTGTTGCTGCAATCGTATGATCCGATGATTTACTTCTGTCACTCTGTTGGCTACCTCTTTGTTCGTACCGACAATGTTAGGAACAAGGCTTTCATACTCTTCTAGTCTACCAATGGAAGGGCTGGTAATGGCAGCTACAATATCCTCTTGGAACATTCTGAAGCTGTTACTTGAGAACGGAAGGTTTCTTGTGTTGATGTGCTTGTTTTCTTTGTTCAAGTACAAGTAAACGACTGCATCTTGTAAGATTATTCTTCTGCATCGTATCAAGAGTCGTAAAAATCCGCGCTTTGCTGTATTGATACTGCTTTGAGTTGCTCTTTGCTTTCCTTTTCTCTTTTTTTCTTTCGACTGCAATCTTCCATCTTCCTCCACGAATTCTACGGAATCTGCTTCTTCATCTATCTCCAAATTTATGATGTTTTCATCCTCATCCTCGTTCTCATCGACTTCATTCATCTCCTTCTCACAGACAGCTACCCACTCTGCATTACCGACACCGAAATAGTCTTCGATCCAAGGAAATACCATCTTTTGTAATTCCATTGGCGGTGACACGCCATTTCTTGCTAGTGAGAAAGGCTTTTCCCAAAAGCCAGCCATACCTCTGGCAAAAGGAGATGGGAGTTTACCCAAGTAATGGGTCTCCAAACGACCAAGTCGATCCTTCCATCCTCCTCCTCGCTTGATCAGATCAAAAGGTATCCCTAAGCCCTCAGCTTCCATTGACCCAGCATGACGGCCACCGTGCGTTACTCGTGTGGTGTATATCTCTTCATCTGCAAGTGCCTTTTTTGCAGTTTTCCATTGAGAAGCGCCAGTTAAACTCTTCTCAGGGCTGGTACGTCCACGCAATACCTTCCAGTTCTGCCATCTGTCTTCGTTCAAGAAGTCACCACTGGTCTATAATCTTTATCAAGAAAGTTAGAAATTATTTTAAAAAAGTCCCTTTTTTTAGCTGGCCAACCTACTTGAAGCAAACTGAACATAAAAAAGGCAAATGCACCAAAAGGACATCTGAATACGTTTTCATGGCGCATGGCACATGCAAATTTGACTTCTCCTTCCTTCAGAGTCTTGCCCTTGTCTAGACTAAAAACCAAAGCAAGAGCCTGTTGCATTCCTTTGTGCTGTTTCTTTGGAATGATCGTGCAAAAGCAATCCGCAAAGTTTAAATTTCTCAAATCCTGATCCCTAAGTAGCATATGGTGGCGGGAAGAGATAGAAAACATCTCGCGCAAGCCTGATTCGCTGTCAGAAGTCCAAAGGCTCTTCAGGATTCTTATAAGTTCGCCAGACTTATAAGAGTCCCGAATCACACAATGGGCTGCTCTATCTACGTTTGTTTGTACTTGGTCGTAAACAAGGTCGTGTTCATACTTCTTGATCAACTCGATCACTTCTTTAGTCTTCTTGGGAGACGGCCATCCAACTTCTCGGCGCTCGGACTGGAATTCGTGCAAGAACATCAAGACTTTCTTGTATTGATTGACAGATTCAATACCTAAAGGAACTTCGATAACTTTCTTGCTACCGTTCTTGTTAGAAGGAGCATTCTCAGCAACTATAAAAATGGGTTGATGATTAAGTATAATTGACGGATTTTTTTTTATGTATTTCATGCAATTTTGTATTACTTTGGAGCAAAGTCAATTGTCTTTCTTCGTTATCTTCTGTTCTTAAGCCAATTTGTGTTCTAACATCAGTCTCTACTGAAACACTTTTCATATACGTTCGCTTGAAAACAAATTCTTTGAAGAAAGCAATAACAAATTCAGTGGGCCCAACAGTGTATGGATACTGAAAATCAACAGGATATCTGTGTCGGTTTTTTTTCGCAAAAGTCCTTCAATTTAAGCAACATTAAAAAATGAATACAATCAATACAATATAGATTCTTATTCTATTGAGTTGAGACATACCTTCCAATGTTCTAAGGGCATTCTGTAAATTGCGGCAGTGCTGGCACGTACTTTCATTGGCAAAGCCTTAAGTGCAAGCTCAAACTCAGACACATTGATTGACGAGCTACTTTGAAGAGCAACAAAGGCATTTGAGCCAACAGAAGTAGACAAATTGGCTGAACTGGACGATTCAGCTGTTGAATTTTCAACCAGCATAATCCTTTTCGATGGTCGACCCCTACGAGCTTTCTTAGGCACCTCTTCAGAAATTGCAGCAATACTAGTAGGCTATAAAGATATATTGTTAATATTGGTGTGCATTTTTTTTGCATATAATCTATTGTCTGTTTTGTTTATACTTGAATTCCGCTAGAAATCTCAGCTTCTTGTTGCTCAATTAAATGCTCTAGTTCTTCCGAATCACGCTCGTTAACAAAGCGTCTCTTAAAAGCAGTGATATTAGTAGGCAAGGGCGACATAATAAATAAGTTTTTGAAAGAAAAAGAAAAATTTAATTTTAAAAGTTAATCAAACTGTGGGCAAACCAGTAATTTCAACTCGCGAGTTGATAATACTAGAAAGTTCCAACAGAATCAATAGTATTCTCAACTCGACTTTCAGTTTAATCAACTCGCTACTACCATATTTGGAAATTTCGGAGTAAAAATAAAGACATTTCATTGGAGGATCCCATTTTTTATTTCCAAAAAAAATAAAATGAGTTACGATACTGTTGGTTTACAATCTGGATTCATTTGGTACAATCACCATTGAAAGGGGTAATTCTACGTCAAGGCCAGAAAGAACCAACTGAGCATAAGTCTTGCCTTGGCGATCAATAGAGAGAGAGCAAAGGCCACCACCACCTTTATGAATAAAAAAAATAAAATAAAAAAAATTCATTATAAATAAATGTATAAAACACTATATAGGTGTGTGTGAATTTTAATTCTTTGCTTACCTAGAGCTTTGGTGAGTACAAAGTTTAATGCATTGAGTCCGGGTAGCTCAAATCGGGTGACAGATCCTTTACAAAGATGTTTCATATACTCTCTTATTACTTCTTCTGTCACCGAACGTTTGATGAAAGGCAAGTATTTTGGATCCCTTGCAATGATACCTACAACAAGTAATAATTATACATCTCATCCACTATTATTAATTTTCCAAATCATTCCTCTTACCGATATTGCACACGTCTCCTTTATCTCCACTCCGCCCATAGGCTACATCAATCAGCTTTACTTTAACCATGGTCTCTGAAATGGTAGATGGTTCTGGAATGACAGGTACCACAAGTGGAGTTGCAAATGATTGGGTTTCATCCCAAGCACCCCAGGGCACTACCACTGCTGCTGCCGATTGTTGAATGGCAACCGTATCAGCAGTAGAAGTAGATTTTTTGCCGACCACGAAACTGGTCTCGATAGAAGTTTTTGGAATCAGACAAGGAAAGTGCACGAGGTTCGGAACAGACTTTGGTCGACTTCCAGCCGCACCAGTAATACCAGGGGCCATACAAGTAGCCGCCTTTAAATTTTTATTTTATTTTATTTTATTTTTATACACACACAAAAAAAATGACATGTAAATTATATATTATATTATATTATTAAGATGTCTATATAGATAACTTACTGGGCTTATTTCCATGGCAAATACTTCAAGTGCCTTGGGATTGTCATGGTGGGCTGTCAATCTCAGTATGATTTCTCTGCTTGGATTTGTAGTCTTATTGGCTCTAATAATAAATTTTTTTTGTACAAAAAAAAAAGAAAAAAAAAAAAAGACAATGACAAGAACAAGAACAACAAATAAATAAATCTACCGACAAGCTACTAGTACTGGTACTAGTAATAGCACTAATTCTAATGCTAATGCTAATATTAATGCTAATTTTTCTAATTTTGCTTACCCAAAAAGATGCTCACTTCCGAGTGCTTCGATGTTAAGGTCTCGAAAGTCAGCTAGACCCAATTGTTTAAACAGAGCTTGGGATCTTTGCTGGATGGCCTGGCCGACCGCGAGTGCCTTTTGGCTGGCCTCATGGCCGGCCACGACCAGCTCGGCACTGATTTTCCAGCCGTCGACAAAGATACCCGAGCACTTGAGCCATGGAGTGGGCCGGCTTCCCTTGGCCCCCTTGACAAGCACTCGGTCCGGCCTGACCTGCGACACCGTGACCTGGCGCATGTCCAGGATAACGTCGGGCAAGAGATAGAGTGCAGGATCAAGGATCTCGTAGAGAATCTGTTCGGCCACCGTGGCAGGAGTGACGAGGCCTCCGGTCTGGAGAGGCTTTGTGACCACAAAGTAGGTTCCGGTCTGGTCAAACTCGACAATGGGGTATCCCATGTTGGCGTACCCGCCAAACGCAGACTGCGCCGCCAGTCTCCAGTCGGTAAAGTTCCCGCCCGTGGCGTGGCAGCCGCACTCGATAATGTGGCCTGCCAGAGAAGCCATGGCAAGTCTGTCGTAGTATTCTGGATCCTGGTCGTCGTTCCAGCCGTATTCGTGGATCAGTGGTCCGACCACCAGAGCAGAATCGACGACGCGGCCGGTGACGACAATGTCAGCCCCGGCATCCAGAGCACTTGCGATGGCCCTGGCGCCCAAGTATGCGTTTAGTGACACGATCGGTTCTTCTGGAGCTGGCATACGGTCGGCGTCTAAAGTGTGGTTTGTGGATGAGATGGTTGAAAAGGGTTGCAGGTTAGGTATAGACCCAAGACAGACTGGTGCTGGTGGTAGTGTTAATGGATGATCTTTATGATCATGTCCTCGATTACTACTTTTGCTACTATTGCGACGATTATTAGGATCACGACTATAGTCAGGACGTGAAGAAGGATTGTTGATATGATTGGTGTGCTGAAGAACATCATCACCAATGACTGCAGCTACAGTCAGGGTAGTGTGGAGATTGAGTTTGACCAAGAGGGCTTCGATGGCGTGTTTGCACTGAATGGGGTCTAGGCCGCCAGCATTGGTCACAACCTTTGTTCGATTTTTTGCTAAATCGGGGAGGATAGGATGTAAAACCAGGTCGATGAACTCTGCGATGTAGTCTGTGGCTTTTGGTTGTGGTGGTGGAGGAGTATTATTCTTATTGTAATTCGTGGCCAGACGGCGTTTTCTACGTGATGCTAGAATACCCACAGTGATCTCTGTCAAGATAAAAAAAAAGAGAAATTGTTATTTATATAGATAATAAGGTATAGAAAGTGGGATGACTTTGTGTCCAAGATATGCTTATATATATATATATATATATTTTATATAATAAATAGGTTTAGTGAGAGATAGAGAATGTTACCTGCCAGATAGTCTGCAACAAGGTAGTTTAGAGAGGAGCCCTCATGTTGAACAAGTTGACGGGCAGCAGCGGGAGAGTCACCCCAAAATGCTGAGTAGCATCCGATGCGAACAGTGCGTGGTTTAGGTTTGTGAATGAAATCCATTCTTTTGACCAAAGAGATAGAAGGGTAAAGAGGAGTAGAAAAGAGAGAGAGAGAGAAAGGGAGAAATGTGGAGTTGAACAAAAGAAGAAGAAAAAAGAGAGAATTGATTGGCTATAATGAAAATGTGTATATATATATATATATATATATATATATATAATAAAACAAGTCTGTTTGCTTGTTTGTTTGTTTTTTGTGTGTGCGTATAAATCATAAATAAATAAAGAATGTATAGCATAGGAAACCTTCTTACTGGTGTTTCAACTTTAAAGTGTACAATTTACAGGGTACAAGGTCTGATTTTGGGAAGAAATAAGCTGTGATAAATAGGTTAGGAAAAAATCAAGAGCAGAGAGGAAATCCCAGGATCACTTGACCATGTAGACAAGACATTGTTTTGTATTGCATTGTATTGGCTACAAACGAAAAAGCCCAACAGTCTAGATGAGTTTATAGAAGCATTTCTTTGCTTTGCTTTATGTTGGATCCCAAACCATGGCTTAGAACCTTTCTAATTTTCCTATATAGAGTGTGATGAGCTTAGTGAATGATTTGAATATTGACAACCGCCCTTTATTTTATTTTATTTTGACCAAAAAATAAATACCAGTAAATTAAATATGTACAAAAATATACAAATTTAATAATATATATATATATTTTTTGACATTTTTATATAATATGCTACGTATATATTATCTTGGGGGGAAGAGCGAGTTATTTTTACTTGATGATGCGAGTGCTTCGGCCGAGTCCTAAAATATAAAATGGTAAAATAGAATATAGAACAAGGCGGTGGGTCCCAGGCAACACTGTAAGACAAATGCTAATTTGACGAATATTATATATATATAAATTATAAAATTTATTCACAATAAAATAAAATAAAATAAAATAAAATAAAATGTATCTATAGAATATACACATATATACATATATGTAAATATGTATCTGTATAAATGTATATATAATAAAATATTCTAAACCTTGTCAGATTTACCTTGAGGATCCAGGGCCCAGTCTTTGGGATCTACCGATAATATATATATATAAAAAATAAGAGGGAATGAGGTGCGGTTAGTGTAGAGTATAAACTTTAAATAATATATATATATATATATAAATCAGAGAAGAGAAAAGCGCGACAGACTATCGGAAAGTGAACCCAAAATCATAAAAAAAAAAAAAAAAGAAAAGAAAAAAATAGCTATAAAACCCAAAGAGATGAAATTCATTTCAACTTCCTTACCCCCTCTCTTAACCCATCTTCTTTACTTCTTCTTTACTTCTTTACTTGAAGAAATCCTGCCATTAAAAAACAATAAAAAAAAACAAAGAAAAAGACGTACAATATTATTTATTTGATTTCAATTGATTGATTAATAAATAAATATAATTTTTTATATACATACAAACTTCTATACATCTTTACATAAAATAAATAATAAAATTAAAATTAAAATTAAAATAAACCGATTCTTTGATTATTATTTATATTTATTTTTTTCAATACTCCTTTGTAATCAATGGTTCCCACCCTTACAAAACTCGACGGAGACTGGTTCTACATCAGGACAGTCTCTAATGGCAACGTAGCCTCTGCTGGGCCAATCATCGCAGCAAACGACGTAGAGACCACTAGGTCCGAAATCCGTGTCGAACCACCAAAATATGACGACAGCGAACTCTGGTGCTGGAAAGACCGAATGCTTGTCAACAAATCTAACGGAATGGTAATGAGCATTCGTAAAGGTACAGTCAGACAATCAATCAAAAAACCAAAAATGAGACTAACCTATTTTTTATTATTATTATTAAAAACAAATCTTATTTTTTTTAAGGTCGCCTTCGTTTGATCGAAGATACCGAGATCTGTCTCTACCCAAAAAAGTCTGACGAATACATCAGCCAACAACAGTGGGGTGTTCAACACGACGACTGCCCATTTGGAAAACGACTGGAGGGATGCCTTTTGTACTCTTTCCATAGCAACGACTGGGTGTTTGATATCCAGACCCATGTAGTGAATGGCGACACGAAGCTTATCCTGTTTCCTTACAAGACCATCGATAACGACACCCAGCGATGGGAGCTTGTCTCACCAGCCGACATTCTTCAATACAGCAGACCGTCGTCAGGATCACTGTCCTCGTCATTCTCACCAGTATCCCTATCATCACCAACCGGTTTCCAATCAAACTCTGTTTCTGCATTCGGGTCACCCACCATCGGCGACCTTTCGCCCTCGACATCGTCCTCTTCATCCCAGATCATGTCCCAGGAACTAAACGGATCGATGGAGTTTGCCTGTGGACTCAGTCCCTCAAAGCGAGGCTCCCAAAGCTCGGCTACCGGATTACCTCTCGAGACCTACCGAGAAAATCACCAGGCAGTTTACCATGGCAACGGAGTACCCTCAAGGTACAAAATTAAAAAAAAAAATACAGAAATTTGGACTAGCAAATTCTTTCTTTTTTTTTATATATATTTAACTTGCTGATTTGATTATAATCTAAAATAGATTTAGAGTAAATAAACTAATCTTTTTTGTTTTTTGTTTTGTTATATAGTGACAAGATATTGGCAATGGCAGCGGCATATCAAACATGGTTGGACTGGAGCCAAGACAAGCAGTCTCAGAGTAGCCCCACCGAGCTCCAGAACCAAAGAGCGCGACACGAAAAGACGCGCGCACGGTTGCAATCGATGGCACGGACCGAAGTAAGTTTTTTTTTTTTTTTTTAAATGCCCGGTATAATATATATATTTTTTTTTAAAAAAAAAAAAAAAGATTTGAAATTTTATTTATTTATTTATTTTTTTAAAAAAAAGGTAATCAAACTTGTGAATGCCAATACTACGTCTACCTCTAATAACCATTCTGCCCACCGCGACAATACCATTTCATTGACTAACCGGTTCATCACTCAGCTGTATGAACAGATGCCAATGGCCTAAGTATGGCTTCTTTTATATCTACACTCCACAAAGATCTTTTTTGTGTGTGTAGAGTGCATTTGTATTTGCTACCTTGTTGTACCTTGTTGCACCTTGTTGTACCTGCATTTGTATTTTGTATTTTGTATTTTTTATTTTGTATTTTGTATTTTGTATCTGTGACCTGTAGGCTTTTACCAGTTATCAGTTTACTTGTATCTTTTTCTTTTTTGTACCTTTTTTTTTTTTTTTATTTATTTGCCTTACCTTTCCTTTGATACTTTTATACTTCTTTATTATTTCTTTTATTGCACCTCTCTTTTAACCAAACAACAGCAAAATTCATTCGCTACCTTTCCTTACCTTATCTTACCTTTAAAAAAAAAATTCTCTGTATGTTTCTTTCATTTTATTTTTGTTATCAACCAGTTTATGCCACTTCTTTTCTCTCTCTATTTTTTATATATATATATATCAGTATTGTAAACACTCGAACCATCACAGCACATCACCAAACAAACAAACAAACAAACAAACAATAAATCAAAAACATTGATATGCATGTACCCACAGACATACAATATAATATAAAAGATAGAGTCTCATCACCAAAAAGAGTAGAGTAGAGTAAAGTAAAGAGAGTACATGTGCTACCTTTAAATAGATTTTTAATCAGATGTGATCACCACACTAAGCTCACAAAGAATAGTATTATATACATCTACAAAGATTCTTTTTCTTTTTTTGGATTAACATAAAAAATAAAAATAGAATAATATAAAACAAGGGGATCTCGGAATGATGTCCGTTGGCGCAAAAAAAAAAAAATAAGAAAATGAACAAGTCCGCCCTGCTTCCGATATTATAATATATAAATATAAAATATATTATTTCTTTCCATGGGTCAGGGTATCTTTATTTATGAATATTATAAGAAGGGATTGACCACTGTATTGTGACCCTTCCTTTTTATTTTCTTGTGTGTATCTCAAGATTTGTGTTACAAGATCTTCTCAGTTCAAGTGTCTCTATGTATTGTCTACTTGGCCGCATTAATTATCTACAATTACAACTATGCTTTTCTTTCTTTCTTTATTATATTATATTATATATTCAATGGTATTCCCATTCACACAAAGGATAATTTACATGTCAGAATACATATGTAAACCAAATACTTGAATCAATAATTGTGTATATAAAAATAAAAATAAAAATAAAAATAAAAATAAATATATAAAAATTGTTTTAAATACAGATTAGGAAATGAAGATAAAAAAATAATAATAAAAAAAAAAAGAACTATTCTCTTGGCTGTGTATATGTTGCTGGTGTATGGAATTTGTTGTTTGTGCGTGTATATGTAATCGAAGATAAAATAAAATAAAATATAGGGTTAAAGGGAAGATGGGGAAGTTTAAAAGAGGTTATAAAAATAAAAATAAAAAGGGGGGTTTGAGGAGGAGGAGGAGGAGGAGGGGGGGGGGGATAATAACAACATAGAAGAAAAAAATAAGGTTAGAAAGGGTGGATTGTAGTAAAAAATTCAATGATTTTTACTTCCTTTGTTTTCATATTCTAAAAAAAAATTATCTTTCTATTTCGATTCCTGCTTCATTCATTCATTCAAGTCAATGTATGTTCGTGTGGTCTACGGGGAAGATGTTTAAATTGTCGCAGATCATGCTCTGTCAATGGCTCTGGTATCGACTGGCTAGAGTGCAGCGAACTATTGCTACCAGTGGATGTTGACGATGTAGGACATATGTAGTACTGAAAGTCAACAGCAGCAGGGTGTGTGTGATGAGGATTGAATTTTGGTAGTCCATTGTTGCTCATATGCGAATAACCCTGATAAATACTATTCGATTGATCAGAGTACAACTACAAAATCCACAAAATGTTAACCAATCAATCAATAATAATAATAATAATAATTACCATTGATTTGTGTCCATCTAATCCAAGACTCATCGATGTATTGGCTGTACCAGTCGAAACTGATCCATGTCCATACACAGGATTCATCAGTGATACCTGGGGAGGGTTCATCCAAATATCCACATTTCCTGTCAACCCAGAGCTTCCGACTCCACTCCCACTTCCTATTACTGCTCCTCCTCCTCCACCACCACCACCACCTCCTCCTCCTCCTACAGCCGAAGTTCCACCGCCAACACGGTAACCGAGTCCTCCGCTTCCTGCCATGGGTAAATTACGTCTGTGTTTGGCAAGCGCAATCTCTTGCTCGGTCGACTGCTCCAGAGGCGTGTCAAAAATAGCACGGATATTCTCAGCTGTTCTTGGCGAATTGATATCCCTGAAATGTCTCCAGGAAGCATCCAGCACATTGCTTCCACTTGTACTACCAGGGTAATCAAACAAAGAATAACTTGAAAATGTACTCAAAGAAGGTGTGGGTGATTGTGGTTTTTGCTGTTGAAGCTGTTGAAGCTGTTGCTGTTGAAGCTGTTGCTGTTGAAGCTGTTGCTGTTGAGATTGAGATTGATGATGATGATTATGATGATGGTTTTGCTGTTGCTGTTGCGATGGTTGATGAATATGGGATTGGGATTGGGATTGGGATTGTTGGTGTTGCAAAGGTTGGCTCTTTTGTGATTGTATTGATTTTGAATGTTGGTGTTTGTACTGCATTCCTGGTAACTCAGCTAAACCAAAAAACAAATCAATCCCCCCAAAAAAAAAACAACAAAACATGTAAGAATCATTTTCTTCTGTTTCTTGACATCAACAAAAGCAAGAGGGTGGGAAGGCGAGAAAGAATCAAAGGAGAAGAAATAAAAAAAAAGCCTCTTTCTCTCTCGATCTATCTCTTTTTACTAAACTAAACTGTACAGTAATATACCGTACTCCACTCCACTATACTGTACTGCAAAGTACTGCACAACACTGCAATGTCCTGCAATGTACTGCATTCTATTGTATTGTACATCATTACACTATTTACCTGAGCATGTGACAGAAGGGAGGACCTTGTTTCCAAAAGAAATTCCAAAAGAGTCTGTCACAGAACTGGTGCTACTAGATCGTTTGGTATGGAAGGCCGGTTTGGGAGGTGGGTCATCATAAAGTCTGACATGTTGAGACTTTAGGAATCCAATAAGAATGTCGAGTGCTGCAGGTAGACAATCAAGGTTACCCTTGTTCATCTTGAGTACAATAACCTGGTCGTCTGCGGCACTGATATGCATACCCATACTAAAAGCCATACCAATGCTGCTGGTGCTGCTACTAATACTGCTCGTGCTACTACTGCTACTGATATTGTTGTTGTTTTTGTGGTTCTTATTGTTCTTGTCCTCGGTTAAAGTAGTTGGCGTAGCAGAATTGGTTGTCTTTACATTCATTTCCTGCTCAAGACGATCAACCACGGCCTCTTGGTAGTGATCAGAGTCCAGGATTGCGATCAGATTGGTTGAAAAGGGCACATGGATACAATAGTCTTCTGGCACACAAGCTCTCAGCATCTGGGCCGCATTTCCGACCTGTGCCTCTGGGCCAACCAGAGTTACGGCATCGCTGGCCAGTTCGTGGTCCGGCCAGAGTATGCGCGTGTTGGCCTTTTGGGAAATGTCTTTTAGGTACTGTTCGTTGTCCCGGATGAGTGTCCTGTGCATCCGAAAGGGAATTCCGACTGTCTGGACCACAAAGTCCTTGTCCTTGGCACTGATCAACTCCATAACCGCATGTCGCAAGTTGTCCAGATTGAGCTGGTTCTTCATCGGCGTTCTGGCCACCACATTGTCATCGTTTCCGTAATACCCTCCAAGCGCGGCAAATTCCTCGGCGTTTGAGAACTTGACATAGACGCCGTACTTTTTCATGATGCGTTGGATATTTTTACCTCCGACGCCAATGATACGCTTGTGGTACGTCTCTGGGACATAAAACGAGATCTCGGCAGGAAGTTCTTCTTGGAGCAAGGTCAGGCCATCGAGTGCCTTGGTGAAGCTGGTGCTCTCGACCTCGATAATGAAGTTGTATTCACTGAACGGCATGAACTTGATCTTGGCTCCCGAGGTCTTCATGATCTTGTTGATCTTGCCGCTCTTCTTACCACTGATGAATTCGCGTTGCTCGTTCGAGAGCTCGACGCTAAAAGTGGTGTCTTGGTGGAACATCTTTAGGAAAGTCATTTCGTGTAGTCGCTGGTAGACATTTCGAACCGCGCGCTCGGTGCCGTGGACCTCGATACAGCCAGGGTCTGTTTTGTAGGCGACTTCTGCGCCTGATATCTGGGACAGTTGAGTGACGAGATTGGCGAGGTTTGTGATTGAGTTGAAAAAGGTATTTGAACCGTCGGTGCCGTAGATTGCCCCATCGCGATTGTTAAAGTAAAAGCAAGCCTCATAAATTGAACAAGCCTTGATGAAGGTATCAGTAATAAGATTAAGATTAAGATTTAGATTATATATATTTAATTATATAAAGGTGTTAATTACCACAATTTACTTACAAGGAAATTAAGGGATCGAAGGGTGCGTTCTGCATTAACTCGGTTCTCTGCATAAACAGTAACAAGACCAGTACCGGAACCAAGTGGAGGCAAAGCAATAAAAGAACCTATATATATATATATATTTGGTATATTAATAAACAGACTAATTCGATTCAATTGACTGTAGCTTGTATAGTCAACTTTATTGATCTTGATTTCTTACCATTGTCATGCATGATTGTGCGCAATTCATCTCTGCGGTGAAGGAGCATCCAGTCTAGTTTACGGGCGTGCATGATTGTATCCTTGTGGTACATGGACTTGGCCTATATATATATATAAAAGGTGAATAAAGTAAAATAATATTAATATTAATTTTAATAATAATCACAGTAATCATAATCATAAGTCTTTTTTCTTTCTTTCTTACTATTTTTCTATTATATATATATTAAATTGCTACTGCTACTATTCAATATAATTACTTGAATAAAGAAAGAGAATAGAAATATTGATTGATCGATTGGTTCTCTTTGACTCACCTTTTGAGCAGCAAGTTTAGTCAGCATATCTTTGACGCGAGATACGCTACTAGGGTCTCCGGTAATATAGATTGGTGGAGAGAATTCTGAAGAGCTTTCAGAGGCATTATTATTGAGAGGGTCAACAAAGGGCGAAGGAAAATAGATGTTTGTCAAGGTTTCTTCGATAATAGGCTGTAGAGCTGTACGTTTTCTGCCACAGATGAGAGGTTGTAATCGCAACGGGATCTTGACAGTATCAATGCTCAAATCGGACTACAGGCAAAAATAAATAAATATATGGTTATTAATAATAATAATAAAAAAAAAGAAAGAAAATAGATAGATTTAATAGACTCGATGATAATAATATTATTATTGTTATTATTAAGAAGAAAGAAAAAGAAAATTTGATAAATCAAATAATAATAATAAAAAACAATAAATAAAGCTTGATTGATATTGATACATTACCAAAGAATCTAGGATGGTCAATACGCGTACACGGGCTATTTCAGCTTGGGGAGGAAGTCCATCGATCTTGATTGTGATTGTGTTTTCCGAGGCAAATGCAGAGTGTTTTGGTGGTGGATTGGTGATTTTGATGATTGTTCCGGTTTGTTCTTGGATCTCGTCGCATGGGATTCGTAAAAGGGTTAATTGAGGACAATCGTGAACGGGGATCTTGATATCGAGATTGATCTACAGTGAGAGAAATATTACAAATGACAGTAATAATAATAATAAGAATAAATAACAATGTACATTGATATTTTCATTTAGTTTCTTTTATATTATTAAATATTAATAATATTAATAATACTTGTTGTTGTTGTTATTGATATAATATAAAAAATAATAATAGAAATAATGAAAATAATGGAATCGTGTGGTTCTGTTTTATGTGTAGGCTTGCCTTGAAGGGTGAATGTTGAAGTAAATCGGCACGGGCGGCCATGACGGTGTGTAGTTTCCCAGCAAGGGAAATAGTGTAGTCGGTGGGCGTGTCTACCAAAGGCGTCAAATGTGGCTTGCTCGAGGACAGTGAAGCATCGGGTGCAGTTGAGGCCAGAGCAATTTGACAGCAGTGGCGAGTCATGACGTTATTGCAGGTATCGCGCAGGTTAGCTAGGACTGAGTCGTCATGACTGGGGGAGGAATCGTAGTTGCTATACTGCCCAGACGCGGGCGGGGCATAGCAGAAGGAAAATGCTGCTGTCTGAGACATTGGTATCCAAAAGTAATAGTAAAAGTAATGATAATATTTTCTCTTTCTTTTTTTTTGTTGGTTTGTTTTCTTTTTTTTTTCGGTTTTTTTTCTAGCTTTTTTTTTGTGATCTTCTTTAAAGGAAATGTATGTATAAATATATGTATGTTATATGTATATGTGTATGTTATATGTATATATGCGTCTGTCTTGGTTGGTCTATAAATATATATATATAATATATATATAATTCTGGGTTGTGATTAATATCAATATTAATTTTTGTAAAATGATTATGCTTAAGGGTACATTTCTTACAGGTAAATTGGTAGTGTATGTTGTGTATGTTGTGTGTATATGTGATATATATTTTTATATATATATATATATATATGATATATTATATATATATATATATAAATAATATTATATATATATAAAAATATATATATCTATATATAAAATAAAATAGAGAAAAAAAAATATATAAGAAAAGAAGAAAGGAAAGGAAGAAAGTAAAAGGAAGAGCAGAATGTATTTGGCAGTACGTTGAGATTTACAAGTCTTCACCTCAAAGATGAAACATTACCAATGCCTTTAAGGCTTTATTATTATTTTCTTTTTACTGTATTCTTCTGTATTTTTATATTATATATGTATATATGTTTATTATATAATATAATTTTATATACTTATTTCTTTTTTTTTTAAAAAAAAAATTTATTCCTGCAATTTAAACAATGGCAAATCAGTAATACGTTGATGTCCTTTCTATGTATGTAATGTAGTGTAATATGTATATAGATGTCACAATAGAAAGCCAACGATAAATCCAAATTACTAAACATTGGAGTTTAAGGAGTCTGTGAAATCATTACAATTAAAAATATTACTACTGATTATAAGAATAATAAAATCAATAGCATTTCAAAATTGTTTCAATTATTCAATTATTATTTTCATATCCATTACTAGTACAATACGTACAACAATTGGTTCTACAACACAGATAGATATATGTCATTTTATTGACATTATTACATATACACTTTTTTAATTGGCCATGTTTCTTATAGCTGAGAGTCTTTTTTTTTTTTTCCTAAATTTTTTGTTTACCTTTAATTTTTTTTTCTTTCTCTCTCTCTCTTCATACTATTATTTTATTACTGAAAAATTCTCTTTTTTTTTTAAAAATATTATCCATGTCTTTTATTTATATTTTTTATATATATATATATATATAGAGAGTGTGGATATTCACATTTATTTGTCAGCTTATTTTCAATTGATTGAATATATACATACATAAAATAGCTATTTCAAATTACAAGATAATATTGGTATCTGTCAGAGAATATACATTACACCTAAAGAGCTGCTAGGATTCTCGGTGTACATACATATACACATGTATATAGATATATATATATATATAGATGTATGTATGTATGAATACAATTGAGAGATGTGAATACCCAGTAAGGTAGAGAGCTTGTGTGACTGGGAAATTCTCTAATTTACATTTGTGCTCTAAAATAACCACTGTGACGTTTTTTTTTCCTGATAAACTTTTATCTGTCATTTTTTTTTTAAAAAAAAAAGATTAGATAGAAGAAGTAGAGGAGGAGCAAGAAGAAATTACAATAGACACACAGATATAGATATGGATATGTAAAGGAGAGACAATAGAAAAAAAGAGGAAATGATTGTTACCATTAACACTGCCTGTCATTGCCACTGCCATTTATGCACCATAAAATATATAGTAATAGTAATAGTAATCATGATAATTATAATTATAAAAAATTATTGTATAGAGCTGTATATCAATGTAAGCAATAGAATGTCAGTAGAGTTGTTGAAGATCTGTATCTTGTTATTGCTGTTAATTAAATTCACTAATTTACCCTAGCAACAATAGTAAACCATTTTGGAATGTATAAATCAAAATGATAAACACTAGCAATAAATACAGTCAAGAAAGGTAAATGATCGACATCAATAATTGGAAAAACCTATATTATTCGTCGATAATCAGTTTGTTTTCTACTACATGTATTATTCGCCAATTGTGAATAGGGTTATTTACAGAATCTTGCATTACTTACATTAATATACATAGACAGTTATTGGGGGTCATTATTCATGAATACTTGTCGCTAATCAAGACAGTGATGGCATTATGAGCGCTAAATATTCGGGCCCGACACTTTCCCTCTCGGGCACGACGTTCCTCTGAAGCACTACGTTTATTCTAATCTCCGCCATATTACCATTTACCAGCCTCATAAAAAGTGACTTGTAGAAGATTACTTTGCATGGTTAGGGACCAGATGAAATTACTGGGTAACTGGATCACAAGTAAAATCAATTTTGTTAAATGACTTGATAAATAAAGTACCTTTTTTTAATTTTATTTATTTATTTAATGTCGATAGTTTGGTTCAATCTGTGTAATGCTATCAGTCATTTATGCTATTTAATTCGCTGGATATAGACGTAAATAGTAGAGCAAAGTACTTCCCGCAAATGGTTTTCATGAAAGAAACAGAACGGAGAGCCATTTAACTTGGAAGTAATAGATAGCTTATTCTGAAGCAAAGAAACGGATTAATAAAATCTATAAAGGTAGAAAAATATTGTCTAGCTAATAAAATACAAGTAATATAATACAAGGAAAAGAATAATAGAAATAGAAGGAAAATGAAATGAAAACATCTTGGAGTAAGATCAACTGGTTGATCTAGATTAGAAAGTATAGAGAGCATGTCATTTCTGCGATCATGCTTATTAAAGACTTTAAACTTATCCCAGTAGGTATCAAAGCTATCAGAAATCTGGATCCTCCCACAGCCCAAAGAAAATAGCTCTGGAATAGTTGGCCATTTCCTCGAGATATTGCAGGAAAGGTCAACTATTTTCTAGTGGTTATTGTTAACATGATTAAAAATCAGAGTTTATTGGTGCTTTACTTTGTTGGAAGGGAGGAAGAATAGGAGAAAAGCCATGGGGAGATTTTAAGATTGTTGAAATGGACACAGACTCATTGTTTGTATGTATCCGCAGCTAGTTGAGCACAGTCAGGTGTGTTAAACCACATACTACCATCTGAAAATGCTGGAATGAAGCTGTTGTTGTTTATTACTTTTTGTGCAGTTCCAGACCTTCCAGACCTTCCTGCCCTCATTCTCGCTTTTAGCCTGACCTTTGCCTTAAGGCCAGCCTAGAATTTCAAAATACATATTAGTTCTTTATTATGTTAGCATTTCTATTTTTCTTTTATCTTACATGGCCATACTAAACACTGATCTTTCCCCAGTTTGTTCGACTAAAGTCCTTTGGAAAGTATTTTGGGCATGCACTACCCTTTCGTATGTCAGGATACTTGATTCTTCTAGGGCTTAGAAGCTGATAGAAGGGTGCACAATTCTGTCTTCGAATTCAAAAGTAACCGTCTTGATCTTACTCAGGGGGTTGGCCACTTGCTGGCTGCCACCGCAAGAGCAAAATAGTGACCCGAGTTTGATGATTTCCTTTATCCACACCTCTGACTTTTCATCGACTCTAATTGTTTCTTCAAGATTATTTTCGGCTGGTTTTGCCATACTTGTTAAGAGCCAAGTCAAACTTTCTCTTGATTTTACTATGGATCATGCTGGTTATGAGCCTTGTAAGCTTTTCCTTCTTTTCTACCAAACCTACTTTTACTGAAAAAACCTTCATCACGCTATTCAACATATGCCAATAGAAAATCAGCTTGTTGTTGTCTGAAAATACAATGTCCAGAGCGTTTATCAATGCAGTGCACTTTTTTTCCACAAACACTGTGCTAAGTGTCTTGTCTTCGAAAACAAGGGGTTTGAGTTGCTGAATAAACCGAATACATGTGTCTTGGTGCTCATTAGAAACCCAGGCAAATGCAGCTGGGAAAGGTTTGAGGGCTTCTCCTCCAAGGTTGTGGATACCTTCTACGCGAACCAAAAGTATCTCCAACTTATTGGTAAAATATACTACATCAACCGCCATAACTTCGAAGAAGCAGCGAGCTCCCTCCATCACCTTTTGACTGATAAAAAAAATTACCTTTCCAGAAAACTGTCTCTGCTTACGTCATAGTGTACTTGGAAACCTTTTGCTTCAATCGTCTTAACAAGTCTAGTTTCTACATTCTAGGCAACAGGGACAGAAATTTGAGCAAAGGCAGCCTTGATATTGTTGATATCGCTAATGTACAGCTTATTATTATCGTCTGTCTCATCTGTAATAGATCTCTGGATCTCACGAGTCTTGGTATTTGTATCTACAGGCATAGAGATTTGCTTGGCATCTTCAGAAGTAACTCTTGAAAATCTGCCTTTCAGAGTCGATTCCAAGCATTTATCATGAGGAGGATGATTATGGGAGATCTCCGTTTCACTAGAAGCTTTCAGGGAAAGATATTCATTGGTTATTTTCTTGTAAGATAGCTTTATAATGTAAGGACATCCAGCTTTCGAGCTAGGACAGATTTTTATATGATCGCAGTCTAAGCTTATGGATATTTCTATAGTGACCACCCCTGGTCCACTTTAAGTACATTCGAGTTGGTTTACGGTCTTTTGTTCCAAGAGTAAAGCTGTTAGAATGTGTATACTCCTGCGTCTCAGAAGTCGGCACCGTCATATTGGCATACCCATTGTCTGATGTAATAAGAAAGCTTTGTTGAACGGGATAATATTCATTTCTTTTGATAAAAATTGATTCTTTATTGATAGTGTTCATGTTGAAGTGATCTCTATTGAGCGGTTGCTAATAGTGTTTTTACAAGTAATAATTTGTAATAGTAGACGTAGTACTCTTATTTATTTCGAGGAAGACGTTATATTATGTAAACGTTGTCTAATTGTTACAAGATGAGTACATAAAAGAAAAGAAAAGGTTTTATAGCGAGCCTTTCACTAATTTCTTCGGTTCACAACACCTTTTTTGCTTTACGGTACACTGCTATCATAGAATGATGTACCATAGCCACCTTCTAGGGGTACGGTACATGATGAAAAGCAATGTTTATAATATTTCTCGTACTCTATAGAAACGTCGTGCCCGAGAGGAAAAGCGCCAGGCCCGAATAATAGCTGTTAATCAGCTCTAGCCATATTTAGAAAACCGATTTGCGGGGATTAACAAAAGTCAAGCGCTGTCCCTGGAAATAGACTTGTTATTTTTTATATATATACATATATCTGTCCATTCTTTCTTTGGCTTGACAGCTTAACCTTATTATCAGTAACATGCTCGCTCTTAGACTGCAAAGTCAACCTTTGCGTAGTCCTTTGGTGACAAGCATTCGCAATCTCACTTTAGATGTAGGACATGCAATCTCGTTTTTTTTCCTGCATTCAACATTCCCGAACTCAACATGCCAATTCATATTATGTTTATTCGCTAGGGACGAAACCGACTGTCTGCTCGATTTATGCCACTCACTAAAGATACAATTGCAACAACAAGTAGTGATGCAGCAGCAAGTCACGCACTTTTAGTAAAAGCTGGATTTGTTCGTCAAGTAAGACACACACACACACACACACACCTTGCCTTTAATGACACGCGATTAACTTGAATCACTTTGTGTCTAATAATATTTCTTGAAAACCAGTCTTCTTCGGGAATCTTTGGTATACTTCCAATGGGTCTTCGAACAATCGAAAAAATTGAACATATTATTGATGAGGAAATGCAAGCCATCGGTAAACCACACGCACAAAAGCGTAAAAGTCCTGCAGGACTTTTTTTTTCTTTCTTTTTGTTTGTGTACTTTTTATTTTACCAGCCAATTTGACTATCAAAATTTGATATTTGACAGGCAGTCAAAAACTTTCTCTTCCACTTCTCTTGTCCTCTGAAAGCTGGAAAAAGACAGGAAGATGGAGTGGAGCCCAGGGAGAGGTGGGATTTGTTTCAATTGGGAAAAAAGTAAAGCCAAAAATCACTTTATTTATTGACATTGGTGGCACTCCAGTTTTTCCATCTGAAGGATCGAAAGGACACGGATTTACTTCTTGCTCCTACACACGAAGAAGAAATAACTCAACTTGTTGGATCAGAGCTGCGATCTGCCAAACAACTTCCAATCCGATTGTATCAAATAGGTAGGTTATTTTATTTTTTTATATAGTGATAATTAGCAAATCCTAGAGAGCATGTAGTGACGATTATATTTAGGCCGCAAGTACCGTGATGAGCTTCGTCCTCGGGCTGGGCTTTTGAGAGGCAGAGAGTTTATTATGAAGGATATGTACAGTTTCGATGCAACAGTAGAAGAGGCTTATAGTGCATATGATGCTGTTACTGCTGCATACTACGCCATTTTCCGTCGTATTGGTATTCCATTTGTTGTGGTGTGTGAGACTTGTATGCAATTCAAGTGCATTTGAACTGAACTAAACTGACATTTTGTAAAAAAAAACAAAACAAAAAAACAACAACAACCAAACAACCAAAATATCAAATCACAGGCAGAAGCAGACAGTGGTAATATGGGTGGATCAAAGTCCCATGAGTATCACCTTGTATCATCAGGTACATAAAAATAGATGTACATATCCTCTACAGTATAAACCCCATCTCACTATTCTTTTCTCGCTTCTTTTAAATATACAAATATTTCCTTTAGTCGGTGAAGATACACTCTTAACATGTACATGTTGTGGATATACGGCCAACGAAGAACTTGCTACTGGGCATCTGAAAACATCCCCTTCTTTACTCGAGAATACCCCTGTAGAACACACACACGAGCCACTTGGAACATATGAAGCGACTCACGCCATGGAGTTCTCCTATGCAAAATACACTGGACAAAATCAGAACAATGAAGCCGTAACTGGGTACACAGTTATAGTTACTCCTAAGGGTCGCACTGTCAACTTGCTCAAAGTTCAAACCTCACTCGGACGCCATCTCCAATCGAAAGAAAAGATCCAAGACGGCAGTAGTATTGAACTTAACGGAGTTCACCACAAGACAATCCTTAGTATTCCGGAAGAAATCAAAAAGTCTGACCTGCATGTATTTTTGGATAATGGTGTGATGCCTTTGAAATACACGCTAGCTCAGAGTGGATTCGAAAATGCTACTGTACATGCTGCAGATCATTACCGTATTGCAGAGGCTGGTGATTTCTGTAACTCTTGCCACGAAGATGGAAAATCAACTCCTCTTAGTAGTGTTAAAGCAATAGAAGTCGGGCACACTTTTTATTTAGGCACCAAGTATTCTGCTGCTCTTGACTGTGGATTCAAGGTACCATCTCAGCCAGAAAAAGTCCCTGCACAAATGGGCTGCTACGGAATTGGTGTTACACGTCTACTGGCCTCCGTCGCCGAGGCAACTCATGACGACCGTGGTATTGTGTGGCCGACTAGCATTGCACCTTACAGCGTTTGTATTGTCCCAACACACGATAAGAATGTCGAGCTCCATAAAGTGGCAGACAAGATATATGACCAATTGGAAGCTACCAGATTTCTCGAGAAAGACATTATAATGGATGATCGAAAGGCTGGTTTTGGCAGCAAGATGAAAGATGCTGAGTTGATTGGATATCCGTTTATTGCTGTTGTAGGTCAAAAGGCAATTAGTAATCAAATTGTAGAATTACATGAGCGGGTCAAGGGTGAAAAGAACATAGTTACCGAGGTTCCTCTAGGGGAATTAGAAAAGTGGATCCAACAGCGCTTGTCGGTATAAAATGTATAATCTACAAACCACACCCACCCCACCTATACATTTACATAATTTTACATACGTTAAAGCAAAAAAAGAAAAAAGAAAACAAGAATAGATCAAGCCTTTGTAGAAATAGCGATTAAAGAACAACATAAAAACCATGTAATTATTATCACTTGGATTTACCAAGTCTTTTTTTTTTATCAACCTATTTTTTTTTGATTAAGAGATTAGCTTATAAGTAATGCATATACGCTGTTTTTCTTTGCCGCTCAGTAATCACTTGAATTGTTCTTTTCGGACTCCAAAAAAGCCAGTCAAGCTTGGTTATCTGGCTTGCCTTGGTTAAATCAGGACTACTCTACCCGACAAGTAAAACTTAGTGATTTTAAAAATCGCAAACATAATCTATAGGCAGCAGACCAATTAAACCATTGACAGATGCAATCTCAATAATGCAAGAATACGATCCGAACAATGACTTGAAAACTCCAGTTCAAAAGCGTAAACGCTTAGCACAAGCATGCATTGTATGCCGTAAAAAGAAGGTAGAGCAAAATAAATTTCAAATGCTGAATAAATAAACAATAAAACCAAACATTATTTCTTAGACTAAATGCGATGGTGTACAACCAGAATGCGGAAATTGTGTGAGACTCAAGCAAGAGTGCTCCTATATTGCATCAGCAAAGAAACGTATACAAAGACAAGGCCACATTGACATGCTCGAACAACGACTTTTAAAAATGGAAGCCATGTTAGCACAAAGTATAGGGCATGACCATAACCAACTTAGCCCGGTATCGGAAACACCTTCAGATACACCTGGTGAATTACTCACAGAATCACCAGCAAGTAGACTAGAAGCTAATATGGATAGCCTCTATGAAGTGCCATCGAACCCTGTGGACACTAGTAGTCCACCAATAGAAAGCACCAAAAATAGTAATATCCAAACAGCATGCCATACGCAACCTACTTTTCAACGAAACAATCAATGGAATTCAAACATATTACCTTCTGATGACGAGATTATGCATCTAACTCAGCTATATCTTGCTTACCTTCATGAACTTGTCCCCATTCTCAATAGAGACATTTTATTGGAAGCTATCGAAAAAAAAACGGTCTCTGAGTTCTTTGTATTGAGCTTGTGTGCAGTAGCAGCAAGGCATGTAAAATTGCCATATTTGATAAGCTAGAAAAATATATACAATGGAATTAATACTATTGCCATTTATGCTCTACCAGATTCTCGGACAGGCCAAGTATCAGGACGGATCCTATATGGCAATCAGGAGATAAATACGCTGAAAAGGCAAGAGCAATATTGAACGATGTTCTAGAAAATCCAAGGCTGGAATACATCCAAGGTCTCCTACTGTTAACATTGCATTATTATGGATGTGCACAAGGGCCAAGGTAATGTTGTGTATAAATATGGGGCGGGTTTAATATATTGAATTTTTACTGTTTCAATTGTCAGGTCTTGGATGTACACCGGAATGGCAATAAGGTGAGAGCGATAAACTACAGGGTGAATGTATATCTGTGTGGGTGTCTGTGGATGTGTATGCATGTACAGTTTATTAATATCGTACGGTGTACATACACACGTATATATATATAAAGAATGTGTCTTGACCTTGAGCTTCATATAGAACCAGCTCTAGAGCATTCTATTGGGGATGTGATTTCTATGGATAAATGGACAGAGTATGAGACGCGCCGTAAAGTATTTTGGGATACATTTTCGCACGACAAGTAAGGATATCTACTTCAACAACAACAACAGAAACAGCAACAGAAACAACAACAGAAAAGGCTCAAAATATGGTGTGACTAGATTCGCCAGTGCCGCAACAGGTCGACCGTCCTCTATCCCACAGGAAGATTGTAATACATTCATGCCAACTGAAGACACTTGCCTGGTGGCCGAAAAATTCTACGCCGAGTCAATCGATGGTAGGCGCTGTATGCGGCTCTCTGTACAGAGGGACAGCAGTGCATTTCCAGTTAGTGTTACTGTTTGCGAAATCTTTACACCGAACGAAATGCCATCAAATCGAGAGTATAGACAAAGAAATTGGTGTTCTCAAATGCTTCGAGAGATTGCTTTGATGGGAAAGATCACAGAGTTTGTAAACAGAGGGATACGACGGAAAAGTCCTATCGTTTGTTTTGATCCTGAATCTCCATTTGCAAAACTTGATTCTCAATTGGAAGAATGGTCCATAAGACTACCGCACCACATGCGCAATACTCCTGCAAATTTCGAAAGGTTTCGGACGAGACCAGGGTTATCAAGTGCACTATTCTTTTTCGTAAGTAAATGTGAGAATGAAAGGAACAAAAATTAACAAAAGAAATACTTTTTCCTTTTTTTTAAAAAAATAAAATGTAATTGACACAGGCACACATGCTTCACAACGCTATGGTAGTTCTTTTGCATAGACCCGCTCTCATGCTTTCAGAGACCATGGCTCTTGATATCTTGCAACCAGAAATGCGGGAGCTTATTCAGAACAGTATCGAAAAATGTAAATCTGCATCTGACAATGTTACATTGATCTTGAGAGAGATCAATACTCGAATAGAACTTATTCCTCCATTCTTGACGTACTTGGCCTACACAATGACCACTGTTATAATCAACGACTGCTTCTCAGAGAAGCCAGATGAATCGCAAAAAGCAAAAACCGCTCTTTGCGAACATTTTCGTCTATTACAGGTAAATTGAATGATCGATTACAAAATGAAGTATACCAATATATATATATATATGCTTATTTATGTATTTGAAATTCAAATGTTTATTTTTCGTGCACTCTCGCCCTTTACCTCTGTAGACAATGCGACCGTACTGGGCAATGGCACATAAACTGTATTTTATGATTCAAGATTTATATTCATCACAAAAACAATCTAGCAAACACCATTCAAAAGGAAAGGGAAAGGGAAAGGAGAAATCTAATATGTTCTACTCGTCTGTAAACGGAGCAGAGATTCGATGGGACGATGCTTTTATGAAGCTCGCTGACCCTTCACAACCCACGGTACTTTTACCATCACAAATCAATCCTCCTAGTGTGCCATCCTTTGGAGTATCATCAGCATCGCAGTTCCACATGCAGAATGCTTATGAAAATTCGTCATTTCTTTATCAGGCTGCTCCATTCGTAACTCCATTTTCAACTACATTAAATCCCTTATGGAGCATGTCTTTGGATGGTGTGGTATTGCCTACTACAGATTGGACAACATGCATTGACAACGACGAGAATCAGTTCCTTGCTGCTATACACGCCATCACAGGAGCAAATACACCGTCATATCAAATGTTTCCATTGCAACATGTGGAGGATAATAGACAGAATCTAGACAATACACAAACCGATGAAAGGTGGCCTTATAGATATACAGATCCTTCAGGAAGGCAGCCTTAAAATGTTTAACACATTTGGGATATCGTCCTCTTTGACCAATGTTTATTTTACTCTCATATTTGCATAGCCATCTTCTTTGTTTTTCTTTCTTTCTTTCATTCATTTACTGTCTAGGGCCTCTTAATCATAATATTCTATTTACATTCTTATATACCTGCGTCTATAAATATCTCTATATTTATATTATTCATGAACTTGCTTGTTCCTTCCTTAACCTGACTGTCACTTTGTAATTTTTGATGTGTAAAACAGCAAATTCATTACCATTTAAATAGAAAGACAGTCAATATTTTCTTCTCTTTTTTATTTCTCTCTCTCTCTTCCTCTCTTTCTGTATTTTATACAGGCCATTCTTCATTCTCTTCTACCCCCCCTTTCCTTAAGCTACCTATCCGATCTTATCAAAGATGAATAGCTACTCGTCGACAAAATACATCTATCAGCTATTTGATAAAACCACAGATATTCACTCGTATCTGCAGTCTCGCGTTGACAGAGTAAACTTAATTAGTATGGACTGCAACTCTTCTTTTCCTCAACCTTCTCACAACTCTGTCGCTCAAAGGTCGATTGTGGATAATAACGGTATATATATATATATATTTATTTATTTATATTTATATTTATATATATTACGCATGTCCAAACCTTTTGAATCTTACACTTGTGTGTCTTGTTGTACGCTAGATTCTTTGCCAATGCATTGTATAATTATTGGATACTTCCATCCAGACGCAGATATCAGTGTGTGGATAAGGATTATCAAGGTAAAGAGGCTGTTGTATTAAGCGAGAGTGGTATGGGAAGAAATGATAATAAAGACAAAAGATAAAATCAAAGTTCATAAATTGACTCTTTTAGTTTTGTGTTTTTCTTCTTCTTCTTAACTTTTATAGATGTCTGGAGACCCAAAGGCTGTTTATTTTGAACGCCTGGAGTCGTTTGGGGAGATTGCTGTATCTTTTTACGATTTAAGACATGCTGTAGAATGTTATCAAAACATGCATCAATATTTGGCGACAGAAGATCGTGAAAAGCATATCCACGTAACTTATTTGTCATGTAGCCAAATAGCTGAATTGTACAATATGTCGTCAAGTGAATTGATCCAACCAGCTATTCTCGTGACGATGCACAGCATGCGTGTCCGTTTAGACAGCCTCAATTACTCTGTAAGTGGCACACGTCAATATCAAAATATTTCTATGAGTACTCAAATGCTTTTATTCTATGGGCACAAAAAGCCTTTATTCCAGAACTATGGAGACGTACTATTCTACAACATTATCGAAAAGTCGTTTTGCAAGGTCGTACTCCACGTAGAGTTTTATGATGAACGCACAGTTGGAATAGTCAAAGCAGATTTGAATAACAAGATATTGCAGGTAAACAAATACAAACCACATAAGGCAGAATATATTGTTTGTTGACTTTTCTTCATATATATTTATTACTATATAAATAAATAAATAGGATATCACCTTTGAAGTGGCTTCCATTCCAGAGAAAAAGGATCTATCAAAACCTATACTCTCAAACCAATCTACCAGCTGTCAGCTCACACTTGGAGTGGATAGTGATAGTATAGGAGTATTGTCACCCTTGCCTGCATTACACTATCCTCCTCCATCCCAAGCTCCAGGTCGTATTCCTGAAATAAATTCGCCCTGGAGTCCATTGGCAATGCCTTTGGATTATACGTCTGCTGGTGCCTTCCATCCTCTTTTTCTGGATGAAGTGTCGTATCCTCCTTGGCTTCCTAATCCATTGCCCACTCACACACCAATTCAAACTCGGTGTAGTAGACCAAACAAAATGGCTACAACTGCACCGACGCCTGAAACTCCAGAGCTACAAAATAAAGGAACTACTGTTGGCAGCTATTCAAGTGCACTTCTTTACGGAACTCAATCCCAAAACACTCTGGGTTGGAAGCCAAATGATGTCCGACGAGACTCTAGTGTCTCCCTAGACTCATCTTCTACTGCTACTGCACATAGTTTGTTTGCCAATGAACCCTTTCTAGGCCCCCGGTCTCTCATGGCACTCAAACAAGAGTCTACTTCGCTTCCACTGGAAAAGACTGAAGAGCTCGTTATTGTACCAACAAAACCTGAAAATAAATCCAAAGCACCCCGGTCTCGATCTCAAGATGATGCAAAGGATATTACGCGAACATTTGAGACCAGCCCACTACAGAATGAGTTTGACATTGACCGTATTCTACAAGGGAAAGATAAACGGACAACATTCATGATCAGAAACATCCCCAACAAATATACTCAGGTACCAATCCCAGCGCATCACACCTTATTGAACACGCACAAACTGACCTTGTTTACAGCAAATGCTCCTTGATTGTATTAATTCTACTCACAAAAATACGTACGACTTTCTTTATTTACGTATCGACTTTAAAAACAAGTGTAATGTTGGCTATGCCTTTATTAATTTTACCAATGTCAAGTAAGCCTGGTCTTTCTTATTATTATTATTATATATATATATATATATATATATATATGGGTGTGTGGTCAATCAAATTATATACTTATTTTGTCTTTAAAGATTTGCCGTCACTTTCGCTAATGAACGTGTCGGAAAGCGATGGTATGCAAATAGCTTAGTCTAAAGTTGTCTTTGCACCATACTAGTTTGTTTATTAAATACTTTATTAGGAATCTATTCAATTCCGAGAAGCGGTGCTCCTTGTCATATGCAAATATTCAAGGCAAAGATGCTTTAGTTGAAAAGTTTAAAAATTCAAATGTGATGGAAGAGGACGAAGCTTACCGTCCAAAGATCTTTGTATCGTCCGGTCCAAACCAAGGCCAAGAAGAAACCTTTCCTCTTCCTACAGTGCCCTCTGAGGCTAGACGCCACAGGCAGCAGTTCCGACACGCTAGAGAAGTGAGTCTAGCTGGTTCTCACCATGGCAAGAAATAATCTTTGTGTCTTTTGCCTTTTTCTCTTTCTCTTTCTCTCTCTTTCTTTATATATATACATATATTTATCTTTTACTTTTGCTTTTATACTATTGTTCCTTTTTCTATATATTACACCTTTTTGCTCATATATTATACTCCTAATTTGATCTTTTATACATATCAGTGTATTCAATTACTCTGCCAAAAATAATATAAACAAACTCTCCCTAGATAGCTAAATATTGGTACCTTGTAGCATTTTATTAAAAAAAAAAAAAAAAAGCCTGATTATTTTCAGCCTGTAATCTCAACTGACTTTTTCATAATAATAATAATAGTACAAAATAGTGAAAACTTTGCTCATGTAATATTCTAGCTCTATGATGTAATTTCCTCAATAAAACGGTCTCAAGTAGAATAAATAAGAAATTCGTTTTTTGTTCCTTATTTTTTTTAAAAGGTGGTATATTTTTAATTATTAAATTTTTCCCTTTTTCCCTCTTCTTCTTCTACTTCTTCTTATGATCCCGGCAAAGAATATCGGAATTCTAAGATTTCATTTTGAGAGCGATAGCCATTCTTCTTGGTGAATTTGCGTTGAACGGAGCTGACTTTGTTTCGTGGGAGCGGTTCTCGTTTTTTAGGCTCTATTACAGTGGCAAATGCGATATCTTCTTCACTACTCGAGAACTCTTCCTGTTCAACATTTCCACTGTAGAGTGAACCACGCCACCATCCGTTCTGATGATGAACTTGAACCAAGTGTCGCAAAACCCTTTGTGCTTCTTGTTGATATTTATCATAGTCTGCCGCGTCAAGGAAATCAGAGACTCTAGAATTGATAAAGAGACATGACGGGGTTTTTTCGAGAGCGTGTCGTTCGCGAATACAGGGTAAGGAAATATTTAGGACGGTTGCACGATGATTACTGACTTCCGTAGTTTGAGTTTCCTTGTCATCAAACACAATTAAAACCCGAGACCACCATGACGATGAGGGGTCAATTGTTTCCATTGTTGTGACAAGATGGTCAGTTAATTCATACAAAGTTTCTATCTCGAATCTAATTGTAAAAAACAAAACAAAAAACAAAATGCAAGGCAACGTTAGCTATGTATGCTTAGATGTGTAGAGTAATTAATTGCTTCTTAAGTAGTTCATTATTAACAAACAAAAAATCGTTTAAAGAAAAATAGAATCAAAGAGTCTTACACTGCAATATATGTAGAAACCATAATTATGATTGATGTTAATCCCAAACAATAGCCCAAAAGATTATCCATGTAGTCAGCTGTCTGATTGTCTATCACAATATTTGGGTCTGGAAATTGTACGAGGGTCACCAAATCAGAAATTCCGTCGACCTCCCAATAGCTGGTTCGTTCGATAGCTTTATCTCCCTAAAAAATGGTTAGTTTCTTTTTTGTAGTTTGAACAAACTGAATATAACACACCTGCATAGATCCAATGTTACTATCAAATAATATTTTCATTGTATCTTTCGTGTCATAGTCTTCCTAATATAAGTAAATATGAGAAACATTTTATCAGCTGATATGAGTAACATATAATAATAGCAAAGTATATGTTTTAGTTCGGTATATTACTGCGCCTTACCACAGGGAAAATGGCCATGACTAGATGAGAAGTGCTAGTCTTGTCTGGTGAGATGGTATTTATGTCTTTTGCCTGCGATCCAAAACCTGCTGGTGCTAAACAAGATCCAATTGAAGAATATGGTGCTATAGGTTGCTGTCTGCTGATTCGATCTGTTTTCGAGTCAAGTGTGAGTGGTGATGGCTTATTTCTTAAACTAGTTTTTTTGTAAAATTGCTGTGGATCGATTGAATCTTCACGGCTGTACGACGCAAAAGATCGCTGTTGAGAATTACGTGAGACAGGGAAATTGGGTCCAGTTGGCGAGAAGTCGGAAAAATATGATACTGAGTAAGAGGACGTGGACGTATTTGAACTTGTCGAGGCGTTTGAAGCTACCGAACTATTGTATGAGAGATCTGCAGCGCTATAGAGTGGGGGTCTATAATCACTTGGAAGACCGGCCTTTGGAAGAGAGGTGTGATCGACATTAATAAAAGTGGTTTGAGTGCTAGAGAGTGTTCGTGGAGAGTTTATGGGTTTGAATGTTGGCGAAAGAGGGGTGCTGCATGTACTAGTGGCAGGTCTGTGTGTAGTCTCTCTAATGGAATATGGGCTGGGTATTGTGTAGTGTTGTGTTGGTGATTTTGCTATATTCGGCAAGGGAGATATAGGCTGCATAACGATAGGCCCGGAAATGACAGGCTGGGCTATGGCTATATTGGGCTATATGTGAGCATCATTAAAACTTGTTAGTATTATTATAATTTCTAATCCTGCGGATGAAGCTGTACACACAGATACTACGCATATACAATACCTGAAGAGGGGTTAAAACAGTTGTTCGCTCTGAATCCCTTGTCTTTCTTTCTACTTCGTTGTCCAAGTTTAAAGTCATTTTTTCTTTGCGTGAGAAGAATCGGGACATAAGAGGAGGAGACAAATTTTGTATAGATATTCAAATTGTTAAATAACAAAGGGAAAGAAAGGATGGAATCGAGTCTAGGAAGAATCTTCGCTTTTTATATTGTACGGTCTTGTCGCACAATCATCTTGTACTCCTCATCATTTTTTGTCCATATTTTGAATTTTGGAATACAACTAGAGTTTCTGCACCCAAAACTTATGGTGGGACAGCCTATATAGATACCGCGCCACGTTCACCTGAGTTGCTCAAAACTGAGCATCCTTAAAGGATACACAATAGTCGGTTTAATTTATATGGACTGCGCATAAAATCCGCATGTTTGTATGCAAATATATATATATGTATATATATTATATGTTATATATATATTTATTTTTTGGAATGATTTCCTGGCACAAAGTATTACGCAGGAAAGCAAACAAGTCAATATAAAGAGGAAAAGCTTGGGGATATACAAAGTGGAATAGTGATCGCTAATTGGGCTTGCAAAGTACTTTTCCTGCTTCTAAACATCTGTATGGCTCGCAAAGGACCACAAATGGTGGGCAAATACAAAAGGCAACTACCCCCGATGTCTGACCGTCCTCGTCTACCATAAAATTGCTATCAAAAATCTGGGTGCCCTCTCGTACATCTGCCCCTGTTATAACTATTTCCTGTCCCTTTATTGCGCACCCGAGCGTAACGGCTTGTTCGACAAGTTTCTGTATCTTTGCACCATAATGTTTCCTCACATCCGGTTCAATTTTGTCATGCTGATAGAGGAACGGATAGGCTTTAGAGAGACCACCATAGAGATACTTCCAGTTGCTCTGCAATATGTCGTGAAGTTCTTTGTCAATGGTCTCTTTCTGGCCCTTGTTTTTCACCACCACCAGGGCTAGTTCCTGTCGCAGTCGTGTAGCAAATTCTCTGTCATGCTGCCTGAAAAAGGTACACAATTCATTGTAGGCTGAAGTGGCAGCAGTACTTAGGCCAGGAAAGAAGCTGACATTGAGATTTTGGATCAATACATCCATAATAAACTTCTCGGTCAACATACGCATGCGATGCAATGGTAGAGTTTGATCAGGACCTTCTTTGAGCTCATCAATTGAGGTACTAAGATTGAGCCAAAAGGTGTACAGAGCATTAGTTGCAATTACCGGATCGGCGTGCTCCATCAATTCGCCTGCCAGCTGAGAAATCGATTCTTTCAGTAGTCGGACCTTTGCCGCGATTGTGTCGAGATCGTCTTCAGTGGCACGCATAGAGCACAGATGGATGTCATAGTTAACCTTTAACTGGCCCATATCTGTATCCCGTTGATCACTCTTGCGATTGAGTTGGGAGAGTTGATCGTTGAGATGAATATTATCTTGTTCATACTGGTGTTTTTCCAACTCAAGCTTTTCTAAAACAAAGCGCTGCTTTTCCAGCCGAGCTTTGAGTGCTGACACGGAAGTGTGGTCAGTGTAGCTAGAGTTTGAGAGAGAGCGGGCGATGGACTGCATGGACCTGAGCGAATCCTGACCACTAATGCCGGAAAGGTTTTTGTCTGGTAATGGCGTGAGGTGATGTTGATTGTTGCTTCTTGTGGATAATGCACGGATGAGACTTGATGTTTGACCTGTTGTTGCCGGTGATTGCCATTGTTCGGTGCCGAGATGGTGTGTAGACGTTGTGTTGCTCAGGGACGGTGCTGTTGAGACAGTATCTAGGGTTCCTTTGAAATATCAAAGACAGGAGGAACTTGTGAGTTGCCATCACGAGAAGAGCCTGTAATGGACTGCATTACCGCTCTCTGGCTTGATGCCTTTTTCATTCTGAGGTAAAGGCGGAAGTGTCTTTTGGTTCTCGTAGGACTGGGACGGTTGAGGATAGTAGTTTTGGTTGATTTGCCCACTTACACCACGACGCATACTTAAACTATCTATACTTGGCTGAACATCAGAGACTGGCGATAGTTCTGAGGAAGCCAAAGAAAGGTTTGAGAAGGACGTTGTAAGAGAGGCTGGGGGCTGCTTTTTCTTGGGTTTCTTTTGGAAGAGCCTAGATATACGATCCATGCTTTTCTTTTTTGTGGATCCGTCAGCGTTGTCTGTGTCGTGTGAATGGTTATTTGGCTGCAGCCAGTTTGACTGAGTGGGGATGTCTCTGTTAAAAGGTGCTTCTTCTAGTCGAACCATTATTCTTAATATTATTGTTTTATTTGATTATTCTATTGAAATAAGCAAGTAATGTAAATAAGCAAAAGACAAATAATAAGTAAGCAAAAATAAATAAATAAAGAGGACAATGAAGAAACAAAGAAGCGAAATTGCTAATAAACTGAATGCCAAAAAAAGAAAAATGCTTGCTGAAAATAACCAAATTGCACCACAAATCCATTCATATCTGGCTCCCTTTTTAACACTCCGCCGACTAAAGTTCAAAAAAAAATCCTTTATTTCCTGTACCTTTTGTACATTAAAGTCCGCCGGACAAGAAAGTGTGACTTACTATGTGTATTATACAATTGATTTTTTTCCATATGCATTGCCTTTTCTCTTTCTCATTTTATTTACCAATTTCAACTGCGTATATCTATGCGTGTATAGATTGCTTTGTGTACTGTGCACTATGTATTGTGTATTTTTCAATTGTATCGACTAGCATTTACTTAAACTTTTACTCTGTATTTATGCCTTTAACCAAATTTCTGTATCTTTTTAATATATATCAAAAAAAAAAAAAGATAAAGTCAGGGAAAAACTGGCTGACAGCTAATATTTTAATTGTGGGTATCTGGTATGCAAATGGTTAAGGAAATAATAGTTATAGTAAAAATAATAATAGAATAATTCGCTTTCTTGTCCAGGTGGACTAATGCGCGAAATCTACAGGGAATAAAGACTTATCAAGGGTTCAATTCTCAATAATTTCTCTTATTTTGTATATAATATATATATATATATATTGGAAGGTTACAAATCTACTTAATTATTTATTGATGTACAGAGCGAGCAGCTTCAATATAAAACAATCCTCTTCTTCTCATTATTATTATTATCATTATTTTTTTTAAAAAAAAATATTTTTTATACATATACTTCTTGGTTTTAGTTTTCATGCTTTTTTAATCTTTTTTGTTTTTGGTTGTTCACATAAAGTCATCAAAATCATCGTAGTTGCTCTCAAAGGTGTTCATGTCATCACGGACACCAGTCTTACCAGCTCCAGTAAGCTGGGGCTTGCCCTTCTTCTTGGTCTTGGTAGCTTCCTTAGCAGCTCTCTGCTTGTCATTGGCCATGGCAGTCAAACTAGAAGCAGCCTTGCGCACGTCCATGTCCTTCATAGGGACACACAACTCACGGACCAGTTGATCGACAAAGTTGGCATAGTTAATGCTTTTCTACAAAAAGTATAAACAAAGGAGCGTTAATTTCTCGCCAAATTCATTTATCCACTAAAGCCCTAAACCAACTTACAGAGTTGGCAACAATCATAGCTGAAAGTCGCTTTTGGTACTGCTCAAACTCAACACGAGTCTTGGGCTTCATATCCTCAATAGGAGCCTCAGCCTTATCCTCTAAAATAATTAAATCAGTAAATAAATTACAAGACCTGAATACCAACTTACTGGATACAGATACGCCAGAGAACAGATCGGTGGCATTGTTCAAGTCGGCATCAATCTCCAATTGGCGCATACGCTGCTTACGATCAAACGCATCCTCTTCAGTCTCTTCCTCCAATGCCTTGGCCTATACAGATCATACGTAGTTTGTGTTAGCAATAAAGCATAACGAACACGTCCATAAAAATAAAAAATAGCACTATTTACCAAAGCAGCCTTCTTGGCGTCCAACTCCTTCTTTCTCTCTTCTTCGGCAATCTTCTTCTCAGCAATCTTCTGAGCAAGAGGAACCTTCTTCTTCACAACCGCGGGTTGCTCAGGCTTGGCTTCCTCATCAGAATCTTCCCAGGAATCTTTGACATCTTCCTCAACATCTTCGTCATCCCACTTCTTGCTCACAGGAATGGAGACTTCAATATCGTTTTCTTCCTCTAATACAGGTTTATATCAACACTCCTATTCTTTTCTTTTCTTTTTATTTTTTTTAGTAATTTACCCCAATCACTCATGGCTGTAGTATTATTAAGGTGTAATAAAAAAAGGGTAAAACTTCTTTCTAATACCCCCCTTTTTTTAGCTCAAATTTTTTTGCTTGTAATTTTTTTTTCGATCATTTGCTGACATCAGCCGGACTTGTTTATGACTCCTTTACAGTAAAAAAAAATACAGTCAGAGCCAGAGCTAAAGTCAAAGTCAGAGCCAGAGCCAGTAGCCAGAGTCAAATATATATATATAGACAATTAGATAAAGATAAAGAGCGAGAGAGAAATATAGAGCGGGGTAGAGAAGAGAGGTCTGGAGGGGTACCTAGAAAATGAAATGCACTTTCTTTACCTTTACTTCTTTTTTCTTCTTCTATTATTGCTTTTATAAACTGACATATACACATATGTATATTTAACCAAAAAAAAAATTCATTATTTTTATTATCTCGATTTGTTTTACTTCATATATATATATAATATATATATTTAATATCGTTATTATTCTTAATTAAATGTTGAGGTGTACTTCACGAACACTGGGAGCCAATAGTCATACCCTTCAGTTTCGGCTTGTCAGTAGACGTTGGCTAACAACCCAAAAGACAACGCTATTGACTGAACATACCTATGGACGCACACGAATCTACACAAGCTTGACAACTATGGCAAAGGGTAGAGCTGGCACAGTCAAAGCAAGGATCGCTAGTCCTATTGGCAATCGTCTTGCATGGGAATGGCTACAACCCAAGGATTCTGACACATCCGGACAAGCCAGCGCCTGGGATCGTCAAAAGAGACGTACGGCTGCCGGGTTTGGTGTTTTGGGATCCATCAAACAAAATATGCGAGAAATGTTCTTGCCCGTTGGGTATTGTTTCTTCTTTCTCTATTTTGTTTCTTTTAAGGAAGGCAGAATTCTTTAAACTTTTGCTCATACAAAGGCTGTAGATATCCAGACTCTGTTCATAGTTGTTACAAACGTTTCCATTTGTGGCTGGGCTTGGAGACTTATGTGGGATCAGCGGTAAATAAGGATTGAGTGTATTAAAGAAGAGAAAGAAAGAGAGAGAGAAAAAAAGGATTTTTGAATAATCCAGTGTACCTAAGGGTAGATTGGCGTCTTGTGTTCACAAGCCATGCTAGCTTCACTTGGACTGGGTGCTATGGAAGCTACAGGAGGAGCGGTAGCTATTCAATGGTAGGGACACATCTTAGTGCAATTCTGAATTATTATTCTTTTGATTCACATGTCTATTCAATGTACAGGGTGCTGAAAGATGGTATTGGAGAGATAGGAAAACTCTTTTTTATCAAGCGTTATGCTAGTTCATTTGACTCACATCCAAAGACATGGAAATTCGTAAGCCATCCAATAAATACGGAGAAACTATCTTGCTAAATGTCAAAATGTTCTAGGTGTGTGAGCTCTTGTCGTCTGTCGGTTCCTTTCTTCAATTGTGCACCTCAATTGCTTCACCCAAACTATTCTTACCTCTTGCTGCACGTATGTATAGTATTTCATGGTGTATTTTATAAGTTATAAGCTAATTATAGGTACTAACATAGTTGGCAATACGTTTGAATTAATCCATGAGAGTATATGGATGGCAAGCCATATGACGTTCACAAAGCATTTCGCGGCAAGTGTTCTTTTATATATATATACATATACATATATATGCATGTATTAATCTATATACCTATATATATATATATATATTAACGCGTGATATATAAACTATCTTTCCTTCTACAGCCTTCTGGAAATGTCGGTGACATTGTAGCTAAGGATGATGCTCAGATGTCAAGTGCTCATTTGCTTGGAATGTTATCTGGCGTCGGTCTGATTAGTGTCTCACACTCCCCCTTGTTTCTTTTTGGTGCATTTGCTGTTCTGTCTCCCATAAACATCTGGGCGACCTACAAAATGCTTAATTCGGCCGAGTTTGAGATCCTCAATCAAGCAAAATTGATGCTTTTAAGTAAGATATTCATCGACACTGGAAAAGTAGTAGGATACGAAGCCTTGAGAAACCGAGAAATTGGGTTTGGTGAGTGGATAAAGCCATCTGGTACTCCGGGTGGAGTATCTGCCCGTATAAAGCTAGGCGCAAGTGCAAGCAGTGCATACAGCAATACCAATGAAGTTGAGGATGTAATAGATATTATGCAGGTAAGTAAATACATCTTATAAATAAAACTATAAAATTATTTATAAATATTTTTTTTTCTATAGCATGAAAACTACTTGATAAATTATCACAAAGGCACAATGTGGGTTATGTTTCATGAGGATTCTAGGTCAAATGATGTTATCAAGGCTGTACTGCACGCCAACAAATTCCACGACATGCTTGCAGAACAAAATATCCACAGAGATACCGCATGGGATAAGTACAATGAAATATTAAAGGAGAGTCTTGAATGGAGTAAAGAGCACTACCCAACATTTGTTGCTGAACTGGATTCCAAGGAATGGCAGAGTAATGCGGTCTACTGGAATGACAGGCAAGTGTTTTGTGCACCGGCTTTTTCTTTTGAGGGGTTGGTTAGATACTAATATTATTGTTTAGTGGAATGAGATTGTCTTGGGAAGGACATGATGTCAAAGAAGAAAATATAGAATAATAAAAGTGAAATATATATATATTAAAATAATCTTAAAATATATCAATTGAATTATACAATAAAAAATAAGCGTTTTGTATTTTATTACAAGTTTTATTTATTTATTTATGCCATTGCATTGAAATGTTCGGACGCGTAGTCGGGATAACGCTCTTGGATCAAAGTAACAATAGTATCTATATCCTGACAGAGATTTTGGATTCCAGAATCCCATTTTGCAATCTCCAGCATTGATTGTTCTAAACGCTGGTTGGTCGATGTTGTTCCATTAGCGGCTGCAGCTGCAGCACTAATGACATTGTCGTCTCCACTCTGATCAAACGCAGCTCCTCCGGATTCAAAGTATATCAATTGATCCAATTGGTCAATGCTTCCAACCATACGGTTTTCTCCAATCATATGCGATGCCGCCTGTTCTGCTTGCTCGCTGGACACATTAAGTAGTACGCCTAGTTCATCAAATGAGATGTTGTTGTAAATCTTGGAGGCTGACAGTAAGTTGTGTTCGATAATCGCGCGATCAAAAACAGTAGTGTTACTGGTGAGTCTGGCCAGGTGATGGGGCTTGAGGGTAGCCGCAAAATCGGACACTTCTTCAGGGCGAATTACGCGATCAAGATACGTTTTCTCAAGAATTGGAAATGAGGGCAGATGGTGGGTTCTCTCGTCTTTATAGAGTGTAGCCAGAGTGCGAGATCTCATTGGACCAGCACCAGCTAGTACAGCGCACTGTACAGCAGCAGACCTTTAATGCACAAATAAGCCATTTGACTTCTAACCTTCGAAAATGAGATCCCGGTAAGACTTACAGAGAGAATATACGCTCTTCTTCATCCATTTGAGAATCGTAACTGAGCTCATGATACTTTTGACATGCCTCCAAGAAACGACGCTTGGCATCCAAAATACGTGCTTGTGATAGTTTGAAAATTAAGCCGCGTGCCGGATCTGGTGTGGCTGGCAATAAGAGTGCTGCGCGATTAAGATAGGTCTCGGCTGAGATCGTTTCATCAACCTCAAGTAAGAGTCGGACAATACGAATGTATATATCCAGCTTAAAGTCATCCGAAATAGCACTTGAGATAAAAAGATAAGTCAAGGCAAACTTGTATAGGAATTTGTAAACAGGCTTTTTCTTTCTTATAAAAAAATCCACTTACCGATGTCCTGAATCTAGCGAAATTCCTTGGAGAGTTCTGGCAGCTTCCAAGAAGTCTTCTTCTTCAGTATATATATCTGCCAGCTTAGATCGCATTTGGGATAGCTATCATACAAAAACAATAATCTTATTACTCAGTCAAGATTATACCCAAGAAAGACACAAGAATATATATAATGCATTTTTGCTCATATCAATATCTTTACTTGTTCTTCGAAGCTAACTGCACGTAACTGTGCCTGGCCAATCGCATACAGTAAAAGTTTCTTTCGATTGTCGCGATCAGTAATTCGGGCGTCAAGTAGCTCAATCAACTCTGACAGAAGTTGTCGTGCAATGACCAATCCGACTTGAACATCAAGTACCGCCTTGACATACTCTTCTAAAGAATTGACTTGCTGGGGTCCTTGAGATGACGAAAGAACGTCATTTAGGACACTTCGGAACGCATCCAGCTTTTCTTTTTGTTGAGGAATCTCAATACATTCTTTAAGGCGGGCTGAAATGTCCATAATTATTCAAAGCTGGCGAGTGTGAGATGTAAAAATGAGAAAGAATGCACTCGTGTTTTATTTTTCCTGCTGCTTAAACTTCTTATAAATTTCACTCCCAAAATGGAGTTTTTTTTTGTGCACAGGTCAGTTAAAATTGTGTAGTCTTCCTGTTGAATAAGCCAACACAACACAAGCTGTGGAAAACTAAATTCTGTCTAAAAGCAAAATTATGAAATAATTAAAGATCTACCATTTGTTTATTATTAAATCAAATATAACAAAACTCCCCTTGTAAGATAGATAGGAAGAGAGTATCAATATCAGCGTACTTTACAATATCATGTCTTTTATGATTACTATCTTTCTGGAAGAGTGTTATAAATAACCCGTAAGGTAGCCATTACTATTTTTCACAATTTTTCCCGTATGTACAAAATTAATTATGGTTATTTTGGCAAATGTTTGTTAAGTACAAGTGGAATATGTAAATTGTGGTATGAATCTGGTGCCTTTTATTTTATTAAATCCATGTACGTACGTACGTATTATATATATATATTGTATGTTTCTTTTTTTTTAAGCTTGTGAATTGGAGTCTCTTTCTTCCTTCGTTTTTTGAAAAACAAATAATGAATCCATCACCCTCTGATGCATTGACTATTATTATATTTCTCTTGTGATTACTAGAATTCCATGGACACCGATGCTTCTTCTAGAATATATATTTAGTCAATAATTCCACTCAAGATAATATATACATATATATATATATATTTTTAAAAAAAAGACTCTTTTTAGGATTACCTCTCTTGGCGCGCTGGGCATCTAAAAGTAATCTCTGCACAAATTTTTCAAAGAACTCGATATAAGGACGAAGCGATGTCTTTTTATAATCTAATAAGCATTATAGATACAATTCATTAATACATAGTTCGTCTAGCCCTAGCAATTCGCCACGTTTATATTAGCTGAACTTGGATGTTACCTGGTAATTTACGTTCACTATCATCGGGACCATTATTGGCAGAGAAAGCATCAAATTCGTTGATCAAGCTAGACAAGGTGGGCACACTAAATGGATCGAAGTTCTCGCAAGTAGTTATTGGAATCGGAACACAAACGCGCTCTAAAAACCATATCATAAGTAACTATTCGACTATTCGACTACTTGAGTATGTAACCTACGTGTCTTTGGATGAACACAGAATGGACTCTTCAATAAATGCCCGATATTAATTGATACTTTGTCATCAAGACGAGGGTAGCAGTACTGGAATATTGTGCTAATCTTCCAGCCTTCTTTTTTCTATTTTAGCAAATAATTATTAACAGGCATTTAATATGATTGCTTGTAGACAAGATGAAAATCTTACGTAGAATATCTGCTTGTCACTGCTCTTGTCCAATACATTTATTAAATCTTGCCATTTTGCTTGGCCTGAACTAAGGCTATCTGTGCTCCACATCTCATTCAATCGTTCTCTGACGCCTTGATTTGATATATATTAGTATCATACTTTGTTTTACACAAACTATTAGTGTTATGCACACACCTGCGTCAGGAATTGTATTTAAGACTTTGTTCCAATTTTCAGGAGTATCTAAAACTCCTTGAGAATTCAGAATAAGAGGACCGAAATAAGGTTTGATGATTTCTAGGGATCGCCTATAAGAATTCGTGCTTATGAGTTAGACCCTGTATTTACAGTAGGCACAATAATACATACGCCAGTGAGGGGTGTAATGAGTTTCCAAGATTTACTTTTCTGGATTGCTCTGAGCCACCCTAATAAGCACACGCCACCACATTAATTAATAAGAATCATACACTTTACACACACGCATCTCAAATCAAATTACTTGCCTTGATAACTTCGAGAAAGTTCACGATTGCCTTTCTACTTTCATTATCTAACTTTCGTGCACGGTCATCGCAAACCCAACAATGCACACCACGTCGACCAGAATAAACCCATAATCTGTGCTTAAAACCAAAGTCCTCTATTACAAAAAAAAAGATCCATAGGTTTCCATTTAGTCACCTTATCAAATTTCCATTAACCAGTATAGTAAACTCACCATCCAATGAAGTATCAATAACCTTGATAGCAACTGTCATAAATTGCCAGCATTTTTTACAGATATCACCACCACTACAACACGTTCTAATTTCATCATAATCGGTCATATCGATATCAAATACAAGTTCTTTTTCGACAGGACGGAATGCCTTTTCGGCCACAGATTTTTTGTTCTTTGGCTAAATCCATAGGGTCAGTATCTTGTGTACCCACAACTTAACCATACACCATAAGTAGCTGTTAATTTACCATGACACTATACACAGCGCCGATATCAATCTTTACAGGCTGAAATCTTTCAATTTCTTTTCGAAACTCTTCAACATCCATGAATGAATTATAACGGACGTAAATATCAGATTTTAAAGTAAAACTGAATTCTCGATGGCTAAAGTTCTTGGTTGGAGCTATAAAGTGTGAAATACGTCAATTTCGAGAGTCAAAGTTTGGCTGTATCTCCTAAAGTTATACCTATATCGTAGTTGAGCCATTGAAAGTATGTCTTATAAGGAAAGAATCGGTTATAGAAAGCTCGTAACAAGAAAGCAGAGTTTCCGTCCTGAGACATAATTTGTCTTTTGGATTCTTGTAAAGTTAGTTTCAAATTATATATTTCAATAATCTATAGTAGAAAAATCTCACCTAAAAGCCTCGCTTTGTTTTTGTTGATCCTGTAGTGGTGTAGATCTGGGAGGGTAGGTAATATTTGACGAAATAGGTTTCTGGTCTCTCTGTGGTGTTTGCAATTGAACGTTGGCCATTTGACTGTGTACATTACTGATTTCTTCGTCGGAATCTGTATCAAACATGTTGACATCGAGACCTTCCAAATCATCATTGACTAAATGTCGAAATATGAGTTTTTGTGGGTTTATGGAGGCCTTTTTATTATTATTTTATAACGTTTTTTAGGTAGGTTCTGAAACAAGAGAATTGGCACCTTGATCTTGATCTGCCATTGAAGTAAAATATAAAGTTATTACGCTTGTGTATAAGAACAAAAAAAAAAGATATGGATATATAAAGCCAGGATCTGTCTGTAATTCAATATTCCGTTCGTGGCTGCCTTCGCGTAACGCGATAATGTCAATGTTCCCCGCCCTGAAAAAATAGACCGTGAATAAAGAGCGCGTCGATACAAGCCACGCTCCTAGTACGTTGATTTTTTTTTTAAAAAATAATATGATAATAATCAAAGATTAATTGAAGAAGTTTAAAGAAGTACAAAATCTAGGACATGGTTTAAAAAAGTCATCAAATTTCATATTAAAAGAAATTCTGTAATTTTATAGATTAGATTTTGAGTTATCATGTTTTAATATAAAAAGTAAAATAAAATAAGGCAGGTTTTCTTTATTCTTAAATAGGTTGCACCTTTTCTAGCTGATATTGCTTTCAATATGCACCAATATCCTTTACCAATAGCTCTATAACTATACAGCTTTTATTTTACTTTTATTTTATTATGTATTTAAAATAATCATATTTCTATGCATCTCTAAACATTACAATTTCAGTGATTTGTCGGAGTTTACTGCTCTTAGATGCTGTAGATGCAAAGCGTCATACAGCTTTTAACTTCTTTTTAATTCTTTGGTGTTTGGCTTTTTTTCTTCTTATACATACAATTTTTTTCTGCGCATATCTCTTTCTTTTGAATCGTCTCTGAATGGATCTCGGACTTGGACGTATAAAAGCCCTTCTAAATGCCTTGGGCAACCCTCAAGAGAAACTCAAAGTAGTTCATGTTGCTGGCACAAATGGCAAAGGATCTATTTGTGCATATATTTCATCGGTTTTACACCAACACGAAATCAGTGTTGGACGATTCAATTCGCCTCATCTTCTTGAGCCATGTGACAGCATTCGAATAAACGAGGAACCGATTACGCAAAATACTTATGTTAATGCATGCAAACATATTCAAGCTGTGGACACCGGAGCCGGCACTCATGCAACATCGTTTGAATGTCAAGTGGCGACTGCACTGTGGATATTTGATCAGATGAAATTGGATGTAGTTGTGATTGAAGTTGGAATGGGAGGAGAGCTGGATGCCACCAATGTATTCTCTACACCGCTTGTGAGTATCTTGACACCTATAGGGTGGGATCACGCCGGCATGTTGGGTGGCTCAATCGAGTCAATTACAAAAGCAAAGGCTGGAATCATAAAACCCGGTTGTCCTGTGGTCATCTCTCCACAAGATGATCCTATTGTGCTTGATATTCTAGTGTCTTGCGCTCAAAACCTAGAATCACCTTGTGTATGTGTACAGTCGGCCGAATGCATTTCACAAACCAACCATGGCATGATGTGCCGCCTAGACTATGTGGCCGAAAATACACTCACTCACGAATCCTGGAATGTTAACCATGAATATCCTATACCACTCAATGGTGATTACCAGCGCTCGAACTCTGCTACAGCTGTCACTGTCTTGGACTGGCTTAGTCGCCTTGATACTTTGCCAAATTTCAAACTTGATTTTGACAAGCTTAAGCTTGGTATGCAGAAGACAACTTGGCCTGGTCGTCTTGATTGGATTACTCCCGAAACACACCCAAAGCTCAAAAGATCAGATTGGGATATTCCCTCAGTTTTGGTTGATGGGGCCCACAATCCACCAGCAACAAATGCTTTGCGTATCCATGTCGATAGTCTCTGTAGCAAATATCATCTCTCGCGTGTGATTTGGATATTGGGTGCTACCATGGGCAAAGATATCGAAGTGATGCTCAAAACTCTTGTTCAACCCAACGACATTGTGTATTCTGTGCCATTTTCACAGCCAAGTGGAATGCCATGGATAAACTGCGTGAACCCAATGGATATTTCAGATTGCGCAAAAACCCTTGCTGCAGAGAGCCAAGGATTTCAGTCACTCCATGATGCTCTTGTCAAAGCATCTTCTGTTTTACGTCACGGTCGTGATTTGGTGGTGCTGTGTGGGTCCCTATATCTTGTTGCCGACTTTTATCGTTTGCTGGATTGATGTATTTGTTTTATATAATTTTGGTGTTAAAAGAATAAGTTGCTCATATTCTCCATTTTCTGTTCATGCTTTTTTTTTACATGTATATATAATATGTTCACTAGTATCTATTTTTTTTTCTACACATCGTAATGAGGACATGGCATTTGAATGTAAGAGTATATTTTTCTTTTTATTATTTTTGTTGTGGTTGTTGTGTAGATTAATGCAGGAGAATTTTAACGACGGACCTTGATGGATTTTAATGGATCAGCCTTTCGCTTCTATTGAATTTATGATTGGTGAGTTTCTTACACTAATAAAACTAAGCACATATAAACAAATTACCTTCACATGACTTTTTCCGTTGGTCTTGCTATCTGCAGCCCTCCGGCGTTTATCACTGTTGAAGGGAACATTGGGGCCAATAGAGGCTACAGGATTGGATGCCTGGTCTACTGCAAGAGCATTGGGTGCTGCTACGCGAGGCATAAGATATGATGGGATATGCTTCATGTGTTCCTGAACTTTGCTAGGCTGTAGTGCCTGGTCATGGCGAAGGAAATCGAGATCTTTTGGCTTATCTTCAAAATGTGCCTAATACAAACCATGTGTTAAAAGAAAAAGAAAGATCTCTAAACATGCATATCCCTGAATTATGTACCTTCAACTTTTCAGAGTTCATGATCTCACGCTTGATTTCTTTAATACGTGCTTCTTTAATAGCCATCTTGCTAACAGCCTTGAGAGCATCCTGTACTCTGTATTTAAAACCATCCACATTCTTTTTTTCAAATGTGTAAGGCTTCATTTCTGCCTTCTTCTCTGTCTGTTGCTTTTCTACACGCTTATATACTACTTCATCATGAGAGTTATTTCCGCGTGCATTGTCTTTGTTTGTATCCATTGACTCGCGGGTAACCACAAAACTCAAACTCATTCCTCGTTGACCGCCTCGTGCAGTACGACCCACACGATGGGTGTATGCCTTGGATGATGTAGGGAAATCAAAGTTGACTACAGCAGCTACATTTTGGAAATCAACGCCACGCGATACACCATACTCTTTATCACGCTGGATCTTGGCCTTCTTCTTAGGTTTTTCTAAAAAAAAATCCATTATTAATACACTTCTTACAAATATCAATACATATTTATATATTGAGTAGCCTACCATTTTCCTCTACTTTCTTGTCTTCATCATCGCTGTCTTGCTCGCCCTTGAGCTCTGATTCATCGGTAGCAATAAGATAATCATATATTCCGCGGTTAAATTCCTCTACGATATGATATCTATAATTTTAAATTGATAAGTATCTATATCATCTCTTTTCTTGTTTTTTTTCTTCTCTATTACACACCTTGAGTTCAATGGCAATTCAGAGTTGAGGATGCAGGACTTGATAGAAAATTGCTCAAGGAATAATTTAAGCTTATAGCAGCGATCAATGTCATTCACAAAAAGAATGACTTTTCCCTTAATAAGGCGCAATTTGATGATTACAAATGTGTAAAGAAATTTCTCGAACTCTGAACATCTATATTATAGTCAGCATAAAGCATAGAAATCAAAGTAGTTTTGAGGTAACTTACTTGATCACATACTGTGAGAGCTGTTCAGCCTCTTCATCATCCTCATCCAATTCCAAAAGTACAGGCTTTCTCAACACAAGGTCCTTAAGCTCTTCGATATCCTATAAGTAGCTATCAGTCACTCATCCCATTTTTTTAGTTTTTTTTAAAAAAAAAAGAACAAACCTTTGTGAATGTGGCAGACATAAGGAAACTCTGGTAAATCTTGGGTAAAAATGAGAGGATTTTGCGAAGATCATCTTCGTATCCAAATGACAAGATCAAATCTGCTTCGTCGATAACTAAATTCTCGAGAGACTCGTTCAAAACCATGTTCTATGAATAGAGTTTAGTCACTTGTCATTTTGATTTGATTTGATTTTGATCGGCTTACATGTGCTTCAAGATGAACCAATGCCTTGCTAGGTGTAGCCACAATTATATCGGGCTTCTCGGCCAAAAGAGGTCTAAAATCGAGGATTATATTAATTAATCCAAGAGCTCATATATTCATAATACCCCTATGAGCTATATCCAAACATTATTTTTGCTACTAACCTCTGTAATTGTGGTGCCACTTGTCCAGCCAAATTGGCAACCTTTACGATCTGATTGGAATATACGAGCAGCTTGTTGATGTGTCCAGTAACCTGTTCTGCTAATTCTCTAGTAGGCACAAGAATCAATGCTTTGATTGAAGGTTCGGCATCAATGGACTATGAGATCAAACAAGTCAGCTTGAATTGTCTTTTTTTTCTTCATTTTCAATGCTAGCATTGTTTTCCAAAGTGTGGTGACTTGCCTCCTTTGAAGCCAGGATCTTCTGTACAATTGGCATGGAGTATGCAGCTGTCTTTCCACTGCCAGTCCGTGCACGCGCGAGAATGTCCTTTCCTGCCAAAGCAAGAGGGATCACCTTTTGCTGGACAAGTGTTGGGTGTGTAAAGTTGAGCTGAGCTACAGCTCGAGCCAAGCGAGGATCAAAGTCGAATGTTTCGAATGTTTCGGTTGAGCTGGATGAATTTGCCATGATCGATGTGTGTTCACTACAATCTATCTTTTTTTTTCTTCTACTTTCTCTTTGATCTTTTTGTCGGACAATTAAACTCTTTTATAAAAGAGGAGGGAGAACAAATTCAATTAGTGTGACACGCTTTCCTTTTGCGTGGCGCTACTTTTCCCCTGGCTGCCAATGTTGAAATCCGATATTCTAAAACTGGGTTCATCCTTAAGGCTTTTGATATTTCCTTTGAGCCGCATTTCATAAGAATCCACCAAAGGAAACGATAACCTATTTTTTTCTTGAAAGTTAAAAATTTATATATATTATAGAATGATTAAATTGGTACGGGCTCTAGGTATTCTTTTAGCTTATTCGGACCTTAAGTTATCTTTTGTCAGGAACATGTACGGCAGGTATGATCTGGAAATTGGATCAAGACCTTTTAATACCTATGAATTAAAGTACTTGCTTTTTTTCCAAAGGAGTTTATAGTCAAGTTAATATGAGGCTGTACAATATTAACGCTTTGCTTCTAACTAATTTGCAAAATACAATTGTTCATAAACCTTAAAAGTACAACTGACTTTTTAGACTTTAAATTACTTTGAAAAAAGTAATTGAAGTAACATGTACAAGTAATGGGAAGTAAATAGCAAGAATTTTATGCAGTGATAATATCAGCGTGATTATATCTATAAAAAATGTAATTTTTTAAACCTTCAGATTCTCTGTGTCGATACTCAGTTAACACTATAAAATTATAGCTTATATAAAGGTAGTTATATACGACAGCATATATTTGTACATCTACCAACCAATATCTTACCTACTGCTAAAAAGATAGTGACCTTTTTATACATCTTAATTCTAGGTGTCCAATGCATAATACGAGAATACAGCTTAACTTTAATTTTAAAAAAGTATTTTTTTAAACAATAAGGGTGGACAATAGGAATTTTTCTCGAAAAAATTCCATTTTTTTAATTCCTTCTAATCCAATAACATTGCAGAAAAAAAAGTCAAAAAAAATGAAAAAGTGGTAAAAAAGCGGTTATCTTTAGCGAATTTTTGAAAAAAAAATTATGAGATGCAAGGCCTTGAACTTCATCATCTCTTTTTGGTAAAAAAATTCTTTTTTTTTTATAAAAAAAACCCACAAAAAAGTGGATCCTTTTAAAAAATTCCAAATTTCTGTTTTATTTTTTTAACAAATACATTTACTCAAAGAAGAAGCGAATTTTCTAAAAAAATTCCTATTGTCCACCCTTAATATCCACAATATAAGAATAAATCATTTCAAACATACAAGAAGTTTTTTCTTTTACGTAAATAAAATTTATTTGTGCAATATTTCGATCTTTCGACTAAAATTTATTAGAAAGTTACCTTGTGTTAACTCGATGAAAGATACCATCTCGTCGCATGTACTTTTAAAATAAAGGTTATCATTCACTATATTTTTATTTGGCCTGTAGTTAGCTTTTAGCACTAAGGCATACGCCTTAAAGTATTGATTCATGTTGAGTTAAGATCGGCTGCATTGATTTTTAGCTTAATGAATACAAAACCCTACAACTTTGCTGTGTTTAAACACCGCTAATAATTTTGGCCCTATTTCCTACTCAAATGCATGAATTTACGAAACCCATAACTTTAGCAGGTGTCTCCTTTACACTATCCTGATATTGTTTAATGTGTGCACTTGAAATAAAAATTATAGCCGCAAATAATCGGCTATTTATTTTCTTTAGAAAATATCATATAAGTAAGAATCCTCTCCTGTCTCTTTTTTGCCATAGATTATTAATCAGGAATATGGTCGGTCAATATATTCTGAGCAGAACGTTAATTTGTTTCATATGAGTAATTTCAATAGGTGTTTTCAATGTATTGGGCTGTTTGTGATGATTTTTCTGCTTTTTTACATAAATCAAATAGAAGATAAAAGTCAGATTATTAAAGGGGAACTTCCAAGTTACGATACCCTGTATTCTCCTTTTTTTCTATATTAATAATACATTAAGCTTTACTGTATTAGGTTATCAACACACTTGTTCACACTCTTTTTTAATATATATGTGTAAATGAAACACAAAAAGAAGAAGACAAAATCTACGAATGATCGTCCAAATTAAGTTTTAGCTTTACAGGAACTTAGGTTATAGCTACACTTTCATAAAATCAACTTGGTCTAACCCCATAATTTTTTTAATGGTCCTTCCCTTTTCAATTGTTTCTTTATTGTTGTGCTTTAGTCAAGTATGTGTTAAGAAATAGCTTCAAAAGAGTTGCTGTTCGTGGGAAAAGAAAAAAATGCTGAAGAGGTTCTTTTTACCCCGTATCCTTCCAAGCTACATTTTAGCAATCCTTTTCAAAATATATTGAAAATTCGATTTTCCAATTTGCTCGTTTTACATTTTTTAATTTTGTTTTGCTTTGTTTCTTTGGTATTTGTTAAGAGCCGTTGTGGTGAAGGTACATATGAAATATGACCTCTTTCCTTATTAACAGCAAGTGTTGTATCATCAGCATTTTACTTAAAGCTCTTTTAGAGTCCTATAGGCATTTTGGTAGAAGATTTGGACGGAATACGACGACTGTGACTTCTTAATACCCGTCCACTCTGTATCTTTGGCTTGTGAGCATCATCGTTTTCAATTGTGTTATTCTTCTGGGGGTTTGGTGTCTCTAGAATGGCTCTATTAGGGCTTTTTTCGACAACATTTTTCTCAACCGATGCTTCGGGCAGCCTTGGCTTCAAAGGTATTGTTGAAGGTGTGGGTGACAACGGGTGGTTATGATACGCCTCCTCCAGATGACATTGCTTGAGAGGAAGATAGCCTTGAACCTTTTTCTTAAAAGAAAGCTTCAGAAGATATGGACACCCAATCAGTGAAGAATTCTTTTTTCTTTTGCGCTTTGTGTCTTCAACTTTATGTTTGTTTTTGTATGAGCCTCCTTTGGAACACTTTAGGTGAACCATAGTCGGTTTACTCTCCTTCACTACCAGAGAAAAATTATTGGCAGTAGCATAGTTTTTCAAAACTTCGACAGCTATCGTTCGTTCGCTGAAACCATTTATAGGGAATGTCGGCAAGGGTTCTTTGACGAGATAGAGTTCTTTCTGAGCTATCAAATCGTTTTTTTCGATGGTAGATTCCATGGTAAAGAAGAATAAAAATAATGATAATCGCAATAATATTATGTTATAATATCAATGTTTTATTGATACAGTCCTTTTTGTTCGGATGATCTATAATTAAGTAATGACAATATGAATGTGTTTTGAAAAAGGCATTTCCTTACTAGATGTTTCTTCTGAACTTTATGTTTCTCAATGGGACAAGATACAAATTAAAGGGGGCAAACAAGAGTCACACTGTATATACTGAGCTCAAAGGTCGGTCTCCATGGCTGGGTTGGGAAACAAGTCAGATCTCACTATTAGGGGGTTTCACCAGCTGTGGGAGCTTGACTGGTGGATGTAGCGGTAGTTTAATTCGAAAGATGATTGGCTGTGACGAGTCTTCAAAAAATGAAAACTGAACATCCAGACATCCAAAAAAATAGTTCAATACTTTAGATGTCGTGACTTGGCCAAAATTTACAAAAAATTGTACTTTATTTACAATTGATGGCAAGGTTCATAGAAAAGCAAAGTCAAAAATAAAGCATAATCAATCTATGTAAGAGTAGCTACCTTAATACCAAATTAGACAGTTCTAACTTACTTGTGGGGAATTTGGGTATGGGCACTATATTTATGAGCATTCTAATCAAGCGTATTGTACATATGAATTTTGACGTATATAAGAGAAAACATATCAACCAAGAGATATTAATGGTACTCAATAGTTTTTTTTTGATATTGGTTATTATTGGACAGTGCTTAAACTGCCAATACATCCAACAGTCAAGCATCCAGAGCTGGTGAAGCCCCCTTTTATAAAGTGGATATTAAAACGTTTCGATTTCGCTTTGCATATTTTTTCACGAAATATTACTTTTAATTAGTACTGTTTTTCTTACTAAATGATAATGGTAGCCAAGAAGAAGAGTATAGCTGTATTTATTTTTAAATAAGATAAACTAGCGATGCTCTATACTTAATATTTATTAAAACAAACCAAAACACCTTCTAGCATTAGATTTCGGAATTTTATTTCTTGTGAGCCAGGCACTTGGTTTTTCTTTTCTTTTCTTTTTTCTTAATGCTTCCCAAATATCGTTTGAACCGTAAAACAAACTATTTTTGGCAAAGTTGGTCTGTGCGTAAATACTGATGCTTCTCATAATACGTGTATCATTTGTAAGATGAATATACAAATAATATGGTTATTCTATACACAAATTTACACATCCATTTGATTGCTCTTTGACTCTAAATCACCAAATTGCTTTCTTTTGAAGAGATTCTAGAATTGACAAAACCCTCTCATAAAACAAAGATAACCTTATTACACACTTTGTATACTAGACGTTTCCAATTTGACGATCCTTTATGCTACCAGCTGAGAAAATGTGTTGCATTATTCCTTGATGTATTATTCATATTTGTCGTAGTGCAATGGATACACAGGCAGGACTATATCCAATTTGTACAATCCACTTTTTTACGTGTATGCATGTTATTTTCCACAAGCCACTTTATCCTTGATGTAGGAGAATACAAAAAAGCGATTCTATTCACAAAACCCCTTTCTTCTTTTTGAGTTTTATTGCGAATTAAGAAGATTCATACTTGGAGGTATCAACACCGTGGTTGTTGTGATTGGCAAAGTTAAACCAAGGGAAGACGCCTACGTGAGAAAGTTGTAAGTTAATCAGCACAACCAGTCATACATTGAAGATAAAGACAAAATATACGCATTCTTATTATTGCTACTTACTGAACTTCAACTGAGCAAAGCGAGAGTTTCTGGAGGATTCATTTGCGACATGGGGAGGCATCGAAGACTCTCCATAGAGGGACTTACCCTCCTTCAAACGCTGGCTCATTTCAGCGTGATCCTTCTGGACTTCTGCTGCGTTCTCGGTCCAGCCCCAGAAGCGAACTATACCAATAATTATCACCAGTCAATAAACACAAGTAAAACACACACTCTCTCTCATTTACCCACACACCAAAACTGAATTTACTTACGACTGCTATTCTGGTATGCGTACAAGAAACCACCAAAGGCACCAAACACAGTAGCCACACGAAGAGGAAGGCGGAGGTTACGAACAGGGCCGACGGGGTTCATTTTCTCTTTTTTTGGTTGATTTGAAGAAAGCATGAGCAATGGGTCCACATTGATCTATATAGCTCTTCCTGCACTCGCTCTGTTTTTTGTTCTTTCGTGCTAAAAGTTACTTACCCATGCCGAGCATGATAGCTGGGGCAGCAGCAGTACCTGCAGCCCAGGCGGCATAATCAGAGCTTCTGAAGTAACGTACGACACGGAAGAAGTGAGGGTCAGTGTCGATGACTGGGTAAGCCGAGTTGAATTCTTTCACAGGCATGCTATTGGACGCGCAATGTAATTTTTATGTACAAATAAATAATACATGTGAAATTCCAAGAAGCAAGATTTCAATTTGATGACGATTATATTGTTGTTGTTGTTGTTTTTTAAAAGAATGTGTCGGTATAAATAATCCATGAAATTCAAGTATAGTTGTCGTATTATAGAAAATATGTAAAGAAAAAAAAAGTAAAGATAATCAGCCATTATTCATTATGAGGACCTAAAATTCAATTCCCTTTTCATGCTTTCCTTTATTGAAGCAGAAAAAGAAAAATAAACAAGAAACTTACGCTATAGGGGAGTGGTGGGTGAATGAGCTTTAATGTAAAAAAAAAAGGTGCCAGTACAGCTTTGAGCTTTTGTTTTGCGCAAACATGCCCGGCACTGTCCCCCCTCTCTGTCCCTCTGCGTGACGTCGAATAAAATTCCAGTCACAGCCAAAGTACAGTAAGCCAAGATATCAATCTCTAAACCAAGTTATTCACTTAGATCCATTTACCACACCACACCAAACCAACTCCCCAAACTCTCCCCCACCATGGAAAAATCATTAATAAACCAATTAATATATATAAAAATTAATCTTCATACAGCTAAAACGTACAGCGAATAATAATAATAATAATAATAATAATAATAATAATAAACGACTTCTATTTAAATAATGTTTTAAGATGGGTATCTAAAGTGTCAATGGTTTTCCATGATTTAGCCTTTCCTTGCCAGCGAGCCTTGCCTCCTCCTTTGAGATCAGGAAATGCAGCAAGAAGAGCCTTTGCAGTCTTTTGGACGATTTCTTCTGATCCACCTGTAATAAGCATTTGTCCGCCTGTCTGTTTCTCGCCTGCCGCCAATACAACAACTTTGTCTTTGATATCATCCGTGTCCTTGAGGGCAGAGGCAATATCAACCAAGAAATCCATGTCTCCGTCTGGACGATAAACAAATCCATATGGCTGAGATTTTAATTGGAGTTTGACTTCAGTGGCAGTGTGGCCAGCCAATTCTGTCATAAGACGTTTGATTTGCTTTTGAGAAGCGCGGGTTTGCTGTTGCAATTTCGTGATATTTTCCACAAACTGCTCTTGGGGTACAGAGAGGATTGAAGTCACTTGACGACTGGTCTTGTAGGCCACGTCAAGAGTATCAAGTACACGCTGTCCGAACAAGAAGAACAGCTTGATGTTTCCTCCACGTGCACTCTCAACATGGAGCAGCTTGAGGACCTGGAGATGACCTAGATGGCGTACATGGGTACCACAGCAAGGGTTGGTGTCCAGTCCTTCAATTGTAATTGTTCGGATCGATCCTCCGCCTACATAATCAGCCGGAAGACTATCAGGACGTCCGTCGCCCGTGTTAGCCTCTACATGACATTCCATTGGTAGTTCTTCGAGAATCAGATCGTTCACTCGAGATTCCAATGTTGCCAGTTGTTCAGCACCGAGGGTCTTTGTGTTCTTTGTGCTAAGCTCTACATAGCATTTGGCAGGTCCAAGGTTCCTAAAGAAAGAAAAAAGAAAAAGAAAAGTTCAAAATATACTATATAAGATTTGTCAAATAAAAAAATATAATAGCAGTAATACAGATACTTACCATGATAATGTTTCCATATTATAAGGTTCCTTCTCAAGAACAGCACTCAATAAATGTTGGCCACTGTGCTGTTGAACATGATCCCTATTTTGAGAATAATGTATATTTTGTTTAGTAATTATCACAGAAAATAAATTCTCAAAAAAAATCCCAAAAAAAAATCTAGACAACGTACCAACGGCGGTTCCAGTCTAAAGTCACTTCAACTTCTTTGTTGACAGGCACGGGTTCCTTGGTGAAGTGGATGTGTTCCAACTTTTTACGCTGAACCTCATACACCTTTATATTATCAATCATTCCCGTGTCACTAGGCTGTCCTCCTCCTTCAGGAAATATAACTACACCAGAATTTTGATTATGATTCAGTTGAACATTGTACATTACAGGTATTTTATCTATGTGTGGTATCTCAAAATTACCAGTGTCATGAAGTTTGACTTCATAAAATCCTTTCTTGTTGGGTTTTTCAGAACAGCTTATACATTTTGTGATGCATACTTTGCTGTATGTATCTTTTTGGCAATGAAGATCACCCACTGGAATCTGGTTTGATGACATTTTGATAAGCTCGTTTAGATCTTCCCCTCCTGAAGACGCGCAGTTCCACCCCAACACCTTGTTGGTGTGACGCTTTTCGGTAAATGCATTTATCCGATGTGCCATAAAAAAAAGCTTTTTTAATACTTCTTTTAGATTTGACAAACTCAAAATTGTACAATCTGTAACTTTCTAATAGTAATGTGTGTGTGCGTTTTTTTGAACGGGTATTTAAATGCACTGATGTTTAATGTAAGAATATGCGTGCATAATTGTTTTAAAATTATCATTAAATTAAGTATGTACATGGACGAAATATTAAAAAAAAAGAAGATTGTGTAGAATATTTAAAGGTAGGTAAATGCAGTGTAGGCTAATCCAGCAGTTGCGACAATATCGACAATCTGTGCAAGCAAGTAAAGTGAGCATAATTTACCGAGACTACGGATATTATCTTTCAGCTCGTTAAAATGAAGTCCAAGGCCAATGCTCACGAATGAAAGCGTGGAGAACCACTCGGATACATAGAAACAAAAGTCGTTTACATTCAACCGAATCTCGGGGTCTGTGGACACGACAGTGTTGAATAGGATAGCTGTGATGATAAATCCAAGTACAAATTTAGGAAAACGCTTCCACAACAAGACATGAACACTTTCTGTGCGCCGTGGGTGATGTCTGCTTCGGCCAGGAATATCATGGAGTTCGATGTCCTCGTCGCCAGCGTTACGAAGTAGCTCTTCATTGAGTGAATTGGCGGTCTGGAGCTCATAACGACTCCAGGCCCACGCCACAATTACTGAAAGTGGTCCGATCAACACATTTTGAACCATTTTGACGACAGCAGAGGTATTGATGGCTTCTTTGTCGCCATAAATACTAGCAGATGCAATCACAGCACCAGTAGAGTCCACACAACCACCGAACCATGCGCCGCTTACAGAAGGAGATAATCCTAAATTTTTGGCAATGTAGGGCAAGACAATGATGCTTGGGATTGTGAAGACAGAGATGATTGCAATGGGCATTTCTGTCTTGTAAGGTACGCCCATGCTGGCACCGAGCGCAATGGCAGCTGATGAACCACAAATAAAGGTAGCCCCGGACATGATAATAGAAGTCTGGCGGTCGATACCCATCCAACGCCAACCAATCATAGCCACAACTATGAAAAGGGTAGGTGTATCTAACCAACTGACAAAGATGGCTCGTGGTGCCAGTGGTCTAAGCACACTAATGTCTATACACAAAAGCACCAAACTAATGGCAATGTAAAGCTCGGTTTGTTGAGAAACCTTGAGCCAGGGGGGAAGGGTCGGCCTAAATATGCCGATCATGTTACGGATCACGCATCCAAGCACAATAGCCCAGATGGAGTCACCGATTGACGCCTTGTGAAGTGTTACTATTGTACGACAAGGAAAATAATTATTGTTACGGTTAGACACATCTAAAGAGGTTTTGTAGATGATCTAAAGACGTCTTTGCTATTATTACCGTTGCTTGCTAGTATCTTGCTCAGGAGGGCAACACAGAACACAACTGCATAACCAGTTCCATAGAAGCGCCAATGGGGTGTCTGTGTTGCACCCATAGCTAACCATAGCATGGCTCCCATTGCAAAAAATAGAACTATCAGGCCATAGTTCCCCACTGTATTAAACGAATGAAATGGGTTGGTTTCCCACTTTAAAAACTCGGGTTGTGGGATGCCGTGGTGAACTGCGGCCGTAATACAGCCAAAGAAAATAAGGCCAATCCAGCACGACCACCATTCTTCGGTATTCCACCACAGCAAAAACCGCTTATATTTGTCGAACTTTGATTCTGGCAAGGCCGGTGAGTTGGAAGCCGAAGAGCTTTCGGTATTCCTGTAACCAGGTGCCTCGGGAAACACATTAGGTTCTTTGGTGGCTTGCTTGACAGACGATTGCATTTAGTAAGTAAAAGAGAACACAGGATATGTGCGGTTTTGCAAATACAATCATCTCCAAAAAATATAAAAAAATTAAAGATTGTTAATCAGATCTCCGCGTAGGTCTTTAAATCACTATTATATATATATGTGTCTATATAAATAAAAAAAAGAGGTGAGAAAGATGCATGGAGATGCTTGAAAGAGAAGAATAAGTGTGACTCGGCTATGAACTCGGTCCCTGCCTCGGACCATTCTTCAGTCACGTTTATCTTTCTTTTTTTTTCTTCCTCTTTTTGCTGACAGGACGTCATCCATGTGACTGAGTGCGGGGCATCAACTCCGATATGTGCAGTGTGATGCAAAAGGGCCTCCATTGTCTGCTTCTCATTCATTTTCCTCACCTTACTCTATACGACTTACTCTTTTTTCTCTCTCTTTTGGTTGGCCTGTGACTGTACTACTGAGAGTGTAAGCTCAGACATAGAGGACAACATGCAATATGCGATAATCAATACTAACTCTTTTGCTTCAACAATTCAATCGGTCGATTGGATTCCTTTTTGCCCATTTACCAACAGTTTATACATTCCTCTTTTTTTTTTTTTTACATATATATATATATATATTATATATTTATATCTATATATTAATTGCACCGCAATCAAACCAAACTTTTGATGATTGCTACCCTAGATACTGACTCACCCATCCAAGAAGACCACCAGGTAAACTACATACAAGCTATGATAGTAACAATAGCAGCAAATATAAAGATACGATGAAACAAAATAAAATAATCTAACAACAAAAAAAAACAAAATAAAAAAATATATTCTAGTCGACTGGATCTATTATGACTGATATTGGCTCTTCTGGACACCGCCGCCAAGTGTCGGTTGGACTTGGTATTTTAACCGATCCTGAGACACTCAAATCTCGCCATGGGTATGATAATAAAGGCAACCAATCGCCTGACTCCAAAACGGCCCAGTTCTTTAATGCCAACGATCTCCCCACGCCTCGTCCCCCACCCTCCCTTCGCCAAAGTCCGGTCACTCTCTCAGCCGATCCTTTGGTCCAACCTTCATCTTTTGCTGGCCGCCTCAGAAGTCTCGTCTCTGCTGGCCGCAATACTGCAGTTGCGCCTGCCCCGATTCCAAACTACCTTCACGCTAAGAATAAGCCACGAAGAGCATCCGAACCAGACTTTGCGGATCCTCTTGTAATAAAGCAGCCTAACCGTCTGTATTCGGACGACGACGACAACGACGACATTTTGTGTTTGCCTAGTCCCTCGCCAGCTCCGTCATCAAATGCCACATCTGGATCGTACTATGTTTTTCCGCGTGGTCTCAGAGTTGCCTGTCCATCTACCCCCTTGACAAGCATTCCTGTGATTTCTATCTCGCCCTCCTTTTCGCCAAACAAGACTAACCGGGTACCTACACTCATCGAGGAGCCAATGTTGGGAGATGTTGATGAAGACGAGGAAGCAGCAGCTCAGGTGGTGAGACAGATCAAACGCCGATCTGTGTCCCCATTACGCTACACTGACGAGGATCTTACGAACAAGATGGTGGACAAATACCACATTCGCAGCCTGCTCGGCGTTGGAGCGTTTTCACGAGTTTATCTTGCCGACAACATTGAGGATTCACAGCAGTATGCGATCAAGGCGATCAACAAAGACCGCATGTTCACCAATGCCCGCGTCCGTTCCAGTATCGAGCGTGAAGTTGGTGTACTCAAGGTAGGCCTTTCTGCTTTCTGTTGGGTCTTAAGGGATCAACAGGTGTAATGATTCTTTGCACGGTAAAAAAAACCATCATGCATCAAACACAAAGGTCATTGATCACCCCAACATTGTACGTCTCGAGGCAACGATGGAAACCGAACACATTTTGTGTATTGTCCTCGAGTACATTGAGGGGGGAGAGCTATTCGATCTCGTCCAGAAGCTCCATCAAGATAACCAAGGACGTCCTCTGGATGAAGAACTTGTCAAGCGTATCTTCCTCCAGCTGGTTGGTGTCGTGCGCTGGCTGCACGATCACAACATTGTCCACCGCGACCTCAAGCTCGAGAATGTTCTTATCCGCTACGACGATGACGACAAAGACCACAAGAATCCGATTTTAAAGGTTACCGATTTTGGATTGGCGCGTGTAGTAGATCCTCTAGGACCACAGTTGCAGACACGATGTGGAAGTGAAGAGTATGCAGCACCAGAAATTGTTCAGAGTCTTGGATACGACGGCCGGCTCACGGATACATGGGCACTTGGTGTTATTTTATATGGTTTATTGGTAGGTTATCTTCCATTTCGTTATCAGCCTTCTCGGGGTGAAAAGGTCTCCCAGCTTTTCTATCGTATTGTCAAGGCTCAGGTAAAATGGCCGGCCGAGTGGGCCAATGATGCCTCACTTGGAGTTAGTCTGGAAGCTAGAGAGGTTGTAGAGAAGATTTTGGTGCGAAAACCCGAGGGGCGAATTCTACTAAAGGATATTGAAAGTCTTCCCTGGTTTGCCGGTATCGAACCCCTTTAATCGCTTGTTCATTGTATTCGCCTTGCACTACTTCAGCATGTCTCCGTCATTATTTTTACTATTACTATAACTATCACTACCACTATTATTATTTCTATTATTACTATCATTATATTATTATTATTATTATTTATCATATTTATATATTTTATATATCTATTATCCTGTCTGCTATTTACGAGTCTGTTTTTTTTTATATTATACTTCATTTATTCATATATTCATATATTCATTCATTCATTTATTTGTCTTGTACATTTCTTTTGTGCTTTACTATTGTTCTGTTTTTTTTTTCTTTTACAAGTCTTGATACACATTACTTACGAACAACTTAATGTCTCCTTTGTCTTGTCCTGTCTTTTCTTGCCCTGTCTTGCCTTTGCCTTGGATTGATATTTATACTATAGAAATCTTTCTATTTTATGAATGTGTGTTTTTCTTTCTCCTTTTCTTTATTATTGTTATTGTTATTTTTAAAGTTCCTTATTATTCCCTGTGAACTTGAAGTAAGATTATCACTAAAATAAGAAGAAATAATAATAAGAGGGCAAAGCTCCGGTTGTATACCTGAAATGACCATCATTAAGTCTGTACACCAATACCTTTAATCCCTCTTACGGTCTATCATCCTCGGAGATTATCTATGTTTTCTGTCGGCTCCCACGACACAAAAAGATGTGACAAATAATAAAAAAAAATTCAAATCTCTCTCTCTATATATATATATATTATATTGGCTTGGTTTGGTTTCTATTTGAGAATCGTTTCTCTGTTGGTAATCGAAAAGACACCAAACATAGCTTGAAGTTTTGATGTAAGGATATGGTATAGAATATAACTAGTATTCAAATATATATAGTCGATGTTTTAGCAATGATTATTATATAAAAGTTTATTCTGAATAAACTTCTTCCACTTCAGTCACCCGATTTTGGTGTAAACCTCCTTTTCCCTTTCCCTTCTTTTATTTTATTTAATTCAATAGTAGAAAATCTTATCCTTGACTACCCTGGATACACTTGTGTTTAAGTAAAAAGGGTAAGATTAGAACCCATCTACTTTTTCCTTTGATATTCTTCCTTCACAAAGACAGTCCAGTTTAGATTGTTTCAATTCAGCTTCCTATTTCAATCTAACTAGTATTTTGAAATCAAAATATACAATTCCAAACATCAAACATCAAACATCAACCCATTTAAGGTTTGTTCTTTTTTTTTCTTGTGTAATAAGATAAAGGCTTCTTCCTCCCTCCTTCCATATAAACTTATGTATTTATTTATTTATTTTTGGTTGAATAATAAATTGGTGTCAAAATGACTAACACTAATACTAATATAACTTTTGTTTGCAATAATTACACTAGACACCATTGGAAGCTTACAAGTCTAAAGTAAACAGATGAAATTTTTTGGTAAAAACAAGTAGAAAGCAAGTAGTCGATGACCCTTACCATATTTTTTTTTGGTGTCCTCTTCTCTTTGCTGTACTAGTCTTGTTGGTAATAAACCGTGTTTGAAGGGGAATAATATTCGTATCAAAACCAGTGTTTTTCTTTTGCCAAGACTTTTTCTTCTTCTTTTTATGAAAATAATTTTTGGTTCTTGTTCTTAAACTCTATTTCATGTGTCTAAAAAAGAATCTGCAAATCTTTCATTCATTTAAACATAAATTTTAAAGACCTTTTATGGCTTTTTTTTATGTTGCTGTTGATTTTGCTTTTGCTTTTGCTTTTTCTATTTATCAGCAGAGGAATTCGAGACAGAAATTCAAGGGCAAACAAGTTAGGTATATAAGCACACGCACACACATATTTAATAAACACAAAGAGAAAAAAAGAAAAGAAAATTGTCGCTATTTCTATATACAAAATCCACATGTGCTTATTAGCTACCTAAATTTATTTGAAAATAACTGGCGTGTCTGCATATGATCTTCATTGCTTATTTGCTCTTGGCTATTATCAGTGATCAATAATCAATAATCAGTAGATTGATAGATGTATAAGACAAAGCTGTATCATCATAGCCATTAGATCGCTCTTCTTATCAACAAATAAGCATTCAATTACAGTCAATGGATAGTACTCCTTTGTTGTTTTTATTATTATTTTGTGATACTATAAAGTCTTTTATTTACTGTTTGACAGAACCGCAGCAAGTTGCTCACAGTCCAGGTAAGAATTATAGATAAACTTTACTCTGATTTCGTTACATACAATATTAAAAAATAAATGCTTTTGTATTACTTAATATTATATATCTATAACCCCCATTTTCTTTTGATGACTAGTACAGTACTAATAAGAAGCTTACAATATGTATTATCAGTTGCTTATTCTAGCTTAGAGTAGTCTGGTATAGTACGATATATTAACCAATTCGCCTATCTCAAAAGTAAATGATCATTAGAGCAGGCACATATCTGACGACAATAATAATAATTAATTAATATGTCATATACATACATACATACATACATACAAATACAGTCAACTTGGAATAAATGGCTCAAAGTCTCCTCCCCAGTTTTTGTATTTAGTGTCACAGAATATAAACTTGGCTTGGTCTGTCTACTTTCTTTCTTTTTTTCTGGTAATGGTCTGTGTTAAACTTTCACCCAAAAGGTTCAATTTTACTACAAACGAGCCAAAAAGAAATCTAGTGTTTTTGGAAATTGGTTTTCCAATAAACTCTTTTCTTCTTTTTCTTCTGTGTGGCCCACCTCTTTTTGACCTTCTGCCAAAGCTTGATGATAGTTATTTCTCAACTTTAAATGAGCCTTTGTCTTCCACCTATATGAGCTTCATCATAATTTTACAGTACATTCTTTAAAGTGCTATTCTGGTCTCTATGGATTAGATTAATTGAATAAATAAATAAAGCTAGAAAGGCGAGAGAGTTTATGCTGTTACTGTGGCGAGTGTTTGTAATTTAGACTGATATGGGGTGATTGATGATTGTAAATGCATGTGGTTTATTAAACTAATTCGATTTAAGAAATATATCAAAAGGTAATTCTGGATTATTTTTTTTGAAGACGACGTTTAAATATACATATTATTTCTAACTTCTTTCATTTGTATGGAGTAGAAGTGATAAGTTGTATTTTAACTCATGTTTTAACATGCAATAAGCATATGCCTAAACAAGATCCATAGTTAATGATTATCATTTAATATAAAAAAAAAGTAAAATAAAAGTGTTTAATATCATCTGTTTAAAATTTTAATTTTTACTCAACTTTCTTTCAATCAAATATTATTAGGGGAGTTCAACAGTAGAGACGTTTGGGGATCCGTTTTTACACTTTTAAAAAGGAAATTTCCCGCTAAAAAAGGAATGGTTCTTCCCAACTTCCAAAAAAAAAAGTGTAAAAAATTAATTTTTTTCACAATTTGTGTAATTTTTTCTCATTTTACACTTTTTTTACACTTTTTTTAGCCAATAATTGCTTTTATCTTGAATTTCTAAACTAACGACATATTCATTAGTAAGATGCAAAGTAAAATATAAATTTTGAGCATGCTTTTAAAAACGTATATACTCTATAGCTATAGTCCTTTACTTCATACTTTTTATATTAAACTATATAGAAAATATATTTTACTTACTCTGCTTCATATACTGCAATTATTACTATTATAGAAGACCATATTTCAACCAAACGTTGTCAATATATTTATTTAATCATTAACATGAACAAATATTCGTTAGTTTAGTAGAAATACACTTTCCGACAGTGACTTTTACCCTGATATAGTAGCAAAAACTCAGAAAAGTGTAAAAAAAAGTGTTTCTATATTTGGGGTAAAAATGAAAAGTGTAATTACACTTTCCCCAAACGTCTCTAATAAAAAAAAATAACATTAAATAATCGAGAATAAGTAACTTGGTGCTGACGGCACCGGAATCGGGAACGGATTTCAGTAGGAACAGGGACTTCAAAGAAGGATTCCCTTTAAAAACTCGGGCAATCGATTCGGGAATCCCGAATGTACAACAATAGCAGACAAAATCAGTTATACTTGGTACAGTTCCACGGAGACACATAGTGCTCGGGTTGGTGGGGAACGGTTAAGGTTGCGCAAGCAAGTAAATGGAAATAATTACCAGGAGCTGGTTCTCTAAGTAGTTTTGTGGGTCAGGGTCACATATATGTTTCTTGGCATGGACTTTTGTTGTAAGATCGAGGAGAATTTGACTACAATTTTTTAGAGGTTTTTAGGGTGATATGCTTCGATCAACACCACATATAAAGGTAATCGAGCATCATCACTAATTGCACCAAGCACCAGGTGTTTTGAAGAAACGAGGGAGACAGTTGGAAAGATATATGATGAGGTAGACCTCTGGATGAGGGGAGCAGGATTCATTAAGAGTCAGAGTCTTTGAATGAAAGCGACGGTGGTGGGGCAGATAGACATAATGTTTTGACTACCCTTGATAGCGCCACATTGGCGCCCGACTAATGGTGTAGGTGGTAGCCAAGCAATTTACCATTTGGTTAAACGTTGGCGTTTTCGGCTTGTGTAGGGCAGTAGTAAGACCGGATCCCAGGCAAATCTGCACAGCCTATAGCGATGGTCACTGGATGGTTTACACTCCCAAGTTGTATATCGATTCATTCCTGACGTACCAAAACATAGGCTTCTTTTAAGGTTCCTTCAACCGAGGTTGACGTTTTTTTTTCAGTGATTTGGCCTCTTTCCAAAGTACACAATAACGAAACTCAGTCTATATCGTTTTAGCTTTGGTAAGGTCCATTTATGTGGTAAGAGCTCTGAGCAAGGAGTTTAAGGGTAGTATTTCAGAGTGGCAGAGGAATTTGGCTAGAAAAGGGTTAATACAGACAAACTTATCGGGTAGAGTAGCTAAAACAGTGATGTAGATTATTGTATACATACTATAGTTGAGTGAAATACAGGATTTAGGACACATAGTGGATAATATATTCGCTAATGGGTCCTAGTAATAAAGTCTCGTATATTTTCAAATACTTCAGTGACAACCAACCATAGCCCAACCTACATCCTTAAATTAAGGAAATTAAATATTTATGTTATCGGATACAGCCTTCTTTTACAGCAACAGCAGCATAATCACATTAATCACAATAATAACTTTGTGCTGTCTCTGGCGAGCGAATTGATGTTTTGTAGCGCTATTAAAAATAAAACATGACCAATGATATATTGTTAATATCTATGAGGTACCGTCATTTTGTACCTTGGTTTACTCTTTGATTTGGATACTGTAAGCTTAATAGAGATTTAGAGATAATAAAGTATATTGGTAACGATTGTCAAACAAAACAGAAAAATAAAAATATTGATTATTTTATATAAATTGTTTATATTCCATTACACAAAATAATGTCTGTCTGTGTGTCTATTACTGGCTTCAACACCCTCATTCAATGTACATTCAAGCCTTGTTAGGATTAAGATTAAAATTAATGTGGACAGAATAAACTCTAATAACTATTTAAGAAAGCCCACTGAAAATTCCTGGCTTACCTAAGCGTCGCACAGGTCCCAAGTATTAATAAAATATGAAGAATATGAATAAATGAAGAATACAAATCAAAGCACATCCATAAACACTAAACTTGACACGTAACACACACTATAATACACTACACACCACATACAAGCATGATGGTTAACAATATACTTGTTCCAAAATTCATCAATAGGTACAACAGTATTAAAAAATGGCGAAGAAAGAAATGCCGTCTGTAAATCTTGATAATTATTCTTTTTTTTTTGAAATAAAAGTATTTGTATTTCTACACACAAAAAAAAAATGTACAGGTCTTCCTTTCGATCTCTTTCTCTATTTAGAAACCTGTAATTCCTTTTTTTAAAAAAATATTTTGTCTTGTTCTAGTTTATTGATCTTTCTAAGTCGATACACAAAGTGTACACGTCTATAATGTCTATTACAAAGTAGAGCAAGGTGGGTCTTGTTTTGTCGATTGTTGGTTTATCGTTTATTTCTCACCCTATAATATGTATACAATTCAGTATGTTGGTACACACATAACGAAGAAATCAATTAGTCGATTATTTAATAAGTATAATAATAGTAAACATACGCGAGCCATCTTGACAGCACCCCAGACGGAGCCGAGAAGACCGGTACCGAGGACCAAGAAGGTGGTGTAGACGATAACCTTATCTCTGGGACCACGGAGGAACAAGAGAGTGTTGGAAGGAGCCTTATATATATATATATATTTATTTATTTAGAATCAAAAATAATAATATTAAATATAATATGGTATGATATTATATTATAAAAAAGGTTTAACAGCAATAAAAAATATATTTTGTTTGTGTTTTGAATTTACTACTCCAAAGCATTTGAAGCGATGCATAGTTTTACAACAACTAAAATATGTGATTCCTTATGTGGAGAATATATAGCTTTCTCCTTCTATATTTCCTTCGTTTCGTGCTTTACCTGGAAGTACTGCTGCTTGGCGAGGATGGTGTTGGGTCTGTTGACGAGAGACATGATGAGGTTTATCGAAGTAGAAGAAAAGCTGTTGTGTTTTTTCGACAGGCATCAAAAAACAAAAAAAAAAAGATAGGGTCTCCGCCCATGAGATCTACGTCATCAATTATGGCAAACCCCCTTCCATCTCCACCTAGTTTTTTTATTTTATTTTATTTATATTATATATATATATTTCTATACCAAATGTCTTTTCTTTTATATCTCTAAAAGTATAACCTTTTTTTGATGTCAAAAGAACGTCTTGGATTTGATTTCAATGGCCAGTATAACTTGTCGTTATTTCGCTCTTTCTACTGTGTTCACACATGTATATATATATATATAATATAAATCAGTTATAGGATCTTTTAATTTGTTTATAAATTAAAGATATCTTTATGATATGTAGTCTTATCAAGGAATTGCTTGTTATTTATGTAGTTTTCGTGCATGCTTATATATTATTGATTTTAAATACAAAATCATTGATTGTTATTTTTTCTTGCTCTTGTATTATATTATCTTATATTTCTGTTTGTTTTCTAATAAAACCCAACCACCAAACAGCCTATCCACCTGTACAAATTATGATATTAAGATACAATAGAATGTAATGCAATCATAACATGATACCCATATGCAAGCAAACTATTTCTCACATAAATCAAATACTTGGGTAGGTGGTTAAAATAAGTGGATCAATTTACACACACATACACACATTATATATATATATTCTTTTCAAAAGACTTGCAGTCCAAATGAAAATCCAAGGACTTTTGAACCTTATCCAAAGTCCAGGACAACTTTACACATGAACAGTTGTCGAGTCTTGAAAATATTGCCATCAAAAATATATACATACTCGTACATTCCAAACCCCATTTACCCTAATATCTTAACATTTGAATATTTTGATAAAGGAGAAAAACGTGTGTAGATGTGTATATATATATATATGCAATAGGTTAACAGCTATGACAGAAACAGCACCAAAAAGAAGAAAAAGAAGATGTTGCCTTATAAATTCATACATTTGTGTCTAAAGAAAATGTCAACCAAAAAAAAAAATCCAAGGTCCAAGTTTCGGTGCTTTAAATTAAAGGTCAAAAAATAAGCTTATATAAACATATATATAAAAAAAAATTGGGTCTGTCTGTCTGAGTGAGCGTACATTTGTGTAAAAATATTTTGTCCATAATTCGGAGTGTAAATATCAAGCGAAACAAATGAAAGAAGACCAATGGAAAACCAGACAAGTAACCAACAAAAAAAAAGAGAAATATAATATATATATATAATATATATAATATGTATAAGCTTGTATATGTTAAAAAGATATAAAGATAACGAACTGTCTTGTAACAATATTTTATGTATATATAAGAAAAAGAGATAAAGTATAATTGTATTAAGTGTTTGAATTTTTGATTTTTTGTTGTTGAAATTAATAGGACTGCAAAAGTCTAGACAAAATATATATGTGTGGGTGTGTGTATTGTGGAGATGGTAAAGAGGAGGAATGACATGATGAGATTAAACACATGCACAGACGAACACAAACAGACAGCTCGCATGTTTATGTGTAAGAGTCTAGTATGTGCGTGAGTGTGTGTGTGAATGTAAGAAAGTGATAGAGATAAAGGAACTTTAGAAGAATGTCTTCTTTTTTTTTAAGTCATCAGCTTGTTAAAGACCAGTGGAGTGTACTGATACAATGTGACAGCAGAGAGGGAAACGATGCTCAACAAGAGAGTGTCTGTAATGCCAAGCCAATAATAGCAGAGATTAGTTTGTGAATGTGAATGAATTATTATTGTTATTTAGTCAAATTGGTTATATCGTATATATTAGCTGTACATACTGAACAAGGCCTTTTCCCAGGGTTCCAACATGTAAAGAGCTGTCTGGAGTTCATACTGATAGATCTTGGTAGACACATAGTCAGACAGACCACCCTTGGATTCTGTTGCCATTATTGTTATTTATTATATATATATATATATTTATATGATTAATTTAAATTTTGAGTAGGAAAGTGAATATGTAGATAGCGTAAAAGAGAGAGAGAGAGAGAGAGTATAAATAAATGTATATAAATATATATATATCTGTGTGTGTGTGTGGGATGATGATTTTATTTTATTTTTTTAAAAAAAAAAGTCAAGCCCTTCTGAGTTCTAAATATTGATAAAGGTATTGTAAGATAAAAAAACAAAAAAATATTATGGTATCTTATACTCTGATTATACTGCTTATAACTACTTTTTTCATTTTTTTTTGTTTTCATTCCCTTATAAATAATCCAAGTGTCACTTTAAAATTTAAGCCATAAAACAGATCCAACACAATATAGCTATATCAGACTCTTACCTAGTAAAACAGACATATTCTTGTTGAAATACACATGGTTGGATTGTCATTCACCGAAATCTACAACCGTCAAAATGTCATTGAAGAAGTCATTTGTCCTATAAGTACCTTTGTACTCTAAGACTAGATCACTAGGAAATGACCCCACCAAGCATTGAGGACAGTGTTTCTCATGCCCAGGGACGAGTGTTGTCTTGAGAGGATTGTTAATACAAATAAACAAAAATCGCGTTTGAATATTGGCAGAAATGATGAAAAGACATGGATAATGTAATTGAAATAAACCCATCCCAAAGTTTACTATCAGTAAGGACTCTGCATAGTCTTTGACATGGCTACTGTGTTGCACATCCAAGCCTTTTTTTTCGGAACAGGCAACCAGGAACTGGGACCAAAAATGGAAAAGCGTGATTTGGAGCGATAGGTCTCATTTTCCTTCTCTTCAAGATATAGATATAGATGACCGAGAGCATGCATAGAGAAGGTTTGAAGAGAAAATATCATCTTGGCTGTCTCTAAGCTAAGAGCACATGAAGGAAAGAATGTATCTGAGCTAGAGAAGGAACATGCTTTGTCTTGTCTTGCCTGCTTGTATAATAATATGAAGCGTGAAGGCACACGTCAAGGTCATATAAAAATCAATTCAACCAATTTTATGACATGTTGTAAAACAAGAATACTCAGCATTGTATTCCAAAAAGACAACTCCCCAGTTCACAAAGCAAATACGCCCAGAAAAAGAAATGCAAGGTAGAGTTTGGTCTTGATGTTATTGAACGGATAACAAGTTGCTTACTGTTAAGCAAAGTAATTTGGGGCACATGCTATATTGAGTAAAGAAAATAGATGCCCTATTTACAAAAGAATCTATGGTGTAATCTTTAGATAGTTTTGTTTTCAAGAGCTATTTGTTGAGCATAGGAAGAAAAAGAGAAGTATAAAAAGCAATATATTTCATTTACATATATTGTGGGTTAGAATCTCGCATTATTTGTTGTGTTCTTTTCATTCATCGATTTTAAATACATCTTTCAGACATTTGCTTCAATTAGATTCATAAATTTGACATTTTATTCTATTTTACCTTTGTAAAAACTTATAAACGTACCGACGTACCGACCTACACACGTACAAAGTTACAAGCTTACACACACACATATATATATATATATAGAGGCCAGGTTTATTAAAAAGGATAATTGATTGAAAATATTAAATGTAAAAAAAAAAGTCTATTAAGTATTAAGCACTAAGCCAATAAACATTCAACGGAAAGCTAATTTCTTTTGGTTTTTTGGTATGGATGAGCACGGCTTGAATTTTAACCAGGTTACACTATTATTTATGTGTACGGCTTATTCGAATACATCAATTTTCAAATTGCTGATTTTTTTTTTTTTTGATAAATCTTCCAATTATTGGCCTGTGTATTATGTCAAACAGAGTGTTTTTTTTATTAGAGTATTAATAAATTAACGGGTTGAATTGTAGTAAGAATAAAGCTAAATTACTTCTTTTTTTTGTAGTTTAAATAATATTCTCATTTCAAGCCTTTTGGATTACTACAAGGAAATGAAAAACGTATAAATATATCAACTTCTTCTTCTTCTTTATATATACTTCACTTATCCTCTCAACATCTTCTATTGTATCAACATCAATCCAAAAGAGAAGGAAGACATTCATCTTATATTCTTTCACCAATGCGAGTCCCACTATCATATGAACACCAAATCCAGCTGGTCCTAATAGCTTCTGCATTGATAATTCTCCTACTGCCTGTCAATTCCGCTGCACCCATCGAGACTGACTTGAAAGAAAATCAGGATCAATCTGACATAGAAACTTACTTACTTCGCCACTTATCAAAAGCAGTAATCGACGCACTTAAAGTTCTCAAGACCGTAATTTTCGCTTATATTGCTCATGTCATGACAGTTCGCTCTGATCCTAGCACGACCTTGCTACCAAACATTTATAAACGACTTTCAGCATTGGCCTGGCCCACTGGCAGTGTTTATGAATCATTTGGTGTAATCGTTAAATTAAGAAGTTCAAATAAATGGTTTTATCCTAACGGTACCTCGTAAGTACATATAAGATACACAGCTGATAAAAGAATGTGTGGAAGATATTAATTCATTTTGCATAATCATATTTTTACTTACAATAGTAGAGATACTTGTGATCCTATCATAGCATATTCGAGCCTACCCACCCTAAATAGCAATAACCGGATCAGCTCAACGACGCCCTTTATCCCATCACAAAGAGAAATATCTCCATTTGATGTTAACCCTGGACTTGAAAGTACAAGGATGAACCAATACGATAACATTGAATATCTAAAAAATACATTGGACAAAATGGGCCCGAAGAAAGCCAAGCGCGTCAAAGTCTGTATTTTTAATGGCAGCCTATACATTGATACCAACACACTATTGATTTCAAAAAACGGAACCAATTTGCGGCTCAAAACTGCTGACATGACAATATGTGGTTTAGGAGTAAACTGTACATACCAGCTACCTGTTCATCCAAGTTACGTGCGCTACTTTTCCAAGTCAATGATTGATGAGCTTGAACTATCTTCCTATATACAAAAACGTGCTTCCTTCAAGACCTTCATTGCTTTTCTTCAGCTCGCCTATACCGTTTATGAATGTATCTAAGGAACCGGACAGAAATGGTCCAAGGTGCTCGTGATAATTTTTATGATCATGTCAATTCTTCAAATTGTATCCATCTATATACTGCCTGCACAAGTAGCTGCATATAGTATCAGAGGCGTGGTAGAATTCCAAAATACATACGAGGATTTGAAGGCTGAAGAAAAAGAATATTCTCATTTTTTTGCGACATTTTTTGTTCGTGTGTTTCCCGGTATACCGAAAAAAATATTTACCGATCGAGAATGCATTGCCTACGACATATTGTGCAAAGTTGGAATAAAGCAAAAGGACGTTTATGCTTTGGCCAACCCTTCCAAAACAGCCGAGATATTGAATAGAGTCCAGTACCCTGACTGGTGGGAAGCTGTTGTTATTCTTGGTAGCACATTTATTTGGATAATGCTTGGATTTTGGCCAGGATTTATGACTGGAACAATTACCGAAGTACTTGTCTTAATTTGGATCTTTGCTGGATTTCTATTTCTTATTCTTCGTATCTTCTTGTTTGATCCAAGCTACCTTATTGGCTGGAAATTATATTTTTTTCTACGGTTTTTTTGCTGTTGCCAGGCATCAGTCTTGTTCTTGCTGCCACAATCTATGGTTACGTTTTTGGAACTCAAATAGAGACCAGTTAGATATATTGTTATCTTTATATAAACTAACGAACTTGTATAAAAAGAAAAGAAGAAATTTGATGTATAGTATTATGATGATTCTTAGTAAAGAAAAATATGAGTAAAAGAGTTAAAATTGATGTTTATGTTCGTGTCAATGTATTTTATTTTGTGCATAACTAAGCAACTGATAAAGCTAAAGAAGGCGAACATATTTGGTATATTTGATGGTTGTTGCTGGTTTTTAAATAAGTTTTTACGAGTATAGTATCTTTTGCAATTGAAGCACTTCTAGTGTGGTCATTAGATAATCTTTGGGGTGTTCTGGGGTGTCTATGGTTAGCACTTCAAAAATGAGAGAAATAGGTACTGTAAGAGTGTTGTTTATTAAAAAGAATCAAGAATTGTTGTTTAATTTAGTTGCGCTCTATGTAATTTTGCGCACAGTCTTCTCACCAAGTTAAAAATGTATTTAACAAAGAGAACAGTGTCATAGATTGTAAAGTAAATAGTGGCCTGGTAAAATAGAAATAAAAAAATAAGTATATAATAGGCATGTCTCAGATATCTATCCACGGTTTCTTGAGAGGCAGGCTCGCAAAATATATCAAACTCAGTGGCAACGCACTCGTCGTAAGGTACAAAGATATATAGAAAGATTCTTAGTTCAGTATATGGAATAGTAAACCAAATAAAATTCTTCTCATTGGCCACCTCGGATGGGGTCTTTTTGGTTTTTGGATTGTATGTTTTTTTAGGCGGGGGGCTGGAGTGTGTTCTAGTAGTAACAGAAGACCCAAGATTAGTCCTGAAGCTTGTCACTGGTACGGTAACATAATATGTACGATCGTAAGTGACGGTAGTGTATGATGTTTTATAACTAGTAGCTTTTGGATGGATAATATTGGTAATTGAATAAATCTTGGTATTTGTAAATTCCTTTACGGGTTTATCGATTAGTTTTGAGCCTGATGATATTTGAAGAGCTGTCGAGTCTGATTCAATTTGGGGAGAAGCTCTCCGGTTTGACATATCAGGCACATTATAAGGAGAAGAATGTCTAGATGTGGAAATATTAACATGAGTAATATGCTTGAAGAATATTATAGAGCATGTAATGACTACTATAATTCGAGAAAATGTGAGCATATTGTAAGAAAGAAAAACCTTATTAATTAAAGAGAATGTTAAAGAAGTTTTATTTCTTTAAGCTAGACATAGAAATGGTACTATTTATATTTGTAAAATTCAATATACCATTTAAAACAGAATCTCATTATTTAATTCAATTTTCTTCTACGTGCTCATTATTGCAATAATGAATCCTTATTACTAATAATGTTGACAAGTGAAAAAGAAAAATAAAGGGAAACCAAATTTAAACTTGACAAAGGAACAAACCAATTTCTCTTTCTCTCTAGTTCACTTGCTCATATAAATATCTTTTATTAAACAAAAATAAAATGCAACAAATCAAAGTTGCCAGCATCAAAGTAGAATAACAAGGGCTTAACCACTAAAAGTCCACAAAATAATACATCATTTTTTCTCATTAAAATCACACCATGTCTCTTTCCAGATCAATAAAGAAAAATCCTTACCAACAAAAAGCAGCTTTTAGATTATGAAAGAAGACTGACAGTTAGCGGTGCTATTAGAAATGGATCACCCACTGGAATTTTTTTTTTAAAAGAATCATATATCTTTATAAACAATATACTACAATAAAAAGCTGGAGAGACACTTGGACAGATTTTCCCCAATAAACAACAACAAAAAACTTTGATTGTTAATGAATGAGATCAATGCCATTTGATTATGGACATTAAAAAGATTCTTAAGCCAACTCTAGGAGATATTAACACCTTCATGCCAAGCACATTGGTACATTCGATCTTCAAGTCTATCATTTGTTGAACACTTCATAAATTAGGATTGTATTTCCATAACACAACGTACATTCCACTGTTACCAAATGCACATAAGAAGAAGCGATTTGATTTTGTTAAATACACCAGAAAGACTAATCTGAAGTGGAGATTGCGTCATCTGGAGTGATGAGTCAAAGTTTATGCTTTTTGACAATGGTGGAAAAACTAGAATAGGAAAGTATCCTAAAGGAAGCTACTTCAATTCACATGAGCTTTCGGTTAGAATAATGAATGAGAATTTATCTAACACAAATATAGTACCTCCTGTCAAAAGTTTAATTTTGTAGAAGAGTAAAAGAAGCACCAAAACTTGACAGTAATAGTGTGGCTTCCGAATAACCCAGACCTCAGCTCCATAGAAAATTTATTATCATACCTTACCAAAAGAGTAAGGGCAAGAGTCCCATTTCTAATAATAATAATAATAATAATAATAATAAACTCTTAAGAAGTTGGATACTGCTATCCGTGTGGAACGAAGCAATATCCTGGCTGAAATTTTCAAGACTCATTGCATGTCAATTCCTAATTGCATACACGAGATGAAGAGGGTTCATGGAGGGTCATCAAACTATTGATTTTTTCTTTAAAAAAACAATACCTTCGTATTTATATGTTTTCAGGCATGAGTTGCTAAGTGAAAGAAGATCAACTAAACTAAGAAGGCTACAGTGGTCCCTCGATAATTTCAAGGTCAAGGCGGGGACTAAGCGCCTTGAAATTATCGAAGAATGAAATAGCGAGTGCAGATTATATATTTTACGATGAAGGTAGAGAGAGTGTTAAAGTACGCTTTGTTAGAAATATCCCTATATACAATAAAAAAAAGTTAGCAGCAAGGTATTATCATAACTCGATTGGCTGAAATTCTTCCTCATTAAGGATTCAGGCTAAAAATTATTGTGAAAGTGAAATTACCAAGAATCGTGAAAGTTTAGCTCGGTTTTTAGAAGGAGAGTTGTCAGAACCTTGAAATTATCGAGGGACCACTGTAAAGAAATTGTACTATTGATTTATCAGAACTTAATAAGTATGATGTCCATTGTTGGTACGTGTCCATACACACATATATATATATATACCTTGGTTGTAAAATAAATAAATAAACTCAAACAGATCTCAGTACTGACTATTGTATTAAATTATTCGTTCATCTGTTTTTAAAGTGTATCCGATAAATCCCAAAAGTAAAAACAAAGATTTTTTTGTCAAGACCTGCGCTTGAAGGCCGATCCACTCAAGTTTACACCCAAGCTTCTCAACAACCCTCATTCCTGCCTACTCGGCATGGCATCAAATTTACCATGACGGCAAAGTATCGGTGAAATGCTTTAATGCCAAACTGCTCAGGACAGGTGTCTGAGACACCCAAGTGGAACAGCATAGCATTTACTTAGGCACCTTAACTTTGCTTTGGGTTCGTCCCTCATGTCCAGTTCTGTTTACCAGAGCGTGGGTTACAAGTATCAAAGTCTAAGCAATGAGGGACTTGAAAAGCACAGGGATCATTTCAACAGGAAGCAGTAAAATACAGGAGATCGTACTGGTTAATCCATCTGCATTACTTCACGTCCAGGTGTTCAACGAATTTAAAAAAAAAAAAACTCTACGCATCCAGGTGATACACCCTTATACTTGCACCTTTCTGTGACAATCTTGACCTGCCCCGAAGGACAAAATCTGGAGAGCCAATATCCAAAGTCCTAAGAAAATAGCATAAAGCTACCTCGGCGTTCCTCAGTCTTCTCCATGTTATGTGCCGCACAACACATAAAAAACTGACGTGGATTTCATCCGGCTTTCGCCTTCATATGACTGACTCAGGAAGTTCTTTAACATCCAGTATGCTCTACACTAAGAGCTACTTTCCCTGACGGTACTTGTGATCAGTTGGTTTTTTATAAATAAGTTTAGCCTTCGATGAAACTTTTCACCGGGATTAGGGAGTTTGTAAAAACAACCCGACTCATTGGAAGCTACTTAACACAAAGACAAGAACTCAAGACAAGGTGAGGGGATTGCACCCTCCAATAACCTTTTCCAGGGAGTGAAGGCTACTGACTTGTTGGTATGTCTGGAAAAGCAGTTCACTAGTTCACAATCCAGAGCAGTCAAAAGACCACTCCGGTTCAAACATTGGAGCTTCTCCATCTCAAACAATAAAGTCCAAGACAGAATCCCTTTTGGTTTCTTCTCCCCTGCAGTAAATGCAGGTAGAATCGCGCAAGGCACAGATCAGGTTTCAGACCATAGCATCTTGAGCGAACTCAATAGGCAGACCACCCAAAGAGCGCAATGCTTCCAATAAAAAACCAGAAACTCATATTAAGACAAGCCCTATAAACAAGGCGTCTACAATGAGCGAGTTGTAAATGAGCCCGAAGACTCATTGTTAAAGACCATGATATACACATCTTGCATGAAAATGTTTACATATATTCCTTTTGATATATCGTGACCGATAGAATACGAGATATTCAGGGATCACTGCAAAGGTAGAAATAGAAAGAAAATAGAGTATAAGGTTAATATACTTATTGTGTCAAAGTGTGTGCGCGTGTGCGCGTTTACTTACCTAACCGATAATCGCAAAGGGCTTAAAAAGTACTGGTGCTCAAAAGCAAAACGGGGCTGGAAACGGGACACTGGACACTGTGATAAAATAAAAGAAAACATCGGATCATAGTTAGTATGTTGACCGTGTCAAAGTGCGTGTATTCGTTTACTTACCTAGCAGATAACTACGTAGGGCTTAAACAGTACTTGTGCTCGAAAGCAAAACGGGACTAGACACTGGACACTGGACACTGTGAAAAAGAAAAGAAAACATCAAATCATAGTTAGTGTGGTGATCGTGTCAAAGCATCTGTGTGTGTGTATTTACTTACCTGATACATGAACTTGACGTGAAGAACCTCTCTGTGACCGCAGTGAAATGGACGCTGGGCATAAAAAAACAAAAAAAAAACACGCACAGAGAAACACTGTGTTGTAGTTAGTATATTGACCGTGTTAAAATGTGTGTGTGTGTCTGTATAATATTTTACCTGCTATTAGACTGGACATCGTTTTTGGAACTTAGCTAGAAACCGCGTCTGGGGTGCGTTTTCATGATAAATATTAGTATGGGTCTTATACGGATAGAAAGATATAGGCAGTTAAATGCGATTTTCTTACCGTGTCGGAAACCAAGGACCACCAAAAGGAAACCAGGAGGAAGAGGAGGGATAACAGGAAATAGGGAATTGTATCGATTTTTGTATGAAAAAAAGGGGATGGCGCACTGACAAGTGTTGCGTTGGTGTGGTGCAACTTTGTCAGAAAAATAATAAATGAAAATATAGTTGCCAGCGAGTTCAGAAGGCAAATATATAGAGAGATAGAGACGAATTACTGTGATAATGCTCGGGTCTATCCAACGGTAAGGAGATATAGTAAAATGTGTATAGAAAGGACAAATATAACAAGAAGTATGCTTATAACTATCGCGAAGAGTTGTTATAAGTCAGTGACGATGAAATAAATGTATAAACAAAAGTAAAATAAAGGATTTGATCAATAAAATAAAGATAGATAAGGATTCTGTTTTATTATTGCTTCATCTGAAGACTTTTATATGTGAACAATCTATACTACTTTGTTATAAAGCTCTATTAAAGCAGTACCAATGATGAAATAAAATGCACAAGGGTATGCCTTGTGCAAGGGGATTGAAGGAAATCCTGCAAAGAGCGCCATACTTCTTTGCAGGATATTCGTGGTCTGAGCGGAACCAAAAGAACACACACCGTGTCAGCAGCACGGAAGGCGTAAACTGCCTATTTTGGGCAAATCAAACCAAATTCATATGAAAATCAAAGAGTTTTATGTTTTCGGTAAAAGCTTTATATTTTTTATTACGTATTATTAACAAAGACCTCTTGGTATTGCCTAATAGATATATTAAATAGTACCAAGACCGAATACATTTGAGTATTAATTTGCTTTAGATAACCTCTATATGTCTTTGGGGAAAATATTTCTATATCTTTATACTCACACTACTGATGATCATTATAATTTTTAAAAACTAACAAGCAAATAAAGAAAACATTGTCAGCCTTCTAAACACATTTTGTTCACTTTCACTTAACAGAACAGCTCGAAATGCATAGGCATATAAAATAATCATTATTGAGAGAAAACTAGTATATGTTTATTAAATTAGTTGGTGTTTTACCAGTTCTCAAAGGGGACTTTTTTTTTTATTTTACTTGAGCTCTGCAAGTTTACATATACATGCAATATCCTTTGGAGACGAAAGACACAGTTTATCTTACTTATGATCGACTGAAATACTATTATTATAGAATATATTTACATATCTTAGCTAACACATAGTACTCTTTATAGAATTTTCTTTGATAGTAAATCTGGACTATATATTTATGAGATAGTGACAGTATAATTAAAATAAAGTAAGTGGTAAAACATGTCTTTTAGACACTGCAATACACGTACATTTTTGGAGTGTATATCTCATTGAAACAATATTAAAATTATTCAAAGCTTTCTTGTTAAAAGCAGAGCACCATAAATAATTTAGGACTACCATTATCCTCCGGTAGTATTCGTGTTCCTCTTCTCACCATCTCACACATATATGTATCTATTCAAAATACTCTCCAGTGAGTTTCAACAAAAGCACTGTTTTGGATAACCATATTTTATTTAGAGGATACTATGCTTGTTATTGCGCAAGCCAATACAGTTCTCACAATGATGGGTTTTCTTCAAAGTCTTATTAAACACTTTATGTAATCGACTTTTTGTATAGTCAAGCCACATCTGTCTTTTTTCTCTTTCCCTCAAGTACACTATGGTTAAAATCTATCTATCTTTTAATAACAAATGCATAAAAATAAATAGCGTATATGTAGAATGAATACGTATACCCCTTCCTATTGAATGCCTAGGTATCCCGGTTTTAGTTATCTAGTTAACCCGGCTCTTACTCTAAGTCTATGACAGATATGTGCACACAAGTACGCTCTCACTGCGTCTATTGACATAACTACGCTAGTGTCGACATATTTTTGCGCCAGTGCCTTGGCTAGTTCCTTTTTGCGCGCACTATTCTAACCAGACCAATAATCTAGAAACTATGGACTGGCTATCAGGGTATATACTTTGCAACGTTGCTGGATTAACTGGTAATTACTCTACACGATACGCTTAAAATTGAAGGAAATGGTTGTCTGGGAAGTGTTGTTCTTTATTGAACAAACCAATCCACTTTCTCTCTCCCTCATTCTCAAACTAAATTTTTGTTCTAATAAATATTGATATATATATTGGATTATGTGTAAAAGACTTTTTTTTTATATACTATATTATTTTTAAATAAATATTCTGAGGTATAATTAATGGCGTTACATGTGTTGAGAATTAGTTTGATCGCTGATAATTTTCTTACTCGGGAGAGAGCAACATAGAGCTAAAAATGTACAAATGGAGGTGAGGGAAGACATAACCCAATATTGGCAAATGCCTGCCCCTGTGCTTTGTTGCTAGTCATTACAAATTCAAGACTTACTGGGAACTGACAACGCTAGCAGTTCATCATGGCTAAAAACTTGGAAGGATCACTTCCTTACCCATATTGTGCCTTATTATTAGAGTAGCTTTGATTACGAAACAGCAAAGATAATTGTATTTTAGCCCTGTACCATTGCACAGGTCGTTATTTAGATCTATTTTTCTTAAAAGCATAACTGGCCATCCTGGCTTGAGTATCAAATTGTGAGGAGGTAGTGATCCAGGGTTGGTTGTTTTCAAAACTTTAATTAGATATGCGAGTTAATAATCCTCGCTTAAACCGTGATCGATGCTTTTAAACTCGTATACTTGTTTGGGAAAATTTATCAAGAATAATTTTGTTTACCTTTTGTGCATTAAAGTCTTTTTTTTTTGGAATGAGGTTGGCTCACCACATTAGAAAGCCAGTATATGTAGCATTTGCTACTATATCAAAAAAAAACAATTGCGTTGGTATGGCCGTTTAAGTTGGTACCACAAATGGATATTTCATTAGGAATAGCTACTGTGTCTGGACCTCCAGCCATAAGCTTATTCTTATTACCAGCTCGCAAAAGAAAGTTTTTGGGATCTTCAAGTTTTCTTCTAATCTCAGGGTTGCTTGCTTTTACAATCATCATATTGGTATATACATGTAGTGTATTTACAAAAGCCTAATCATGCGTTCTACTGATGTATTGGGCAACGGTTTGGGATTTCGACGTCCTTGGATTGGCATGAGGAGCTTGTTGATAATTTTCTTCAAAGACAAAAAAGAATCCACTACATGGAACATTCACAAGTACAGGGTTGACTGCCTTAATTGTATCTTGAATCCGACAATTTACTGCACTGGAAATATATTTATTGACCATTGAGACTTCACCCCAGACTATTAATTCCGTTCTGCGTAGAAATTGTGCGACTTGAGAGCTGGCAAAGATAGAGCACATGGAGTTCATGTCAACATTAATTGGAATCTTAAATCAAAGACGTGCTGTACGACCACTATCTAATAATAGGGCAGCAATTCCACTGGTTGCAACAGCAAGAGAAATTTTTTGTTGCTGTCGTACTTTCTGGAAAAGAACATTACATACAAAGATATTTCCTGTGCCACCTGGTCTATTCACAAAGTATAGTCTTGCTCCAAGTTGACTTCCATGCATTGCTTTCATAATAGAATTGTATAATGCTTGTTGGGAGCCATTGAAGTAAGGCTGATCTGGGTGGGACAAAATATACGCTTTATTGCATAGATCTTCTTGTTCTTGGATAAGTTTTCTTGACACTTGGCGATGTGTAGTCTGACCTGATGTTTCTGGTAAATGTGGAAGAGTAGGTCAACTAAATGATGCAATTGAAACAGGATTTGTCGAAAGATGATTCTCAATGTCTCACAGACACCTGTAATACATACCTTGAGATGGTTCAAGGGATTTATTATATTGACTTATTATTTCTGAGTGGAGATAATATTCAGCTAGAGAAGATCGATATCTAACCCTTACAATACCAAGAGAACAGCAAATGAGTGCCGTAGATTAGATGGTAATTGATAGGCTGTTACCTCTTCTAGACAAGATTTTTCACTCACCGTAATTATTAAATAAACGCAAGGCATGGCAAGCAGCTTGGTTTATATTGTATTCTTGACCTTCTACAGTGCGGATATTTTTGGAACTTGTAGCACCGGGAACATTACATAGCAGTAGTCTAAAAAAATGAACTCTCTGTATCCCTTGGTGAGACAAAGTATATTCTTCCGATTATTTTTTTCTTCTTTGACATAAATTCTAGATTTTGGATCGTTTGTTCCAAGCAGAGTGCTCAGGAAATCCACCATAAGTATAGTGCTGTTAGTTCAGATGGGAAGAATTATAGTGAGCTTTTGTTGTCAATGTAATCCTACCCCCTCCATAGAAACATACGGGCTCATTATTCTCAAGATTGATTGCTAGTCTTTGATGAGATGGATGTTTTTTGATGTAATTGGTTTGAAAATATTTTTTAGTATGATTCTGAGGCGGAAACATATTAGGAATTAAGGGATTTAGTTATCTCATTAATTCGCTGCTGTTGTTGACCCAAAGATACTGAGTGGGTCGTTGAATAGAAAACATTGCACGATAATGTTACTTATATACATATTTCTATAGATATTTTATGTAGACATTGTATTTTAAACAAATATTTGTTGCTTGGCACAACTCATCAATTATCCGGATCAACGTTAGTTTTGGATATTGATTGATTATTCACAAGCTTTTTATTTACAATGTTCTATGCTTTTTTTAATATATGTATATATTGGAGGTATCGATGTATAAACTAAAATATTTAATTATTAAAATAAATAAATAAATAGATAGATAACGTTGGCTCCCAACCAAGAAAGGTCGTTAGATAGTCTGTAATAACAGCAAGCTCTTATATAACTTTATGTATAATTGGTTATTGATATAGTGCATTTGTGATCAATTCTTATTATTTTACTGTAGAGCCTAAATGTAGATTTCAAACAGCTATTTTGATACGAATATTCCTGTATTAATTTCAGGACACGCCGTTTTACCCTAAAAGTCTAAAGACATTGGACCTGAAGAAAACAGTCACATAATTAGTTGAGAAAAATAAAAACGCCGTGTCCTTAAGATAGGTGATAAAAATGACAAATTAAATACAGAAAATTGGCCCTACATACAAATTGATTGACCAAATCCTGCTTAAATATGTAATTAACCTGGTTAGTTACATTAAGATCCACCATTTAAGCGTTTTTTTACATCAATTGCTCAAATATTAATCAAATTCTAATATTTTCCCTTCAAAAAAAAAGCACATCGTTTAATAATAGAATTTGGGATGTTTGCAACACATGGCCATGCTTGATGTAAAATTTTTTTTGGATAGGATATACGCTTTCAACTTTGCTATTAAAAAAATTGCAGGTTTCTATCTCTATATACTAAAAAAGCTCTTTAAGTATCTAGAGTCATATCAGGCCTGAACCCAAGCTTTACATTCTTTTTATTATTAAAATATGTTCAGATACCTTGTACATTTCAAAAGTGTAATTTTTACTCTCTGATAATTAATTATCAAGAATTGATCGTAATTGGAATTATAGCTGTAATTTTAGTTGTGATTGTGATTATAATTGTGAATATTGGAGGGTATTGACTGGTAATTTACACAAAAGATAAATAAAGATAAATACATATCGTATATACTTTATTTCTTTATTTCTCTTTTTGGGTGAAAATGCCGTAGCTTATCCAGACTACCAATTGATGCTTGTTATCAGTTGCATGGGTCAGAACACCCATTTCCACGCATATTCTCACACACTTTTAATTTTATTTTTATGATTCTACTTATCTTGTATATTTACAAACAAATAGATAGCTAAATATCTATGTATCTATTATGTGTGTATTTGGGCACTAGCCTCAAGAAGAAGAACCAAATTGACAGAAAAAACCCCAAGCCCTAAACTCTCTTATCGCCAAACGACGCCACCCAGACAAAGTACACTAGAGATACATACAATATACACATATGCATTCAGTTATTCGTTTGTTTATTTTATTTGTACATAGATATCTGCAAGCTACTGATAAGATGGTCACTGGCTCAAAGTCATGGTAAAAAGGCTATACATAAAATATATAAATTGATGATGATTATTTTGCAATTGATAAAGTCCAAGAACATATAAATATATATAAAATATAAAGATAATATTTCGTGATTTCTATTAATAAAATCTACACGCTGATAACGAACAAATATATATATATATATATATATTATACATTTTACTGATAGCATGTTATCTTTCTTTCCTGTATTTATTGAGGCTGAGTACTGAGTCATAGACTCATCATTTCACTTTACTCTTGACAAGTGACCAGAACTGTTTGATTGGATTCAGTTCAGGGGAATATAGAGGAAGACCTACGAGTCCATATCGTCGTGAATTGATATTTCGTTTGGTTTTTTTGGAGGTACTGTAACTACTGCAGGAGTCCGCCTTCTTTTACCAAGCCCATGGCCTGTTTCAAATTACTGTGAAAGGCTTATTCATCAAGAAAGACACATTTTGTTATGAATTCCAGGTCAGCCAACTGCCACTTTTGGACCTGGTCATATTTCTTCTTCTTCTTCTCAAAGATGCTTTGAAGGTCTTTATAATAATACTTAGTCCATAGTTGCGCTGCCTAGATATGAATGCCTAAGCTTTATTAGGATAAACTGCCTAGTGTCGCCTATTGAATGACTCTACAAGATTATTGCTCCTTTCATATAGATAAAATATATATAGTAGATAATCTATATATGGATAGATTTATAGATAAAGAATATTATTAAATGATGGTAATGAAATAATTTTGTATTGTATATATAAGAGTGATGGGAATAATGGTGTTAATCTGTGCCCTGACCCAAATGTTTCATTCGATGTGAAATGTTAATATATAGAAATTAATCAGGTGGCTTGCAAGAGACAGAAAGAACAAGCAGAAATACTTGAGTGTCTAAATGATTGAATGATTCAATTTACTATTGGCCACCAAAATAAAGATTGAGAAATGCAAAAAAAAGGGAGGGGAGACCGAACCGAGAAACGGATGACACGTCCAAAAGGCATGTGGATGTGAGTATGTGAGTATGTGAGTATAGGAGTGTGGGTGTGTGGGTGTGGGTGTGGGTGTGGGTGTAATGCAATGCAATGTATAATAAAGTGTATTGTATAGTTTAAAATATGTATAATTTTTATTCTATTTTAGGAAAAAGATCTAATCTCTAGCTACTTTTCTGGGAATGGGCCCAAAGTATAAAGTCAAAATATTAAAAAAAAGTGGGACAAGATGGGTCTACAAGCTTTTCTTTTTTATATATTTATATATAAAATAAAGCACAAAAATCGAGTGCCTTTTTGAGTCTTTGTGGACCGAGTAACCTCTTTTTTATTTGATTTGATTCGCTTTTAGTTTTGGTTCTTTAGCTTAATTATTAAGAACAAAGAGAGAAAAACTATAATAATAATATATATATATATAAAATATAAAATATATAATGCTAGAAATTGTTTAATAAATGAATTATCAGTTATTTTATCTGTCTATTTGAATGGGCCTATTGTGTATGAAATAATTAATAAAATATAGATAGATGACAACGGCTGTTTGAAAGATGGGAACGTGTGGCCTGATAAGAGAAATAATATATCTATAAAAATAAAAATAAATTATAATATTAATAATTTATATTATATTGGCTTTTCATGGGTGGACAGGGGGTGATGTCATTGTATTTCTGATTCAACACATACAAAATTATATGTATATACATAAATACATACAAACTGTAAACAATTTATACTGCTATTATCATTTTTTGCTTTGTTTGTTTTGTTTGTTTATTTTTGTGTTTCTATCCTTTTTTTTTTTTTTTTTAAAAAAAAAAGAAAGAATAATGAGTTCTTGTCGTCAAACAGGCGGGCAATGGTGCCCAACCCTAAATGATGATTGGTCTAGACAGAGTTTGTTATCGAAGGCAAAGAAGCAGGGATCACCGCATGTGTGACGATACTGATTTGAATTAGAGATCCGCCTGAGGGACCCAAAATAAGAAAGAAATAAAAGAAATAAGAAAAAGGGAATCTGGTGAGTATATATTGTGTACATATATTATATACACAATAGAACCTTTCTTCTTTGTTATCAATTTTATTGTTACTGAAAATATACATATTTGTATCTGTTGTAGGTAGATATGATCTCTGCTTTTGAAACATTGAAACAAAACTAAATTAAATTACAATTTTAAAATTTATTTATATTTATATTTATATTTATATAAAACAGATTAACCAACCAACCCCAATACATATAAAAAAAGATAAAGAAAGATAAATCAAAATACGACCGATAAGAAAATAAAAATAAAAATGAGAGTTTGAATGGAGATTGGAGTGTGGGAAAATATGATCTGATGATGGGATCTTATTGGTGGAGATTAAGAGATCAGTGTTATCTTTAAGGCACCAGATTTTATTTTTTTTATTTTTATTTTATTTATTAATATTACAAGCCCAGGCCAAAAATTTATATATTTTATTTATTTATTTATTTATTTATTTATTTATATATATATATTATTTTATTTTTTATATTTAATTGTTTATTTTTTTTTCCTAATATTTTTCTTGCTTTTGCTTCCATTTTCTTTTGTTTATTTGTTTGTTTGCTTATCTTTCATATATTTCTCTTTTATATATAAAAAATTTATATACTTCTTTATCATCGACATCATCATCACTATATTATATTATATTATATTATATTATATTAATAATAATAATTTGCTCTAATGGCTCATCCAACTCTTTCACCTCTGTCGCCAACTCACGAATCAATGAAATCTCGCAAGCGCTCTCTCACTCGCTGCGTTCAGTGCCTTGCCTCCTTCCGTCCTCTTCTATGGGGTCGAGAGAGCGGTAAAGGCCCTGTTTGTGATAACTGCAGCAGTCATGGAGACCACGACGCAAATCATACCCATCAGTATCAGCACCAGCACCAGTACCAGCACCAACATAATAAGCGCCCCCGTGAAGCATCCCCAGAAACCGAAGAAAACACAATTCTCCTTCTCAACCACCACAATAATCACAAAAAGGCCTCTTCTACTTCTATTTCATCAACATTATTACTATCATCGTTATCAACAACTTCTTCATCTTCTTCATCATCATCATCAAACTCTTCAGTTTCTGAGCGTTCTGCTAATATTAACAAGGCTACTGTTACTATCCAATCTATTCCACCAAGAAGCCCAATGGAACTCGAACTCGAACTCAAACCAGTCACTCCAGATGAAAGTACCATCTGCGCAAATTGCCACACAACCACTACCCCTCTCTGGAGAAGGGATATGCTGGGAAAGACGATCTGTAATGCCTGCGGCTTGTATTACAAGCTTCATCGGGTACATCGCCCGGCAACCATGATGCGCACCGTCATCAAACGTCGCAAGCGCTGTTCCTCATCCTCTACCGACAAAAAGGCCGACAAAGACCGGGGCCAAATCGAGCCCAAGCCGCGTAAGAAGCGTAACAGCCACCTTCAACCACGCCGGACTACCTCGAGCACCACACACAATAACAATGATGATAGCAACAAAAACAACAATGCTGATGATGATGATACTATCGCTGTTATTGTTACTGATGCTGATACCATTGCTGTTGAAGATAATGACACACAAAAATCAACAACTCCCAACCCTGTCTCTGTCTCTGGCTCTGCTGTTGGCTCTGGTCCTGGCCTCAACTCTGGTTCTAGTGCTGGTATCTTAAATGTGACGACCGGCCGTTCAGAAGAAGAGGCCTTTGAAGACAACTGCAGCGTTGGCAGCAACAGCACGGCCACTGCATCTACTACTGCCTCCATCTCATCATCTGAAAGCTGCTTGTCAATCAGCAGTCGCCGCAGTCCTGATCTTATTGAGCACAACAGACACACATCAGCCTGGCTCTCTCATCATCCTCATACTTCTGTTCCTCATCATCCTCACTCTTCTTCTTCCTGTGCTTCGTCCGTTTCAAGCGTCAACAGTCCTCCTCCTCCTCCTATCTCTACTTCCTCTCTTCATAATCATCATAATCTTATTAATCATCACCACCATCACTACTACAACAATAACAACAATCATCAACAACAACAAAAGTCGTTTGTTCTGCCACCTATCCAATGCCCTCCTTCTTATCAGACCAAAGAACGCAATTGCTGTTCTCATGAAGAATCACTCTTGGTACAACGACAGGATCTCCAGCGTGAAATCAGTCGGCTGACCTCCCTATTGTCAGAAACCGTGTCAATGCTGTCCAACATTGACCAATGTCTCAACCACCCTTCCTGTCCTTGCCGTCACTGCCCACCGTCCCCTCCTTCATCGACCACCTCTGATCGCCAGCAACAAGAACAACAAGTAGCCCGCTCCCTGCTCTCCCTTGCCACATCCCCTTTACCCAAAGTGCCACTCGCACAAGCCAATTTGACTCGTCTGCCGCCAATCTCCGTCTCCTTTGATATGAGCCATCGGTTATCTCCGCCTCCCGTACGACCATTTGGTCAATAAGTTTCAAAAATATATACATATATATATACACATAAAAGTGTGTAATGTATGAATATATGTATGTAAATATGTGATTTTTTCTTATAAAATACAAATACATTACATATATGTACACAAGAAAGGAAAAAGAAAGAACACCTATACACAGACACAAAAGAAATGACGACGACGAAGAAGAAGAAGTAGGGCAAGAGAGAGAGAGGGGGGAAAAGGATCAAGTATATTACAGCAACATAACAAAACATAATACAACACCCTCATACATACATATACATATATACATATTTTACAATTCAACTCATTTCCACTATCCCCCCGCTCCAACTCCCCGATTTTCAACCCCCTCCCTCTCTCCCTTCCATATCCACTTTTACCATTTTACTACACTATACTATACTACATTACACTACACCATACTACATTACATTTGCAATTCAATTCGATTCAATTCGATTCGATTTGATTCAATTCCACTACCTTTTCTTTCTCTTTCCTTCTTTACAATCTCATGCATCTTTTATATATATATATTTCATTAGCATTTTTCTCCTTTCTTTCTTTCTTTCTTATCTTGAGCATGTCATTATATATATATATTCCTTACATTCATTCAATTGTATTTCTCTCACTCACTCATTCATTCATTCATTCACAAAAATAAAAACCAAAAACCAAAAACCAAAAATAATGCCTATTTTTTTTTTAATCTATCTATAATAATAAGTCATACAAGTTTATATGTATCTAGTGTATATGTATGTGGCACAGAATACAAAGCAATTTTTTTTTTTTGCTTTTTATTATCAGGAAAGAAGATCAACCAATAATGTAAAGGTTATGAGATGATAAATTTTGTACGTTGTTCTTTATTTATTTATATTGCATTCTATTCTATTCTATAATGTTATATTTAAAAAAGGAGAAAATCTTTTTTTTAAAAAAAATGTCTAATAGAGAGAGTTGATTTCATCATATTTTTATATATTATTTATATACATAAAAATAATAAATGTGCACAATGTAAATCTAAAATCTAAATGTAAATGTAGCAATTCATCTTAATATCATCAGCATGTACTGTACTGTACTGTACTGTACTGTAGTGAAGTGAAGTGTAATTTTTATAAATTATTATAATATAAAAAATAATAATATTTATTTATATATATTTTATAGAGAGATTTTTTTTATTGTATATTATTTCTCTGTGTGTGAGTGTGAGTGAGCGAGTTGCAGCGTGTAAAAAAAAAAGATAGTCAAAGTCTAGTCCAAGCACTGTGTTGAATTGAATTGAATTGATTTGTACTGTGTAGTTTAGTTTAGTGTAGTGTATTGTAGTGTATATAAATAAATAAATAGATAAATAAATATGCTCTGCTTGTACCTCACTATAGACAACCTGGAATCTCTGTCTGCTTCAAACCAGACCAATATCAAAACAGCATCACTCGAGGCAATAGAACACTCGACAGACCTCTGTGTACTAGTGTCATTCTCACACCCGATTGCAACAGTTGACACCCACTGGAATGACATTCAATCTCTACTCGGCAACATCTACGTTGTCCAACTCCAGGTAGCCTATGCTAATCAGCAACCACTGATGGAGTGTAATGTCCTGTTTGAATCCTGGTGTGGTTATCAAATGGCTTTCGAACCAAACCTTTCTCGCGTTCTTGTCTCTCCACAGTGTATGTGTTATATTTTTTTCTTTTTTTTTTACATTCAAATATATATATATAAGGTGGCTTTACCCCTACCCCTTTATTCAAAAACATCTATTGATTCATCATTTGTATATAATCTACATATCTCTTATTCTTATTGTCGTAGATGCATCATGTATTGAGGAGTGGAACTCAAGTCGAGCAAATGCTGGTCTTGGTTTATTTGAAATCCAGATCTTGGACACAACTGCAGTTACGAACACATCTACTACTATCAGATCTACACCTACGATTACTACAGTTGGCAATAATAGTCTGAACATCAACAAGGAACCAAATGCCGTCAGCCATCATCTGTCACCAAACCAGCAGCAGAGAGATCATACAGTGGCAGTGGTGAAGGAGAACAAAGAGGAGGATAAGAAACAGCAACAAAGGCAACAGGAGCAAGTGCACCCATTCTCTCGTGTGGCATTGGGCGGAACATTTGATCACATTCATGCAGGCCACAAGATTCTCCTCACCATGGCTGCCTTGCTAACCAACAAATCCATTGTTGTGGGTGTAACTGGTAACAAATTTTCTATATATATATATATATATATCCCATTTGTTTCAATTTTGTAATTTCTACGTTTTAGATGATTCTATGCTTCAGTCTAAAAAGCACCGTCAGTTTATTCAACCCACCGAAAAACGTATTGGTAGTGTAGAGAGATACCTCCACAGTGTCCGACGTAATGTTGAACCTTATGTGAGTAGCCGTTACTACTATTACTATTTACTTGATTTGTAACAAAAAAAAACAAAAACAAAAGGTTGTACCCATTTGTGATCCTTTTGGACCAACCATAACTGATCCAGCTATCGATGCTCTTGTCTGTTCCAAAGAAACACTTCAAGGTGGAGAAGCAGGTAATAATAAGAGCACTAATGCTATAAGCAATAAGTAATAGTAACAGTAAGAAGATTCTTATTCTAATGATAATTCATCTATTGATTGTTAATCATCAATAGTTAATCGTGAACGCCAAAAGAGAAATATGGATCCAATTGAATTACGTGTAATTGATGTGATATCGCCTAACTCTACTTCGATTGGCAGCCAAGACATGAGTGCTCTGAAGATTAGTTCTTCTTGGATCAGGCAATATTTAGCAACCAAATAAAGACAAATATATTAAAAACAGTAGCCTCTGATATCCTTTGATAATAAACTACATTATCATTAACATTATCACTCTGTATGTAATGTATGTATGTCTCTCTTCACAGCCAAATATCTTTATATAAAAATTAAAGTCAATCAATGGGCTGACAAAGAATCCAATGATTTTTCCCTTATTCTTAAAAAATTATATATTTATAATAAACTTTTACCCATGATTTTTTTTTGTTCCTATTATCGAATTTCAATATATACTTATATATACTTTATATGTCTCTATACTTATACTACGATGACTCATTTGAGACAATAAAGGAGTAAAATCTATATATTTTTTTTAAAACTATTGCTTAAAATTATTTACCATTCTTTCCATTTCCATTCGCTCTTAGTTTGCTAACCTCCGAGGAACCGGACAATACTATATAAAACAAAATAAAACAGATGCGCCAGAAAATAAGAAGGAATAAAAGGATATATTCATCAGTACTAGCATTACTTGCTACGGCTAGTGCTACTGATATCACTCTATCTACAGGCAGTATTCTGTATGAGCTTTAAAGCTAATACAGAAATAGCACTAGACAGAATAGATAAGAGATTGGGCACCTATATATAAATTGATTTTTGAGATTACCCTATCCACAGGTAAGAATTTTGTCATTTTTGATTTTTGATTTTTGATTTTTGTTCTTGTATATAAAATAAGAATAATAAACTGTCTAGTAAGATGGTTTAAAAGAACACCAATTCAAAAGACCAAATAAATGACACGGATGTTTCCCACTTGAATCTATTATAATATATATACATATATCAATCTGTAAAAGTCGGTTCTGTGACACATTAGAAGCAAATTATATCAGATTGGTTTCTTTTTAGTTTTCTTCTTATTTTACCTTATTCCATAAAAAGTAATATTTGTACAAAAGGTTCATTTTAACTATAAAATAATAATTGAGAAATAAAAGAATAAAAGAATAAGATGCTCTCTCTCTCTCTCTGTGTGTGTTTGGTGTATTTACAAGTATCACAGGAATATTACAAGTGACGTGAATAAATGTTAAAGATCCCATATTCCCTCATTCATTATTTGTGGACGTGCACCTTGAAGAATAATAGAATATAATAAAACTGGGACCATACAAGAATTACACTTTCTTTGCTTTCTATCGTTTAAAGCGCAGTTGGTATTTTGCTCTTATTTGTTCCTATTTCTTACACTGCAAACCGAAAAGATCATGTCATTAAGATCACTTATTTTTTTTTTGAAATTTTTTTTATTAAATTTCTCTCTTTCTGTGTGTGTATTGTATAGCATCTGTACAAAGAAATATAATCAACTAATAATTTTAATATCAATAATAGTAATTTTCTGGAGCATAGTAAAACTCACTCTTTTAAAATAAAAATAACAGCATAGCATTCTTAGTTTACACAATTCATTAAACTTTCTGTGAAACCAGATCTTGTATACACCTTTTGTATAAATATATATTCATACATGTTTCCTGAGAAGCAAATGAACGTCAATTTGCATTATAAATTCAAAAAGATATATGCATTTATATATAATATATATATATATAAAGAAATGTAGTTTGTGTTTTTAGTACAAAAACTTGAATAGATATATTATCAAAGCCAATGATTAATCACATAGATTAGATAACAAGCAATGCTCATACTAATTCAGCTATTGTCATTAATATATTGTATTCTATCATTGACATTTTTGCTTATATGAAAAGAAAAATCAAAAGTCATTGAACACTAAGTACCTTTAATATCGAATGATTTTCTTTTTCTTTTTTGTAGTTTGTAAATTATTTGGCTTGTCATTATTATTATAATCGTGATTTTCTTTCTGCTCTTTCCTTTTAATATATATATATATATATTTAGTTACAAAAACCCACTAGAATTATTAAATTTCATGAAGCCATATATTATATTATATTTATCTTTTTTGTTTTAAGTTAGTATAGTAAAACTTCAAATTTTTGTGCATGTAGTACGTGAATCTGATGGAAAAGATTTGCAAAAGAAAAAGAAAGAAAACAAAAAAAAAAGGTTCGAGGGTACTGAGGGAGTACAAATGTAGGGTGGGGTTGAATAGAATAGAATAGAATAGAATTAGACCTGGGTTGGGTGTGGTGCGGGGAGAGAGAAAGAGAAAGAGAGGAAAGGGAGGAAGGAAAGCTTAATGTTATGGGAAGGGCTCTTACCAAAAGGTCAAATCAGATAAATATAAATACAAATACAAATATATTATTCTTTATAAAGCAATTTATACCCTATTTTGACATAATAATAAAATAAGAAATTCTTGTCAGGAGCATTGGTTACTTCTAAAAGTACAATTTACCTTGATCAAATACATGAATCTGATAATGTAAAAAAAAAAATCATAATGATAATATTCATTTGACACCAAAGACACTGTAAAAAAGAACTATATATATTGAGAACAGAAAGTAGAAGTAGAAGAAAAGGCCACAAAGAAAAATTACTGGGCAAGTTACTACGCTTCTTTGCCTGCTTAAAAAATACTTATAATTCCTGCCTTTTATTAATAATAATAATAATAATAATAATAATAATAATAATTTGGGTCTTTTGACTATATCAGACCAATTTCTATGTGTGTAAAATGTTAGAAAGTAGGCTGCTTGGCACTAATTTTTGTTAGAGCCTTTTCTTGTTGCTTACACAAGCTTACTGTACATTCTTTTCCTTCTATAATTTTATTATTATTAACAAAGTGGCTATTATTATAATGCACTCCATGGCCTTAAACATTCTACAATAAAAAAAAATTACATATTTTAATTGTCCAAAGACAATACGATATTTGACAAGTGTTTATTGGAACAAAGCGTTTATTTTTATAATATTCTTTTATTGATATCAGATTCTAAGAAATGAAGATCAAATATTAGACTTTGGTGCATTTCAAAAAAAAAAGAAGCCTGTATCAAGTTGAAACTTACTTTAGGTAAAGCCATTTGTCCATTTAATGTATTGTTCTATATAAAGGTCAACCGTACTGCACGGAATCTTGACGTGCGTCTACTAGCCTAGATTTCTTCTTGGAGGTCTTAATGCTTCTTAGCTATGTCATAACGCGTTTATTTTATACACATCTTAAGCATGGACATTAAATTTGATCAGTTAAGCTGACTACATGGATTGCTTTAAATAAAAACTATTTTCTAGTGTAAATACTCATCTGAAGTTATTACTAGGTCATTACAATCGACACCTAACAATTATACTAGCCTAAACATCTGTTTTGTGCAAGCATGAATGATGCGACCAGTCACGTGCTTTTGAACTCTAAACTGTTAGCTTGGCTGGTACGGAGATATCAAAATGATTAACAAATATTTATACTAAAATGGGCTTAGCCAATATAATTGCTTTTAACGAGGTAAAGAAGAAAAAAGGGTGCTTTAATTTTACTCGAAATCATGCATTTCAAGATTGACTGTAATTTTCTTCCTTATTGCTTATTCCAAAATTAACCCAAAATATTCCCATCTCTTGTATTATCCAGTTTATTGTTGGCGGTTAAAATATTTGATGCTATCAAGCATCTGCCTTTTAGGTATGTTAAGGTTCTATATATAATTATGCTTAGAGTCCTAGAACTTTTTACTAGACGACACCTTGTCTAATAAAAAAAAACTGGATGGCTTGTCGCTTTACTTTACTAAAGTCTAGTCTCTATACAAAGTAAACCGAGTAATATTTCTTTCTTTTGTCATTTTCGACAAATATTTGGACAAATGTTTTGACTTTCGAAAGAGAAAGATAGACTATATTTCTGCTTAAACAATATGTTCTATGCTATAGATATACAAAGATGCATTTAATTTATTCACCTAATTACGGGGACAAATCTTCTACTCTATTCTTGAAACAATTCCAGGCGAGTAATTTTAATTCTGGACTATTATATCCCCTCCAGCTAATGATGCAGCCTTTTGCATTTCCACACATAAACGTTATATACCCTCGGCTAAGATCCATATCCCGTGTTTGAGATTCACTATCCCCAGAACTCTGAATAGCTTTCATTTTACCAGAGAGCATATTTTCCTGCTAATTTTCACAGTATTCTTGAATACGGTCTATCTCAGGCTGATTTACGATATGGGCATTTCGATAAACTTCCCAAGAATCAAGTTCTAATCCGTACCAATGTGTTGCAGTATTAAATACGGGTAGATGATTGATTGATGTGTTCATCGCTATCAATTGTTCGAGGATAAGATGCAATAAGTCGCGCCGGTTTCAACAAGTCAATTTCACCAGGGGGTATGAAGCGTATATGACTGAATCGCAGTTCCGCAAGTCTGGCGCTGGACATGTCGATCAAGAGAGTTCCTTTGTTTGCAGAGATTGTTCCGAGTACCGTCAATCTGTCCATGACCACATGGCTTAGTGACTCACATCTAGCAGAGATATATATCAATGTATCAGAATCGATATGCATTTCAGTCAAGGTAAGTAGCCGTAGTCCGTACGGGTTGAACAATTGCATTGCTTCTGAGCCAATATAGACACTTCCAGTAAATAAACAAAGTTCTTTTAAAGAAAGACAGCAGTCTGCGATTGTATCAAATTGTATATATGTATTACATTTATGTAGATTAAGAGCGGTTAACCAAAGTCAGTAGATGAAAGATTTGGATATATCCTGACGTTCAAACTGTTTATCACGATACCCCGTTTTAGTGAATTGACTGTATTCAATAGTTTTAGAGCATACACCTATAAGTTCTTTCATGGTATCAAATATTCTATCGCCTGGGCTTATCTAAAAGTCAATTTTGAGTTCTTTGGCGGGAATCGTCTTATAGAGAAAGCTTTTATAGAATATAAGAGGAAATAAGGTACTGAATTCGTTACTATAGAATATAGTTTTTTTTTCAGACTTGGAAATACGTGCGGAAGCCTTGTGATGTGTGATTCGGTTACTGCTAAATTACAGTCTTCCATATTATATGCTAGACTATGGGGTTATATGTCCAATTTACGAATGTTTGGGTATCTTAAAGCAAAGTAATAAAGCCACTGTGGGGTCTTGTGTGTATATTTCTAAATATAAGCGACGACAAAACATTTGCTGGAACTGCTTTTGTTATAAGTTTCACGCCTGCCTCAGCAAGGTTGGTCATTCTTGTATCGAATGAAAAGTGGCGGAGGTGGGGAATACAATCGTGAAAAACTTCAAGGTTCTTGATTCCTGATACGTATGTATCTTTGAAGATCATACAAGGAGTCTTCAAATTGGATAACTGGGATAATATGACAGGATACGCTTTTAGCAGGATACTGTCAGTGTGGTGTCTAAGATCTATGGAGAAAGGTCTTCGTTGACTTCCATGTACTCCAGTTTGTGCTTGTAATTGTCGTTTGCGGACATGATAATGTTATTCCAAGGGACCGAGGGTTTGAAAAAAAAAGTTGTTGGATAAATAAGAGGTCTTTGCTGTTCACGTCATGCTCACAATAAGTGTATGCGTCTCTGGTATATTGACCATAAATTAAATACAGGTTTTCAAAGGATACATAGTACAATGTCGCAGTTGATTTTGGACAGATTATATTGACTCTTCGAAATGACCCTTTGAAAAAAGTTTGTCGTCATTTCTTACAAACAAGTGAGCATTAGAGAAAACTATTATAGGGAACAAGTATTGCAATGGAAATAAGAATCTCGAGGGGGATTTTAGAAATGGACATTGTGACGATGAAATGTAAATGAATGTATTTGTTATAAAGGGTAAGTTGCTAGACAAGTGTGGGCCTGTACTAAACTTACGTATACAATAATAGGGTTGTGTAATCCCAAGTTTTGTGCACTTGATACAAAAATCTATTGGACCGACAAAAGAAACCTTGTAGGACAAGATGTACTGAAGAAGCAGAGATCATAGTATCTAATGTACGATGTAATATAAAGGATTGAGAAAAAAACAGTTGAGTACATAGGGCCAGGGACAATTCCAAAGAACCTTAACCAAATGTAGGTCCATACTGCAATTTCAAAGGACATGCAAAGAGAAGGTGTTCTTGTAGCTTGAATGATTGTTGACAGATAGTATTGAGGGGCAGTTTAAATATTTTGGAGTATCTGAAGTAGTTGCATTTATATATATGGGCTATTAAGCATAGATTAGCCACATCAACAGATTGAATATAGTCTACAGGGAGATGAGAAAATTATGGGTACGTTTGGAAAGAGCATTTAAACAATTACACTAGAAGTTATATTTTATTCACCTGTGATTTTATTCGTCTTAAGATCATTTTGGTGAACAGGGCATTTCGTTATCTGCATTCAATCGGCCGTAACATTGGATTTGAACATAACTTGAAAGCATTAATCAATCCAAGTTATTTTTGTTGTACAAAAAACATCTTCAATGTGATGAAATTCTGTTCTTCAAGGTCATTTCTTTTGGGTAGTCATCACATATTAGAATCGTACCATTGAGTGACAGTGGAAAACATTGTTGAGATTATTATTTAATTCTTTTTTATCTATCTATATATATGTATATATGTATATATTCAGTTTAATCCTCAAATCCTTATAATTATTGTATTTATATCACTTTTATATTGCCATGTAATTTCTTAATAGTCGCACAGCAAGCACGACAGCTTTATAAATAAAGAATACAAAATAAGAATAGTAAAAGTAATAATAATAATAATAGTAATAATAATTAGATCTGTAAACTTACAGTAAAATGAAAAGAAAAGAACAATTGATAAATATATACATATATATATATATATATATATATATAGATAGAGAGGCTAGTATAATAAGAAATAATTAAATAATTAATTAAATAAATAAATAAATAAATAAATAAATAAATAAATAAATGAAAATAAAAAATAAAATAAAAATTAAGATGGCTGAATAAGATAGAAAATAGCGAGAAAGAAAAAAAAAATATGAAGAAAAATGTAGGGAGGTAAGGGTGAGGGATAAGGGTAAAAAGGAGAAATAAGGAATAACCTGAATTGTTCTGTTCAAAATTTTGATGATTTTTTTTCTTGGTTTTTGTTTCTTTAAAGGTAAGTATATAAGGGATGGAAGGTTTTGGTAGTAGTAAAAAGAGGAATAGGATATGAAGAATATAAAGAAGTAGTAGAGAAATATAATACGATTGTCTTGTTTCTTAACCACCTTGTCTTCTTGTCTTCTTCTTTCTTTTCATTCTTTACAAAATACCCTACAAAGTTTAGATTAAGATTTATATATTAATAAATAAATAAATATGATCAATAGTATACAATTATATTGTTTGTTATAGTCCCACTATATCTTTTTGTAAAAGACAAATAACTACTAATACTAATGGTTCTAATAGTCTTTATCAAGGCCTCTTATTCTATCTATTGTATGTACATGGTGGTTACCTGAGAGTAGTACTGATAGGTATCATAAAGCCTGGTAAACACATTACAACAACTGCTCATGACCAACTTGTCCACAAACTCCTCGGCCTGTGGTTCAGTCAGATGAAGTTGAAATCGGTCACGCAATTGTTGGACTGTCTGGTCTCCATTCTGGAAACAAGGCAGCTTGGAATCTTTGCTCATCATCTCAACCAAAAGTAAGATATTCTCGCTGTGTTTCCGTACAGCCAAAAATGCAGCCTTCAGTAAGGCCTTGTACTCTGCAAACTTTTCGCTGTTTACGCCACCGAGGATATCAATGTACTCTTGTGCGAGTTTGAAAGGCGCAAGTTCGAATCCAACAGATCCAGGTGAATTTGAGAGCATAAAGCCAAAGTCAATATCTAGACAAATAGGGTCAGTAAATATTTATATTCCAATGTGTTTGTTTACTCACGAATCAAATGTCCTGCATCATCTACCAAAAGATTGCCATTGTGTCTGAGTAGAATAGATTAAGAGAAACAAAATAAAAAGAACAAGAACAAGAACAAAGCAATGTCAATGTCAATCAATTTGATAAGCAACATATTCCCTCTTTCTTTTATTTATTTATAAGAAAAATAAAATTTGCTATTTATTCAATGTTTTCTCTCTCTCTTCCTCTCTCTTTTTAATATACATTCTCAATAATTATTTTTATATATGAATTTAAATATTATATATATAATTTATATATAATTAATATGATCACTTTACCTGTCCTTGATCTGTAGAATATAACATGCAATCGAGTATCCAGCCAAACTTCTCATAAATGCGTCCTGCGCATTTAGAAACTTTTCTGATTCGGGCGCACCCCAGGTCTATGTGAAGAATACAATAAAAAATATAGAAAAGAGAATATGTTAATTGCTGTCAAATTAGATTACCATTTCTCTCTCGCGCTCGATATATATATATGCATGTTTGATTCCAATTCACTTTACCCGCTCAAAGTAATCACGCAGGGTAAATACAACACCCTTTGCATTCCACCCCCGTGTGTAAGCATCCTTTTTGATCGAATGAACTGATATCGTGTTTCGCAAAGTTTCAATCAAGCCAGAATTATCAGAAGTAACCAAGACACGGAAACTATAAAACAAAGTATAAATATCGATTTGTTTATGTTACATATCGGTACTTACTATTTCACCCAAACTTGAACAGCTGTGTCTTGCCAGATTCTTTGCATCTCACGGATCAATTGGATTGCAAATTGTTCCTGGCGAAGATCTGCGCCATTCTTTACAATAACTGACAATAAACGCCAGTTGGGCAAATGTCCATAGGGTGAACCAGCTCGAATACGAGCCTTCTTAGTATCCCAATCCTCTGATAACACAGCAGCTGTAAAACAATAACCATTAAAAATGGTTGATTGTATGTCATTAGTATAAAATATCACAAAATTGGTATTTCTTTTTCTCTACTTAGGATATTACCCACACCCTCACACACACACAAATATATATATATATATCAAATAAGAAAGAAATAAAGAAAAATCTTACCACTAGGATCTTCTTTGTTGACAACCCAGGCCATTCGCTGCTCGTCATCCAACCGATCGCTTCCTCCACCTTCACCTCCATCTCCAACACCACTACTGACACCTTCCTTGTGCATGGTTTCCATTCGCTGTTCTTCCAGTGCAACCATCTCTTTGATGATTCTCTGTTGAATCTCAGAAGTGCTTTGGCGTGACTTTGCAGAGGCCGATCGACTGGTGCCTACACCAAGTGAAGCAATCGAATTCTGTTGCAGCTGCGCAAGCATAATAGCAGCCGTGCGCATACGTTCTGCGTAGGCATCGCTCGATCTACGGCGGATCTCCGCCTGTTTTTCAAAAGATCCAACAGATTCCGATCCATCCGAGTCACTACCGCCACCACTACTATTGCTAGTACTAGTACTATTGCTATTGCTAATAGCACCGCCACCTTCACCACCACCACTGCTGCTGCTGTTATTATTATTATTATTATTTCCATTTGTAGTAGTCTTGAAATTTTTACTGAGAGGAGATTGGCAGGGTGACCCAGATGCCTGGCTAGAGGAACATGCTTTCTCCTTGCGTGCCTTGTTACGCTTCATGGTTCTTCGGATGCGGTACAATGCAGACGAGTAACTGTCTTCGAAACTCAGTTCGTCGTCCAGTACCTCGATTGTCAAGAGGTACGGCGCACGCTCGGCCGAGTTCAGAACAACCGCGTCCGATGGGCTGATGCGCACAACACGGTGATGGTACGGTTTCTCTGCCGTGGCGGGGCACCAGAGAGGAATACAGACCTCGGCAGGTAAGTTGTGGTTAAGCAAGGTGAGTTCGGCGTGAAGGGCGTTCTGGCGGGCTTGTTTGGGAACAATCACCAAACGGGTGGCAATGTCGACCAGCGCCAAAAGGAACTGCATCTCTGACCGAAAGTAGTTTGATCTCAGCAGAGATTTCCGATGGTCAAGACTTAGAGTCGAGAGAGCCGAGTATTCCTCGTCCGATGCTTCCGAGTCGCTGTCACGATCTGAATTATGCTGGCTCAGTTCAAACGAAGTAGCAATCGGAGGCAAGTTATTGCGGGCATGAGAAGAAGAAGAGGAAGAAGACGGTGGCAATGGAGATTGTGCTTGCGGTTGCTCAGAAGTTGATGCCTGTGATTCTTGTTGTTGTTGTTGTTGTTGTTTGGTAGATACTTCTTCAGATGACGACGATGCTGAGCAACGTGAAAGTGCAGGTGACAGAGGAACTGATTCAGTCGGGACTGATGATTGGGCCAGAGCTGTGAGTTTTGGATCAAACACAGACAGTGGAGATTGGGGTCTGATCTTGCGATTGATTTTCTGATGAGCCGATCTTAGGTAACGGGAAACCGAGAAAGCTTTACCACGGTGGAGATCTTCTAGGGAGGGGGAGCTTGTGAATGGGTTTGGGAGAGAGTGCCGATGGAGTGGAAGATCAGGTTGACTGGCAGATTGGAAGGGTGAGGTCATACTGCGAGATTGTTGATGACGGTGACTATGATTTTTATGACTATGATGGTGATGACTATGGTGCTGCTGCTGACTCAGGGGTAAGGCATCGACTGAGTTTGCTTTGATGGGAGGACTAGGTACAGAGTGTCGACCTGTGCCGACTGTGTTGCGACGAAGAGCTGTTGTCAGACTAAAAGAGCGGTTCTGACGGCCCTGGGCAAGCGCAATTCTTCCGGCCGACCGTGTCATCAGTGGCTGACCCACACCCAGCAGCATTGCACTCATGCCGACCAGAGCTGGCATTGCGTGCTCGCTCACCTTGTGTGCCTCTTTTACTCCTTCCACTTCTGCTTGCTCCGAGTCGCTTGTCTGTCCATCCGAGAACACAATTGCCTGACATTTATTCAGTAGCCGCTTGCACAGTTCAAACGAAGCGCTTGACGGGTCCAGGGACAAATCTGACAAATAGGCCTGCAGGTACCACAGACTCTAATAAATCCCATAAGACCCATAAAATTCACAGACCAACAAACAAACCAACACACGCACGCAAATAAATAAACAAACACACGCACGCACGTACACACATAAAAAGGCGCAAGTAGACAGCCCACACAGACACACAAAGTAAAGAGGATGAGAGAATAAGAATAAGAAGGAAATAAAAATAAAAATAAAAATAAAAAGAAAGAAAGAAGGAAGGAAAAGAATGAAGAAAGGAAGATACCGGTTACCCGGTTTTTTATTCTTTCTGCTTCCTCCTCTTCTTTCCCTCTTTTCGTATGTTTGGTTGTCAGGAAGATGTAAATTACCATGATGGCCATGTGTGTGGATTGTTCACACATGTCAATTAGGAAACATTCTAGGGCGACTGATTCCGAAGGGCGAGTAATGAGCAGATGACTACCATTGAGAGAATTAACAAATTTTGTTCTTGTTGTTGTTGTTGTTGTTGTTGTTGTTGTTGTTGTTGCTATTGTACTGTGCAAAGACAAAAGTATAATAAAACGATGCTACTGATACTACTAATAATTAAAGCCAAAGAAGGGAACTTACGCTAGTTGCGGTAAGAAAAACTCGATCTCTGATATAGGAAACTTCTTTAACTCTGCGCATAAATAATGCTGAATGCCAACATTATCAGGGTAGCGAAACAAATATGAAACTGCGATCCATGAATTGAAGAATTCGGATGTAAAGAGACGTAGTAATAGAGCGTTGGACATGACTTGTCTGTTTTTATATAAATATATAAGTATCTGGTCTTTTTTTCTTCTTATTTTTATTGTAGGTATGCCTTCTTTTTTTTTGCTGACAATAAATAAGGTAAAAGGGAAAAAAGTCGAGTCGCGCACTAAGTCTGGAAACAAAAAATAATAATAATAATAATAAATAAATAAATTATATATATATATAAAAAAAGATAGTCATGAGGTTAGAGTTCATCTTGAAGATGGAGACTTATACACAAGTCATCATTGTACTTCTATTTACATTATAAAGAGAGAGAAAGGAAGAAATAAAAGGTACATACTTCTTTACCGCTCTTTAGATCCTTTTTTATACAAATTGTTAACAAGGAAGAAACAATTGCCGAGAAACGAGTTCAGCTCGGTGAAATACGCAGAGTGACAGCGACAGCAAGAGCTATTGATAAATGGGGATCAAAAGAGATCAAATGAAGTCTAGAGACAATTGGTTGATTAATGAATAATAAGGAATATATATATATATATATATATATATATAAAGATAGAATAAAAGAAAGGAACAAAGAAAGAAAGAGAGGGAAATAAGAATAGATACAGGGAAGAAAGGAGGATGAATATCAACTGAGCGGAACAAGAACATTGTGGAATGTATGTGTAAAGTGTATTGGCTCTTGGTTTCTGTTCTGTTCTCTTGTTAAGAAAAGTAATAATATAATCAAATATAACTTCTTTTCTTATTTTGATGTCCTCCTCCTACTTCTTCTACTTCTTACACATAATCCATTAATAATTAGTCCATGGTAGATTATGGTAAGGTTGGCTTAATTATGTCCGTAATGTCCGTGATTCTCATAAAATTAAATATCATTATCTAAATATATATATATACAACAAATACACAACGGGCCTGTTGTAATTAGCGGTGTTGCTGTTATTTGCTGGCTCTATTTTGTAGCTCCAACCATTTGCTTTTCCCCCTTTATTTTTATACAAGATATTCGTTCTCTCTGTATGGATCTTGACGGGTGCACAAAAACTACATGTACACTCGAACACTATAAAGCTGACCGGTCGGATCTTGATCTTGATTTCTTTTTGAGACATATTTATTAATTATCTGTTCTCCTCTGTTCAACAATCTTTTTTTTTATTATAGAAATATATATACATGAAAATGGTACCAAGAATGAAACCAGCCTTTAAGGAAAGGTAGTCAAGTATGGTCTTTCTTTTGTCATATAAGAATGTATCTATACAAACGCTCAATAGTATTCCTAACCGAGTCCTCTAGCAAAGTTTAATTTTCAAAAGAAAGAAGCAAAATATATTCAATAAATTACATGCCTCTCTTTCTCTCCCACAAAATGTTGCATAGACACCAGGGGTGCCACAAAACGCAATCTTTTTGGAAAATATAAATGTCTTATTTGGGGAGTAATCCACACAACTTTTTGTACAAAGACAGAGAAAAAGAAAATATCAACAATTCTCGGCCAAAAAAAAAACATACAATCTAAGATACCCTAATGATTGTTACCTTGACCAGCGCTTTGCTCCCCTTTTATTACTATTGTCATTTGAAAGGAAAAATAGTCACTAGCAAAAGAATCAAGAAACCCTGTACCCGGAAACAAATATCTAATATCATATGACAAGAACTATTGAAAAACAGAAAAGTAAACCTATATTTTTTTTATCGATAATGTCACTGGTCACACACCTGTTTTTCTTTTCTCTCTTGATGAAATCTTTAACTCTCCAGTCGTTTACTAGTCCACCTTGCATTTCTGGACTCATCAAAACCAAACAGCTTATTTCTTGAGCGGTTGGTTATATATTAATCAAAGTTCACCTTTAATATTAACCACCATTCAAGCCCTCTGTTTCTGCCATATATATATATTTGATTTTTGATTTTTGATTTATTTATAAGTTGTATAAAATACATATTATTCAGACTAGAATAGACCATCAATTAAGAATAGCGATAATAAAGGTATAACAGTTTTGTTTTTGTTGTTTGCTTTCAAGGAAGGAACGAAAGAAAGCTAGATGTTTTAATAAGGATCACGTTCCTCGGCCTTCTTCAGTGTGTCGTAGAGCACCTTTCCTTCTACAGGAGGTTCAACTTCGCCCTTGAGGATCTGCTCGGCCTTGACAGGCTTACCATAGAATGATGCGTTGGATTTGGATAGTTCGATTAAAGCAGTTCCTTCAATGCTTACGCCTGTAAAATAGATAGACAGACTTGTAAGTAAATTTATGTAGTATGTACATATGTATATATATTATTTACCTGCAAATAGACCTTTGGATTTGCTGTATGAAAACAATGGAGCTGGTTTGCTGCCAATCTCGCCAGTAATCGATGCCTCATTTCCTGCGCCAATAGGACCAGCGCTTACCGCAAGACTACCACCCAATGTAACATTACCGCCCTTTGAGAATGCGTGCACTGCTTCATCACTGTTCAAGACAAGTACAAAGTCTGTCAAGTCGGCACCAATCTGGGCACCAAATCCAACTCCACCTGTAGCAATTGCAGTAGGAGCACTCCAACGTCTATCAGGTAAACTGTACAAAGCAAAGGGAAAGAAAGAAAGAGACAAAATGTTAATATCCAAAAAAGAATTATATCTATTTTGGAAACTTACCGAGCAATCACAATTCCACTTCCTGCACGTCCACTCCATAAGAATCCTGCTTTCAATACTGTGAAAATTGCAAGACCCTTGGCCTGTTGAAGCACCTTGACAGGGATAATGTTGTCAAATCCATTTTCCATCTCTTCTTTGTCTGAAACACAAAATAACATTAATTTCTTTTTAAATATATGCATATACTATAGATTTTTGTACTAACCAATAAACTTTTCAAGAGTTCGGGAAGCTTTAATGCATTCTTCTGAAAGTGTGCCAAGTACAGGACTATTGGTAGTGCTGGCACCTATTTCATATAATATCAAGATATTTAAATAAACACAAGGTTATTGTTAGTCATTTAATTCTATATTTTATTTATTTTGTTTTATTATTTTGGTTTGTCCAATATATGTGTAAATGTACCTTCTACTGCTCTATCGGCTGTCTTTTCGGCAAAGCTGTTGATTTGAGTGTTGGCCCTTTGACCAAATTCGGAAGCACCTGAGGAATTGCATTAGTAATGAGCTCGATTGTAGTTGAATAAACATAAATTTAAAGAAAAGCTTACCCTGGACGGCTTTGGCGGTTTGTTCTTTGATATTGTTAAACATGTTTTGTGGATTGAATGATACCATTCTGCTTTTTTGAATCAAGTCAGTTCTTATATAGATAAAGGGAGAGAGAAAAAGAGAGGTTGATTTTTGTTACATATTAGGACTATGACGTAAATACGATTACCTATTTAAACCATTTTAAGGCTAATTTCACCTTATTTTCTCTCTCGCTCTCTCTGATAGAAGGAAAAAAAAATCTGGACTTGGCTTGTGCTTGGACCGATCTTGTACACCTTGGTCTATTTTTTTGCATGATGTCATGACAAAAAAATACAATAAAGTAAAATTATATAGAATGGAATAGAATAGAAAACGTTCATTTAATAATTAATTTAATAAAATTCTAAAGAAGATATAGATTAATATTATATAGAGCAACATTTATTTAGCAATTGATTTACTATTAGAATATCTTGGTGGTAATCAATCGTGAAGAAGATAAGAAAAATCTAAATTGTAACAAAATTCATTTGACGTCCTTCAGACGCAAGAAAATTTTTGAAATCCAAGCATGACGGATAAATTGGGATATATGTAGCCTTCTTTTTTTTTGTAAAAAAAAACTTGCGCGATAGTTTATGACGAGATGCAAATCTTAAAATGAGAAGAATAACTGTAGAAGCTGTCATACTCCAAAGCCAATATGGATATCAAATGGATATATATATATTTAATATTGCCATTTTTGAAATATGATAAAAAGTCCAAAAACATTAAAAGAATTGGGCAGGGGTGAAGAGGCTTCAACTCAAGGACAAGGGCAATATGCAATTGATCCAGCTGGCTATTAAAGATAGTTATTAAAAGGGTTGTTTAAATCTTTAATTTTAAGTCTTAGAATTTGTTCTGTAGAGAGGACACAATGGTTGCTGCTGACTATGCCAAAAAGAAAATGCAAGGGTAGGCCTTTTCTTTACTATCTTTATTTGAAGAATCTCTCAAGACTCTCGCTAAATACAAAAAAAAGCAATAGCATACCTACTTCTCTAACACCACGTAACCTTTTCTTTTTCGAACCTTCTTTGTTCTTTTCCCTTTCGAATGTCAGAAAGGCTCACTATATTTTATAGATTTTAATGCACGAAGCATTATATACAGCGTTTTACAAAAATAGTTAAATACACATTCTTCTTATCAAACTACCTCATTTTATTTTTAATTTTCTTTAGTTATCTATACATACATATAAATTTATCTTGAATATCTACTAATGTCCCATTGTCTGTCTACTTACGACAATAATTCAGGACCATGTAATCAAGTATAAGATTCATTCGTCTGCTCCTATTCACCAATGTTGTCTTTATTTTCACTGCTTTTAGTAGTAAAGCTATCATCATCCCAATATGCAAAATACCAAAATACCAAGGAGCTAAAGATACAGCTGTAAAACAGGCTGTTAATATCACTACCACCAAACTATAACTCTATAGTAGGCATACATTTACACATGCCATTGAAAGGAACTATCGTCTAGCACTCAAGCATTTAGATGATATATGTATTGTAGCCCTTTATTACTCTCCTGAAGCCGGAGAGCTATTCTGATTAATCGGAGTATATCTATCGATGCATGCTTTAACAAGTTTCGCACCAAATCTAAAAAGAGTTCGGATTGTATAGGATAAAAGATTAAGAAATATGTGACCGAAAACAATAAGGCCTGCTACTGTAATATAGGACTTCTTGATCGAATCGTCGATGATTCGATCTGATGTTGCCCAACAATAAGTTTTTTGTCCCTGAGAAACACACACTTTTTGAGGTATAATGGCAGCTATAGAAATAACTAGCTCAAAGTTTTTGAATTTGATTATGAAGTGTTTAGAGCTATTCGGAATGTCGGTTTGTTTTGAATAAGCTTCTTTGCGTATGTCAATGTTGATGTTTTTGCCTTGAATGGTGTCCCTATTGTTCGGAAGAGCCAAGATAGATATCTCGGTATTAACTATAGTGATTGAAGCTGAAGATCTCATTAACAATGTTGTGGGGCTGGACAGAAAGCTTGTTGTTCCTTTGACTTTTGGGCGAGTACGAATAGGCGGCGAATAAGTACCGTCGTAGAATGTGTAGGTTACTAATTGAGGACTTGTGCCATATTTTGTAATCGTGATAACAGGATAACTTGATACAAATTTTGTAAAAATAAATGGTACTGTGACCGTAGATGTTCTTTGGTCCGCTACAGTCTTTGTGATAGTGACAGGAGGGTCTGTTATGTACCTTGTTTTAATATAGGGTTCTTTGAGCGTTACTGTCTCTAGAATTACGACAGACTTTGTAACTGTGAAGACAGGAAAGTGTGATATATATTCTGTCACAAAACCAACCTCTGTATTTGTAACATAGACAGTTATTGCAGGAGCATCCGTATTCATTTGTGGGGATAGTTGTGTTTCTGCTACTAATATACATTTGTGTGTGTGTGTGTGTGTTTGGTTGTATTGTTGGTTGAGTTGATTTTGCTTAAAACTCTTCTTCTTCTTTTAGGTCTATCATGTTTATCATGTAAGAATGTGAAAGAAAGAAGGTAAAGAGAAGGCCTGCTTAAACTTACTGGTTAATGTACTTGAAGTAAGATCAGTCGTAAGAGAGTCATACACTTTAGCGCCATAATTATGAATATCGCATGGTTGTGTCTCAATGGCCAATATTGAATCTTGAATAGCTGGACTTGTCTCATATGTGACATCATAAATAAGAAGTTCTTCAAATCTATCTCTGTCAATACTCCCCCATTTATGAATTTTGCTTTTCCAGATAAAGACTGACCGAGAGAGACGCATATCTCTGGATATAAGAAAATATCTTATGAGAGCACAAGAAAAAAGGAAAAGTGGGAGAGATATATGAGCCGGAATCATCAAGGTAAACGGACAATTAAAAATTAGTAATAGGCACTGCGAGAGAGTTGTTGTTTTTGTTGTTAAGAAAGAAAATCCTAGCTGCTTATATAGATATCCGGTTTCCTACCTTTTCAAGATTTCCCGCTGGACAATGGTTTGTTGCTACGGAGATTCTGATAAGCTCTTCACAATATATAGCTTTTATTCAATCATAGATTATATATCAAATATATATATACATATATACTTTTTGGGAGCAAGAAGAACAAGTAAACTAAATTAATAAATAGATAAATAAAAGTGGTACCTCAAAAAACCAAATGCACTTTCAAGAAGATTATTTAATTGAATGCCCTATTTATTTTATATATGTATAGTCCATTGTGAACTGTCGTATTCTGTATATATTTCTCTCAGCTATAGTGTATGTATCTTAATAATGATTTAACGTCGAGCTGTTGATATTGTGTTTATAATCAGGTACAGAAGAAATCTCTAAGAGAAGTAAAAGTCAAAATAAATGCAAAAATTCTTATTATTATTGCTACTTTAATTTAATATAGCGTGTAAATAACTAGGATTCCTATTGTTTTTATACATGTATTGAACAGGCGTGTGCGTGTATGTGCGTGTATGTGTGTGTATACCTGAGTAAATACTATAATAATTACCTTTTCTCTCTATATGGTATTATTTAACCGACCTGTACTTTATATTTTATTGGCTTTATTCTGATTTTGTCATGAATTCTCTGCACAATCAGCCCTTAATATCTGATAGCAGCCACTTATTCCCTTGAAACCCCCATCTCGATACTTTTCAACTATTGGCATAACTTCATTTCAACAAGACTCAACCTGGAATTCAAAATCCCGCCACCTGCTGTGATGAGATCCAGGCATTATGCATGTATACTTATTGCTTTCTTTTCTTATTTTTACTTTTTTGTTTAATATTGGTTTGCAATCTACGGGTTTAGTTTCTAGTGACTGATGGGACTCTTTTTGGTCTACTTGTCTAAGCAAAGTAAAAAAATAACCTTCTCTTGTACCTTTGAACAAAAAGTGCACAGACCACTTTAGAGTAACCTACAAATCGCCGCTATAGAAACCTGTACTCCACCTTTAGATATTTTGCCACGCCGATCAAGATCAGACCTTTCATTACTTCATTACTTCATTACTTTATTTTGCAAAGTCGCTTTTATAAGTACTTTGAGTAAATATTATTAGCCGTTTCTTCTGCCGTAGAAAAGTTACACAAACTTAGTAAAAAAAAAGAAACATACAGCTATATCACGTTTGCTCTGACGTGGACATCTAAGACTGACAAAAAGCGCAGTCCTAAACTTTAATCGCAGATGAAAAATTTTTCTGTTACTTATAGACCTCCTCCAACGCGCGTCGTTTGTTTTCTCCTTGAGCAACAACAGTCCCGGTTTCATAGTGAGACGTCTCTTGCGACCGTTACAGGGAGATTCTTCCATGCTACAAGCATCGGAAAGTGAAAGTTGTTACTCGCCAGCTCAGTTAATTCTGAGAAGTCGTGGGGCATGGTCTCTTTTCATTTTTGGAAGGACTACTGTGTACATCGCATCGCCAATGTGGAATCATGATGCTGGGGGGAGGGAGGTCTAACCTGTGGTGAGATGTGCTGGCTCTTCACTGCTAACCTGACTGAACTCTTTAACGGCTGACGGTGAAGCTACTGGTAGTCGAATGAGCTGGACCTTATCACCTAGTGGTAAGTTCTCTGGCGAGTTCGCACCCACATTACTCGGTGACGAGATGTGGGGCTGGATGAACGGGTGCTTTCCGTTGGTTTGCCACCATTCCAGCACCTCCTTCGCTACCAAGTCAGGTTTACGTCCTGAAGGAGATTGAGCCGTGTAATACGGGGACAAAGAACTTGGTGTCATGCTTTTTATTCTTTTACTCATGTAAAAGAACATTAAGTGAAATTCAATTAAATAGAATAAAATAGTTTCTTTACGTATATATATATATCTTTAAATAAATGAATAAAGTCCTTTTTAACTAGTATTGTTTCCAATAAAAAAACACGCTTTTAAACATTTTTTTTACTTGATTGAAGAGGTTAATGTTGTAATTAGGAGGGTTCATTTATAAGAATAAATTAAAATAATCGAATGAATCTGAAAAGAAATAAAATACTATTTGTATATTCTAGCGTGGTATTGATAGCCGTGTTCAACTATAGATGCTGTTTTTGTCTATAAAGTATATAAATTGCAGAATAACTTTTGATGATGCCAATGCCGTGAATTGTATAGTATTGAATTTGGTTAATTTGGATGAACATTGTAAAATGCATTAGAATGAGAGAAAGAGAAAAATGCAAAAACCGAAAGGTAAAAGGCGAAAAAAAAATGAAGATTAATGAGAGATGTGAAGGAATAAAAAAATATGTGTTTGAAAGAGAGGCAGAAAAGACGTGATGTGGATTGAATATACAGACTGTGCACAAAAAAAAAAGTCAATTTGGATGTATTCATGAAGCAATGATAATAAATTTTAAGCTCTAATATCATATAATCTCTTATGCCCATCCAATTAGCCATATCACAAAAGGATTCACGCAAGTCTACGAAAAAAAAAGAAACTGAGTTTCCTCCAAGAATGTGCCAGAAGATTTCCTTCTACCTGTTCAACAGACATGGGAGAAGGTGATTGAAACAGTGAGTAGCATAACACCAGAGGATATACCCTCACTGTATATCCTTAAGCCAATTCCCTACTGTTGTGGTACACAATTGTCTTGCTTTATTGCCAGAAAATCTAGATAGCCGATGTTCAATAAGGCTTCTACTAAATTCTAGGTTCTAGTGAAGGTTATGTTGTTGGACACTATTCCTCAACCTAGGCTGGATGCATTAATATAAACCTCGTAATATGGAGTCTCTGGAAGATATGAGAGATTGGGAACAGCTAGAGGAAATTTTATCTTGTACTCTTTGCTTTTTACTTCCATTACTCATTGCTCGTCGGGGAGACTTGAAAAAGCGGTGTGAAAGAAAGAAAGCAAGAAAGAAAGAAAGGCGACCACCTACCGGTGAATAGTCGTGGTACGGTATTTCAGGTGGTTTTTAGGTGAAAGCCCCTGCTTGGAAATGTCCAATTTGGAATGACCCGACTTACGGGTTTAGATTTTTCTTTTTGGAATGGCCTTGAGCATTACTGTGCGTAAAGCTTAGTATGTCGGTGTTAGAGGCTGACAGATCTTTTGTCTGGCCGTATTATGATCGTCACTTTCTCATTCGGATTTTTTTTTTTGGTGAGAAGCTTTACGCGAAGCATCGGATAAATATTTCTTTAATATACGTGCAGTATCAAGCAAAGATGGGGGCTCACTGGATCCATGTTTTTACAATGGGTGTGCTGAACAAGTGTAATTAACGGTAGATATTATTGCAGTTTAATTGGGTAATGTGAATGGGATACCATCGGGAATAAACTCATGTATAAGCTTGACAAAAATCCAATGTCTGAATCCATCACAATAGATCAGTTTCACACCAGATCATTGGCAAAGGAGTTTATGGAACAGGCAAGGCCTGACAGGTAGAGCTGAATATCTGGCAACTGACTATCAAATCATTTGGTAATTGTTCCAATAACAGAGCAATGGTGTGCTGGTACTCGATATTTGTCGTAAAATGTTACATAGACAAGCTTGAAGAAACCAATGACGGAACATGTCATCCAAAGGATGACGAAAGAAATTCTTTATAATGTTAAGAAAAAATTCCAGCAGTTTAAGATAAGGTACACCAAATATGTTGCTATGGGTCGTTGTTTTCGGGTATGGTGTCATTTTTGGGATGTACATTATTATTAATAGAGGTTTTGAGATAAGAATTGAGGTCCATAAGGGATTTAATATTGACATTGACATTCCAATTAAACATAATATAAGAAGCATATAAAAAAATTTGTTCAAGCGGTTAAATATCAAGAGCGAAAGAAAGAATGATAGTTTGATAAAAGGTAAAATTCTCAATTTATTTTGATACACATTTTTATATAAAGAAATAACGATAATAAAGCAAGAGCTTCTGTAGACTGAAGGATAGATATATACAAGCTGGTAAGTATGTGCGTGTGTGCGTGGGTTGAAGAGAGATAAAGAGAAAGATAGGTTTAATAGTCCACTCAATGTACAATATCTACTGTGTATATAGAGTACTTTTTGTTATGTAAACACAATCCCTTTTTAAAATACCTCGATGATATTTTTCTATTTAGATTATTATTTTTGATGTAATGTATTTGATACTCTTTTGTATGTAAGCATAAGAGATCGGGTGTGGACCCAAATGGTACCGTATCCCTTAAAGAGCCTAAAAAAATCAACTTTAATTATATATATATATATATAATGTCTGTCATACGTTGAACTTATTAGCAAAACAAGCCCCCACCAATGCGATGGTATAATAGATCCCAGCTTTTATTAGGTAAATAAGAGGGAGAAGGAGAAACAAGAAGGTGGGATGGTAGATGATCCATAATTATATACGGTGGATCGGATAGTCATAAAATACATGTTCAAATAGATTGTGTCTAGTTGTCTATAGCTTAGATCCCATTTAATTTCAGTCAAAGTTTTGAACAACCAAGATACATAAATATTTGCCTAGAATTATTCGAGAAATTTCCTGGGAAGTATATGATATCATCTAGCTCTACACAAAATAATACCTCTTGCTGTTTTGCTTGATATATCTTTGGTACTATTATCAATTCAAGTTCTCACTGGGACCTTGTGTGTGCCATACTAGTAGAGCAAAACTGATTCATAACATTATTTACCCAAAGATGTGTTCTTGTTCGGTGAGTTCCAGATTGAACCATTATTTATACAATTGGATACTTTCTTTTTTACAAGCTCAATGGATTTCCAATAAGAGCTGTATGTACGTTTGTCTGTGGGTATATATATTATCTGATATAGCCTTGTGGTCTTGGTCTTGGTCTTGGTAATAAGAATTACTAGAAGAGATTATGATTTATATGTCAAGCAAGTCTATATATAAATCTTTTATTTATCTTTGAGGTGTTTAATATATATGTGTGTTTTGAATCTTTTGTTAGACCAAATTGCGATATTTTGCACGATAAATGTCAACCTCAAGGCAGATAGAATAGCAATAGCAATAATGCCGTTTCTTTTATTCATGTATTGCTTTGTCTTTCTAATATGATAAGCCTTGGTGGCAGAAATGTAGTGACGTAATTTATACTATAGAGAGAGAGATAAAGGGCGATTTTAGTAAGATTTTTGCAAGAAATACATCTCTAATCACACCCCGGGGCACATTAAGAAAATAGACCCCTAAACACGCTTTTTCTTTTCGTAGTGTTAGGTACGTTTATTTATAAAGAAATATATAAAAAGAAGAAGAGAATATTGACATTTGTGTGTTCTATGATGGTTATGGTGTTTTAGTATATAATTAAAAGAAAAGAAAAGTACTTGACAGAAGTAGTAGCAATGAATGTAAATGAATAAATGATTAAATGAATGTATAAATGAATGAAATAAAAGATGATATATATATATATATATATATATATATATATATATATATGTGTGTGTGTGTGTGTGTAAGTGTAAGTGTTTTTTTTGTATGTAACAGTAGTAGCAATTAATAATCATCCTTCTTTTATATATGTATACTCATTCGCACACATACACTTGTATATAGAAATAAATAAATATTTAAAATAATCTAAATCGCCCATTACAGTGTTCTCTTAGGCTAGTAGAGTTTGACGGACTCTGGTTCGATTGCTGGAGTAACAATAAAAGTGATTGTGATGACTGGGATGGTGCCAATTGTGATTGTGCTGCCTGTATCTGGGGTGGGACGGCCATGAATTTGGTTACACTGCTTGTGGACAGACTGTGATGATTTCTGTGGAGAAAACTCATGAATAGCTGGTCAGGGTGGTCGAGCGCAGCATCTCTTTCTTGGCATGCATGAGAGCAATAAATTGAACTCTGGGGTCAAATGAAGATTGTGTGTGTGTTTTGTGTGTTTTGTGTGTGTGTTTTTTTGTAAGGGTGAGCACAACTAAACCATATAACATACACACACACATATATATATTATTTGTTTATTTTTAATTGATTTTCTTATTCTTCTTCTTCTTCTTATATATATAATTGACATTTTGCTACTTACGGAATAAATACTGATAGCATGATCGCAATAAGTACACCAGTTGGTATCGCACATCACAGCAGACTGACGCAAGATAATGCAAACGAAAAGAGAATCAACAGACAGACAGAGAAGAAGGGAGATAAAAATCAGACAGTTTATGAAGAAAATAAAGAAGAGAAAGAATAGGAAGAATAGGAAGAATAGGAAGAAATGGAATAAAACAAAATAAATCAAATCAAACCAAACCAAACCAAACCAAACCAAACCAAACCAAACCAAACAAAAAAAAACAAAAACAAAACAGAAAAGGGATTTAAAAAGTTCGGGTTTGGGTGAAGTACGGGAGAGGGGCTGTCAATACAGACACGCACAAAAGAGATATAAAAGAGAAAGAGAAAGAGAATATGAAACGTATCAAAACTTTAGACAAACAAGATATAAACTATATATACACACATAATGCGTGTGTGTTTGTGTACACACCCACACCCACACATACGTACTCCAATATGCTTTGGGTCCCAGCGTAATATTGATAGGAATGGTATCAGGATTAGTATTAGTAATAGTAATATTAATAGTAACAGTAGTAATGTTGTTGGTCGTGGTCGTGGTAGTGGCCGTGGTCGTGGTCATGGTCGCGGTGGTAGCTTGATAGTGAATACTAGTGTCAATGCTAATGGTAATGGTAATGGTAATGGTAATGATAGTGAATATTGTGAATATTGTGAACAATGCGTGCTAAATGATGCTTATTGAAAATAGACGAATCAGATATTGTCAAACGCCTTGAATCAGACTGACTATTTATTTACACGGGAACAAGTGTGGGGTCTTGTGGGAACTCTGTGTTTAATGCGAAATTTTATTTACAAAACAGAAATATATAAAAAGAAAAAAAAAGGCAAAAGGCAAAAGAAATATATAGATGTGCATGTATGTATGCATGTATGTATGTATGTATGTATGTATGTATGTATGTATGTATATATGTATGTGTGTGTGTGTTTTCTTTGATAAAACTAATTACGACGTTGTAATCTTAAAATGACAGATTGTATGGCTTCAATCCAGACCCGTTGTTCTTCTTCACTGTTGGCCTTTAGATAATGGTGCTGGGGTGGTGATGAACCAGACGCACTGAGGAGGGCATTGATGTCCTCAGAGTAGGCGCAGGATGGGTCACTGTGGTGGATTGTGATGTCGATCCCATACTGGACCTTGTCGGCCTTTAGTTTTCCAACCATGGCACAGGCCAGATCAATTTTGCCTTTGTACTGCAGGAGGTTGTGGTTGTCCTCAGCTCGTGGTTTGAAATACAACAACATATCGCTCATCAGTACATAAACACGTCGATCCAGGTGTCGATGCAGATTCCAAAGCTCGCCTTGTTTGACAATTATCCGTGGTGCGTCCGTGAGCAAAAAGCCTTGGCGTGACTGAATACTTAATCGTACGACTTGGTTCAATAAATGGCATCTTTGTATTCTACAAAATAGAAAGCCAAAAGAAATATATAAATAAATAAAAGGAGATAATCAAAGGAAGAAGAAGAAGAATTGAAACAAACTAGTATTATGATTCTTTATATTGTTCAATTTATTTTCATTCATTCATTCATATTATTATTATTATTATTATTATTATTATTATTATTATTATTATTTAAATTAGATTCAATTCAATTCAATTCAATTCAATTCAATTAAATTAAATTAAATTAAACTAAAAATTAGATATAAATTATTCAAGTGTGTGTGTGTGTGTGTGTGTGTGAAAACTTATTAGTCTGCATGTATATAGATATATATGTTATGCTATATAAAACATATTCTACTAGTAAAGAACTATGTATATTTATTTATTTATTTATTAAGAAGGAACTTACGGTGCAGCGAGACCAGACTCAACACGGGCCACCCGTGCGAAACATTGAGTAAGTCGGACTGCATCGGGATGCTGGGGGTCCGTGTGCTTTAGGAGATCTTCCAGGATATCCGCATAGCGTGAGATAGTATACAGTGGTTGTTCTAATAATGTGTGTAAATGCAAAGTTCCAAATTCGACTGTAGAGTGCTGGAGCAGATTAAAAGAGACGATAGGTATACATACATACATATGTATGTATGTATGTATAAAAGTTAACAATAATTATAATAACCATTGTGATTGTGATTATAGCTGGGATCTTTGGTGTGCTTATATCTTACCTCTAGGTACTTCTTTGTCTGTTGATTCTTTTCTAAGCGCTCCAAGACTAGCATGGATTTTTTGTAGTTTTCGAGATATACCGCATATGCGCGTAATTTTGGTATCTGTTGAGGTAATTTTTTTGATAAGGGAAAAAAAGGTTTTTAATTAGCTTAAATCTCTCTCATCATTATCATTATTTTATTTTGATGATTTGGTGTACATTGCACACCACATGTAACCAAGACATTAAAGAGATAAAGTTGTGTGTACTTGCCATTGACAGGAGAATGTCCGACAGGAGTTGGGTTGGCCCCCACACACAAAATCTGATTTTATATTATTATCATTATCATTAAAATGAAAGAAGTAGTAGGCAAAGAAGAAGAAGAAGAAGAAGAAGAAGAAGAAGAGAATTTTCTTTATAAATCATGGTCCTCTTCATTATTATCAGCATTACCTTTCTTCTAGACTTTGGATAAGATCTGAACTAGACATGTGTATTTCGTCTAGATTCCCGAACAGGGTCTCGATATCTTGTAGGCGGAGTAATGATGGCTTGGATATAGATGTGGCAAGAAATGAGAGAGTTGTTGCGCTTCCATGTTGGTGCGAGGACTGGCGTCTAGAAAGAGCTTGGAGCGGCATTTTGAAGCGATCTAGTGCTACTTTGAGCTTCGCATTGTACTCTGCCTCGGAGTCAAGTAACCTTTGTACGACTGATTGACGATAGCGATATTGGGTCTCGTCGATATCTGGGACCCCACGTTTTTTTATTATTTTTATTTTTATTTTTATTTTTTGGTTATATAAAGAAAGAGCATTTTAGTATTTTAGTATTATTATTATTATTATTATCATTATTGGACGCATATATATATATACTCAAAAGGGTCTTACCTAGTGAGTGAATGTCATACCCAAAGAAATCATACAGCTCATCAATGATTTCGACTGGATACATATCATCTTCACAAAGACTGTACCGAGACGAATGTTTCGAAAGTAACCTTGGTGGATCGTCCACAAATTTGTCGGGTGTAAAAAATGGCTGTGGGTAGGTTTGGTTGAGGATTGATGATGCCAGGATATCTAGACTAGTTCCAGTCGTACTCGAATTGTCGCTGACCAGGGACGGGACTTTGATGTCACTGCCAGTCATACTATTCGAGGTAGAGAGTACATTTGTATTCCTTCGAGAAACTATTTGCTTTGTTCGCTTGAGCATCAAACAGATATAGTTCTATTTTTTATATACAAGACCAATGAAGTAACAAAAGAAAAAGAAAAGGTTGTATGTGAAAAGGTAAAAGAATGCTTTTGTACTGGTAGTAATATATATATATATAAAGAGAGAGAGAAGGAGAGGGAGGAAGACGAGAAAAAAGTGTAAAAATAACAATAGAAATATATTTTTTCTCTTAAAAAAAGTACGAAAAAAGGAAGAAAGAAAAGAGAAGAGTCGAACAAGAGCGGAAAGAAGACAGGTGTATTGATGTATAAGTGATTTTCAACCAAAGCGGCGGTACAGAAGCGGTTGATCAAACGAGGAGAAACAGAAAGGTAAAGGTAGACAGGTAAGAGGCATACAGACAGGCACACAGGCGCACAGGCACACAGGCACACAGGCACACAGGCACACAGGCACACAGGTACACAGGTACACAGGCACACAGATCCAAAGACAGACAGACAGGCAGGCAGATAGACAGACAGGTAAGCAGGCAGAAACACGCTCACACACTCACACACAAATATATACAAGCAGTCAGGAACACACAGGCACAGACCCAGAGACAGGAACAGGCACAGGCAAGCAGAGGTAGATAGGTAGATAGAGAGAGAATACAGACGAGGAGGACAAGACTGAGGATGAGGGGATAGAGGAGATGGAAATATACTGTAATTTAGTTTTAGAAAGACCAAAAAAAAAAAGAAAAAGAGATAAAAAAAGGGGGGGGGGGGGGGAAAGATCAAGAGAGTAAAGTAAGAGAGTAATGCACAGAAGCAAACAGACAGGCAAAGAAGCAAGTAAGATGAGCAAGTAGCTAACTAAATAAATAAGCACACGATTGAGTGAGTGAGTGAGTGAGTGAGTGAGTGAGTGAGTGAGTGAGTGAGTGAGTGAGAACTGCCCAAGCCAACTTTCATTAAAATGAACCTCCTGAACAATGATAAAGGGAAACTTACCGTTCAACCAAAATACTCTACACAGTACAAAGAAGTACATGAACAACAAGAAGATCCACAGCCTCTTTTCTTTCCCTATTTGCACCTCTGTATCTCTCTATATCTTTCTTTCTTTCTTTCTTTCTTTAGAATAGACTATAAGATGCCTTTTATTTTTATCACATTAATTATTTATTTATTAGATATTATATTAACCAGAGCGTGGCTAGCACTTGAGATTCCCATTCTAAATAAAGTAAATGAACCGACTGGTCAGCTAATTTAAGGTTAATTATACAGAACCCTGCCTTGTGGGTGACACACAGTTAAAATAAAGTAAAATAATTATAACCATAACCATAACCATAATTTATAACCGTAAATTGTAACTGGAATTGTAATCATAATTGTAATTGTAATTGTAATTGTAATTGTAATTGTAATTGTAATTGTAATTGTAATTGTAATTCCAATTATAATAAATCGATATTCTAATCATAAAATACGGATACATCTCGATACAGCTCAACAATTCAATTCAACTCATCTACCAGCTACCTACATACAATGTAACTCTGTGCTTCTCTTTCTCTCTTTCTTTATTTTACACCCATTTTAACTTTGACAGATTTACTGCAGGAGGTCCTATTGTTTTAAACAATGAGGCTCTAGTTTTAACTTTTTGTTTGTCAGGGTTATGTTTTGTCTTGTTTTATATATATTAACTTCTTGTCTTGGGCCTCAAGCCAAGTTTTCCTTTATCTAACGTGCCATTGTCATTAGGAAACATAAAAAATAAATTGAGATAAAGAAATAAAAAGATAAAGAGAGAGTTTTTTTTTTATTAACGAAAGAATGATTTTTATTTTATACACATGCTTATATATATATATGTCTTTAAACAGCAACAAAGTCCTTCATGCCCTGGAGCCATCTGATGTACTCCTGCTGTTCCTTGTGCTCGACATAGTCGGGCAAGAAGCTAGCAAGAGCAGCGTTTACGCCACGTTCTTCCAAGTAACGCTCAAAGAGGTTTTGGAGACCCTATTTTATATACGTATATAAATTTAGTTTATAAGCATGGTTTATTTACATTAATCCCATCCCCCCCTCCCATTTCTCCCTCTTGTCTTTTCTTCTCCTTCCTCTTCTTCCTCTTCTTCTTCCTTTTCCTTCCTTTCTCTTCTTTCCTATCTTTTTCCTCCTTCTCCTCTTTCTCTTTCTCCTTGTTCTCCTTGTTATTGTTCTAATCATTTACTAATCTGTGTATCATTTACCTCATCCAATTCAGCAAACTGAGGACCAATGTAAAGACCGCGTCTCTGCCAGTCAGACTCAGATGACTGATCGCTGGCAAGCTTGGCGTCCTTGTAGTACATAACACTTTCAATGGAGATCTCACCATCCTGAGCCACAGTGTCAATTGTAATGGCACCCTTACCATTCTAAATAAACACAAACACATGTAAAATTCAATAAAACAAATACATAAATACTACTACTACTACTACTACTACTACTACTACTACTACTACTACTACTACTATCACTATCACTATCACTATCACTATCACTATCACTATCACTATTATTTCTATTTATATTTCCAATCACAAAATATTTACAAACCTTTTCAATGGTTACAGATGCACGGACAGGGAAGGAAGGTGCAGGCTCTTCAACCTCTTCAGCACCCTCAAGTTCCTCAGAAATAAAGTCTTCGGGATCTTCGGTGCTGTTGATATCAGAAATGGAGAAAAGAACACGGATCCTTTTGATTGATAATAATGATAATAATAAAAAAAAGGGCGAATTTTGTTAATAAACATTGATAGAGAAAAAAATTACCCAATATTCCAAAAATGAAAAAAAAATGCTGCAATATCGAAATACGATTCCTTTTTTTTTTTTTACGTTTTCAAATTTTTGAAGTTTGTTGGCTTAGCAATCCAGATTTACTATTCTACTTACTTTTCATTGCCAAAGGTGCGAGTAAGGGACACTTCGTCCTGTCCAGGCTTATCCTCAATCTAACCACAGAGATATTAGCATTATTAATATTGTTGCTATTTAGGATTTCATTTTCTCTATATAGATAAATAAATAATTAATAGATAAGAGTTGTACCTCGAACAAGTGGGTGTCCAAGAATTCTTTGATGAACTCAGGCTGGGAAGCTTCCTCATTTGACTTTTCGTACTGGAGCTCCTCATCCAACTTGTGGGCGAGATCGGAATCAACTAAGGTAGGTGTAGGTAAATAAAAAAAGAAAATATTATTATTATTAAACATTACAAAGTGAAATGAAATAAAAAAAAACCAGTTGATTTAATATTAACATAATCACATGTACACAAATGTGCATTTGTATACATGTAAGAGTGTTTTAATCAAAGTGCTTATTACAGAAACAACAGCAAAGAAGAAACAATAGCAACAATAAATCAATAACTCACCGGCACCACTGTTGAGACGTGTCAGACCAGCGCTGAAGGCACGAATGGGTGTAAAACCAATAGCGGGTGTGACGCGACGGCTGGTGGCAGACAACACAGGAGTCACAACAGACTTAAAGGCAGGACGGGACAAGGCACGGAGAGAAGCACGAAGGATGTTGGAGGCCATTGTAGTTGATGTGAAAATAATATATATATATATATGTATGTATGTATATATGTATAATTAAAGACAGGTGTAAATTGACAACTAAAATTGAGTTGTATTTTATTCTTAAAAAAATATATATATAATATAATATATATTTATTTATTTAAAAAAAAATCAACAGTAGGTACCCCCCCCGTAACATTAGCGATAGACAGATGGAAAAGTTCCGATTAAGTATTTTTTGATTGATTTGATTGGCTAATGACGTACAAATTTTGGTTCAAAAAAATCGTCCTTTGTTTTTTGACGAATGATTTTTTGAACAAATAAATAATGGGGGTACTCAGCCAGATTGATCGATTAAATTCTTGTGTGAATCTTAGCCAATGATATCAATTTGTAATTGAAGACACCAAAAGATAAAAGTACAAAATTCGCACAAAATTCATAGATTTTTATAGCATTCATAGAATAAGCTTTTGCACATTCTGATTTCTTTTTTGAACCTTTATGCACCTAGACTCTCGAAGAAGCCAAGTGCTCTTTCCTTTGACTCAAGATCTGGTAATATATTGTCAGCCTTGTGTATGTTTTTTTTATTGGCTTTAAGGGTTTGCTCAAGCTCCTTCACGGCAGCTATCTGCTCCAGCTTTACATTAACTTCCTCTTTAATAACTTCTAAGCAGTAATCTTGCGGGGACGACGCTTCTATCTAACCGGACTAGTTAATTGTGACTACCTGTCTGGGCCGGTACCTTCCTCTAATCCTTCAGGGCAAAATGATGCGTCCCGGAAAAACGCAATATATTCATTGTATCCATTAGCTTATTACTTTGTCACCACATTTTGTGTTAATCTATCTCACACGATATTGAATATTTTGCGAGTTGTGGCAAAACTAGGAAAAATGGTTAGAGTTTGTGTTATCGACTTTGCAGGCCTCACAGATGATCCTGTCGACTTGATAAAATTCTTAAAGTAATAAAGAAAAATGTAAACTAGTTTATTCTTCATAACCTGGACCACTTTCAATAGCAACCTGAATCGGCAAAAATTATTACTTTCTTTTTAACAAATAAAATAACACACCTGTATACGGTTTAGAAAGAAAAAATTGAATTGAAAGTTGTGAAAATGAATGAGTCTATCTTTCGTCATATTCACTAAACTTAATCCAGTTCGACAGTTTTGATCTGTAACTAAAAGTAAAGTCAAAAGAGAGAAAAAAAAACCCTTTGAAAGAGGGAACACCAAGTTCCAGGATAAGTAGCGCGTTTAACCATATCCACCTTAAGAATCTTCAAGGAATTGGTCACTACTCAAATTCAAAACTTTGATGTTTGTTCAAATAAAGAAATTGAGCAATCATGATTTCTATATTGTACAAAACTAAGCTTAGTTTTTGTGTAATCTAGAAATTTTAAAGAATGCTAATGTAAACTATGTTGAGCTAGACCTATTATTAAGATAATTACCAGGTTATATTTCTGATGTATCAATATGCCATAGAGGCGACAGAAACGTAGTAAAGCATAAATACAGATGGTCTATTATGGTAAAGAGGTATTACTTGAGGAGGTTATAGCGAAGTAGTTGGAATAATACATTTTACTGTTTAATGAAAGAAACTGATAAATATCTGTAAATTATCTTTATTACTAGTCTTTTTATCGTCTTGCTCACCGTAAGATATAATACTTGATAAACATAACATAAATGGTATGTTCATTGTTATGGATAACATTGAATTAATCATTTGGTTTTCGTGGTAGATGTTATTAACAAATGAGGCTATAAACCTCTTTATGCCTCCATATCCTCTGTTTTCAAACCTGATAGAAAAATGGTGGTAAAAAATTAAGAGCAGTAAGATATATATAAAAGAAAACACCCTCTAGAAATCAACTCAAAACACAAAGCTACGCATCGTTAAAGCCTGTCAATTAGTTACTATTGAAGACTATTTTGGGCGGATCAGACACACTGGAACATACTGGGACAGGTATATAAATAAAGGATTATATCTCAAATGGGTACAAAATAATAAAGTGTCTTTCACGCGATCATTAATTCTGTCCAGAATTTTTTTCTTGAAAATATTTGATCCATAAAGGCAAAAGCGTTCAACTTAATTTTTGTACTTGTTCAAAACAGAGAAAAAAGAAAGCATCCAGCTTGGAATCGAAACTACTCAATTTTTTTTTTGAAATCGTTTGATGTTAGAGTAGAATACTGAATATATATATAAAATAAAAAAGGAGAAAATTAAGTCAAGTCGCAGGAATTTTGTTTTAGCATAAATATTTATTCTGTACAGTTAATTAATAGTGTACTGTACTGTCGTGTAGTGTAGTGTAATGTATATAAATTGAAAATGCAAGCTCGATTTTAATATTCCTTGTAAACAATTGCAATCCACACACACATATATATATAATAAAAATGAATATGCTCTAGACCTTTTGTGTTTATATAGAATATTAAATAACTATACTAGAATGACAATTGATATTAATAAATACTAGTATTTATTGGTTTAGTATTTCCGTAGTATTGGTATTAAGGATGGTATTGATGTAGGCGAGGAGTAGATGAAATAGACAAAAGAGGAGAGAGAAACAGGTATCATGTAGTGGGTCAAAAAAGGAGGAATCAGAGGGGATGATAAAATGAAATGAAATAAAAGGGGAACAAGAGAGAGAGAGAGAGGTAGGATGTGAGGAGTCCTTTAGGAAAGATAAGAAATAATAGCCGTGATAGCTATAAGTATAAATATAATAATCGTTACTGATACTAAAGGCTACAAGTTATTCCTCTATTGCCAAAAAGTCAACTTGATTTTTGTCTATAGCTGTTGTTAATTTTATCAATAAATTAATAAGAAATATATATGTAAGCCTTAAACAATAATTACAACAGCAATTACAATAGAAATTACAGAAGTTACAGAAATTACAGATGTTACCGTAATTACAGCAACAATTACAACAATCGCATCAATTACAGTAGTTACAGCAATTACAAGCTAAATATAGTGAATTTATATTTGTTATATGGAAGCCATAAATAAACAATTACTTGTATTAAATTATAGTGTATAATTATAATAAGTTCTAGCTTTTTTTTTTGAAAGAAATGCAAAAAAAAAATGTGGTGTGCACAGACTACTTGAATAATGCATACAACAGGTGTTATTTGCACAATTCTGGTTAATGGCGATATCTGTCTCACCATTACATAAATACATCAATGCTACGGAATATGTTTTTATTAGCGATATATAAAATCACCAAATAACACAATATGTATTATGTACTTGTCTAATACATGAAAGCAATAAATAGACTTTTTGAATCCAGATTACAGATCTATTTTCTTGTATTTAAATAAAATGCAATCTGAAGATTTCAATCGAAGTCACGGAATTCAAAATCCTAAAATATCAATAAATACATAGTAGATATACATATACATGTATGGATTTATGTATTCATTAGCAGAGTGGCTGGAGGGGTGTACTCATAATGTCCACATTTGTAAGGTAGTAGTGTTCTACCTTTTGTTTGTGATATGGCGCAATACACGCAACGTGCCATTAATATTTATACCAAAGTAAGAAATATGTCTAATTTAGTAGAGACATTTCTGTGTATTTGTTTGTTCGTTTGTCTGTACTTGTGTTAACTTGACCAACAGAATATTCCGAGAATCTCAAGAATATATATAAAGAAAATAACGGACACACAGAGAAAGAAGAAGAAAACCTTGTTAGGGCTCTTGCATATATTTGTATAGAATACTATGACTGCAACTGATGCTGGTATCCAACTACAATGATTTTTAGTGCAACTACTAATGCTACTTAAATACTGAAACACTACAACTCCAACTATAATTACAGCTGCTACTGGTATTTTCTCCGATGGCACGTTGGATCTGTGGGCATGTTTTATCACCATGAAAGGTGTTGAGAACAGTATTAAATACATACACATAAAGGGCGCAGTAATCTATTACGCCCAAGTTCTAACAATCAGAAGCTTTTGATTAAATGTATCTTCATTATATTTCATCTCTTTAAATCTAGTAGATACTTTATACTTCCCCTTATCTTCCTCACCTCTCCCTCTCTCTCCCCTTTATATATACATTTAAGTGTTTTTTCTATCTCTTACAATAATAAAGGATATATAGATATACTTTGAGTTAAATATATTTTTCATATCTCCTGTCAATTGCTTATTTCTTTTTAATATATTGCTGTTGGTGTTGTTGTTCCTTATTACCATTGAGTGAGTGTATTTACTTTTATGGACAACCAATCTCCTCGCATTTGCTTAAACGTCTTTATTTCCAAATACAACTTTGGTATCTGGAAATAAACTCACCGATTCTTTAATATTTTCAATTTGATGAATAAAAGGGGAAATGAGAGCGAGAGAGAGAGAAAATGAATAGGCTTATATGTATATAATGCTTTACCATTAGAAAGAGTCTTATATCAGAGGTGCCGAGAATATAATAATTAAGATATACAATTGAAAATATTTTAATATATTCATAAATATATATATATACATAAGATTTTCTAATTCACAATAGTAAATCTATAGTTAACATTGACAGATATTGACAATGTCAAGTTATAACAGTAATTTATAAAAAAAAAAGAATTGGGACAATACAGAATCTAATTCTACTTGAAAAATTATAATTGAGCTGATTGATATATCAAGGGGTATTTTTAATATATTTGTTTGATTCCATTGAGAGGTAGTAATTACAGCATATCAAAATGTAAGAAGACTATATATATATATATATATTACTTATTGTGAAGTGTAGAGCAAACTTTGTTGGACAGTACACTCGGGACTATAAGTAGATACAATGTATGAAGGAATATGTACACACTTGCTCTTTTTTTCAATTTGACACCAACCACTTTTATTCCATGCAAAAGAGAATGAAGAAATTTGGAAGAAATTTTCTTCTTCAATATTGTCTGGTTTACCAATCGATATCTCGCAAATATGGATAGTGAGGACAAACATGACTCTTTTTTTTTCAGATTGATTTTCGATTATTATTATTATTATTTCTTTTTTTTTCTTTAAAAAAAAGAAAGTAATACCATAGCAACAGCAACAGAAACGTCCTAATTACCCTCTTCTTCTTTCTCTTTATATAATAATGCTAAGGACGAGGATAAGGATAAAACAATAGAAGAAGATCCAGAAGAAGGTGTCTTGTTTATTTGTTTGTAAACCTGTCAAGAAACTTCTCTATGTTGGAAAGAGTAGAATTTATGTTTGTGAGGGTTTTATCAATATTGGACATGGTTTTTTCCTGGTTTCTCGCATATTCCCTCATATCCTTGCGAAACTGCCGTTGGGCCTGTGGCGAATCCATTTCTGCTTCGCTAGAGTCTGTGTCCTCGACAGTAGTAACATCATTTTCATATTTGTTGTTTGCGTTGCTGTTATCATCATCGTCATCGTCATCGTCATCGATTTCAATAACTTGGGGGGCAGCATTTTGACCACTGGTTGTATTTTCGTTTCCTTTATCCAAGTTTCCGGTGGGATTTTGATTCCCTGACTCCGGTTGATTTCTATTATCTATGATTTCTTTTACGAATTCCACCTCACTGGCTGATTTTGCTTCTTTAGCTTTTTGCTTCTCAAGTCCTCTGGTCTTGTTTTTCTTGATTTCTTTTTCATGAATCTCTTTCTACATTGTGGGTCCAAAGAAGAAAGTAAACGTTTTAATTAAACGTGTCAAAAGAATAATCAGTCCAAAAGCTCGAATGGTACATATATTCCGATATGTATGTATATTGATATGTACATAGATGCGTAGGTAGGTATACGTGTATACATGTATGTATGTATATTTATGTGTGTATGAGAGCGTATATATACCCTTGCAATTGCTTCCAAGGCAGCTTTCTCTAGATCTGTTCCGTCTCTACGACTTTTAGAAAGCCTTTCAACAGCGCGCCGACAAGCGTCATAGCCTAGCGGCACGTCCTTAGGGGCTACGGAGTTGACAGCGTCAATAACTTGCCTCCATGCAGTCTGGCGTTTGCCTTTTGGCCAAAGAGGTGGAAATATCTCGGCGTAAGATTCCAAAAGAGCCAACTCTTTTCTGGGAGTCCAAGAACCGCGTACATGGGGAAGTTTGTTGTCCAAGACCCAATACCCACGTGGAGTTCTAGGCTTCTTTGGTGCGGGTGCCGAAGATCTGGGTGCTCTTTTGCGTTTAGCTTGTGTAGTTGATAAGGCAGTGAGTGGATCTGCAGGTCTATTTTGTGCCGGTCCCGTAGTAGCACGTGCGCTTGTAGGATTATTTACTATGGGTGGTAAAAAAGAAGGCAAAGGCACAGGCAAAGACGACGACGACGATGATGATGACGACGAAGCTTTTGGTGCTGACGATGAAGGTTTAGCTAAAGAAGGTGGAGTGTAGACCTTGAACCGTACGTTCTGGATGGGCCTTCCAATTGGATTACTTGATCTTGTAGTCGGCATAAGTATGTATCTAGAAAGTATGTATAAAGTGGATAAGGGAGAAATAAATGGGTCTTGGGCAAATTTAATTTTATAGGTGTACAAAAGAGCCTAGGACTTTTCTAAACCCAGAATAGAGTTTTTATATATATAGATATATAAGCAGATGTTTTTTTTTCATCTTTTTATTATTAATTTGAGTTGATTTGATTCGATATATTTCTATCTTCTTTATTTCATATGTACTTCTTTTCCGTATTTTATTAATGCTGTTTTAAGTACCAAAAAAAGTAACTCTTCTTCTCCTCTTTTCTTTTTGTCGCTGTTGTCGTTGTTACTCTTTAATACGTCAATATGTGACCCTTGAGTGTAACAAGAGTACCACACTTCTTTTATAAGCCATCTCCGTAAAAAAAAAAAGAGAGAGAAGAGAAGACTGATATATAGTAATATACACACAGAGATAAAGAATAATAAGAAGAAGTGTCCTGTTGTAAACTATATACGCTTTCTGTTTAAGCTAAAATATGTCATGCCTAGTAAGATCGAAAGCTTAGAAAGTGCTAATTTATGATGATAACGAAATGGGAGTGGGATCTTTGGTTCCTGTTGATCAGTGATTGAGTTTATATGTAATGCAACACCCGCAGTGCGCATTCATGCCATAAAAAAATAAATGTATTGTCCGCTTTTCAAAAAAGAAAAAAATAGTGCTGATTCTGGTGGTGATTTTGGAAAATGTCTATTATGTTTTCCAAAATCACCACCAGAATCAGCACTCTTTTTTTCTTTTTTCTTTTTCAACACTCGGTAAAAAAGTAAGCTTAGGCTAGATTTATTGCTTTGTGGTATTTTGAAAATTGGATTTTTTTTTATTCTATTTTATGCCATTGAAAGGTGCCAATATACGGCAATTTCCAGCTGATTTTCTTCCTCTTCTTCGTTAATATTAACAATCTTCAACTTGACTTATAAGATTACCTTTGCTATAGTTTTCAAATAGGTTATCAGTTTCTGATATTTCTTACAAAGTATCTAATTATATATCCAAAAACAAAAATCTCGGCTTTTTTTCTCCCTAGTAATTCGGCAAAGCTCTTCCCATTTACCATTTTAAAACTTCTTACTTTTCCTAAGCCACAACTTTTTCTTCTTTCTTTTTTTTTATCGGATTTTTGCGCGGCGATAATAAAATAATCGTTCTGGGTTTCATTTGCATGTTCTTTTTTTCTCTTTTTTTTCTTTTTGGATCAGCGCAAAATTAACTTTTGCATCAAGTTGTGACTCTATTTTCCAGAAGTAGTGGTACTTCTTGGTGATTACTGCAACCAGAAAATAAAATAAAAAATAATGTCAAGCGTAGATCACTACAGTGTTCTTGGTGTGTCAAAGGATGCATCAGCAATTGAAATCAAGCAGGTAAGAATCAAAACCCAGATCTGATCTCACAAAATCTCACAAGATCAATTAATAATAATGCTTAATATTTTTTAGGCCTATAGAAAATTGGTAATACGATCTAGATCATTACCATGCGATATAATATATAAATCTATGAAGAATCAAAGATGAATTTTGCTCTTGCTCGAACCGATATTATACAAAAAAACGAATAAAGGGAATCTAATTTTTAATTTAATTGTTTGGTATACATAGGCTATAAAATATCACCCAGACAAAAACCCTGAAGGTGCCGAAAAGGTGAGGGTTTTAATAATTGATTTGATTTGATTTGATATGATTTAAGTTGGTCATTGATCAATTGCTTGATTAATTCATCTGATTGATTAATACTTATTATTATTACTAGTTCAAAGAAGTTGTTCATGCCTATGAAACTCTTTCAGACGAAAAGAAACGTGCAGCATATGATCGTGGAGAGGATACTTCGATGGACGGTACCTTTAGATTTGATGAAAGCATGTTTGACATGCTTTTTGGTAACTCTTATAAACGTAAGTAATAGATATATATATATATCTATATTAGAAAAAAGTACAGTCTTCTCACAAGCATTTATTAGGTTCGTTTTATGATGAAGATGGTGAGGACGACAATGAAGGTCCTAGACACGGAACTCCTGTCAAGCTCAAGGTTACTTTGGAAGAACTTTATACTGGCTGTACACGCAAAATGGAGTTTAGCCAGCGTCAAGTTTGTAAAGCATGTCGTGGGTGAGTTTCATATGTATATATATATAATGTGATTAATATAAATAGATATAAAAAATACTGACTTTTTTTTATGGTGGGTATAGAGTGAAAAATTCAAAGATTCGTCGTAGTACGTGCCCAACGTGCAAAGGCACAGGTACAGGACAACCCCCACGAAATAAAAAGGCCAAAAATGCACCCAAGTCGAGACCACAAAAATGCAAAGAATGCCAAGGTGTTGGAAAGGTCAAGATGGTTGATACGTGCAAAGTGTGCAATGGAGAACGTTACAAAATGGAAGATACCACGGTCGAAGTGAAGGTACCAAAGGGTGCATCCCCTGGCTTTACTATCGAGCTACCAGAAAAAGGAAATGAAACTGTAAGTAAAACAAAAAATATATAACATTTAGTACAAGATATATATATTGTGTGTATTTCTGTAAACGCCTTTGGTTCCCTTTACTACCCTACCATATCATAATCTACCATTTTCTCATATGTCAATTGTTTATTTTGCAGGCTGGATCAGAAAAAAGGGGAAATTTGCTGGTTGTTATTTCTCAACAGAAACACAAAGTATTCAAACGACTCCACGATGACCTTGCAGCAACCGTACAGATAACTCTAACAGAGGCACTGACAGGATTCAACAGAGTGCTTTTGGTCCATCTGGATGGTCAACCGATCAAGGTCAGCCATCCCGGTGGAAATGTCATTAAACCCGGAATGCAAAAGATCATCAAGAAAATGGGCATGCCTGTCCAAGACAACCCACGAACAAAGGGTGATCTGTACATCAAGTTTGACGTTGTGTTCCCTGACAAGATCGACATACCAAAAGACAACAAGATCACATTAGAAGATTTGCTCCCAAAGACCACAGAAAACGCTTTATCAGACGAGGCTGATGATCTTCCTGAACATATACTTATAGATACCGAAGGTTTAGAAGTAAGCTTCTTTTCGGTTTTTGGCTTTGCATGAAAACGTATATCTAACACTATGTACTAACAAACCCCCTAAAAAAAAACTTGCTTTCCCAAATATTTTCTTTCTTTCTCTCCATTAGTTTGATCACAATGAGCATGAAGAAGATCATGAGAATGGCCATGAATGTGATAGTTGCTTTGATTCGGACGAGTACGGCGATAATTTAGAGGATGATTACTTTTCAGAGTCTTCGGTCGAATACCATGATATTGGAAGCATGGGTGGCGGTAGATTCCACAATAACGCTGGCGTAGGCTGCAACCAACAATAATCAATCATTAATCATCAATAACCATCATATTAATCACTAGCATTGTATAAAACAAACCAACAAAAAAGAAGACAATTTAGAAATCCATTGCTTTTTTCTTTCTGTTTAAAAAGCCTAAAATAAATTTAATGAAGCATAATAGACCCATCACTCTGTAAACATCTCTCTATATATATTTGTCTTTTGGGAGGTGTTTTATTCTTGTCAAGCATTTGATTCATTATCAATATATATATATATATAAGATCATTTTATTACAGAATGACAGTCTGAGAAAAAACAGGTATCTGTACTTTGCTTAGGTTCTGATCGCAAAGCAGTACCCATACTGTAGGGTGGCTCTGTATGTTCTGGTACCATCGGAGGGGGTTTTTTCTGTGGATGTGTGCAACTATGGCACATGGGCTGAGGTAGATTTATTCCGCGGATTTGATTGAGAAAACAAGTCAGGCTGACAACAATTGTCAAGAGAGTAAAAACAAGAGTGATGCTGATAGATAATTGAAGGTAAGAGCGAATAATCTGGATCAAAGCAAGTTATTTTTTTTAAAAAAAAAATGTTACTTTATCATCTTGTAGATAATTCTCTACCAAAAAAAATACCTTTAAAATTTCTTGGTTCAGGACAGAAACAAGCGATAATGATATAATTCGGTAAACAAAATAACCAAATGACAAAATGGTAGCAGTCGCAAAAGCAAGCGTGAGTTGAGAGCTTTCTTTTAGGACAGCATACCACCCCAGAAGGAGAATGAGTGCAGATGCAAGAACCACAGCCGGTACTTCCCAATACGGCACAGGATAACCTGTTATTGTTGCCGGTACTAGTTGAACTATATAAAAGAAGCAAAAGAATGCATCAAACTTGAGAAGGCTGACCAGAGCAGTCGCTGCCAAGATAGCCTTTTTGGTATTGTCATCGAATGAGTGAAGATAATGGCTAGTCCAGGTAGAAGCGCGGTAAAGACGAATCAAGCAGAGCAGAAAAACAATAGAACAAGCCAAGGTGACTCCAAATACAGCATATTCTAGAGACTGGAACTTGGTTTTGTAGAATTCGGTATCATTTCTGGTAAAAACTAGTGGGTAATTGGTTGTGCTAAATGTATTATTCCCCTCAAGAGAGTCATCACAGATCATAAAGTCTTTTAAGCTGCTGTGATACACCTTTATAATTGCAAATACGAGTATTAATGTTTCTATAAATCAATGAGTCGGTGAATCAGTGAATCAGTCAAGCAATTTATCAATTAATCAATATATATATAGAGGTGTCTTACGGAATATCATTGTCATACAGAGCTGAGGCATGTTGTGTTGTTTGAGGAGATCAATATATAATAATACTTGATATACTTGGGTAATGATTGCAAGACCATGATGTGTCACATTGGCCAGCGAGAGTCCCATGTTGGTAATAGACAAGACGCAGTGTGAAGAAAATGAAACATGATAGTATATCAAGGCTGCTTCTAGTGCCGAAACCACCAAAGCTTCCAAAATGATATTCCATAAAAGAATATAATGCATTCTTGGCAATGTATTTGATAGATTGTGCTGCTCAGCTATACTGATCGATTCTGGAGTTCTTGAAGAGGAAGAATACGAAGAGGAAGACATCGACGCAGGACTTCTGTGTAATGAATTGGATGATTCATTATTCTCTGGTTTCCCTTTATCGAGAAAGTGAACCATAGCAGTAAAGATTGTTATTTTATTTTGTGAAGATAAAATAAAATAGATTGAAACAGAAAATCTTGAGAATGACAAAGCTCAAAATATATATTAGGCAGAGTATTTATAATCTCCAAGAGCTATTTCCAATAAGCATTTTATTATGTACAAAAAGGAGAGCATATACAAAGTATTCAATTGCATCCTAAAAATGGTACTCAAGAAAACGTTTAATTGAATATACAAGTTTTATAATAAATTCTGCTTTGAATCAGGATTAATTTTTGTTTTATTTTAAGGAAACGTAGAAGAGACTATTGATTAAAAGGTTCATAGTTATTATTATTTGTTACAACTAAAAGACTATAGATGGGATGTACAAGAAGTAGTTCCAAGTATTTCTTGGCCAAGAATTGAAGGTCTAGAAAGTAAATGAGGTAATTAAAATACAAAGATCTTTGACTGAGTTTAGGAGGTCCTAATAGACTATGGTTAATGATGTAAATTATTAGAGATATATTAAACTATATTCAACTAACCTTTTTAAACCGTTTTGACGATCTGTGCTTGTTGAAAGACAAACTACCAAAATCCTGGGTTTATTTCGGGATTTATTGATACCAGTTTAGAACGGTTAACTCAACCAGATGTTACTTTCAAAGACCACCACCATAGATAAGATAAGTCCTATTTTGATGATTTATTTAAAAAAGAATGAATTGAATTGAATTGAATTGAACGCTACTTTTATATTGTCTATATACTTCTTGTATGTTGGAGTAATAACTTAAAATCAAATCATCTTTACTAACCTCTCTTTTTTTTTTACAACGCAACTGAAACATTGTCTTTTACCAAGAAATAATTTAGCGGATCTTTCTTGGGATTCAATTCGAAAGGATGATCTTCATATAGAATTCATACTTTAATAATCTAATATTTACGCTCCTCGATATCACTCTTACTGGTTGGCTATCTCGAAAGATTCTAATTGCCAATCAAATTCCTGGTATCTTTTTTTTTTTAAAAAAAATATGATAATATAAAAAAGAAGAATCTAGAAAAAGAAAAGAAAAGAAAATCATAGTGAGGTAAAGACCCTTAGAATTCTTATTTTCATCAATTCACCAAATTGACTATATTCATTCACTCGTATAGCCATATTATTGAAAGTATCCATGGGTCAAACAGTGCATTTCCCTCCCTCTCTTATCTTCCTTCTTTGATAAGCACCGATCATATCTCAGATAAGAAAAAATTAGAATAAAGGAAGAACTAATGGCCGTTTGATCAAAACATGTATATTGAAGACAAAAAAATTAAGTTCTCAGAAAAAAAAAAAGAAAATCTATTTTCTTATGTGCCTTATACATATATATATATATACATAAGTCGAGGCTGTCAAGTATACCAGAATAAACCATTATGACGCTTGATGTTAGTGATAGTCGATAGTTAATATTTAATAGAGGTATGGTTTTACTTCTTTGGTGATGAAACATACTTGCGGAATAACGCAAATCTTCCGAATGGTCGGACGTATCCACAAACACTAGATTCGCTATTTAAATAATTGTCGACTGATACAAGAGGCTAATACACATCTTATAAAATATTAAAGTAGTTTAGCCAAGACAATTCAGAGCAAAAAGTGTCTCGCTAGCTTTTTTTTCAAAGAAAAAAAAAGAAAATATTGCTTTGGCAAGCTTCTCACTTTGACCAGAGAAAATACAAGATTATACTTAATTTGGTGTATAAAGTTAATTTTGCATTTGTTGCTGTGGTTGACGCATAAAATGTGCGGCTCTTTAAATAAATAGTCATTTTTACAAAAGTAGACAAGAAAGAGAAACACTGTAATGTCCAACATATTCAACACGCTTGATGGTATTCACAGCAGTTGCGGTTAACCGCGTCGGCAAAAAAGTTAATAGATAAAGTCGTCTTATTATTCAAGATGGTAGCTCAGCTGGCTAGGAAGTCATTTGAATATTTTAATGACTAATGTGGACTTGGGAATGTGATCGTATTGATTGTTTAGGCAACCATTCTTGCAGAAATAAATAAAAAGAATAAACTTGAGAAAGATGTTCTTTATTTCGAGATTATTTTCTCCTCTTTTTTCCGTTGGAATTTATATTATTACTGTGTGGTTCAACTGGCTGAACAGAACAGCATACACTAAGCAGATACAAGTTTTGCTATTAGTTAATTAAGCAGCACAAAAGCACATTAGCTTGATCAGGCTTGCCTTGGCGATAACAGTATTTGCTATGCAAGAGCAGCCATATAAATAGATATATTTGTAAAAGAATAACAATAATACTTCTTAAATTTATGATCATTTGTTTTTACCGGGCCATCATACAAATAAGAATTCTATACAGTTGACATTGACAGTCTAAAAGCTCCAAAAAAAAGGGTAAAATTATTGAACAACTTTGGTTGGCTAGGCTTTCTTTTATTACCACTTGACTTGAGAAGAAGATAATGCTTTTGATAAAAGATATGGTACTATGAGTACATATTATCTAGTATGTATTCGAAGTAATTCTGCCCTCTCCTTCTTTGAGCTTTTATTCTGCCCACACCAACTATTTGAATATTTATTTCTATTCATATTAGTTGTAAGCAGATGAAGCTTTATATGATTGTACCATTTCCATACTATCATTATTTTTACAGCTTCCTAGGAGTTTCTTTAGAAAGCAATAAAGAGGATCATGTTCTACTTGAAATATCCTTTGTCATGCTCAAAAAACTCTAAAGTAGTACCAAAAATCTACCTCTTCAATTCTTTACGAATGATAAAAAATTCATATAGAACGCCAAAAAGAGGAATTGAGTCTTAAAAAAATAAGACAGGGAAATTTTCTTTAAGCCAATAATATTGTATATGAGCTTGCAACTACCACATTTGTAACCAAAAAGCAGAAAAAAGAGAAAGTCTCTGGTGGTTAGATTATTACGCACGCTTATTCGTATCTTTTTTTTTATTTTCTTCTTCTTTTAAAGATTCCGCGCAATGTCGGAAGCTAATGATATACACCAGCCTCATCTAACTGAAACTCAAGCTACACAATCACCCACCACAAGCCAGCAATCGCCCGAATCCCAGGAGCAAGATGATTCTAGCCCGGTCGCACCAAGTGCACCGCCTATTCAACAAGAGCCACCAGCACAATTGCAGACATTAAAAGAAGCATTTCCAAGTGTTGAGGTTGATGTAATTGAAGCTATTCTAGAGAGCCAAGGAGGTCAACTCGAAGCAGCCTTCGAAGCTTTGCTTGCTATATCAGACCCGAACTACAGACCCGAACCTACAAACAATATTCCACCGCAACCAGCACCAGCACCACACCCAGCACCACACCCACCTGTTCAGCAGACACAACCATCGGAATACTATCAGCCTCAAAGAGAAATACCTGCTCAGCATGAAAACCTACAGTCTAATAATAATACTAATGAGAGAATACCACCACCAAAGCCTCCTCGCCCACAGCAACAACGACCAAACAATTTTACTCAACAGAGCTCAGGACTACAAAACCAACCCTATGGTTATTGGGCTGGGACACAGGACCCATCAATTCAGACCAGAAGCCAGATATCCGTTGAAGAACAGTTGCGGATGGACGAAGAGTTTGCTAGACAACTTGCAATGGAAGATGCAAACGAGTCTGATTATCAATACCAGCGCAAGTATATATAACATATACACAATCTGTACGTGTCTTATTTATTCAATACGATAAACTTAGGCCAACACCAGAGACAAGGATACCAAAGACAGCGACAGCAGAGAGTAGATGATGATAGTGATGATGATGACCCTTTATTCAATTTTCAAGGTAACGTTATAAAGTAAGAAAGAATAGAAATATCTGGTGAATTGTATTCAATCCGGAATTATTAAAATACCTTATTTTATTGAACTGTTTTGTATAAAAAGAGGAATTTCCTGTGATTAAGGAAAAGGTTATTGAGGTTGGCAACGGTAAGTGGTACAGATACATTTAACTGGTTGAATTATTATTGACATGTGCTGTGTAGCTGCCAAAAAAAAGGTTATAGATCTCTTCAATCAATTCAAAGCTAGTCGAAACAACATGTCCTCTTCCGGATCTTCGATACCGACTACAAATGTACACTACAGGTAATTTTTTTTTTGAAATAATGGTAGTATTGTGGGTAATAATGAATCAATTTAGAGGTCTACCGAGTGATGATGGAGATGATCTGCTTGCAGGAGACATGTCTGCATTACATCTGTCTGACAATGATGTATACGCCCAAACACGTGGTGTAGTAAGACCTAGGACAACGCCTGAGAATCAAACATACATAGGTAAATGAAATAAAATAATATATATATATATATATATATAATTTGTAACAAATTGAAATATAGAAGAAGACCAAGAAGATCAAGAGGATCAAGGTGAACTGCGGAGCAATATTATACATGTCAATCGTCCTTTTGTCCCACCCGTCAAGACGCAAAAATACAATGACGCTTGGTCTACAGAAGAGCAGCTCCGTTCGGATGAAGCCTTGGCAAGGAGGCTAGCCAATGAAGACATGATAGAGAGGGGATGTAAGTAGGACAAATCCGGTGGGACAATAGATGCGTAACCTGTTTGGTATTGATTACATATTTTTATTTATTTATTTTAGCCCTTGGTACAAATACTTCTGTTACTGGTATCAGGGCACCTAGCCCTTCTCAAAGTACTACCCCTACAAAGGCTTCAGAAGATCCTGTATCAAATCCAGAAAAAGGTAAACCGGATTTTTGATTGTTTTTTGTTTTGTTTTTTACTTTACTTTATATACACCCATCTGAACTTTACTGTTTAAACAACAGAAATTCCCGAGAGTAGCCCGATAAAAGAACAGGACAACAAATCAGAGAATAAAGCCAAGGAAGAAGAAGATGTTCCGTACGTTATTGGAGACGATGATTCTGATGATGATCTTGTTGATGAAGATGAAGATACTGCTGTGAAAGGTAAGAGTAAATAATTGATTAATTGAGTTCGATCTAATCGGTGCGTTCTGTGTAGAGCATCCTCGCAACAAATATGAGCAAAAGCCCCATAGTAAAACAGAATAAATGAGATGATTATATTACCAAAACTTGCTTCAAATATATACATATACAAACATATATCATTTAATACTTTTAAACGAAAAGGACTATCGGACCCAAAATCATACTGTTATATATAGTTTGACGTGTCCAAGGAGAGAAGAAGATTGGGTAGGTTTGATTGCTGTTGTAATTGAATGACCGTTCTTGCCATTGGACATCCTCTACTGTGCTGTTTAGATTCCGCAATCGCTAATCAGAGCTATCCGATAGCCTGTTGTCACCGAAGTTCTCTTCTTCTTCCTCTTCTTCTTTTAAAAAAAATTATACCCGACAGGACAGAAATTATAGAGAAAAAAAACGCTGCAAATCAATCCACTTATATTATAGTTTTGCTGCCATAGTAGCCCTAATTCCTTCTGCTTCCTCTCCCTCCATCCCTCTCTTCCTTATCCTCGTTCTCTACATTCTTCGTATTATTCTTTTTTTCTTTTATTACTACTGCTTCTGTTGTTACCATCACTACCGCCACTACCACTATTACTACTATTACTATTACTACTACATATCTAGTCTTTTTATTTTATATTATATCTTAAAGAACATTTCTTGTTCAGTATTTCTATAATGAATACACACCCAGAAAATATAGTTGCAGTACCCTCTATTCATCAAGATAATCGAGTACAAATCTCGGAACAGGCCTGTGCTCACCTTCTAGACAATGCTCAGCAATGCCTATCCTCCCCAGGCCATCCAATGACAACCCTTTCTCCAAACCAGCCATTCACATTCTCACCAGCTCATCACGAAATCCCGCTCCATTTCAACATTGGTTCTCATCTCACCACACCAGAAGAAGGCCAGTCTTTAATTAATCACCCCCTTCTTCCAGCACGCGAACAACCTTCGGGTCCGTGTACGCCACAACCATCCTCCTCCTCTGGGGCTCCTGATATTTTACATCAGGAACAAATCCTATGTCAACAGCAGTCACAGTCCCCACACAATGACCTCAAGCAAGAGCAATTACAACACGCCTCAAGATCACCTAGTCAGCAAACACCTCAGCATTCCGGCAATATGCTAGAGCACCATTACGGCCAACAGCTGTCTCTTGCTCTGGCAACAGCCACACAACAAAACCAAACTGTCCAACTACAACACATGTATGCTGGTTCTCAGACGCTCGACACACACAGTCCAATGCCTGCCTTATCTCAAGACCTCATCAATCAACATTCCCAAGCAGAAATTGAACACATGGCCATGCTCGTCAAACAAAACTCAACGCCTCTAACTCAGGGAGCACACCTTCCAGTTACGCAGTCTGTGGAGTCACCACATCAACCTGCACTTGTTCCAATTCACACACCACCTGTCGCAATGCATTCTCACCCGAATCCCGGTAGAGAACCTCAGGAGTTGAATGTATGAAATTAATATAAATACTATATTACTAATAATATATTTATTATATTAATACTAAATAGTTTATTAACCCAATTTAATTATTTTACTTATATCTTATAGCAGTTAAATTCTAATAATATAAGTCATGACTCAACGCCACAACATACCCCAATTCTCGTAAGCCCTAGTCAACTCCAAGAAGAATCAGACTTGAACCGTGGATTGTTAGAAAACATGCACTCTAATTTAATGTTACAACATGATCCGATGTTAAACGTTGCACAACACCAGCAGCAGCAAAATCAAGACCATCAATTACATCAACTACAAATTAATCATCAGTCTCTTCAAGGGAATGATCATCTCAATCTTCAACAACAACAGCAATTACAATTACAAGCACACGAACAGCAGCAGCAGCAGCAGGCCCAACAGCAGCAGGCCCAACAGCAGCAGGCCCAACAGCAACAGGTCCAGCAACAACAGGCTCAACAACAACAGGCTCAACAACAGCAGGCTCAACAACAGCAGGCTCAACAACAACAGGCTCAACAACAGCAGGCTCAACAACAGCAGGCTCAACAACAGCAGGCTCAACAACAGCAGGCTCAACAACAGCAGGCTCAACAACAGCAGGCTCAACAACAGCAGGCTCAACAACAGCAGGCTCAACAACAGCAGGCTCAACAACAGCAGGCTCAACAACAGCAGGCTCAACAGCAGCAGGCTCAACAGCAGCAGGCTCAACAGCAACAACAACAATTGCAAATGCAAGCTCATGAACAGCATCAACAAGCCCAGCAACAGCAACAAGCGCAACAGAAAATGCAAATGCAAGCTCATGAACAACATCAACATCAACAATTGCAAATTCAAGCTCATGAGCAACAACAACAACAGCAGCAGCAGCAGCAATTGCAAATGCAGGCTCATGAACAACAACATCAACAACAATTACAAATGCAAGCTCATGAGCAACATCAGCAACAACAATTACAAATGCAAGCTCATGAACAGCAGCAGCAGCAATTACAAATACATGCGCATGAGCAACAGCAGCACCAGCAACAATTACAAATGCAAGCTCATGAACAACAGCAACAGCAACAGCAACAAATCCAAAGACAAGCTCACGAACAGCAACAGCAATTACAAATGCAAATCCATGCACACGAACAACAACAGCAACAGCAAGTTCAACAGCAGCAGCACCAGACCATTCAGATTAATATGCAACAACATCACCAAAAGATTATCCATGATATAATCAATGGACCAAATCCCATTGAAAACAGCCACCCAATTGTGCCTTCACAGCGTGCAATGGATCTTAGTAAGCAATCGCCTCTTCACAAAGTCAATCAACCGATACACACCGAACAACATTCATTTGAGGCTCAGCAGGAAGCTGTTGCTGCAGCTGCTCAACAAGTTATGGCACAACAGATGGCTATAATACAACAACAAGCGAGTTCACAGCAATCTTCACCTCTTAGTCAAGTAGAGTCGATAACACCTAATCAGACCACACCACAACCCACAAACACTACACCAAACAACAATCCTTTGGTTGATCAACTTATGTCCGGAGTAGATCCGATGAACATGACAATGGCGCAAGCGGCCCTAGCCTCTCATGACACTCCTCATGTAGTGATGTCTCAGTTGTCTACTATTGCTGCCTCTGCTGGCTTACTGCAGCAAAACAGCACTGGCCACTCGATCGCCACTACTAGCATTAGTGCGCTCGAGAATGCCATTTCTCAACAGCAGCATCAGCAACAGCAACAGATTAAGTTCATAAACGAGAATAATGAAACTAATCAGGCTACTAAGCGAACCGAACGTGAAGGATCTCAAGGGAGTATTGGGCGTAAAAAGGTGCGTAGACACACTGTTTCTAGTACTCTCCCGCCACATCTGAATATCCGGACCCAAGGCCTGTCGATTCAGAACAATTTTCCTCATTCGGCCGTTGTGAGTCATGAATCAGATAATACGTACCGTGCTACTAGTACTTCGTCTACTCCATCTGCTCGCGAACCTTGTACTATACCGCCGTCCATGTTTGCTGACGATCAAAAGGTTATGATGATCCGACGTTTGGCCAAAGAGCATCCAAAACATGCTCTCGGCCATATTTCTCTCCCACCACCGCCCACACCTGCTGAACTCGGTCTCAAAGTTCAACCCAAAAAAGAATCAGCCACAGAGTTGAGTAATAACAATAACAACAATAGTAACACCAGCAGCAACAACAGCAACAGCAATAAAAGCGAAAGCTTGTCAGTAAAGGAGTTTGACAGCATGAGTCGAGAGGAGTTGATTGCTCGGTTGATTGAACTTGAGCGAGAAAAGAAACGGACAGACTCGATCAACGGCAACAGTCCGGATGTCGAGCCATTGGGAGATAATCCCGATACGCGTTCCGGAACGGCCGCTACCGCTGCCGCCGCCGCCGTTGTCACCCCCGCTACTTCCATAATCCAAGTCACTACTGTCTCAACCCAACAAGACTCAAAGTCAGAGACCACTATGGAAGATGAAGACGATGAGCCCGGTACGCCTCTTGATAGCCAAAACAGGGATGAAGACAAATCCGAGGACGCAGACGAATTAGATGAAGATGAAGATGAAGATACTGAGGTTGATATGTTGGAAGAAACCGAGCCGGAAAAGCTTGAATTTCAGTGTCTGTGGAGAGATTGTGGAGAGACGTTTGAAGAGCTTCAAAAACTGATAACCCACATCAATGACAATCATGTCGGCAGCGGCAAGGTAAATATATATGTATATTTACTTTTAAAGTGATAAAATCAAATATGAAGCATACATATTTACCAATATGATATTATAAAAAAAATAGCCCACTTACTGCTGCGAATGGGAGAAGTGTATACGAAACCAAAAACCTTTTACAAAACGCCACAAGATGTACAACCACTTGAGGACTCACACAGGAGAACGTCCGTTTGTGTGTTCCAAACAAGGTATGTTAATATTAGTATGGCTATGGACCTTTAAGATATATTGACTCATAATTTTCCTATCGTATCGTACCTAGGATGTGAAAAGCGCTTTTCTCGACCAGATTCCCTGACGACGCACATCAAAACACACTCCAATGTCAGACCATACCTCTGCTCGTACAATGGTTGCAGTAAAGCTTATTACCATTCCAGATCCCTCAAGAAGCACGAAAAGACTCATGAGGTCGCTGGAATGCAGCAGCAGATGACACCAGCTTACCAAAACGCCTACAATATATCTACGGGACCGGTGCCCGTAGATTATATGAATAGCCATATGGCAATGCATCAGCAGAGCCAAGTACAACATCAAATACAACATCAGCATCATAACCAGCATCAACATCATCATCAACAACAGCAGGTTCCTTCTGTTCTTCCCCACCAGCATTCACTTTCACTCCCTCTTCCACCGCATGGCCAATCTCCACTTGGACTTCCTCATCATCCTTATCCACTCCAATCGCCACACGCCGGTCTATCTTCTCCTCATCCCCACCCATTTGTTCAGCACTATATTCCACCCACTCATATGAAGAACTATCCCACCAACAGTATGCCACAGTACTCACCATCGGGTATGGTTGAATCCCCTGCAGGCACTCCTCAAGGTGTAATTCCTCATGGCTACGATCCTACTCACCAGAACGGCTATCAATTCAGGAACGCATAAAAAGAGCCCGAGTTGAATTCTTCTATATTTTGCTTTTGTTTTGCTTTTGCTTTGTACATGTATATTTATCAGATCTCTTTGTGTTTGTGCTCGTGCTTGTGTTTGTGTTCCTTGAGTACAAGCATGCAGACATAGATGCAAAGAGGTAGGCACAGAGATATACGTACAAACAAAATAGGAGAATAGAGGATATCTTTTTTTTTATTATTTTTATTATTATTATCATTATCTAATGTATACATATACACTCCCTTACTTAACCCATTACCACTCGTAGCCACATACACTCGATCACGCACGCACACACACACACACACTCTCTCTCTTCCACATACACCTTCATCATCCTCTTTTGTTTCTTTCTTCTTTATTTTCTTTTTCTTTACACAGCACATTTTTGAATACACCAATAGACTTTCTTTCCCAGGTGGAAATATATTCTACTGTATTTTCTTTATTTATATATGTATAAAATAAATAATAAATAAAAATAAATAATTGGCTGAATGCCATGTATTATTAGAGAAATATTTTAAAGAGAGTATTAAATGAACTAGTAATTAAATTAAAATTGCCCGATTTCTATACATCCTAGAAGCAAGTCTTTCTTTACACTACTTTTTATATATATACATAGATTTTTTTTAAAAAATAAAAAAATAAAAAATAAGAAAGGATCAAAGTCGGCCATTAAAGCTGTAAAGTGACTCGCATTTGCGCCACAGAAAGTCGATTCTTTGCTGATACCCAATTTTCTTCTCTTTCAGGTATCCTAGATCTTCCAACATGGTAAGGCATCTATTGGCTCAAAAGATCATAATAAGTCCATTAGTGACTAAAATTCTCTATCCTTACAGAAAGTTAAAGCCTTGTCTCGATCCACGTCTGATTACGTCCGCGAGAGAGCTCAGGATACCCACAAGGTTCAGCGTAACCTTGACCCAGCACTCCACCCATTCGAAAAAGGAAGAGAATATGTCCGTGCCCTCAATACTGTCAAACTCGAGCGTCTGTTTGCCAAACCCTTTGTTGGTGCCCTGAGTGGTCACATTGACGGTGTTTACAGCATGGCAAAGCATCCTCAGAAACTTAGTTCAATCATTTCTGGAAGTGGTGATGGTGGTACGTTGACACAAAAAAAAAAGAAAAGAAAAGTTTTGTGCATTCCAAGTGTTATCTGTCATATTTATTGTATACTCGAGAAATTATTGTGTATACACTTGTTATATATATAATACTTAAAATTTATATTTGCCTTTTATATATATATATATTAAATAATTGAAATTTTTGTAGAACTTAGAGTTTGGGATCTTTCTGAACAAGCAACAACCTGGAGGACAAAGGGACACACTAGTATTGTCAATGGAGTGTGTGCCGGTCATCATACAGGCCAATTTTTGTCTTGCTCATCTGACAAGACTGTCAAAATCTGGAACCAATCTGTGGGAACTGATCCTATCGAAACATACATGGGCAAGAATGCTTTCACAGGCTTAACTCATCACCGTAGCGACCCTATTTTTGCTACATCTGGACATACTGTGGATGTCTGGGACGAGACTCGCTCAGACCCTATCCATTCTTTCGAATGGGGAGCCGACTCATACCAAACTGTCAAATTCAACCAGGTCGAAACTAACATCTTGGCCAGTTGTGGACAAGATCGTACAATTGTTCTTTATGATTTGAGAACCAGCAAGCCCTTGTCAAAGTTGGTGATGGCAGTAAGCGCTTATTCTTATTATTATTTTTAAAAAAAAACATTATTGAAATTTTTATGGCAAATAACCTAAAAAAAGAATTAGTGAGTTGACAGTTGTTTTGTGTATGTATAGATGAAGACAAACGCAATTGCATGGAATCCTATGGAAGCCTTTATCTTTACTGCTGTAAGTGCTTCTTTATTTGAATATTGGATCTTTGGTGATTATTATTATTTGCTGGACTAGTTTGACTAATGCTGGGAAATACACACACAAAGGGTAGTGAAGATCATAATGCATACACATTCGATATGCGCAACATGAAGGCTGCGCAAAATATTCTCAAGGATCATGTCTCTGCAATGTAAATGATTCATTAAATAGCTTAGAGATTTAGTATAGTATAATTATTTTTTTTAGAGTGGAGAATTGTGTTTGCTAATATTTGACTATAGTCTTGATGTAGATTATTCTCCCACTGGCCAGGAAATCGTCACTGGTTCTTATGATCGTACCCTTCGTATCTACAACTCCCGTAGCGGACACAGCAGAGATGCTTACCACACAAAGCGAATGCAGAGGTAAGACTATTTTTTTTTAAAAAAAAAAATACTATTATGTGTGGAAATTAACTAATGACAAACCTCTCTCTTTTTTTTTGTTACAAAGAATCTTCTGTGTTCAGTTTTCTATGGACAGTAAATATGTTCTTTCGGGTTCAGACGACGGTAATATCCGACTCTGGAAGGCCAAGGCATCCGAGAAACTGGGTGTTAAGGACTGGCGTGAGAAGAACCATCTTGAATACGCTGCCAAACTTAAGGAACGTTATAGTCATATGGATGAGATCAAGCGTATCGATCGACACAGACACACACCTTATGGAGTCAAGCGGGCAGATTCCATCAAGAAGGAGATGTTGTCGGCTCAGAAGCGAAAGGAGGACAACAGACGGAAGCACAGCAAAAAGGGAACCGAAGAGAAAAGGGTATCCGAGAGAGAAAAGGCCATTATCGGCATTGCCAAATAAATTCATGTATACACACACCAGTTCCCCCCCCCCCCCCCTCCTTTCATTACACATCGTATCTTCATATAATGCAATTTTTTTATTATATTAAACAAACCAAAAAAAAAAAGATAAAAAAAAAGTCAAAGAAGTAAAAAGAAAAAGACCCATATACAACATAAATTACTAGCATTTGAAGGTTGGATTATAAAGAAGATATATATAGTGAGAGAGTTTATATGTGCGCGTGTGTGTGTAAGAGAAGAGAGAGAGAGAGAGGTAAAAGAAGAAAGGTAAAGGTAAGGGTAAGGGTAAGGATAATGGTAAGGAAAGAATTACATTATGAGAGGCTCATCACTATTTGAAAGACGGTTGAGGTGAAGATATGCATCTGTACCATATCTAAACAAAATCGTTATTTTTCAGGCCAAAAGATTATATGCAGATTAGCTTATCTTTATCTGACCCAATGAGTTTGATAGACTAGACTTACCCTTCCATTGATATCAGCTTCAGATCACCACCAAAATACCGTGCATACTTTTGTACATTAAAGGAAATTTAATAATCAATGATTCTCAATAATGTTAATGTTCATATTTGTAAACGTACCAGTCTAGAGATAGGAAGACCATAGCCAAATCCAGCCATGGGTGCCTTGAATTCACTCTTGTTAAATTCTGGCTCCAGTTCTTGTCGTTCAGCAGTTGTGTACTAAATTGTATTTCCAATGTATATATATGCCTTCCGTTAGACACTTGTAATTCATGGTAAAGAACAACTCTTTCTTTACCATATAAGCCCAGACATCTGGAAGAGATGAGCGAGGAATTCCACCGCCTTCATCCGAAATCTTGATAGTAATATCCTAAATAAATAAATAAATGTAAATATTTTGATTTTTGTAATAAAAATAATAATGAAAAAAAAACGTACGATCCCCCCCCCCCCCCCCCCCCTTTTTTTTCAAATCTATCATAATAATCATCCAATTTCACTTTCACTCTAAATTATATTACCTCCTTTCCATGAGCAATGACTAGCTTAATAGGTGGATAGTCGTCTTCATAATCACTCCCATATCTCTCGACTACCGCTCGAAGCGAGTTCTTCAAGAGCTCAAAGATCATGTGGTTCAAATGGGACGGAACATACATAAACTCAATATCTCCCGGACAGAACATCTTGACCTCGGGTGCCTTGAATAAACCGTAATGCTCTTCACAGATGTAGCGCGCATTGGCAATAGCGTCCTGGGCAATTTCCCGGATACTTGTCTTTGTGCAAATTACGCCTACATAATCCTGCCGAAATGGACCACGGTACAAGGTTGAATGCTGGCCTAAACAAAAGAAAGGGTAATTAATTGTTTGATTTGTTAAATAAGAGAGGATTTTATAGCCTTTATATATTTTGATCTCTCTCTCTCTCTCTCTTTTATAAAGTCATTTACCAATTAACATTCGAATACCAATACGGGACATATAGAATCGATCAAGAAATTTCTCCACTTCAGTATCAACCACTTGAGGTTTCCGATGTTCCTTGTACTCCAGTATACCTTGAGCTGTGTACACACACATAATCACATGCAAGCAAGTGTTGAGTATGGGGCGGATCTCTAAACAACCCTTAAACAATAGGTATTTTCTTACCGACTGTGGTGACAACCGGGTCATGTCGCCGCTTGACACCCTCGATAGTTTTTACAAAACTATCGGTGTAAGTAAGAACCTCGGGAGAACATCTGATGTCTTCGACTGGATTAAAGTACCTGTATCCCAAAATATATTATTATCCAACTCTTCATACAATACAACCAACTATATATATATATATATATATATATAAACGCACCGATGACCAATAGGTAAAGTCATTAATCTTGCTTCGAGGTGAGGTCTTGCCAGATGAACATTAGCAGGATTAGGTACACAAGGTGGTATGGTCTGACTAGCATTCTTGCTAGCGTGTTTCAACTTTTCTTTCATTTCTCGCGACAGACGAGGTGGTGGTAATTCAATAAGTTCCTACACTCACCCCAACTTTCATATTTAGTATATCTAGTTTTCACTCACACCCACTTGCTTTATATATATATTTCTTTACCTGAAATGACTGAGCGTACCAGTCTTTTACTTTGAGAATAGACGGCATCTCGCTTAAGTAACGGGGTAATTCCTCCAGATCCTTGACACGATGAGCAAGTCGAATCGGTAATTCCTCTAAACCCTCATACAACATTACAACCTTTATTCCCTTTTGTTTTATTTTATTTTATTTAAAAAAATAAAATATATTTTTGAGTCCTTACCATGCAAGAACTGACTGGCCTTGAAGAGACTTGCTTGAGAGGGTTTTTGACCTTTTTATTTTTATTTTTATTTTCATTGTTATTATTATTATTATTTTATGTTTCAGTAAAACACATAACCGTGTATATTAATATAATTATCATATAAGTAAGAAACAGGTTCCATTGATTTGTATAATAAAGAAAAGGAATATTATTAAAAAAAAATTGTTTAATGTTGAATGAGCTGGTCTTCATTAGGAATCCTTACCAAACAAGACCATCTGTCTCAGAGACACTCCTGTTTGAGGAAACCTTGCAAAATGTTGGATTTTCTCGTGTAATTTTGGTGTTATTTTGAACATATGATTGATTTGCCAAAAGAAAAAATAAATAAATAAGAAGAACAAGAACAAGAAGAACAAGCAAATAAAGGTATAGACGTGTGTGTGTGTGTGTGTGTGTGAAGTAAAGGAGGAGGAGGAAGAAGAAGAAGGGAAAGAAATAATAAAAAAAAAAAAAAGGTTTATAAAATATATATATAGAAATAGAAATAGAAAAGGACTGACAGGTACTTTTGCGGGGTAAATAAAATAAATAAATAAATAATAATAATAATAATTGAAAATTGAAGGAGAGAGGGAAAGTATAAAGGTCAGGATGGGCCTGGTTTGGGTTATTGGAACGCGGGAGCTCTTCATCGTCAAGTCACATGTCTGGGGAAAACCCCCCCATCTCACAAAGAAACTAGCGGGTCGAATTGATGCAAGCTTTCCTTCTCCCGCTTGATTTGGAACAGTCCCAAAAGCTGAACCGTGGAAGTCGTACAAGATTCTCCACATAGCAACAATGAAGTCTATCTTTTAACCAAATATTGCCTTTTAATTTTAATTTCTATAACGTAGAATAGATCCACCTAAAGAAAAAGAAGAAAAAGAAAGGGTTTGATTTGATTTGGTCTCTTGAAAGTCACCGAGAATTCAGATGATGTGAGCTTAAACAAGAGTCTATGGCGTACTTCTTTATCAAGTTTGGTTTAGTTTCAACTTAATTTAGTTGATTTAGGTTCAATTAATCTGGCCTATGTGAACCAAATACCAAAGTAATTCAACCGTGTTTCATGGCAACAAACAGCCAAATAGAAATACATCTTGGTAAAAGTGATCATGACCTTTACCTTGTGCAATTCACAAGAGTATCGGCTGCTTTAAAGGCATTATAAAGTCTATATTATGCTTTGTCTTGCTTTGTGTTTATTTTTCTCTTCAACTTGTGGAACATAAATGCCTTCAAATGTTCACCTATTGTTTTTGTATGTGTTAAAAAAAAAGAAGAAGAAGAGCAAGAATATATGGTGTTTATAGAATTATAATTAATAAGCATTGAAGATAAAAAGGTAAAAAAAAAAAACAAGGGGGAGGGGGGGGGGGGGGGGGGGGTATGTGGCTCTAGACATTCAATACACCAGCGAATACAATTTTAATTTTTTTGGGATGAATGATATGATATCACCATTTAGAGTTTGGTACCAGTGGAGTGTGTCCCAAGAATTAAGTCGACAATTATAAAGTAAACTAAAACTTGGTCACATTTTATTTTATTATTATCACTCGACCGTAACGTTGATATTCTTTGTATTAATCACCAAGTCTTTCAAATAAAAGTAAAACCTTGAAGTGGAAAATAGAGTTAGCTTTATTACTCTTCCCCTAATAAGAAACACTCGAGAGAAAAGGTCTGTATCTGTTTTGGATATTGACTCTTTAGACTTGCATTTTTTTTTTATAAACCAGCTTAGATATTTCTATTCTTCCTTTTACTATATTACAAGTTATATTGTGAGTATTCCACAAAGTCTATCAAAGCATATGCCAGCCATAGAACAAACTCTTTTCAAAAGTTATTAGATACATTTGGTATTTTATAATCTGCTTATACACAGATCCACTCTGATTAATATCCAAGTAATTTATGATTCATTACAAAGATGGGTCATGAATTGTGTGTAAAATCCTTTTTGAAGCAAATGTTCAATAGAAATACAAACCATTAATGTGTTTTTTTTTTTGATTTCTGTTAGGTGTTGTCAAAATGGTTTTAAAGATATATAGATATTCTTTTGGTTAAACAATGAAAATTAACAAGATAAATTTGCACCAAAAGTTTGATTGTCTATCATTTGTATTCATCAGTAAAAAGGTCTTTTTTTTTTTTGTACAAAATGTTTCAATATCTATTGATTAAAACAGAATATATACACATTTGCATGTGTCAGTTAAAATATGAACACCAATACTTGTTAAAAGACCCTCTATATATTATTTTTCATATAAAATGATCACAAGCCCTGCATTATATATATATATATATATTTACATATAAGCAACAGCTTGTGCATTTGAAGCAATAGAGTTACAACCATTCTATTTAATTTTCTGGTTATTGTTTCCAAACCACCGTACTTGAGCATTCCAAACCAAGTATGGGGATAGGTGCTTATGTATTGTATATGTATATGTATGCACTTGAATGTGCCTTGCTGGATAATGGCAATAAACGGCAACCGATTCTTTATTTAACCCATAAAATACAATGAAACACAACACAACACAACATAGGACATTATAAATGCCTTGTTATTATAGTTTTATAAAGACCAAGAAACAACTATTGCCTTTATCCATATGCGTGTATGGTTTATACAACACCAATAAAGATGTCAAGGCTTTCTTCTTGTTATTCTTGAGGTTTCATTCTGAATTCCAAGCCAGAATTACAGAGATAATCGTGATGTTAAGATACAATAGAAACCAATAGTTATTTGTTTCTCTTATCGCTGATCCACCTCCTTTCTTGTTCCAAAAACAGCTTGGTAAAACAGCTTATTTTGGAGGTTATATCATTGTCACTCTTCGCACAACCCAGGGCACAGCTCTTAATGTCTCTTTTATATTCTCTAGTGTATTTACTATATAAATTAAGTTAATATATCCATATATCAATATTATACAATTAAAATATTTATATATTTATATAAATTTTTATTTAAATGTGCGTGTATATGTATTTCATGTATGTACAGCCAAATTTTATAATACACATTTCTCTCCTTTGGTAAATTGTTATTATTATTATTATTATTATTTGTGCTTGCTTCTTTGCTTCTTTTACATTCACATTCACATTCTTTTGAAATCTCTCAACTTTGAGTAATGCTGCAAAATCATTCTTCGCAACGGGTTCCTGGAATGAACGACAATTCCTTTCAATCCGACTCCTTCATCAATCGGTCCGAACTAACCGATGACAGACCAAGCCAATCCTCAATAACTGATCTGGATAATATCTCTCCTCCTTTCCACCCCTCTCTCTCACAACTACCGCTCGAATCCTCAAAAAACAACTATAACAACTACAACAATTATAACAGCTATAACACCAACAACGGAATACAAGAAAGAGACAAACTGAAAAACAGAGCCAAGGTCAAAGACAAAGACAAAGAAAGAGAACTAGAGGAAAAAGACGAACGATTTGAAGTAGAAAATATAGAACAAGGATTTGAAGAAAGATTCGAAACAGGAGAAGAAGAAGAAGAAGAAGAAGAAGAAGAAGAGAATATAAACCACCAAAAAGAAAAAGCCTTACCGTCTTCTTCTAAGCATGTTGGACTATATGATCTTGCACCTGACCACCTCAGTCTGTTTGATCAAGAAAGCAAACTTGATCTTCAATTTGAAATGGTCTCATTGGCTGATTCTGATGCTGACTATCAACGAGAAGACAGAAGAATACGTAATGGTCGTCCTAGTCCTGAAGTACACAAAGAAAGAGACAATTCTTCAAAGTTTGCCATGAAAGAACAAGCAAAGGTAAAATTACACTAATAATAAAACCAAAATAGGAAGAGAGAAAGAGAGAGAGAGAGAGAAAGAGGATACTATATATGATTTTAATAGTAAAGATCTTTTATATACATATATAATACCTGATTGAATTCTATCCATATATATATATATATATATGCACTTGTTTATATAATTCCTGTTTATTCTTGTCCTTTCCGTTTTGCTTCTGTTTGTTCAGGCTTTGGAAAAATTACACAAGGAGAACTTTAACTTCAAGCTGAAGATCTACCATCTTGAGAATCGACTAGAGAACATGTCACCAGAGCAAGTAGAGCAAGGGTTGAAAGAGGTAAAGTAAAAACCCGCATTAATTAAAATTAATTAGTTTTATTAAGTCAATATACATATTACATATATAAAAAATATATATAAAAAAAAGAAAGAAAGAAATAAAGAATAAGAAGAGAATTATTATTATTATTATTATTTTTGTATTCTTTGGGAATTGCCATGAGCTCATTGCTACATGTTGTTGTTACATTTCTTTATTATTATTAGTATTTATTATTTAATAAATAATAATAATTTATTACTATTATTAATCTTATAAATAATGTGTATTGTATGTGTATTTTGTGTTGTGTATTATCATTATTATCATTATCATTATTATTATTATTATTATTATTATTGGTGTGAATTTGGTGGAGTCAGAATATCGAGTTACGAGTGTCGCTTCAAGCTTTGACACGGACCGTAAAGGAGTACAAGTTGATGATAAAAGAGCTACATCGTGGTACACGACTACTTCAATCTCAGTACGACGAAGCAAATGCGTCAAATGCAAAATACCACAAGGAAAACAAACGATTGGAGGCCGAGAACGCCGAGTTGGCTGCCGCACTTTTGAACGCAAAGAACAGCACCAAGAACAACAATGATCATGATGATAGTATGGATATTTGGCTCAATGGAGGACAAAAGACAACAACAACAATGTCATCAACAGCAGCAGCAAATAAGGCTAATGAGGCTGAAGCCTATCGAAAGGAATGGCTGATGATGAAAGAAGAAGTCGAAGGTAAAAACAGGATAATCGAGGATCAGAAACGAACCATCCAGGCTCTGCAGGATGAACCGATCTCTCGTAAATCAATTGTCGGTGGTCGAATGACAGAATACACACGGGACAGTAATATTGTTCAGTCTATACTCTCGGATCGAGATGCTCACATTGCAAAGACAGAGCAATACGCAAAAGCAAATTATGAATTACGAGAGGTAAGCAATACATCCATATACTTATAAAGAAAGGAGAATGAATATTATATTGATTAATTTATATTTTATCTATCTATCTATATATCCATTGATTGATTGGTTTATTTTATGTGTGTGTGTGTGTGAATAAAGACTTCTACACGCTTAAGAGAAAGAAATGCTGAAGTAGTGTCCCAATTGACACAAAAAAAGAAGGAGATTATCAAGGTTCACGAAACGATGGACGACCTTACTACGACCCTGCACGAAGTAAAGCAGCAGCTCAGAAGCTCGCTGATTGAATCAGAGCAGTTGCGAAAGGAACGCGACAGTCTTGCCAACGAGATCCGGAGCACAAATGACCACAACACTGACGAACTGCTGGAGAGTTTGCATGAGCTGAGGAGTGAGACCCAGGCATTAAATGAAGAAAGAATCGCACTGAAAAATGAGATTGAGCAAAGAGAGCAAGATGAGTTGCGGTTAGAAGAGGCCTTTGAAAAGGTAATAGCCAACAAACAAGAAGAAGATTGTCATTTACGTTGTTATACAGGTGCTGGCTCATGCAGATGGTTTGGATGAGCAATTGAGAGAAAAGTTGGGGATAATTGAGGAGCTAGAGCACAAGCTAGAGAATGCTCGCCGGTTCGGCAATGAACAGGTTGACGAGGAAGTGGAGCAGATGGAATCCGAGCTGCGTGCAAAGGACGAGTTGATCTCCCAACTTGAACACAGGCTGCATGAAACGGAGTCTCAAGACCTGGATATCCACACGCTCGAGAAGCAGTTTGTGGTGCTCAATGATGCAATGAAGCGCAAGGATCTGTGTTTGAAACAGGTTGAAGAGGAGCTGGCGGAGACTCTCCTGAAAGCCCAGGAGGCCAAGGCACGGTACGAGGACGATCTCAAGGAGATGAATATCGAGTTCCGTAATATCCTGCAGTCCACACGCGAGAGAGATGTCCGGATAACGACACTCGAGGACGATAATGAGGCACAGCGGGATGCATTTGATCGAGAACGCAAAATCTATGCGGACGAGATTCGGGAATTGGCCGGCAAGCTACAGGAGGTCGAGGATTTGATGCAGCACAAGGATGCGATGTTGCAAGAATTGGAGAGCCACTCGATCAATTCTCGGCAGATGGAGACTTACCAGGCTGGTATCATTGAGCTGAAGAAGGTTAGTCTGTTTTTCTTTTTGTCTCAGTTGTGTATATTGCCCCTTTTTTTCTTTAATTGATAAAGCCAACATGTATCGATAAAGCAAATGGCAGAGAGAGAAGAAATCTATCAGGTTAGAGTCAAGGAACTTTCTGATCGAATGAAGGACGCAGAAGAGCTGATTCAGCAAGAGCGTCGGGCGGCTACTGAGGCAATGCGCAATAAAGAAAAGGTCCATGCTTCCCAGAAATTGCACATCGAAAGTCTACAGAAACGGATTACACTCTTGAATGCGCTTTCGAACCAGAACTCAAGGTCGCCCGAGATCAAGAGTGTGACGACCAAGCACGGGCACCTCAAGGGAGGCTCGAATATGTCGTCTTTGGGAAACACGGCCGACCAGGCTAAAGTTGCAATGAAGATTCAGCTGATGGAAAAGTTAATTGAGGAACTGCAGAATGATGTAGAGTCACGCGAGAGGGATTTAGATTCAATAGGCTCTGAGAATCAGAGTTTGGAACTTGCATTGGCAAGAACCACCGAAGAGAACGAACATCTTCGAGACTTGCGAGAAAAACTGGAGAAGAAGTTGGCACGTCGAGACAATCAAATCACACGGTCCATGGAGCGATACGAGGTAAGGCCAAGAAAACAACAGCTATTAAGTAGTTAATTACTTGATTAAATTGTTAATTAATTAAATTGTGCTGGTAGAATGTAAATGTTCGCAAGGAGGCTATTGAGGCTGTACTCCTTCGACAGGCCACTGAAGGATTTGACTCTGCACTGTTGAGGAAAGAGATGTCTGAACTTGACCATTAATACAAGATTTGTCTATATATATATTTCTTTCTTTCTTTTATAAATCTTCCCTACAATCCCCATTTACTTTATTTTTCATAATCATCATCTTCATTATTATTTTTTCTTTTTCCTACCATTACTACTACTATTATTACTGTTACTGTTACTGTTACTGCTACTGCTACTACTCCTCACTTCTTCTTCTTCTTCTTCATTGTCTTTCCTTTCTCTTTTGCCCCATACCCTTTACTTCATTCCCCACACATACACATTATATACACATACATATAATTAAACATTTGACAATTTAACCATCTAGCCCGTTTAATCTCATACCTTATCTTACTTTATATATTATTAACCCCACTCCACCCCAACCCCACACACACACACACACACATTATATATATATATAATACAGGCTTACTATTACAGCCATTACAGCCATTACAATTATTCTTAATACAATCATTCTTACCATTTAAACCAAGCTAAATTTCCTTTCTTTCTATACACACAGACACAAGCATATAGGTATACATAAATACCAAAAAAAAAAAGAAAAAAAAAGAATCATTATCCAAATTAAGCAAAGATTTGAACTGATTGTACGCTTCGATATTTAATTTCCGCCAGGGTTTTTTTTTTGTTGGCCAAAAGATAAGATGCGTGCACACACACACACAATATATATATATTTATATGTTCTTTATTTAAAATCAAAAGGTAATCATTGATTGGACGATTAGATCAATATACACGGCGATTCCTTTTAGGTTCATGTGTTGAATAATTTTATATATATATTTATCTTTATCTTTTTCTTTTAAATAGTCAAATAGTCAACATAGCTTCAAGTACAAAAGTACATGGCTACATATTAGATTAGATTAGATTAGCTTAGTTTGGCTTCAAGGTGTCTTGAACTACAAGTGACAACTCCCATGATATTGTGACGAAACCAACCAACCAGCAGACAAACAAACAAATACAAGAAAGAAAGGTCATGCATACAAACCAAAACCAAAACCAAAACCAAATCCAAATCCAAATCCAAATTGAAACGAAATAAATTGAAACAAATTAAATTAAATTAAAATGAAATGGAATGGAATGAAATGAATTGGATTGAGTTACATGAAAATGTCACAAAATAATTGTGCTTCCTGACAATCTGTGTCAAAAAATAAAATAAAAATAAATAAAAAGAAACCAAAAATCACCCAACACAAAAAATAAATAAAGGTCTGTGACTGGCTATAAAGAGATAAAGAGAAATAGAAAGAAAGAGCAATGAGAATTGTTCAAATATTTTTTTTTTCAAGGTGTAAAAAGTAAAAAGTTAAGATCAGAGTTAAGATAAATAATCCTCATTTATTTATATTGGAATATTTGAGTTTAACTTTGAGCTCTAAAAAAAATATATATATATTTCAAATGCCGATTTACCTTGAGCTTGGAATTACAATAAATAAATAAAAAAAAAAAAAAAAAAAAAAAGACATAAAAAGGGCTGGGTCAGGAACGCATTTAAAAAAAATAAAATAAATAAATAAATTTTGTTTCATTCTTTTTAAATAAACCAACCCTCCCAACTCCTTACCCTTATATATATATATATATTTTTCATACGTCTTTTCAATATCTTTATATATTGACGATGCCAGTTACACCCGAAATCACCTCTAAGCTCCAATGGGTCTCACAGATGAACGTAGACATTGAGCCTACTGCTGGTCGCAAGTCTAGTATCATTGGTACCATTGGTAAATATCAAAATACACGAATATTTTTTGGTTTGAAGGATATGAAGAAATAAACTTGCTGTTGCTGTAGGTCCCAACACAAACAGCGTTGAGATGATCACCCAACTCCGTAACGCTGGTCTTAATGTTGTTCGTATGAACTTTTCTCACGGATCCTATGAGGTAAAGTCAAATAGATGGTGTATTTAGAGGGGGAGGGGAAGCAAAATGGGATTTCTTTTTTGAAACAAGAACGGCGGGATAAGACTGGTAATTGCGGTAGGGTCTGGGTGGGGTGGGGTGGGGTGGAGAGAATAGAATAGAAATCATTTATCATTTATCACATTCGGAGATCATGTCCAGTCTATTGGGAATCAATAAATAATAAATAATGAAAATTTAAGAATATGAGAATTGACAATTGTTGGGATTATTTTTATAATACACTATGTATCTATGTATATTAAAAATCCAAATCAAATAGTACCATCAATCAGTGATCGATAACACTCGCAAGAGTGCCGAACGTAAGTAAACACAGACCTCCTTACACAACTATACCAAAATCATCTCCTAATCATATCCATAGTCTACCCTGGTCGCCCCGTCGCTATTGCTCTTGACAACAAGGGTCCCGAGATCCGTACTGGTATCATGCGCGATGGTATCGAAATCCCCATCTCTGCTGGCCACGAAATGACCTTTAGCGTCGACAGCCAGTACGCCACCATCTGTGACGACAAGGTCATGTACATCGACTACACCAACCTGCCCAAGGTCATTGCAGTCGGCAAGACCATCTTTGTCGATGACGGTGTCCTGTCCTTCGAGGTCCTCGAGACTTCCGAAGACTCTCTCCGTGTGCGCGCAAACAACAATGGCAAGCTGTGCTCCCACAAGGGTGTCAACTTACCCGGAACCGATGTCGATCTGCCCGCTCTCTCCGAAAAGGACAAGGCCGATCTGTTGTTCGGTGTCAAGAACAAGGTCGACATGGTCTTTGCTTCCTTTGTCCGTCGTGGCCAGGACGTCAAGGATATCCGTGCCGTGCTTGGTGAAGAAGGCAAGCGCATCATGATCATCTCCAAGATCGAGAACCACCAGGGTGTCCAGAACTTTGACGACATTCTCAGAGAAACCGATGGTGTCATGATTGCCCGTGGTGACATGGGTATCGAAATCCCTCTTGAGCGAGTCTTTATTGCCCAGAAGATGATGATCACAAAGTGTAACTTGGCAGGAAAGCCCGTTATCTGGTACGTCTCTCTATTTAAATTAATAAATAATAATACACACAAAAGAATACGAAAAAACTTATATAATTCTTGTATAGTGCTACCCAGATGTTGGAGTCAATGACATACAACCCTCGTCCTACCCGTGCTGAAGTATCAGATGTAGCCAATGCTGTATTGGATGGTGCTGATTGTGTCATGCTTTCGGGTGAAACTGCCAAGGGTGCTTATCCCATCGAGGCCGTCAAGACCATGCACGACATCAGTGTGTTGGCCGAATCAGTCCAGTGCTACCCTGCTGTCTTCAACGAGCTCCGTGCCTTGACTGCCTTGCCCACCGTCACATCCGAGACTGTTGCCTGTGCTGCCGTCAGTGCCTCCCACGAACAAAAGGCCGGCGCTATCATTGTGCTCTCGACTTCCGGAAACACAGCCCGTCTTGTATCAAAGTACAGACCCCAGGCTCCTATCATCGTCGTCACCCGTAACCCCCAGACTGCTCGCCAGGTCCACCTCTACCGTGGCTGTTTCCCATTCTACTACCCCAAGGAATCCTCAGCCGCTGCCCAGCGTCTGTCCTTATCCTCAACCAGCACAAGCAGCGCTCACATGAGCCCAGCCGAGTACGCACCATGGCAGGAGGATGTCGATGCCCGTCTGATGTGGGGTATGGAGCAGGCTATCAAGTATGGTCTCCTCAAGCACGGCGATCCCGTTGTTGCTATCCAGGGATGGAAGGGTGGTCTTGGAAACACCAACACTCTCCGCGTTCTTTTCACCCCATAAATGAAACACTTATGCATACACACACACACACACACACATATATATATATAAATAGAAAAAAAAATTAGCAGAAAAAAATTGAAACAATTGAAACGGTTGAAACGATTTTTTATTTTATTTGACTTTGAGCATCATTCTCCTTCACACTTTTATATATATATATATATATATACAAACATACATACATATACACCTAAATAAATAAACATAATATATATGTAAATCTTTATGTATTCAATAAACATTCTGTCTAAGTTTGTACAGCATACAAAACTCACAGTAAAGAAGTGTACAAAAGATCAAATCCAAGAATTTGAAACAATTTCAAAAGAGTTGATTTTACCCAAAAGTATTTATATAGTAGATATTCTCTCTGTTGAGATTTGTTGGCTGTTTGAAGTACAAGCCGCTAAGCTCCAAGATTTTTTACAATAATCTGTATACTAAAATAAAGACTGGTATTTATTTATTTATTTATTAAAGAACAAGAACAGGAAAGAACAAAAAGAAAAGAAAAGAAAAGCTATTCATTTATTGATTATCAATAAAGTCTATAAGATACAAAGGAAGATAAAGAGATAAAGAGAAAGAGGATATACCAGAGCCATGTTTAGAAGAATTAAATTAAAATACAACTTTTTTTTTTCTTCAGCAAAAAAAAAAATAATCCTACTTTCTTATATGTATTACTATGATAATTATTTGTGATCCAGCGGCTCAGCCACGATTGTGCTAGAATTGTGAGTATTGAGTGGGTTTCTTCTGGTAGAGAGCATGGGCTGATGTTGCTGGGAGTTGATTTCAATCGAAGGTGAGAAATTAAGAGCGTCTCGGGCCAGCTGTTCCTTGACGTAGCCCTGTCGAAGGACATCGTATGGCTCTGCGTCAATAAAGTAGGTCCTTAACATGGCCTCCATTTCGTCCATACGGCGCTTCAATCGGTCATGGTCATAGTGTGTGACCGGATCACCAACAGCTCCACCACCGCCAGTAGATGGGATCTGAGGGAATGGAATACCCAACAGACGGTTGTAGGTATCGTTCTCCATAGATGCCCGCTGGGAGGCTGACAGGGGAGCCGATGCGGCGGGTGCAAAGCCCTGGATGTCGTGTTCCTTTGGAAACGGCATAGACTGAGGTCCCTTGGATATTCGGGCTTTGAGGATCGAGGACTGGCGCTTGGGACGTCCCTTTCCAGGACGAGCCGCAGGCTCGGTGGATTTTGCGAATGGGTTGTAGACAACACCCATTTCGAAAATTCCCCAGGGAGAGAATCTTCCGGCACCAAACAAGATTGTGTAGATTCCGGTCAAAACACCATAAGCACCACCAGCAAGAGCAATCGCGTTAAGTACGGTATATTGTCTTTGTTCGGTCTAGCATAAAGATGTTTGAAAAAGAAAATTTTTGATCAGCTAAATATACATTTTTTTTTATATCTAGGGACTTACTTTTACATCCATATTGGTTTTTGCAAGACTTATAGAAAATATACCATCGTATCCCTAAAGCACAAGTGTTTTTTTTATAGGTTAATATATGCCTATATGTTAAATATAGATGTACTTACTCCAGTAGTTAATGGCTCCTTTTGTTGCAGAGGAAAATCTTGTTGCGTTGTATCCAAGGTGATGATATCTACATATTTTGCACCCTACAAATTATAATTAGAATACATATTAATTGCCATTGCTACAAAAAGAAATTCAAACTCACAAAGCCAAGAATTGATCTAGAATCTTTTGGTTTGATTGCCCTGTACTTGACTGGAGAGAACTTGATGATTGTGCTCACGTTGAGATTACTGTAGATTCTGTTGTTTCCATTCTGCATACTTGTATAAAGTGTTCTCTAATAGATAGATAGATATATTATAAGTAAATCAATAATAATAATAGTAATAATAATAAATTAATATTCAAAAACTAACCTCTTGTGGTATGAATTCACTAGAGTTGAGATACCATTGGTTGAATGTGGGAGAGTAGAGCTGGATGTCCATACTGGGCTGAGCTCTGATGTTGTATCCCGCACTATCGACACTTCCGAGCTTCCAAAGGATTTCAATGTTGTTGATCAACGAGCTGTTCTCGGGATATGGTCTGTTGGCCGCATACTGCAATAGCCCCTGGGTTCTAAGCATGTAGCACTGTGGGGTCGATCCCATGCTGATGGCACCTCGTTCGGTCATTCCGATGCAGTCAAAAGGAAGAGAGGTGAAGTTGGTATAGATTGCGTTACAGAACGCAAATTGCATTGTCGTATTGACAACACACATCTCGATATCTGGTGCAGCGTAGGTGGCGTTTACGGATTCAGATGAAAGGAGGATAAGAGGTACATCATCAACAATCTAAAGTACATCCATACAAATAAAGATATAATATAATGATAATAAAAAGAAGAAGAAAATTGCCGGTTTAGATCATGGTAATGGTAATGATAACTATAATTATCTACCTGGACAATTAGATATGCACAGTATGCAAAGAATAATAAAACAAACAAGACGGCAACAACACCACGAGCTGCTGCAAACCGAGCAGATTCAAAAGGCTGTTAAAAAATATTAGATATCCAAATGTCCTTTGATTTGATCTTATTTGATTAATAACAAGACTTACTCTTTTGTAAAAAGCCTCTCTGATGAAATACATTCTTATTTGATCTCTCTTTGTTCACACAATATAATATATACCACTAATAAAGACAAGGAAGAATAAATAAATAAAAGGAAGAAGAAGAAGAACAAGAAGAAGGACAAGATCAAGGCAAAAAGATTATCTTATATATAATAGTAATCTGTATAGTCAATCTAGAATCCTTCCAACCAAACGCCACTCCAAACTAAGCCTTTGTACAATGTAACAACAGAACAAGGGAAAAAGAAAAGCCAAAAAGTTGGGAAAATTATGAATTATAAATAATTATTATAATAATAATAATAATAATAGTAAGATTTCTGTGTGCTACACTACGCCATTTTTTCTTGTCTTGTTATATTTGGGTTGACTGATTGATCGATTTAGTACATTGTCTATTGCCACATGAATATCAAATAGCCTTTGGGTCTATTGAGAAAGCCGAAAATAATAAGAATAAAAGATCATTGAATGATGAGCTGAAGATATATATATATATTAACTTTCTACCTGTTGTTCTACCTATCTAATTATAATAGTAATAAAAAGAGGCTCATTACTCAATAGCTTAGATATATAGCTTATGTTCATATTAAGCTAAATATCTCCTTCGATAATAGTAATAGTAATGAAAACAAGAAAATATGCCTGTAGGCTCATTAAGATTCAATAAACTGATACTAGTATCCAGGTGTAAGATTCTTTTTTTTTAATCTAATAACCGAATAAAAAGAAAGAGTATTTCGTTCGAGAAAATACTATTGATAGTGATATTGATAATATGTAGTGTAACATATGTGGGTTGGTATTCCAAGGTTCGATGTTCAGTATAATTTCTTGCTCCAAACAGCTCTTTCCTATTTGTCCCCGATTTTGATTTATATACATATATTCTCTTTTTCATACGCCACACAATATGAAATCAAAATAATGTAAAATAAAGGTAAGAATGAGGCTCATACAATTTAGAACTTGTGTGTAAAGATTACTACTTCTATACCAATAAACGGGTCTATTATTCTTTTGTGTGTATGCTTGGCTTAAATAGAGCATTACTATATAAAGATATATAGGCCAATATCACTGAATAGTATTTAAAGTAAGCTGAAAATCAAGCAAGAAAAACACACACAATAAGCCATGTTTATATATTATAAGAAGAAGAAGAAGAATAAATAAAATATAGAGGTTTGGGCCAATTCAGAAGTTCATTGGCTTAGCCTCACCCTCTAAGCTTTTGATGTCACTATTAGAACATACATTTTATTACTATTGTTTCTATGTACATATATAAAGAAATAATAATAAGCAAATTTCAAATCATTTTTTTGACATTTTATACAAATATTTACCAATGAAATAGCACAATTATAATACATAAATAAATAAGAAGACGTATATATAAGATATATTTAAATGGTTTTAATCTGATAAGTTGTGTCCTGTTGCAAATGTATATACATACATATATATACATGATTTATATTATTTCCAATTAAGGCGAAAGATGAAAAAAAAAAAGTATGTTTTGGTCAAAATTTGTGCTTCTAATCAGTGGTTTATATTTCTTTACATGTGAGGATACGCACATTTGTTGTCATGATGATTTAAATTGTACATGATCCATAAGCAGATAAGCTAAAATATTCCCAAAACATAAGAAAGGAAACCATGTATACAAAAGCAAAAATTATTTTTATTATACCAACTGGCTTCTTCTCTCTCTCTCTTTCTTTCTTTATGCTTATCACTAATATTTTAATGGATATATATATATATATATATAATATAGTAATAAAGTGAATATCTACAAAACGCCTGAAGCCACACAATTATAAATAAAAATATATGTATACTTTTTTAAGATAAACAACTGTAGAGGAAAAAATTGAGTACGAGTACGAGTATAAGCGCAAGTACAAGTACAAGAATATATATTGTGTTACGATTGTACTTCAATTTCTTTTAAAGAAAAGTTTAATTGCTGTACCGCCTTATTGTAAATGTTTTCAAAATGGTATAAATAGGGTGTTTCAGCAGTTTTGTTTGATTGTTTTTGGTTCGGGGGTTTAATATTGAAAAATCATTGGCTCTCGTTAATCTGAAAAATAGATAAATTTTATCTCCAAACAACTATCAAAATTTTTAGTTGTTTGAATAGTTGTTTGAATAGTTGAAAAATGGAGAAATCGCGGGCTTATTTTTTTAAGAAAAAAAATATAAATTTTATGTAATACTTAGGGCACTCAGTTGATTTTTTATAGGTTGATTATTATTGGCTTATATATTTAATTCACGAAATCAGAACAATCAAACATCTAAAACTGCTGAAACACCCTAATAGATGTATAAAATAGCCCCTTTACCTTTACTACAAAAAAAAAGCATCGAAATATACCATGACCAATAGTATCTTATCAACCATTTATTCAAAAATAAATAGCTAAATAGCCAAAAACTAACAAAACTGTAAAAATTAAGTATCAATCTATTTCTCTCTTTCTTCTCTAAAATATAAATTACACAAATCAACCCCACAAACTATTTGCCTTTCTTCTTCTTCTTACTAGAAATACCAATAATATAATCAATACGTAAATTTCTTACTGGTTGTATTATCGAAATAAAATAATAATAACGATTACTTGGTTGTACAGATAAAGGTGTGTGAAAGAGAGAGAGAGAGTATTGAACTGGATTTGAATTTGATTTATACGCATGAATCATAGTACCTTTTGAAGGTGAGGCAAACTATGACAGCAAAAATGTTAACGTATTGGCCAGAATAATAAGCATAATCATTAATATTTATTTGTTTTTTAAATATATATATATATATATTGAAATGTAACCTCTACAGTGACACAATCAGTTTTGGTCAAATCTAAAAAAATACTAGTTTTCTCTTGGTTTTGTTTGGGCCTTGTAGATCATGGAGGCTATTCTACAAGTGCCTGTTAGAAAATGAGTATATTCATACGCTCGCACACATACATATATACCTAATCTTTAGACTTCTTGAATTCAAACACGTTAAATATCCCAAGCTCTGCTTCATAAGTAGATGGTATTTTCATACAAGATGAATAGAAAGAAAGACAAAAGAGCGCTTGCGTTGCTTGTTAAAAACCTCAACTTTAAGGATAGTATTGGCCATAACGAAAACAAGCTTACAGGTGTAACTGTTTTTAGACATGTCTATTACTGACAATTGTCTGCACATCTTTTCACTCACTGGTATTTTATCATTGTAAACTTTAGGATTAAGGACTGCTTTTTTTCTCGTCACAGTTGTAGTCTTATTTTCCAAAAGACTTTGCCCTTGCAGATGTTTAGCCATTCTGTGGTTTGGGTAGTCCTTTGATTTTGAGCTCTTCTAAATTTTCTTGACGACGATACAGACATACAAGACTACAACTAAACGCGATGGTATGTCTATTAAACAGACCATACACTGAATATTTATGCATAGATTGTCAAAGAAAGCATACTAAACTTAAAGTATCCCAAACCTAGTGAGAATATGATGACCTTTTATTAACAAGTTGGTTCACCAAATAAATATTGCTAAATTTTCAAGACGAGTTTGATAGTACATTACACTTCTTTTTATTTCATAAAAACATCTGTTATTCTACAGATTTTAGCTGCTGTTTGTACTTAGTCACCTAAAAATGTGTTTAAACTGTACTTCTACTCACCTTGATCCATAAAGATACTTTTACAATGATCAGTTTAAAGATGTTACTCAAAAAATCCGGATTTTTTTTTGTCTTCATCCAAAGAAAAGGTAAGCTGAGTACCAAAAACAAATTTTGATTCGTCAAAAAATAAGACTTAGATAGTCTGAATTTTAAGTAAAGTTTGTAGTATCAAAAGTATATGTGATTCTTGTAACAGCTTTTAACATAAACAAGAACCTTACTTACTTGGTTTACAAAACATATTTCTTTATTACAATAAAAACTTGCCCTTTTTTTCGTAGTAATAAAACCAGACCTTTCTATTTTATGAATTTTTTTTTATATATATATTCCTTGTATTTTTCATATATTTATTTATTTTATATAATTTCTAACCTTATTTTACACTACAAAGTTAAAATAACCAATATAGTAGAATACAATAGAATGGATTTCTATTGTTTGAGCATTAACTCATTGATTCATTCATATACTCTATTCATTTATATTATAGCGAGTGTTCCGGACATTTAAGAATGTGACGTCGACTACATTCATGACCTTCTTTTCAATGTTTTTTTAAAACTCAACTCATTCAACCACCACTAATTCTACTATTACCACCACCAACTACCCTCGCTCTCATTCTCACCCTTTACCTAGCCTTTCCAAGTCCATACACCGCATCAGAAAGTCTTCTTCTTCTTTTTTATTTTATTTTATTTGCTTAAAGAAGATAAAGAAGAAGAGACATATAATATAGCAGAAAGTATATATCTACATTCAAAAGAAGAAGAAGAAGAAAAACAGTAAAAACCTGAATTAAATATACAAAACAAGACAACAATATAACACATTAAATAGATAAAATAAATAAAGAGAAAAGAAAGCAAAAAAAAAAAGAAATAAAAGAAGAAGAAGAAGAAGAAGAAAAAAAGTCATCATGAGTATCGCAGGCTCAGCATCCTCACGCGGCACCCACTCTCGTTCACCTTCTCGCTCACGATCGCCTCCTTACAGTGATGGTCGATACCCACCACGCTACCAATCTCGCTACGATGCCTACAGCTACAGACCACGAAGCGGCATGTCTGCAGCCTTGGACGATTATAGGGAAATGCGAGAACGCGACCGAGAGAGAGAACGAGATCGATCGCTGATGATGAGAGACGACCGATACCTTCCTAGAACACGAGACAGGTAATAAGGCTCAGGTGTCATGAGGGGAGCCTGATTGACCCCTTCCTCCCTCCAAATCAATATCCTTGCAGAGACGACCGTTACACGCCTTACTACCGTGAAGACATCCCACCTGCCCATCACTACCCCACAATGATGGCACGCGATTATGCTAAAAATTCATCCGGTTCACGGAGAGAAGGTAAACAAGGCCAAAATAAATAAATA